CCCCCCCGTTGCTGGTTTGCTCTCCCCTCCCCTCTGCTCCCCTCTTCCCGATCTTGCGGTTGGAAAAAGTCGAAACTTGCTGAAACTTGCACTAAGCAGAGACGGTGGATCTGCCTTCCGCCCCGTGAGTCCGCTCCGCCGTCGTGAAGCTACTACTGCTACAGCCTACTGCTGCAAAAACCGCTGGCTATCGTCCCGTCAGCCAAGACGAATTTTCGCTGGTTGGCCGCGCTCGCCTCGCCTATCTGCAGGCCCCTTTGCACCTTAGACCAAGACCTTAGAGCCTTGGACCCCTTCGTTCCCTTCCTGCACGCTCATCCCCTCCCCCATTCCCTCCTTTTGCACCACCGCAACTCGTCAATCCCTCCATTGCATCGTCGCGACGGAGCGGGCCAGTCCTGAAAGCCATTTAGATGCGGAGGCGATCGTCGGGATCGGCCGCAGAGGAAGAAGGCGACGATTCCCCAGCGGATGCAGACCTACCCTCCTCCCTCGAGGGCGCCGGGGCCTGCTCGGGTGAGCCCATCTTGACTCGGGACTCGAATAATCGCCAGGCGACCGCAGTCCAGCCAATTCGCCCGAACGCGTCCTACGAGCTGGACCGGCGGAAAAGCATCGAGACGCGGAGGAGCATCGACGCGAGGCCCTCCATAGCCCGCAGTCGGGCTTCAAACAATACGACTTGGAAGCTGGCGGAAGCGCGGAATGGCCAGATGGAGAAGAATCGGTCCGCCGAACCTGCCGTGATCACGGTGGCCTCGAAAGAGGCCATTGCTGCTGAGAAGATACCTGAACCACGACTGAATGCCCGTCGCTCGAGACTGCGAAACCCGTGGGCATGTTCTGCCCTCACGATCGTCACCACTCTCGTGGCCTTGCTCTCCCTAGCGGCCATTATTCATTCATTTACAAGTCGACAATTGGACACGAAAGGATGCCGCATGTCATATATGAGACCCTCTTTTGCGAAGCTCTCGGATTTCGACACCGAACACACGCGTTTTGCGAGCAAGTATTCAGTTTACTTGTACAGAGAGGGGATGGTAGACGAGGATACAAAGGTATGGCGGGTTTCCTCATGATGTAAACAATACTGACATCTGCGGTAGGTTAAAGGAGTTCCTGTGCTTTTCATCCCTGGGAATGCCGGTAGCTACAAGCAGGTTCGCCCAATCGCGGCCGAGGCTGCGACCTACTTCCACGATATCGTACGACACGATCCTGCGGCGATTAATGCTGGCGCGCGAAATCTGGACTTTTTCACGGTTGATTTTAACGAAGATATAACTGCTTTCCATGGGCAAACGATGCTGGACCAGGCAGAATACCTGAACGAGGCAGTTGCGTACATTTTATCGCTATACCACGATCCTCGCAGGTCCGAACGAGACCCCGATCTTCCGGATCCTACCTCTGTCATTATCCTCGGGCATTCAATGGGAGGTATAGTTGCGCGGACGATGCTGATCATGCCGAATTACCAATCGAATTCGATCAACACAATCATTACCATGTCGGCTCCGCATGCGAGACCTCCAGTCTCCTTCGATGCAGAGATTGTCAACACCTACAAGAGAATCAACGACTATTGGAGAGAAGCATATTCGCAAAAGTGGGCGAATAACAATCCCTTGTGGCACGTTACCTTGGTATCCATAGCTGGAGGGGGGCTAGACACGGTCGTTCCGTCAGATTACGCCAGTTTGGAGTCCCTCGTGCCAGATACCCATGGCTTCACCGTATTCACCTCATCTGTACCGAACGTATGGACAAGTATGGATCATCAGGCAATCCTTTGGTGCGATCAATTCCGGAAAGTCGTAGTCCGATCATTATACGACGTAATTGATGTCAACCGGCCTGCTCAGACGAAACCGCGAGCCGATAGGATGAGAATCTTCAAGAAGTGGTATTTGACAGGTATGGAGGCCATCGCTGAGAAGACTCTGTCGCAGAAAGAACCTACCACGCTCTTAACCTTGGAGGATAATTCGAACTCGATTATTGCCCAGGGGGAACGATTGACGCTTCGAAAGTTTGGCCAGTCTCGCAAACCGCACGCACATCTTCTACCCATACCTCCGCAGGGTACACCAGGGGGAAAGAGGTTCACGCTCTTGACAGATCAAAAACTGGATGCTCCAGGCGGCGCCGGGAAATTGGAGGTTCTGTTCTGCAGCGTATTTCCGCTGCACCCAGGGCAGTCAGCAACTTTATTTTCTATGAATATGGACCTTTCCGGGGACAGCTCTGGGTCCACAAGGCTGGCCTGCAAGAACGCTGCCTCCGATGTCATCACGCTCCCTGCATCAACGAGATCGAGCAAACGGCCCTTTTACCTCGATCAAGAAAAGGAGGTGCTACCATTCTCTTACTTACAGTATGATTTGGAAGACATTATGGACCACCAGTTTGTTGCTATTGTTGATAAAGCGGTGGATCCAACTCCCGGCTGGGTAGTGGCTGAGTTTAGTGACAACGTACAGTCACATCGGATTCGTTCGCTTGGGCTTCGACGACTCTTGGCCTTTGGAATGAAGATGAAGCTGCCGTCAAATAGGCCCATGGTTGCGGAGGTCAAGATTCCTGCACTCCACTCCAGTCTATTAGCCTACACCTTGGAGATGGAAAATCAAGTTTGCGGGGATGAATCCGAACTCTTTACTCCGCTCCTTCGACAATACATATCAGAGCCCTACGAGTCGAAGTACTTTGTCAATGTAAGACATGCCGATATCAATCTGCATGGCGTTTCGCCCTTCATGCCACCTCCCCTCAAGCACAAGGAGGCCCCAGATGGGCTGAGCCTCCAGTTTTGGACAGATCCTACCTGCAATTCCAGCATCAGGGTCTCCTTGAAGGTTGATATCCCAGGGAGCTTAGGGAAGCTGTATATGCGGTACAGGACCGTCTTTGCTGCTTTCCCACTCCTGGTCGTTGCTCTTGTGTTGAGGAAACAGTTCCGGGTCTACGATGAGACGGGGGTTTTCATGCCCTTTGCTGAGAGTCTGGACTTGTGTCTTCGCCAGTCCCTGCCTCTTGTCCTCCTCGCTCTCACGTGTCTGTCAGTGTCGCTTGCACAAGCAAGCTTAGCACCCCCTCGAACCTCATCTGGCGGCTGGTGGGGCTGGGGTGGCAATGCGACGGAGCCACAGATTGATTTTACGAAGAACGACCTTCTGGTGGGCGCACAAGATCCAATCTTCTGGTTCATGGTTCCTTTAATAGGGCTCATCTGTGTTGGAGTTTGTGTTGTGGTCAATTATGCAACGCTTTCCCTCACTCACGTTTCCAGTACCTTGTATGGATTATTGAGTGTCAAGCCAGCATGGCTACGAAACGATGATAAGAGAAGAGCAATATCTCCGGCCTTCGCACCATCAACTCCTCGACGCCGAATCTTGACCACCGCCGTCCTGCTGTTCCTAGTTTCGACCGTCATCCCTTACCAGTTCGCGTACCTGGTTGCGTGTCTTGTCCAGATAGCAACCTGTGCCCGAGCTCTTCGCTTTGCTCGAGAAGCTCGCTCGAATACGAGTTATAACTTCTACAATTATGTTCATTCGATCCTAATCCTTATGTTGTGGATACTACCGATTAATCTACCCATCCTCGTGGTCTGGATTCGTAATCTAGCGGTCCACTGGCTTACTCCCTTCTCCTCCCACCACAACGTCCTTTCTATCATGCCGTTCATCCTCCTGGTCGAGACGCTTACCAGTGGCAAGATGGTCCCACGAGTTATGTCACGCCTCCGCCACCTCACGAGCGTCTTCTTCTTCTGCATTGCTATCTATGCCGCAGTGTACGGAGTGACTTACGCCTACGTGCTTCACTACCTCGTCAATTTTGTCGCCGCATGGCTCGTCGCCATCCACTCCTCCGCCTCGTCATGGACACTAGCGGGCATAAGCTCGGTATTCGAATCAGACGGGAACGAGGGTCGCAAGCGAGGGAAGACCCCCTGAAGCAATCCGATGATTTAGCATCGATCACGACCAGGAACGAACCGACACGACACGGTGCCCTAACCAAGGCATCCTTATTTCCCCATTTACGCTAGATTCTGCATCCATTCATAACCGGCGTTTACCAGCATATATAAGCGTTTTTCAAATCTTTTTTTCTCGCGACTGGGGCTTTTCTCTAGACAGTGTTCTGCATGCTCGCATTTGTCGTGCTCGCTGTACATAGGGTATCTTGTTTTTTTTTTTTCCTCGGTCCATCCTGTACCCTTTTCGCTCGCGCTCGCCGAGCGCTCGAGCTTGTGTTTTTGTTTCGGTGGTGTTCTTCTGCCCTGTCTGCATCTGATGGAGAGGGCCCGCGGGCCACATTAATGTTTATACCTACCATCCCCACCTCGATCCGGGAATGAGCGCGCGACCCCGGGTAGAAAAGAGGAGGAAGGCAGGAAGAAGATGAAGATGAAGAAGAAAACGTTGTTTGTATATTCGGAGCCCACCTAGCTCGAAAATGGCCTTTTGCGGGAGGAGACGAAATCCGAACCCACCTCCCTCTTTTTTCTCACCATCTCGCTTAGCTAGGCGGGGCTTGGCTGGCTGCGAGTGAAAGAGAGGGAGGGAGGGGTAAGCGTTGCGTTGCGTTGGCGCTTGGGAATGAATATTTCACGGCCTGTCGCATACTTGCTTGCCTGCTTGCGGATTGATAGGTCGAATTTTTTTTGGCTTGGCTTGGCTTGGGCTCGTTGGGGTTGGTAGATGAGTTTGGTAGATAGAAAATACGCGCCTATTGTGTGTTGTTGTTCTTCTCTTCTCTTTTTTTCTGCTGAGAGGAGAGAGAGCAGCAGCAAACACGAGACCTTGAATATAGAGACCCGATGAGATGAGGAATGGAATGGAATGGAATGTTGTTCATACAGTAACCCTACCTTACCTTACCTACTTCCCTCAAATCATGTAATAAACTGCTGAATGTGAGTGAGTGAGGAAAAGAAGATACCGACGACCGCAGTCTATGTATGTATGTATGTATTCATCTATACCTATCTATTTAGGTACCTATCTATTTATTTATCCAACGCCTACCAGGTTACACATAATTCGATCGATCGTGACTCGAGAACAAGAAAAAAAAAGAAAAGGAACGAAGGCATGACACGGAAACAGAAAATCAAGGAAACAAATATGTAAAAGACGGAAGCTAGCTAGCAAGCAAGCAGGCAAGCAAGCAGGCAAGTCATGATGAGATAAGATTTCATAACAACAAAAGCGCCCCCCGGGGCTATCTAGGCCTCCCTGCCCTCCAAATCCTTAATGCGGGCCTCCTCCTCGCGGCGCGCGCGCTGCGTATACTGAATACTGAACAGGCTGACCAGCAAGCCCAGCAAGCAGGCGACGACGGTGACTAGGTAAGCGCTACGATAGCAAGCCAAGCCCTCAGTGCACTCGCGCTCGCCATTCCCCTTGACGATGGAGTGGCGATCGTAGACGGCGCCGTAGAACAGATTGAAGATGTTGCCGCTGAGGACCGGGGACAGGGTCATGCAGCCCCAGTTGGTGCTCAGACCGTGCACGCCGAAAGCTTCGGCGACGAGGGATGGGAAGCAGCCGAAGAGGAAGCCGTAGCCGAGACCCGTGAGGCTGGATACGAGGGTGAGGAAGTGCGGGTTTTGGATCGAGAGCGCGGAGAGTTGCGCGATGAGGAAGACGAGGGAGGCGAGCGTGAGGCACCAGAGCCGCGACGCTTTGAGGACTTTGACGAGGAAGTCGGATCCTACGCCTGGAGGGGGTTAGTTGAGACCTCCTTTTGGGGGGGGGAAAGAGACTTACCACTTGTGAGTCGGCCTATGCAACTACAGATGGAGAGAATGGACACGTGCATGGCTTGGCGCTTCATGATGAAGTCGTCTGTAGCGGAATCGTCGTAGTGTCTCCATAAGGCAGTTGCATCGTTGCCAATATTGCTGTTCATGCGGTTAGGACTTATCAGGAAGAGAAAGATATACTACTTAACTTACTTGATCGTCATCAATCCTATACCCGTCAAGATCCCCATGAGGACGAAGAGCAACCAGAACTCAACCATGGGTAACATCTTTAGACCTCGGATATCTACACGGTGGGCATGATCCTTAACATGGTTCTCTTCAGGAATATCGCCCGGAGACGAGCTTGTGGATCTAGACAACAAGGAAGAAGTCTCGGACATCACGCCGCCAGGTGCCTCGGCCGCTGTATCTTGACTTAGGTTGTCTTCTTGGCCGGAATACGGAACTACAAAAGTAGACCTACCTGGCTCTTCCACGAGGACCCGCGCGGCACGATACTTGCTCTCCTCTGATCTTGTCCTATAAAGCTGTTGCGAGTCGGTCATTCCAGCTTCGGTTGTCGGCACGGCGGCGTAATGTGGATGTGGCAGGACCCGTAGGAAGAAGAAAGGGACAAACACCAGTCCAAAGGTCCCATAGGCAAGCAGCATTAAAAAGTGTCCTGTCGATCCTGGGAGCACAAATTGTGCAAACATGGAGAAGAAGAAGGCGCTCAATCCAAAGGCGGCTACGGGAATCCCGGTGGCAGTCCCTCGATGGTGAGGCCAGTTAAGGGCGGACGTCTTCACAGCAGCGGCGAAGGCAGCGCAGCCACCAAGGCCAGTGAAGAAGGAGAACATGCAGAGTAACGGCATTGACCCTGACCCCCTATCATATGCTTGGTGTAGAGGGAAGTAGCCCGCGCCCAGAAGTATTGCGCCCATTAGGACAGCGCTCCGTGGTCCCTTTGTATCCACCAGCATTCCAATAGGTATCCCCATCGAGTACATCCCCAGATTTCCAGCCGCGCCCTGAACCAATCAGTATATAATCGAGCCAGATATTCCGGATCGCTCACTATCAGGTTCTGCTGCGTTGATGATAGGCGTAGCTTGTCTGCAAATTGGGGACCCCATGCCGAATAGACATACTGCTCTTATTAGCATTGGTATGTCACGGTATATTGTAAACTTCTTGACATACGTTGGTTCCGCATGCCAATGATATCAATGTCGCCGCCACGCTCGACACCACCCGCGCCGTTTGTAGGGATTTCTCCGACATGGTTGGTGCCGGACTGGATTCAGAGAAGGGCGGTTTCAGTGCTTTATCATGATGCAGGATGTGGAAATCAACGATGGCTGAAATGGATCATGCTCGTGGACTCAATTGTGGCACGGTGTGTTGAGAACTAGAGATTCGTAAGTTGGGGGTCTGGAAGATATCGGATTATCGGATTATCTAATTGCTATGGAGATGACGAGGACCCGTCGCGTTATCTCAAGCCAGGGGGATCTACGGGGAGGCGCAGAAACATGCTGCGCTAAGACACTATCTTAGGACTAGCGCAACATGGCAACAGCCGCGCGGATATTCGAGGAACGTCCTTATGACGCCGCCTGCTTCTTCCACAACAGACATCCATCCATCCTCACCGGCATCTGCATAGAAACCCAGGGGTTGCGGGGTCTCATTAACATCAAGATATCTTACTGCGATAGAGTACTCCAATATGGGTGCTGCACTGTCTCTGCCGCTAATGGCTTTGCCAAGCGTGGGCACAGTACGTCATGCGCTTCCTCCCAAACCTCCAACCTCCAAGACAACATAGTTACTGACATGCATCTCTAGCTTGTTACCTTCGCTGCAAGCTGCTGCGGTGCGGCTACCTGCTCTGCAGTGTGTAGTGCGTGCGGCAAATGTGGGAACAGGTTCGTGAAATCTCCCGTCGCATCTCGATCTCAATTGACCTGGGTTCTGACCGTGAATGTAGTGTTGCTACACGTATTGCATACGCCCTTCTCCTCCTTGTGAACTCGATACTGTCATGGATTATGCTCACGCCATGGGCGATCAACAAGCTACAGAAATTAACCTTCGACTATATGAAAATCAGCTGCCCCGAAGGAGAGTGCTATGGTTGGGTGGCAGTGCACCGGATCAACTTTGCGCTTGGAATCTTCCACATTATAATGGCTTTCCTCCTCCTCGGAGTCAATTCTTCAAAGAATCCACGAGCATCCATACAAAATGGGTTTTGGGGTCCGAAAATCATTGCTTGGCTGGCGTTGATTGTGGTCTCATTCCTCATCCCAGATGGCTTCTTCATGATTTGGGGCAACTACATCGCCTTTGCCGGTGCTACACTCTTCCTCCTCCTTGGATTGATTCTCCTTGTTGACCTTGCGCATACTTGGGCGGAATACTGTCTCGATCAGATAGAAGAGCATGAGTCACGGACTTGGAGAGGCATCCTGCTTGGATCGACGTTCGGGATGTACGCTGCTTCATTGGCCATGACTATCGTCATGTACATCTTCTTCGCTTCGAGCGGTTGCACGATGAACCAAGCATCCATCAGTATTAACCTGGTGCTCTTCTTGATCGTTTCCTTTATTTCGATACATCCGGCGGTCCAAGAATACAACCCTAAAGCGGGCCTGGCGCAGTCAGCGATGGTTGCCATATACTGCACTTACCTTACTATGTCTGCTGTCTCCATGGAGCCTGACGACAAGCACTGCAACCCTCTTATCCGAGCTCAAGGCACACGCACGACTTCGGTTGTCATTGGTGCTATTGTCACTATGCTCACAGTCGCATATACCACCACCAGAGCAGCTACACAAGGCGTTGCTCTTGGATCCAAAGGCAATAGTATCAGGCTACCTGATGATGATGAACATGATCTCGTTACTCAGCAACCAAACAGTCGCCGCGAAATGCGCGCTGCAGCTCTTCGCCAAGCCGTTGAAGAAGGAAGCCTTCCCGCCGATGCTCTCTTGGACGATGATGATGAGAGTGATGGCGGAAATACCGCGAAGGATGACGAGAGAACTTCTACCCAATACAGCTATGCCTTGTTCCATGTCATCTTCTTCCTGGCGACCACTTGGGTGGCAACCCTCCTGACCATGAGGTTCGAATCAGAAAAGAAAGATGAGTTTCAAGACTTCGAGCCAGTTGGACGAACGTATTGGGCTAGTTGGGTGAAGATAATTAGTGCTTGGATCTGTTATGGCATCTACGTTTGGACGCTTGTAGCGCCAATTGTATTGCCAGACAGATTTGACTTTTCATAGGGGGTTGGGGTTGCCTGTTTGTTAATTGTTGTACATTACTGATCATTGCATTGGTCTGAGCGAGGAGTTTCAGAATTCACATTCCGAGATACACACAATTCAAGTTATTCTCGTCTAATCAATATAAATGCTTTGTTTCCATTTCCAATCGGAGATTTATTCCCTTGCCCAGCTTACCGCCGCGTTCCTTTCTCCTACTCGGTTGCATTCTTGAAGTTATGGCTGAGATGTAGGTAAAAGACTCCAGCCATTTCCGAAGTCGAAAGCGGCACCAAAGCTGGAAGAGCCCTCGGCGCTGGGCAGAGTATGAGAGCCTGGCGTGCTCTGAGAGTCATGAAAACTTTCAGTTCCAGGATCTACATGGAGACTGGAAGGACTGTTGGGGGCGAAATAGCCATCGAAACCAGCAGTAGATTCGCAAGCGGGAAGAGGATTGAAGCTTGGATCCCGTTGAGATCCAACTGGTGCCAGGCTTCTAGTTGGCTCCTCTGAGGATTGATCTGTCATAACATACGTGAATACTTTGCAGATCACTTTATCACCATGGATCTGGTATCCTTTTGATCAAACCTGTGATCATCGACTTAGATAAAGTACCGATCATAATTAGTGCAATCCTCAAAACCCCATGCGCTCCTTGTCTGAAAGGTGAAATCAAACTGGAAGGCTATTGGATGTAATCGTGGTGAGCTTAGAGATGCAATGCTCCCAATCAGGCTTCTTCGTCTCAAAGTAGGGATATCCAGCAGCTATTTCTCGAGTGCCTCCCAAGTTCACGCCATGCAGTCATTGAGAAGTCAAAACACCAAGCCCTATGAATGAACTGTATACTTATATTCTGGAAATCGTTGATGGTATATCACATTGTTCTATCCTGAACGACCTTGGCGACCTTATCCGCCCGGCTCTTGCCTTCTGCGACACTTTACCAAGCAAAGTTAGAAACTCAAACAGAACATTTAAGGATACTTATCTCGAGGCAGGCATCGTCGAGGATATTCCCCATGAGGTCTGATGGAATTGAAGAACGATCCAGGTAATAATGTCACCAGCGAGGAGCATTTTGATCCTACAACTTGTCTTTACCTCCCTCTTCTTCTACCCATTGCTAGTCCCACTATTACCTGAAGCCTTCCAGAAGGCCACGTCTTCCTCATCAGAAGTTGATCTGCCCGGTTCTGAAGACTGAGCCCAAGTTTCAGTTGGACAAGCGGAGCGGAAACCAAATGATATTGAAGCCTCGACGGCTTTTCGAGGTCGATATTGATAACCAGGAAGGAAACCCGACAGAAAATCTTATGAATGATAATGGTTGAGATTCACTCCCCTCAAAGCATACCCCTAAGATTCAGCATTGCTAATGTACGCTTTCGCAGAAAATCCATCGACGATCCGAAATCACCACCACCTGACCCATACCCAATTAAAGCGCGAGACTCATTGTTTACTAGGTACAACCCATATGCAAACTCTCTTGAAGAGAGCTTCGAAATAGAAATCAATCACGGCGTCGTCATTCGTGAATTGGCAGCCAGACCCCAATTTGCTGGACGGATACCATCAAAGCGAAGAAGACTCTTGGAACTTGTAGAGCATTTACACAACCCGGGGATTCCTGCTGCAATGGAACAGCTTCGTGACGCCAGCCATTACATCAAGGTCATAAGTCAGACGATTCATCGCATCCAGTCTGCTTCCCACACGGAATCAAGACATTCAGTCAGCGACAATGTTGAGGAATGCCCGCAATGCACCCACGCCCTCTAGCACATCGATTGGCTTCTTGAGAAGTACATATATGGCACAGGAGGTCCTGGCTGTCTGTTTTGCCTTCGCTCTCTAAGCATGGCCGCTTTCGAGTCCTACTGGAAAGACACCACTTTCAACTAATATTGGCTCAGAGATTCGCAGTACAAAGCAGGGAAGAAGCAAAGAGACCACAACTCTTCAGCCCTGATCAGCCTTTATAGCTGAGGCTTCGCAGACTGATCCTACCAATCACATGATTCGCCGTCTATATCCTCCACGCTAACCGGGCCCCGACCTCTACCAACCAACCCTGACTTGTCTGCATGATCCACCAACCTCCACAATCCGTACTTACATCCCGATAGGATCGTTCGACAACAAAAAGACCACAAGTCTTTAGCCCTAATCAGCCCTTATAGCTCAATGGTAGAGCGCGTCACTAGTACTGCAAAGTCATGACGAGGTTGCCGCAAAAAGAAATGCGGCCAGGGCGAATGCCCTTAGACGGAATCGAACCGGCAACCTCGTCATTACTAGTGACGCGCTCTACCATTGAGCTATAAGGGCCTGAAAGGCCTGAAGTCCTGTGTGTCCTGGAGACGAAGCCCCAGGACAATTGCCCTTAGACGGAATCGAACCCAGTTCCCCTTTCCCCCATATCACCCTTTTTTTTTCCGCCAAAGCCCCAACATTCATGTCACATATACATACTGAATCTTGAGAGAGGACAGCTACAGAGAGGGATTGTTAGTACGGACAAGCGGGGAGGTCCTGGTTAGGCCGCGGTTAGGATCTACACGAAATTCACGAATTCACAGCGAAATTACCCCGGAATGGCCCTTTGAATGCCTTAAAACTAGACCAGAGACTCGTTGAGCAAGTATCAAGGCAAGCCAAGAGGTCGGACGACATGCAGACATACAATATCATTAGAGATGTACAGAATTCAATTAAGAGCTATTACACAGAGGAAATGTCCCCTTACTATTATCTGGCTTCATACTTTCCACCCACGAGCTTTTTGCTGATGTCAACATCTACCCAATTTGACGTCGACGATACGGAATCATCGGCGAATGGGTCTACGCTCTCCTCTTTGTCCCTGCCCTTGCTAGAATCCAAGCGTGAGAGACTGATACCGCTCAGGAGCGGGTGTGCAGCAGAACTATGAACCTCCCATTTCGCCTCGATATGGCCCGGCTCTGGCACGGCGCCCTCGGAACCAACAAATCTACAAATTACCTTATGCCACTCCTGTGAAAGACTCAGATTCCCCAAGCGCCAGTAAACGAGTGACTTCTCTTTGAGATGGGTGCCGGTTGGCTTGGTTTGGCAGCCGGTAGCTCTGGCACCAGTATATGTTGCGATGAGGACAAGATTATTAAATAATACGGGTTCGGAGCTGTATGCTGGATTCAGGCAATACTCTACGACGAGAGCTAGTTTATCGCCTTGTGGCTTCCAAGCCGGTTTGATAAGGAGCGGACCTTGAGAGGCTAAATTCGTTTCGTCAACGTGTACTCTGTATGTGAATGCCGCTGCGGGCTTTGATGAAATAGATGCAAGGTCGACTGTGAACTCGTCTGACTTGTCATCTGAAACTGGGTGAAGGAATGTCCGATTTGGCCCAATGGCTTCTAGATTAGGAAAATTGTTGACTCGAATAGTCTCATGTGCTTTTACAAGTTAGCATCGAGTCTTTGACACGTGAATATCATATGCTTACTGGGTGGTGCTTCATCCTCAATGTCAACCTTATTATAGACAAGAGCGACCTCGCCGCTCACCTTTGCCGTTTGAATGGTTCCATTTTCGAATGTTGCACTCACTGTTTCAATGATTGAGGCATTAAGCCCGGGTTGATGCATATCAGCGTGTTTCGTTACAGCATTAGTCGTGAGCGAGTGGCCTGAGCGAATCGACGTCGTGTCGGATGCAATTGGCGCAGGCGCAGCATGTTCGCTTGTTGATAATGATGCCAGAGCTGCAGCCCTACCAGCTGCAATCCCTGGAGACGGCGGCAGCGGGTGGTCGTGCGTTGGGACATCCAACGAGTTGGGCACATAAATTGTATTTCGAACATCTCGTCGTCCTCTCACAGTTCCCAACTTGCGACTTGGGGTTACCGATTGAGCGTGTCTCAGGGTGTTGGCAACATTTGATAACGCTGCTTGTGCATCCGCATCTTGCTCTGGAATGGGATCTCGTCGAATATCAAGTTTGAATTGATGCTGTTCTGCCTCCATCGCTGCGTCATGTTGTGCTTGGGAAATGGGGTCGTTCATTGCTCCTCGCACAATGAAGCCCTCGGAATCTCTACTGTTCTGAGGGGAGGAACTCGAGCGGTGTGGTGGTGGGCCGGGAGGAGGATGAACGCCAGCTAAATTAGGAGATCCGAAAGTAGTAGTGCCATTGGAGGCATTCGAAGCTGCGGTGGTAGGTAGCACATCTGCAATGAGCCCTGACTGTGGATTTGCACCATCAGCACCGCCGTTGGCGGATGCGGGGCCTGTTGGAGATTCTGCAAGGGCAGATAGACGGTTATCATGAGGAGCGGGCGGCGACTCCCGCAAATTACCTGACGAGGCGCGAGGAGATGGATGTGGCGGTCCTTCCCTGCTGTGGGTGTTTCGACTAAAGTTTGTAAAGCCTTTAGGGGGCGAAGGTGTTAGGTTGAATCCGCCATGAATACTTTGTCGTCTCCGCGCAAGCATTGTACCAAACCGGCTCTTCAACTTAGATTCTAAGACACTAGTTAGCAGAAGCATCTAAAGGTGTGGGAACTGCATCAACGCAGTATAATGAGATACCAGAATCCTATGCTCTGGATGTGTCAGGGAGAAATCTTACCTCCAGAATTCTCACGCCGCGCAGAATTCTCACTTGATCTCATGCTCGCGCTGTCGGTATTGCTATGCACTGGAGGTGCTGGTGGTGCACGTGGAGTCGCAGTTTGCGATGTATTGCCCGCATCATGAGATGGCTGTCTTGTCCTCCGCTCTGTCGCTGGCTTCCTGGAATTGTTTGAATTGGACCAGGCTCGAATCTCTTGCGCTGTATCGACCTCTAACAAGGCACTTAGAGTTTCCTCAACTGTAACCCTGTTCCGCTCAATCTGGTCCGCCTCGTGTGTTTCGTATTGCGTGAGGACATCGCGAAGGTGGTTCAACCGAGTCTCGTCCAAGGCCTGAAGGGTTTCGAATACGAATGGCGCCTGCGAATCCCATTGTTGTTTGGCACTCTGGAGCTGTGAGGTAGCGGTCTCTACCTTCTGAGTGCTAGCCTTGCCACCCTTCCTGGTCAGTTTGTCGGACTTGTCTTGAGCAGAGTCCAATTCCCTAGCCATGGCCGCCAAATTGCCCTGGATTGTAGTCATCGCCTGCATCTCGCGATTGCTCCCCACGAAGTTCCGCAACGGCTGCTCGACATCTGCTTCTATCCCGTGCGACAGTGTCGCATGGGACTGTGCTATGGACTCGGTCGCGAAAATGATCTTCTTCCAGGCGGCATCGAAGACACTGGTTCACGGTCAGTTTGTAATCGCATAGGGTCAATCGAGAGACTGTACCCCAGTTCACCTCCGACCTCTTGCAGTGGTCTGCGTGCAAGCTTCTTCAGTCCCGCAACATATGCTTCCTCGACCTTCCGGCGCTCCTGTGGAGATGTAAATAACGGTTCGTTCACGCGCGCCGGTCGAGGGATCTATCCGTACCTGGAGCCAATCCGCTATCTCACTATTAACCTTTCCAATCCTCTTCACGCGCTCATTGAGTTTCGCAACAGCTCCGGCTGGGGGCAGACGTTCCTTGGTTTGGTGTCAGTCGACGCGCAGAGGCACAAAGATGGCTGGAGTACAGCGCTCTTACCAGCATAGCAGGATACTCCTGCCGTGATAATGCCTCCATGATCAGAGTAATTCCTGACGGTCACAGAGAAAAGTGAAGGGTGCGCGCATAGTAATACGGGATTATATGCAATACCGCGATGGGCTTTGTAGTAGTTAATGACATCGATTTTTGCTGCTGAGCTCATCACTCGAAATCTCCACGATTCGGCTCTCGCGGGAAACCCCTGCTAAGGATGCACGTCGCATTACTCGTGCGAACGTACCACCAACAAAATTATGCAGTGCAATAGCGACGCTTCGTTGCTCAATTCTAATAAGAGATCTCATCCTTTCCAGGCCCTTTTGCTCTGTGATTTATACTTCGATATTGAAGCCTTAGTCTCTTTCGACTTTCCTTCAACCGTCTTAGTCAATACCAAGTACGACGCTCCAAAGACAAGGAGACAGATAGAGGTGGACCGTGAGGTTACGCCTCGAAGGCTTGGGTATGGATCCATGAGTTGAAGAAATGGCTCCCGTGTCAGATTGGAGATCTTCTCTTAGAGCAGTGGATCGATATGCCAATATAGAAAAGCTGTAAGTAAAAGCCAAGCCAGGAGAGAGTAGTCTTGAAGCTGATCACCACCATGATCCAGGAAAAGAGCCATCGAAGCCAAAGGCTTGAGCTCTACTGGTACTGCCCACAAAGCCGCCTTTGCTGCTGAAACTGATGCCTACAATACCTCTGAGTCCAGAGTAAGTCGAGTCTCTTTCTCAGATATCTCATTTGTCACGTGATTATATATCCTCCTTTTGGTTGTCAGAATTTGAAGTCAGCGAACTCTCCTGGGCCAGGTAAAACACTCCAAGAGCTCAGTCTGTTTGTACTCATAACCACTTGCTTCATACATATTACAGAAAACTGGTAACTGCTTGTTACGTATCCATCCAGCGAGGCTTGATAGTTTCCGTTTATTTTTGCACCTCCTTATCTCATAACATGATAGCCAGCTGGAGCTTGCCACTTTCCTTGAATTGTCTCTCTCAAATATTTATGCAGAAGCTCATATGTGCGTTAGGAAGCTTACGATGCAGCTTGCAATGCGATCACGAGCCAAGAGCCGCCAACGGACGACTCCAGTTTCCTTCAGGATCCCGATGGTCCAGGAATTACAATAGGGCGGTTCCAGAACTGCCACCATATTGCGAGTGGTCTAGTTTCTGAGGTCTATAAATCTGAGGCTGTGGCATTGAAAGTGATCACCGAGACTCACAACGTCGAGCCCCACAACCCCGGGCGAGAAGTGAAGATACTCCAGCAGCTATCCCATGCGTCAATAATCAAGCTCTCAGAGACCTGCAGAGATCAAGATGGCAGACTCGTTATGGTCTTTCCATTTATGCCTCTCACACTTGCAAAGATCATCAGTTCAGGACCAGTCTCTCCTGATCTCACGCGGAGATGTTTCCACGACCTCTTCTCGGCTCTCGCATACCTTCACGGGGAAGGTATCATACATCGGGATGTTAAGCCATCCAATCTCCTGCTGGCTTCTCCCAATGGACCTGCATACCTCTCAGATTTCGGCACTGCCTGGCATCCTACTCTCTCGACCAACGAGCCAGCTCATCACAAGATTCTAGAGGTCGGCACAACGTGTTATCGCGCTCCTGAAACATTGTTTGGTAACAGATCATATGGTTCTGGTATTGATATGTGGGCTGCGGGTGTAATGCTTGCTGAGTGTGTCCAAACACCACCCAAAGCTCCCTTCGAATCGAGGGATACGTCAGAGGACGGAAATCAGCTGGGTTTGATCTTGAGTATCTTCAAGACTATAGGTACGCCGACAAAGGAGACGTGGCCCGAGGCTGTAAATTTCAGCACACCTCCCTTTGAGTGGTATCAAGAATTCCCAGGGCATTCGTGGGATGAACTATTGCCAAACGCGGACGAGGAGGCGAAAGATTTGATTAAGAAGTTAGTGCGCTATGAAAGTGGATCGAGGTTAACAGCTATCCAGGTATGGATCCCCCTTTTCTATTATATGGACTCTGGTAACCTTTGTGTAACTCTAGGCTTTAGAACATCCGTACCTGGCAGCAAAGGGATAAATTTAGATTCTAGATTTATGCAGGAATCGTCGTCATTCTTCTTGGAATACTATGACTTTTTCCAGCCATTTGACAGAAATTAGATCATCTGGATTACCATGATGGTTTTAATATTTGAAGTAACGGCTATGGGTGGCTAAGGTATCTGGATATCGTCAATGTTTGGTGTGATTCTAGTGATTCTGGAAATTGACGACCAGCTTCTCTCAACAACCACATCTGACATCCTTGGGAGGTGGTGAGTGCCAAATGCGTTTAGATGGGTAGTCCTTCTGGTAACGTCTTGATTCACTGACTCTAAGCTTTTACATTCCCATTCCCCTTTTGCTTTTGCTTATGAATTGACTGTGGACACTTCCTTGCATCAAAATTCCCGGTGCCCTGTTTTGCTTTCTCCTTCTTGGCCCGCCGGACTTTTCTTTAGTTTTTCCGTGGCTGGTATAAAGAGAGAGTAGCGCCTCTGCGATCATGTTCGCGTCCTCAAGCCGAGGCGTGGGCGTGGTATGTGGGGGTGCCACAAGTGATTTGTCCCATCATTCAAACTATTTCCTGCTTTACACGAGGGGAAGATGTTGGCTATTCTGTGGTGGAATTCTCTGGTAGGGGAGGGTCCTCGACCGTAGGAGATGAAACTGTGATGGGCGGTGGTGGCAATTCTGGCCAAGGCGGAGGTGTCATAAACCTTTTCGCCATGAGAGTACATGTGAAACGATCCGAGTGTGTTTCGGTACCACAATGCACCTTGACATAGGAGCCCGTCTCCTTGAATAGACTGGAAATAAGATAAGCTTGGGACCTGAACTCGAGGTATCTATTGAAGTCGTCCTTGTCTTGTTGGTGAAATATGAACCGCGCTGGCTGCTCGTTCTCATGAATATGATTCCAGATTTTTAATTCGAGGAGCTTTCCACGGGGGTTTTGGAAAATAGTGTCCAGCAATGCTTCGGTTTCTTGGAAGATGAGAATTTCGAGGGCATAACTGGATAGCTCATTGATTATTGAGAGAGTTGTGCTCTGCTCCGTGCGGTCCTCGCATAATCCGTCTGCTTCTCTTACGATTCCAACCGTCTGGCAGCAGAACAATGGGTTTCTTCGATCCATCACGAATTGCCACAGTTTTGTCGGTTAGTCGGCTGATCGACGACGCATCGAGAACGGAGAGTACGTCGGTGGTCAATTGCCGTCGTCGATGTTGGGTTGGCCTAAAAGAATATTTCGGAGCAAAGCAACATATGTTATTGTAACTGATGGAAGTGAAATACGTATTCTGCTTTCCAAGATCAAAAAGCGTTGAAGCCTCCAAGTATCTGGCAATGGAGGAATATACCTAAATGCTTCCAAAAGAGGGAAGTCGCGAATAGTCTTCTCGTGCCGACGACATTGCTACAGCAGCAACCTCGGAAGTCTCGTCTTTTCAAACTTTGATTCAAGGACCATGAAACTACTTCTTCGAAAGAGCAGCTCCTTGCCTGGTTGAGTGGTGATACGATGACGCTGGGAAGTATATCTCACCAGTTCGTTGTGTCTCGAGATGAACGAATACCAGGAAGTAGCACTTTTGAAGAACTCTATTTCTTCTTCTTCTTTGAGTTAAGGTTTTCCATCAGTAGACATGCTTAACGAAGAAGGTTTGGATCCCTCCCATATGCGTTTAGTCATTGCTTCCAAACAACATGATATCTTACAGGGCCAGCAATTATCACTTGGATTGTAGAGCTGTCATTAAAATACCACCAGTATATTCAGAGCAGTCGATCAGGAACATTATTAAGAGCAAATTAAGAGCCCTTGTGTGTACCATCTGCGACGTTACTCGTATCTTTCTGCTAACTCCAGCATTAGAAAATGGCCCAACCCCCAGAATCCTGGGGCACTCTAGTCTGCCATCCAAACTCCATCACTCCTCGCCCCGCAATTAACCAGCATCACATACCCGCAATGCGCCCAACCAGTATATCCTCCGGACCCAATGTCTCAACTTTCGCACAAGCGATCCAGAACCACCGAATCTTTCGGGGTGAATCTGGACAGTACCGAAGAATGTTTGAAAACACAGCATGTTTTATCAGGGTTGTGAGGATGACGCGGTCATGTATAGTGAGGACCTACATAGCACTGAGCGATGAGCCAAACGTGGGTTTTCTTGATTTTTCTGCAGAAGCACCTTGCAGAGACTTCTTCAAATACTGTTCTCTACTTGTCGAGTGTATGAGGCTTCGGTGTAGGGATTGTGGGATGGCTTTCCAATGTTATTTCTATCTCAGGAATAGAGGGCGGGATGCAATGGATGGGCGGGAGAAGGAAAGGGCTCGTGACAGAGATTGGGAGACCGGGAAAGAGGATTCGGATTCATCAAAAGCCTCAGAGAGTTCTGGCCAAATTGGAGCAGGGAGGACAAGAAGACTGTGTGGACTAGCCCGAAGGCTTACGAATTCCTGGTGTCGGGGCGTGCGGTGGTATAGGAGCTTGTCGTCGAATAGCGCATGATCTGGGATTTTGGGATAACGCAGAGGTACAGCATATGGGTTGGCATAACTTCATACAATGAGGTACTTCTTCTGGGCATACGGGGATATAACTCCCAGTATTCAATCATTGTATCAAAAGAGCGGTCGCTTCAAGAAACTAGACATTGCCCCTTATCACGAGTTAACTATCACGTGATGCTAATCAAAACCAACGTTCAGCATCCATCCCCATGACAAGCGCCAATGCGACGTGCAACAAAACTTCCCTCTCCTGACCCAGCCAGCCAGTATCATGTGATGCTAAGGTAATCTCACTGGCCCTCTCAAGACAACAAGCGCCGAGCGCCGATGCGACGTGCAACAAAATCCCCTACCTACCTACCTAGTGACACATGATGATGCTACCTAGGTAGGTAGGTAGGTAATCCAACCAACGCTCATCACCATACCTTAGTTACAGCAAATCGAGTGACTGAGATCATTATTAACATAACATAACATAGTCAAACTTCTAAAGCTAGAGAACCAGGAAATAGAGAAAGAAGCAATTTGTTTGTTTGCACCTGATATATCCCCCTCTTTGATTGCCAAGCCAGATCTACCTATCTACTTCTTTCTGTTGACAATGGAACCTTGCCTATCCCACCCTCACGATTATGGATTCACGCGAGAATCAAAGAGTTCATGGTAAGATATTGGAAAGTTATCGACTATCTGTTCCATTTTCTATCCCACCCACACCGCTTGCTATAAGATATGGGAAGCAGGCTGTACAAGGCAAGCAAAACCAAGCTTTGAAAGTCCGGATTCTTGGATTTGCTCTCGCTGAGGTCTTAATTCATCCCGCTAACGCCATTTCTAATGCTGTTTCCTCTCTTTTACTAATACTTCAGTATAGAGACGGACCAAATTTTCGGCTAGTGGCCGACCCTCCCCTTGAAATCCTTCAACAAGCTCCCAAAGAGCAGCTCCCATCCGTAGTGTCAACAAGTCAATGAATTGCGGGACAGCTTAGCATCTCCACCTCCCTCTCAGACTGAGTCATCAATCCCATCACGACATCAAGTCCCTTATCCCCAAATGTCCATCTGTCATGTTTCTTCGAGTACACCTTCTCAAAGAACCCCACCCTGTACATACTGATATGCTTTGTACAACAATAGCTCTGGTAGCTACCTGGACCACTGGGGTTAAACGGCAGCAGTTTCGGCGTCCGCATGAGCTCCGCAAACCAGCCTTCGCTCTCATCCTGCAAGAATAGATGAGTGAAGACCTCCTCGCCTCTCACGACTTTGTTAACTTTGATGATGTATGCCACATCGCCGAGGATGTCGAACGTGGGGTTTTCAACTCGCCACTCAAGCGTAAGATTATTGACATGGGCGATGAAGTCCTCGATGATGGGGCCGTGTGTTTCATCCAGTTCGAGGGGCATCATAGGAGAGGCCCGGAAGTGCTTTATGAGGTTTGGGCAGCAGAAAAGCCTGGATTGCTCTTCGGGAAACTCACTGCGGCTCTCGAGTTTGGGACGGTCTAATTCTTGGCAGGCTTCTTCGAGTTCAGAGTCACAGTCTCTAGATGATTCGTCCTCCTCCGGGGAAGGGGATTTGTAGTCGCGTGGAGGTGCTTTGATGGATGGTCCGGCCCTCTTCAGAGTGTGAACTGGTCTGCGTAGGATTGGCTTTGTTCTTCCTTCGGTATCTGGAGAAAGTATCTGCCTAACGAGCTCAGCTGTCGACTTCGAGATAGGGCTTGATGAGACGTCCATTTTGGATCAGGCTGCTGTGAAGGCAATTTCGGATTGTACTGTTCTTGATCGACTAGCTTTAGATCCGACTATTTTGGGTCCAGGCGGGTTTGGATCCTGGAGAAATATTCAGATTTAGTGAATTACAGAAAAGAGAATAAAAGTGTAACTAACTGTACCGATAGTCGCGTTGTGCTGGATCTTGGCCGCTTAAAGAGAGCTCGCAACCTCTGTTGTTCTAGATGACAACAGAAGGATTTCAAATCCTTTGTCGAAAGTCGAAAGTAAAGTGAACTCTTCAAGCCAAGCCCCGGCAAGGATGACGAACAGTTGAATAGGCTTCGGTGCTCTGTGGTTGTCAAGATGGGATCTGTGTTATTATATTTTGACCATCGTATTTCTGACACGTGCTCTCGATCAGATCAAATCCAGAGTAAGCAAACGGCAGAGGAATTCAAACTCGCCAAATTAATATATTGTATGGTCTCACTATTGAAAATAACACGCGACGAGAGAAAACAAGAGGGGGGGAATAAGAGGAGGCAACCAAGCCATCCTAAGAAACCGCGATGGGGAGATCTTTGAAGGTTCAAGCTGCCACTCAAACGTAACTTCTTCACAAGCCACATCAAACAACAATAATATAGGACTATGGAGAGTGCTAAGTGAAACCCACATCCCGAAACTCAAATGTCAGATAACATGATTGCAAGTGGGTTCCTTTCACTTAGAATGAAATGGGAATTCGGATAAGATGTTTATCCAATATCACAATTGCTCTTCTCCTACCGACTACCTCCCTATTTTTCTACCGTCTTGCCCCGTCGCTATTTTATATTTTTGGGATATTTGGAGCGGTGATAATTCGGTGACCCCAAGAACTTAAAAGAACCTCGTATAGAGGGCAGGAACGGGAGATAGCAGCCGAAACAAAGCATTTAATATAAAGTGAGTAGGTACCTGATGCAAGGAATCCGAGAGAAAAATCCAAGCTGCAATATTTGGTATAAACTCTTTAATACGTATTTGGAAGAACTTTTGGATGAGACTGATGGTCTCTCAAAAAGGGGTGGATTCGCAGTGTTATGTTATTCAAGATATGTCGTGGACTTGAGACACTCACCAATACACAAATCTCTTGTATAACACGCGATGCTACTTTCCAAAAAGACCAGGTTTTGCAATAATCCATTTTCGGCGTTCTCGTAGACTATTCATTTATAGTTATTCCACCTCGCGCCCAAATCATGCTGCAGCAGACTCCCTCGCTCTCCTTGAATAGTCCGTGCCATAATTGAACGGATTCCGACACAATGGACACGTACTTTGATTACTCGTTGCAAACCATTTGAACAAGCAGCTGGAGTGGAAAAGGTTCTTGCAAGTCTGGCATCGTTTGTCAGGCATCTTCTTGTCTGAGGATATGATCGAGTAGCAGATCGCGCATTCAGTTTGTCCTTTCAGAGCACCGATCACGTTCTTGCGGAAGATATTGAGACCGTCAGTTATAGAACCGTTCTGAAGAATTGTTAGCAGATGTGTGAAGTTTGAGGCTCGATATACGCACAGAGAACGTAATGACGCCCTGGGTGATCATCAACCAACTGATCCATTTCTTCTCAGAGACTGCGACACGGTTGACACCCTCGACCTTGACGCCTTCGAGAGGATAATTTTCCGGCAGCCGAATGACAATCTGCATAAGCATTTCGTCAACTTCGTATCCGGCAAACACCTCTCGTGACCTCTTGGATATTTTCACAATGAGCTCTTTCTCATATTCCGTTGTATCCTGTTCTCCTGCCCACTTTGTGACTTCATCTAATGTCTCTTCGATGACGAGAGGAGAGAAATTATTTCTCGTTGCCGCCTCAACAGCAAGTCTTGTCTGCTTTGATTTGCAGTCGACCCACCAGCTCTTTGCAAAACTTGGTGTATATTTCAGACAAAGATAGTAGAGATTGACTAGAAGCCAGTCTAAACTGCGTTCATTTGACTCGGAATCATTCGCTTGCCACATATCATAAGATCGGATCATCGACGCATCAAAGCCGGAGATAGTACGAGGATCACCGGCGTAGATAAGGGTGTCGAAGATAAAGTCCAAGAGCGGTCCGACATAGTTTTCTGATTTGAGAAGATCGCTGTAGTCGTTACGAACTTTGTAGGAGGCGTTGCTATAAGAATCGTAGACGAGATGCCAGGAGAGCAAGTATCCCCGAACGGAGGTAGGGAACTCCACACGGAAATCATCCGAGAGGTCACGCACGGACGGTGCATCAAGGAGGAGCGAAAGAAGTTCTTCCGGAAGTCGAGCATCTGTGGAGTTTTAGCTATTGATACTTTTGAGATTTGTACCCTTAACCTACCCTTCTTTTCCAGAAGAACATCAACGGAAATTTGTTGCTGGGCTTCGGGGAGGGCTCGATGAAGAAGATCAAAGGCAGCTGATTGCACCATCCGGTAGTCAGACGCAACGAGAGGATAAAGGTCTGTCAAATTGTCCTTGATATGATCTAAGGGGATTCTCCTTACTTCTCTTGCCAGAAGATCATCTGCATAGATAAGGGGAAGATTTTCCTTCGACCTGCCGAGTTTCAGAAGATTGATCAGGCCCTGAGAAATCTGGTAGCTAAGCTGTCTCAGGGAATCTTCCAGGTCATCATTGGCTTCTTCCAAGGTCCGCAAGATTGTATAGAGCTTCAATGACATTCCGACCATAGGAAGGTTTTCGTTAGAAAGAGCAGCGGAATCACTTGAATCCCAAATAGATATGCAGAAACCAAGAGCCGTTTCCCAATAGGTACCGTAGACATCCTTAATTGCGGGAAGAAGCCTATGCAAAGCATGTAATGCTTCAGACAGGAGAAAACTGTTGGCGGATAGGGTGTCAGTCCAAGATAGGACTTGCTTGACAGCAAAGACGAGGCGATTTTGAGCCACGGGCAGATCACCCTCATCGTAGACTGATAGGCTAGCATTTAGAAGTACGAGCAAGCCGAGTGTCTTTTCTGACTGAGCAGAGGCGCCGGCAATATCGCTAATGAGTCGATTGCACATATTGTTCGCAATCTTGCTCGTGCCAAGGTTTTCTTGAAGTCCAGTCAGAAGGGCTACGGCCCCTAAAATGTTTCTCGTGGATGCCTTCAGGATATCTAGCTTCTGGAGCCACGAATCGCCTTCAGTGTTATGCCAACCATGTGTATTGACTAGTTTTTGTAAAAGGTCGCTAAGAGCTCGAGCCGCATAAAAAGAGGCTGGTGTATCCCCGTTGGAAGCTTCAAGGAGCTTGAAGACCAACGCGCCCGCCGTGCCAGAATTATTCAGAGGCTCGTTACTCATTCTCCTATCGAAGTCGTCTTGCCATGATTTAGCGTTGGGAATGATGTGGGCTAAGGATGATTTGGAGGCAAAGACAAACTCCTTTAGCTCTGCCATAACATCAGGATCTGCTGCCGACGCGAACAATTTGTTCTCTTCGCCCAAATCCAATTGATCATTGACAAGTTGCGCAGTGAGATCTAGAAGATATAGGATATCTACTAGCACACTCGGCGGCAGCAGCTCGGGGAACTCCCCAATCAAGCGTGCTGTGTACATTGCCATCCTGAGTGGGATTGAGTATCCATTAAAATCTCTAGAAGGCCGAGAAATGGGAACGGAGGGTGTAGAGCGAACAAGGAATACGGCCCCGGCAAAAGGTCGCATGACTCCCAACGCTGGGTTTGGAATTTGGTTCAAAACTGGTGTGAGGGTTCGCATCCATGTGACGGTATCCGGGAAAAGAGCTTCGGCATTAAGAGTATCTGCCGAAGCTTTTAAGATAGACACTGCTTGTTGGACGATGGTTTCGATGCTAGAGAAGCGTTAGTAAGGAATAGCACATCTGGAGTTAGTGCTGGTGAGTACTTACGCCAAAGACTGGGGACCAGCTGTCTCAAGATTCTCGCGAATGACATGAATCATTGGTGACTCTGTTCGGCCATCCAGAGTACTCGAAGCTTTATCAGAGTTCTCCATAGCAGTTCTCAGTTTACTTGCTCGTTCGGAAATTGTGGAATCTGAAATCTCCATGAGAGCAAGCAATTTGGTTATCACCGTCACGTGTGTGCTACTACTCTGCCTCAGTACGCTTGGTTTCTTCGTGGTAATAAATTCGAGTGCTTTGAAAACGCCATCAACATTCGCATCACTCGCATCGAGAGATTCCAGAACTTGATTCAGAAGCTTTGTTTCAGTGGGCTCATCCAAGCCATCAAAAGTGATAGCAGCTTCAAATAAGGGCCAAGCCTCGATATCTCCTTCCACAGCTCTAGTTGTGGCATCCAAAAACAAATCTTGAAGTGCAGGATATCCTTGGGTGAGACTAGAAACTGCGTTATTTGATATGAGTGCTGAAATTGCTTTCGACTTTTGCCCTCCATCGGGGAGTGAAAGTAATTCATCAATGGTCAACTGCCAAACCTTCTGAAAAACTGCTTCCTGGCTCGGTATTGAACGAAACAGGTTCAGAATAGAGACCAGATATGTCGACGAAGGGGATGTGATCAACTCTGGAAGATGGTTCTCGATAAATGATCTAACGCTCTCCAAGCACTCGGGTGAGATCTCCATCAGGGTAGGTGTGAGTCGTAAGGCGGCTTCAACAGTTGCAGTAGCTGAGTAGGGTTTCCCATTTCTGCTAACTACCGTTTCAAGAGCAGTCGTTATTATCTTGGTTGATGGACGAATCAGGAAGTCATCCTCAGGTCGACCACCTTGGAGAACCTCCGAGAGCAGTTTGAACCATCGGTGGCCTTCTGCAGCGACCGCAGTCTGAGACTTGTGATAGTCTCCTGACTGTTCGGGCAGCGACGTCCGAATTCTTGCGATGAAATCATCAGCCAAACGGTGCCACTCGTCGGAAAATGACCTCCGTAACTCTGCCCCTTTTGCAGCAGCGCAAATGCGATATGCCTTTGCTAATGGAGCAGTGCTATTACCAACAGACCATTTGGAATTTTCCGTGACTGGATGGAGATATTGCTCAAAGACCGGAAAGACAGATTCCTGAAAGAGCTTGCTTTGAATTGAAGGATCAGAGATGTTTCTGACGAGAAGTGTGACAGTTTCAAAATAGCTAGACCATGCTTCCGCGGCGTTGCTCCTCGGCTCTTCCCTGTTGCTAACGCCCTGACGAAAAGCATGAAGAAAATCCAACGAGGATTCGATATCTGTAGGAAGCACTCCACTTGGCAAAAGCTGAAGCAATGATCGAAGAGACTGCCAATAAGCAGAAGGTCCCCCTTGAGAGCCTTTCTCGACAAAGTTGCGGAGTCTAGTCAAAGGCGACTTCTTTCCTTTGTACGAGGAGGTCCAGGCAAGAGGAAACTGTGATGTCAGCTTTGCTAAAGCCTGTAGGAGCTGGAAAGCCGATGATGACTGCGAAGACCGCAATGCTTCTGCGATAAAAGCATTGCTAATCAATTCGAGATCGCTCTCGATGATTTCGCGCTGCTTGTCCAAGCAAACAATCAATAATTGATCTGTAACCCTCCTAACAAATGCATCTTCGCTGGACGCAAGCGCCCAAAGCCTTTTATTCTTAGAAATAAAAGCCTCGTACTTATCCTGATGCTTGAGTATGTCATCTCTGCCAAGCTTGGCTAGCAGATTGACCACGAGGGATATGCTTGATCCAACAACTCGGAAATATTTTGCTTGTACATCATCAGCATTCATGGTCCGCTCATCGCTAAGGGTTTGAGGAGTTTCATCGATAGCCTCCTGGGCATAATCGATGATCTGGACCTGGCAGCGTTTCCAGAACATGGCAATCTTCTCGTCCGTGTCGAGAAACGAGGTTATGCCATCCATTGCTGCTTTGGCTACAGCTCTATCTCTGTCATAGGTCCCAGCCAACCAGCTTCCCACTACCTTTGATATGTACTTCTCCATTCTCTTCCGCGCCGACTTGAGAAGCTCATATTGTAAGTTGTGAGACAGTTCACGGACCCGACGGGAGTTATCTATAGCAAGGCGAGGGTAGAATTTGACCTGGTATTCGTATTACTATTGGAGTACAAATAAACAATATGGGCTGGGCATAGGAGACGCACCCATGCTTCCAAGATCGACTCTTCAGCCCCACCTCCCTCCTCGTGCGGGTGTGCTTGAACGTATGCTAGTAGATCCTCTAACGCCTTAGATTTTGTTGTGCCGTCCTTCTTCAGGAGGTTCTTGAAGCACACAATGACGTTTGCATCACTGATGGAAGAGAGGTTGGGTGGCTCAAAGAGGTATGACAGTGTGCTGCCGGTACTTGAAGAGCCAAACCCTCCAAACCCTCCAAACCCTGCGCCTGGTGCTGCTGCGCGGCTGCTAGAAGCGTGCGCTTTGAACTGTCGTTTGCTCATTATGAAGTAGCTATCTTGTCGGCGTACAGGTGTGATATGGCATATGTCCTTGGCCGAGGGGTATGCGGGGTAGAGAGTGTGTGGTTGAAGCTGCCTCCAGAGGCATTCGTTTGTGATCTCTCGGATCCAAAGCTAGTCAATCATTCGAACGAGAAGCCAGTCAATAGGGTTCTCTGTTCGTATATTTCCAATAAGGCGTAGAGAAGCTGAAGTGACGGTGGATTAGCAAAAGCAGATATGTTGCAGACGGAATGGAGGAGATTTGGTGCCTTACTGTGCTGTGCCTGGACTGATTTCATCGAATATTTCCATACCTTAGGTACCTTACTAAGGCAGCTACTGTAGGTACTGTTTCCCTGCAAAAGGGATCGCTCGCTTCGAGGCTGATTATGACGAAACCTGCCTAACCCAAACAGTCATAGCCGCAGACCTGGCCGCTTTACGGGATGGCGCACGCCGCTTTGCCCTTATCCGGGTCATTACGGGGAAGAACCCCGCATTCGAGTAGGCTGATGATTGAATCATGAGATATGAGGGCGGGGATCTGCTCTTCCACAGCTCCGTCTTTCTTTCTTACTTTCTTACCTACACAAATATCAAGCCGTGATGCTACAGACACTACAGACACTACTTTGGGGTGCAATATCAGATTTGTTATGATACACTTTGCAAAGTATCTGCCGTGATACTTGATCCCGGAATCGTGAAGTCCTGAGTCCTTATCTGCGAAGAGCCCGGTGCCCCCCGCAAGTTCCGCATCCTCCAACGAACAACCCCATACCCTTCGGATCTCAAAGCAAGGTTTCGACACGTGCAAACCATTCCTTTAGATCTTTCCAACCCACTGTCTCTATTGTGAAAGAAAATTGCACACCGTGAGTCCTAGAATGCACCTCATCTCCTCACCCTTCTCTCGCTGACCTAGTCAGTTCATCCACACCTTCTACAGCACTACCTCCCCAGACACCCCGTTTCTTCCAGAGATTGAGCAAACTGAGAGATCCTCGGCTATTCTCTTTCACTGTGTGATCATCCGAGTCAATCCTACCGTAGGTTGCTGTGGACTCCATTGATCCAGTTGCGCCTCGAGCTAACATAAGCAATACAGACCACGAGAGCACGCGACCACGAGTATGAGACGACGGAGATAACTGTAAAGATGCTTTCCTCGCAGGTTGTATCGGCCTCACAGGCCCCGATATCACCTCTACTTCTCCAACCCTCCTCGACCGCGGTCCTTAGATCTAGAGCAGGATCGCGCCCTCAACGTCAGATCCGGTTTAGGCTTTGGTCTTCATATCAGAACTCAGGTTACCAGAAGGAGTTTCATCGCCGTAGTCGATCTATGAAGCACAAATACACCGATGCTCTCAACCGAAAGCCTTCATATGATTGTCAATCTCCAACACTTGCGAGACAATTTGCCCTCAAGGGGTTTATGTACAACACCTGGCGTGGACAGGACCCGAGAGCAACAAGTCGCTGGGTGGACATTGATGAGCTGAACAACTCGAAGAACGAGAAACAAAAGAGACAGGATGAAGGATTCGAAGATGTCGAGACGAGTGCTTTTGATACCCTCTTGAACAGCAAAGATGGCCTGTATGACCTGTTTCAAGCTAGATCGAGACTCTTTCGCGGAGGATCAGGCTGTTACAGATTTGTTCCAGATCAAGACTGGAAGGCTTCGACTCCAATCTCTTCAAATGACATCCAGAACGACAAGCCGTCACCTCAGAGAACAGATAACCAGAAAGATCTTCGCGATTTTCAAAGCCAGCACAGTGCCAGCCCCGAGCCTGAGTACGAGATTGACCCAATCACAAACAGAAAGGTCTTCACGAACAAATCTTCCGAACATGACCAGAATACATTTGAGGTACCAGTGAAGACATTCAAAGGGTACCGGTCTCAGTTCCAAGAATTCAAACCACCAACGCCTGCGGACTCTCAATCAGAAGTCAAGAGCCCGGAGCAAGTCTTACCCAATCAGAAGCAAGACAGTGCATCAGTCAAACCAAACTCCATAGATGAGAGCTTGAAGGAATATGAGACTGATGAATCTTACAAGCCTTACTTTGCCTATGAGCCTGATGGAAAGAAACCCGATCCAGTGCGGGAAGGGCTGAAGGATTATGAGACTAAGGAATCTTACAAACCTTACTTTGCCTATGAACCTGACGGAAAGATACCTGATCCAGTGCGGGAAGGGCTGAAGGAGTATGAAACTAATGAATCTTACAAACCTTACTTTGCCTATGAGCCTGATGGAAAGAGACCTGATCCAGTGCAGGAAGGACTCAGGGACTATGATTCTCGGGTTTCGTATGAATCTTTTCCATGGGGTGTTCCAGATAAGGAGGTCTCTCAGGATTCTGTTCGTTCTGATCCTGTTCAAGAAGGCCTAAGGGATTATGACAGCAAGACTTACTACGGTCCAGTCATGTACAATGAGCCCGACGGCAAGAGTCTCCAGGAACATGCTTCTATTCAGGAGAGTTCGAAGCTTCCTAGAATAGAAGATGCCCGCCTTAATCAAAGAATTTCTTCACCCTACAAAGTATTGCGCCGCCAGGATGATGCCGATACAAGGGAGGATTTGGACTTACTTCGACCTAGCGATGTTCGTGCGGCATCAGGCATTATCAAGGGTAGCAAGAAGGAGACCGAGGCAGAAAAGATAGCCAAGAGAAAAGAACTAGAAGCCGATTTCCAGAAGCATGCTGTTGAAGATAGTGAGCTGCAAAGTATTGCCTCGCAGATCAAGGGTCGAGTTAATTCCAAGCCTGCGGAGGTCTCATCCGACTTGCCTGCAACAGAACGAAAAATGACTGGCAATTTTGTTCGGGACTTTCCTGAAGAGTTCGAGAAAAAGTGGACTGCCGAAAATAATCATTCCGGGATCTTAACACCGAAGCCGCAAACCGACGCTTGGGGTTACGATAAGACTCCAAAGGGTCTCGAGTTATCGTATGAGCAAGAGGTGCAGAAGTCTGAACAGGAATTTATCAATGGCCTTGCACCGACGGAACGTTATGCTAGAAGACCTGACATCCCAAGAATACAGACTTCCTTGGATCGCAGTGGCACCCAGGAAGAGGACGGCAAGAGAGAATCCAAGGCGACAGCAATGGACTCTATTAATCCCATAGAAGAGGCGCAAAAACTTCGAGCAAAATACGCGAATATAAAGCTTCAAAATGAACTTGACCCATATTCGAAGGAACCCCAGGGCTTGGAAACAAACTATGAGGAAGAGCTGAAGCTCAAAAATGAGGCTGACCCATATTCCAAGAAACCTCAGGGCTTAGAAACCAGTTATGCCGAAGAGCGGAAGCGCGAACGGCAGCTCGAAATTGAGGCCGACCCCTATTCGAAGAAACCTCAGGGCTTGGAAACCAGTTATGAAGAAGAGCGAAAGCTCGAACTTGAGGCCGACCCTTATTCAAAGAAACCCCAAGGCTTAGAAACCAGCTATGCCGAGGAGCGGAAGCTCGAAATTGAGGCTGACCCTTATTCAAAGAAACCACAGGGCTTGGAGACCAGTTACGAAGAAGAGCGGAAGCGCGAACAGAAACTCGCAATCGAGGCAGACCCTTATTCGAAGAAACCACAGGGCTTGGAAACAAACTATGAGGAAGAGCTGAAGCTCAAGAACGAGGCTGACCCATATTCTAAGAAACCTCAGGGCTTAGAAACCAGCTATGACGAAGAGCGGAAGCTCGAACAGAAGCTTGCAATCGAGGCCGACCCTTATTCGAAGGAACCCCAAGGCTTGGAAACCAGCTATGCCGAAGAGCAGAAGCTCGAAATTGAGGCTGACCCATATTCCAAGAAGCCACAGGGCCTGGAGACTAGTTATGCTGAAGAATGTGCTGCGAAGCAAGGCGAAGGAGACTTGTCAGTCTTCGTATCGTCCTATGGATCTCCTAAACGCGACGAAGATTCCTCAAAGAAAAGAGATACCGTGTCAGAAAATGAGTCCAGACGTCTGGACAACCAGAAGAAAAATGTCTTGAAGCAGAAGGACCGAGATTTGGTGCGCCAGATCCGAAGTGTTTACGAAGAGAAATATGGCACCATCGACCACAAGCATCGCCAGGTTCCCGAGGAGCCCAAAACATCGCAATATTTAGACGGTGAAAGTGCGCAAGTCGTGGAGTCCACTTCAGAAGCTCCAGAACCCACTTTATACAAGATCCTCGCCTATGATCCGACCATGCAGTCCATCAGCACAGCTGAAACGACCTCCATTGTTCCGGACACTGCTTCAGCCCTTACGCCCGCAGAAGTCCTCCTTCGATTGTCGAATCCCTCCAAGTTCTTTCCCCATTTTGAGCCACTTCAAGCCCAAGGCTATGAAATTGTATCTGGTAGTGGTGATGTACTCGTGTTCCGCAAAGTTCGATCGGCTGGACCCGCAGAGGTAAAGGAGGAGCCATCGCCATCATCTAGAGATCGGATGAAGAAGGCCACGAATCCTATCGATGGCACGCAGAGCGGTCCCATTGCAACGACTGGAAACTTTGCTAGTCCTACTGGTTTCGTCAATCATGATCCTCCCTATGGCTCTAATCCTGCTTTCAAGTCCAATGTCGATGTCCGTCGTGAAGAGGATGTCTTCAGTGGCAAATCCAACTGGTCGAGAGGCACCGAGCGTCCCCAACAACGCAAGAAGATGAGTCTCGCTAAGAGAATGCTACTGGGCGCCGTTTGGGTTGGAGGACTATCATACACCCTCGGGGTCGTCAGCGAGTACTTCAAGACCGGCGGGATTGACGGCCTTGGACCTCAGGGTTTCTAGATAGGCGGGAATGTTATATGCGCGAAAGAAAGATAATACGAAAGTCATGTTAGCAGAGGCGTTTTACATGGAAAGGGTGTTGAAGGAGCACCGAATTCTCTCAAGATTGACAAATGGATAATTATACGGGGGGAGTGATGGCGCGCATGGCGGCGAATTGAAATTGCTGGTTTGTTTCTCCTGTCGGACTTTTCTCGTTGTCTTCTTCTCCCCCTTGCGTACATTAAATAGGTAGATCGATGATAGATCAATACAACTCCTATTCTGAGATTGTTGCTTCTTGGTGTGGTGAATACTCCTGTTAAAGCTAGCACGAGAAAAAGAAGTTCTGGAGCATGTTTCTTTACGACGAGATGATATCACAGCTTCCCGCCCTTATCATCGAACGTAAACAAATTTCTCCCATCCTCAGCCGTCCTAACCCATCCCGCTCTCCCAATCTGTTCCTTGACACCACTCGACAGCTGCAAGAGAGTATTCTGATCTGCATGATTCGCAAGGAAGCGATGACCATTTTCCTTCAATCGACCCACGATATATCCTCTCAACGGTGAGCCATCGCGATGGAATTCCACTGTGTATGTCTTTGGATTGGCTCTTTGCATCAGCTAACCTTTCTCTCTTTCTTTATTTTCTATACTGGAAATATGAATGAAGGGAGGGAGGGGAAAAATGAGAACGTACACACCTCGATAATAGCCTCGCCGTGAGCTTGCGCTTCTATGGGCGGCACTTGCCAATCGGTCGTGAGAGCGGGAAGAGGGTTTTTCGCAGGGTATGGAGAGTGGTGGTTGCGGGGCTTGGAGGAGAGACAGATTACATGCTGGTGTGTCACGACGCCGCCGTTTGCTAATATTAACCCGTGAAGAGCCGGTCCTTTTCGGAGCTTGCGAACCATCTCTGTGATAGCCTGGAGGAGTCAAGTCAGGATCGATCTTCTTGACTTGTTGAATGGTCGTTAGGAAAGAGGGGCCACTACTACTACTACTCACGTGCATCGAATAGTTGTTGCCAGCGCCGCCAAAAGATGTCAGTCCTCCCAAGAGAGTGATTGGTTTTGGAGGATTTGTAATTGATAGACCTAGATGATGGCATGCTAGTTTGGGAATGATTGGGAAGCAACTATAATGTGATATATGTCAATAGGGATTTAAAAAATTGGGGAAAGGAGCACTGACGAGTAAAAGTCAAAGATATCAATGTCATCTTTTGTTAGGCCAGATATCTCTAACCCTGCATCTAACGATCTCGAGAGCGCGGGGCTCGAGTAAAAGTTTGGACGTTCCCAAACTTCAGCTCAAGTGGGTTAGCCGTGAATATGACAAGCCAGAGAGTGGTCTTGGTAGTGTTGGTAGATGCATACAGTACTCGCTATCATCTGTCCCTGCCCCTCCTAAAGGATAAATCCAACGGTTTTCAGGAATACCGAGCTCTCTCGCATACTCGGTGGAAGTTAGAAGACAAGTTCCAGCAAGGTTAACATTATTGAATGCATTCATCAAAAGTGGATCTGCATGGCTATTAGTCCTTCATGCAATAGTTCTTTCTTGGTGCAACTTACATGGGTAACATATCATTCTGTTCTTCTTCGATACGGTTTGGATAGTCTCCTCTGTTGCAGCAAGTTGCCCATAGTTCCAAGCCAGAGGATTCTGTTCGGCCACCTTGGCAAAATTGGCATATAATCGAGCAGACTCCTTATCATTTTCTTGGAGGGTTTGATTGCGGTGGGCTCTAAATGCGTTTTCATAGAGAGGGTAGACGTGAATTGGTAATCCAACGGAGTGAGTAGTGCCTAGATCTGTTATAGGAGTAATTGGTAAGTGTATTTTGAGCTTTCAATCATATCAAAAGAACATACTCCTTCGTCCTTGCCCTGTTATATCCGAAAGTGAGAGAGCTCTGCCGCTCTCGCTCGTCTTTGTCCATCCAGGAGGAGGAAGTTTCCCAGCAGCCGCACAAGCCCCGACTAATAAAACAATTCAACTCTCAGAGTTTGCTCGCATGAAACATAATGCGGTAATACGTACGTGAAGCTAGGGCTTCGCCGCCTGTCACAACCGCCACTTTGCTCTCCCCAAGGGAGATCCTTCTAGCAGCCTCGTCAAACAACTTTGCAGGAGAACTACCTGCATGTATACTCAAGACCTTATGAGAGGGTGTTATACCCAACTTCTCGCTGAGAAGGCCCGGCAAATCATCGTAGCTCCATGTCCATGTGTTCACTACACTCACGCTATCAATGCTTGACTGTAGCTTTTTTGCAGTGGATAAGGATAAGCCAGTATCTTTGATGGCAACTGAAGTTGCTTGGAGCATGAGTTGTAAAGGCTCGATTGCATCTTCAACCTTTGAAGATTTGTTTTTGATATCGCCCACACCGACAACCACAGGGATGAATCTTCCACCTGCCATTTCTCTAATGCCACTCGGACAAAGAAATATCAGAAAATGGTTATGTACACTATTACCCAGAACAGGATTTTTAAGGTGGCCGACTAGAACAGTATTGGTGCCGTGTCTCCTGGATGTATGCAGCTAGCACAGATCAATTCAATCCAGCAGGAGAAGCACTGTGATTCTCCAAGGATGTAAGCGTATCCAACAAGTAAAGGAAAGGGGGTACAAGGCAATAGACGAAGAATTTATCAAAAGGTAAGCATAACCGACGAGAAAATCCGAGGTAAACTCGAGTCTACCAGCGGTCAATGATCGATCACTCTCCACCTTTCTCCACAACGCTTAGCCTCGGCCCCGCGTTTGAAGGAACGTAGGCACGTGATTATATTCACATGCACGCACCGTATTGAGCAGAGTTAACAAGACGAAGGGAAAGATGCTAGGGATGATGTCAACTAATATACATATTCTTCTGATCACTTGTCAAGAGTCTGGTTGGGGGACGAGGAGAGAAGCTGTCAAGAACGTGGAAATCAGTATTTTAATCAGTGAAGCTTTCCCCGCATTTTCACAGGTATGTAGGTAAAGAGTAGCTATCCGAAGCAGAAGAGCTTGATCAATCTCATTGTCGTACATTACAAAGAACATTCCAGAGGGCCCTCATTCGCCCCCTGGAACGCATTGCGAGCTAACACAGGGACTGAAGCATGTCAGTTCCATTGTCTCCGAACCGCATGCGCAAGACTCGATCTGATCCTAGGACTAGAACGGACCAACGAACGACGTCCTTTCAGGGCCCCAGGAAATTCGACAATCAATACCAAATTTGCGAATCAGGTTCTTACGTCCGAACCCACTTTATATTCTGATATGAGATATCTTTGGCAGATATTGCACTCCTGATTGTGGCGGACTTTGCATCATATCTACTCTCCACGACTACCGAAGTCCATGCAGACCGGTGACGCCTGAATCCAGACTGTCCTTCTGCAAGAGTTGAAGGAGGCAATACCCGGCATAGAGTTGTGTAACCTGAAACAAGTGACATAACTGGGAATAAGCCTGAGATGATGACAAGACCCGAACAAGTGAGAAGGCCTAGTAACGGGACGAGGTCAGAACAGTTAATCTACCATGCAACAAGTGATGCAAGATAATAGATTGTGCGAGGGTGATAATTACCAGCGTGTACAAATACTCCGTAAAGAAAGTAATCCTAATCCGAATGCCATCGTAAAGCCTTGCAGCTCATTCTTCCCATTCCGTGCGTATACTCATCATGCCAGAAACCAACCTACCAAACCCTCAAAAAGCCTACCGTTTTTATTTATACCCTAATACACCATGCATTATGTCAATCCATCAATACCTCGATTGTCAGAGTTTTAACCCTTCCTCGATCTACCCTCAGTAAATCCAGCGCCTTCCCCCGAATCCAACTCACCAATATAAACCTGCCTCTTTAGATCCTGTTGATTCCAGCTCTGTCGGCGTTGGAAACTTGGCTGCCAGCTTTCTGTCGGACTCTGTAATGACTCGCCCTGCGAGTTCTTCCTGCCGTCGGGGATCTGGACCGCAGGAGCGTTTGGCCTAGCGGTGGAATAGCTAGAGGCTGCTTGTTGGGCATCTCCGCGGTTTTGGGAAGCAGTGCGAAAAGGCATGTCCGGGTGGTCTGGAGCTTCGGAGGAGAATGGCGTGACTTTTGGTCCCGTACTTCTTGCTTCCATGTTGTTGGTCTATCTGCTTTGATTTCAAAGTTTTAATTTTGTTTTCGCTGTAGAAGCAAACCAATCAGTATAATCTCTATAGATCAGAGGTAATAGCTGGGTAGTTATTCATTCAAACTCACCTTAAGTGTACGTCGTCTCCGTTGCCATCCACAAGCTTCGCGCCAGAGACGAGCTTTTCAGTTATGAATCTTGTTCTATACTAGCGGCTGGTATATTATAAAGTTGATGATTCTCTGTGAATCATAAGAACCTTCCAATCAAGACGGGATAAATGCGAGCAGGCTGCAGTGGATGTGTTGGGACAGAAATGCAGAAGAAATAAGTGGCAAAGGAAGCATCAAGTTACAAATGGCGAGAGTATTATATAGCTGTGGTCCTACTAACGTTTAGTGCGGGGGAGGTGTGGCTTGAAAGGCGGGGCGGGGTCCCGCCATTGTCAACCAACCCGCCTCTCCGCGATTGCCGCCCAACGTCTTCAAGAAAAGCATTTCAGTTGCAATGCCCGATGCACTGCCCGACGTGTGGAGCTTTCTTTTACTTGTAATGAATGAGGACATTATTTGACACGTTTTATTCTGACTACCGTACAACGCCTTTTCCTACAAAGGTATAGCTAGAGCTCCTCATTCTCAATCCAACCATGCCAACCATGGTGGCTTGAGAATGAAGATAACGAAATCAGAGACGCCTTTCGCCATATGCTTCCGGGTATGACTATGGACAAATAAGGAGCATGCTACTATAACCATATGCTAAAGCTTCTTCTACAAAATCCAACGAGGTATGTACCAAGCCAACCACTTTCCTCATGGTGTTTTCGGTCTCTTCCAATAGTATTGCTTTCTCAGGTCAGAATGGGAAATACACAAGGGACGGATAATCTTACCTTATGTTGTTTCCTGCAATTTCTCAAACTCGGTTTCCGCAATCCATCCACAACAGTTGCTCTTCGCTGAACGTCTGTGTCTTCGTCGGGAATATAATAGTATTCGCTTTCGAGTGGCTTTCCTGCTGCGTCCTTTCCTTCGCGGTGTATCTCTCCAATGCATGGTGTAGCGTTCAATATCTTCCGCAGATCATCTTTTGTCAGGCCCCTATTCTCTGATTGGGTGGCACTGGCTCCTTTCAGTTCTGCCGGCAGGTTGTTCATAATTATTGAGAGTGGAGTGGATGAGAGTCGTGAGAAGGCGAGTTGATTGACAGCATGGTTGGCGACCGGGCCAGGATCGGCCTTGTTTGTGGATTCCGAGCTGGATCTCTTTGCTGGAGAGGGTGTGGAATCACGTCTCGTACGACCACGGCGCGCTTCTGGGGATGCAGCGGTAGTGAAAGATGCCATTCGAGAGGATATGTTGGCGCCGAACGGTCCGAAAGAATGCACAATAGGATCATTTTCTTCATCTGGATCTTCTACTTCCTCGGGATCGCTCAGTTCACTGGACTGGCTATCAATAGGATCAGCTGAGAACGACGATGCAGGCTGAGTCGAGATTTGCGAAACTCCTGCTGCGATATCATGGCTATTTTCGGAGGGATTTTCATCTTCATATATTTGCACAACAGGCTCTTCGTCGTCAGAGAATAGGTGAGATAGGGAGTTCGAGTTATTAGCTGGGCCGGCAGGGGTGGGTGATACCGGAGATTCGAGACGTTGACCACGTCGTATGGGGCTTGAGTGGATTACCTGACCGTGAGCATTGATCGCGGAAGCGCCCCTTGGAGAATTCTCATCATCCCAAGAAGAGTCCGTCTGGACACTGATTGAGCCCTTACGGCCCCTCCCCGGCCACGCGATCAATACACGCGAATCCTGGACATCCAGCATGATCTCCGCGTGTTCAGTCTCCGAAGTGAAGCTGTCCCCCTTTCCCAATTCCCAAGTTCGACCCTGGCAGTGCAGCTTAACTCCATTCCAGCCACAGCATATGATCTCTACCTTATTCGGTTCGAGAGGAACAGTTGCCGCGATATAGCGAGCTTTGACGTGAACGCGGGAGATTAGACGGTTGGCAGACAATTGGTAATGCGAAGAGTTGCTGGATCTGCCCATGAGAATTGTCTCTCCATTTTCAGGGAGCGTAATTGAGGGTACTGCAGAAAGGGGAGCCCGCTCCGAGACAGAAGGAGCTCGGTGGAGACCCGGCTGTGCATGTATTTGTGGTGGAGAGGACGAAAGGACGCCTGTGGTTGAGGTTGGTATCGGGGTAGGGTACTTCTGGATAGCTTGCTCGCGTTCTGAGGGAGAGGATCGCGCCTGTCTCTTCGACGGTCTTGGGAGACCTGGGGAGGACGAGAATGGCTCAAAGGCTGGCAACAATGTGGGAGCCGGACGCTTCACACCTGACGTAGGTGATAGATTTGGCTGAATATTCATCTTGCTCGGGGATGAATCCATCATGGCAGACTCGTGCCAGATGTTGAGATGGGAGGTGAAGGTTCTTCAACGCGGGTATCAGAACCGCGTGCTGGACGTGGCCTCTAAGCACGCGATTGATATGACCAAATTGAATGGGTTTAGAATGATCAACAAGGCAAGAAAAGCAAGTAGAATTGAGAATGCAAGGAGCAGAATAAAAAATTCTGGCCTTTAAAGGTCACGAACACGGTCGTGTGGAGGAATCGAAGGTCAATCAGCAAAGACCCATTCTTCTGGGCACGACGCAAGCGCGTTTTGGGACTAGAGCGACGCCTGACATTAATTATTCTGCCGCTCTGCACAAAGTTGTGACGTGCAACCGCGGCTCAAAGACAACTCAACCAACCATCTTTGTTAGAATTGAACTTTAACTTTAATTCTTATTCTATGGCTATGTCCAATGCAAAATTTCTTTTTCTGTGCTACAGATGTTTGAACCCTTCTCTGCTTGCAATTGAAGTTCTTCACAGTGTTGCATTGTTATCCCCTTCCCCCTCGAAAGTTGCGGCGACCCCCTCTCGAATCCTTGTTCTCGGGCTTCGCTCCAGCCTCCTCGACGCGCTCTATACACGCTATTTTACGCGCTGATGAGACGAGCCGGGTCTCGTACAGGCAATCCAGTGTTTTTTGTTTCCATTGATCCACTTCTGTATGTAAGAGAATCCCAAGATTTCCTCTAGAATTGATTATTCTCCTAGCAGAAATTCTAAAGCTCCTCCAGCTCAAAGGCGGTGTGGCCGTCAACTGTACCTATGCCTTGGAACTGTGAAGACCGCATACTCTGTAGAGGCCTCCTGATCTTTCAAGTACATTATACCTAGTGTATAGTACGGTGCACCCGTTGAAATTACTATGACGAAGACTTTTGTTTCAAAAACTGTTTCAAAGAAAGTCGACTTCATAAGCACCTAGGTGCCCCTAGAAGCTTTTCCGCATCATGTGTTGACCGCCTTATCGCGCATCACGTGGTGATAAGGGACGCTCCAAAGTTATTCCGGAACCGAAGAAATTTCTGAAAAAATAATTGGCGGGAATGTGATTTTGCGCAAAGAGGATTTTGAGGAATTCTTTGTCTCTATCTATCACGACAATGGCGACCACCACTACCGCGCTGACCACTAAGGTCGAGAATGGCTCTCCTTATCAGCTTAGCAAAGAGCAGGTATGTAATCCCAAAAGCCCATAAGGTTCACATGAGTATTCTAATTGTTTTCCAGACATTGAAAGCCTCCACCGCTCTCCTAAAGCACATCAAGACTACTCAGAAGACCGATTCAGGCGCAAAGCCAAGTCTCCTAGAAGATGCTGATGAAGAAGAAGTGGACGAGAGCACAGCGGTCTGGCTCCAGCTCACAACCAAGAAACATATTACGGATACCAAACGTCTCAAGCCGGGCAAGATCGCGGTCCCCCACCCCCTCAATACCTCCTCTACATCCACCATCTGTCTCATAACCGCCGACCCGCAAAGGACGTACAAGGACATTGTCGCATCCCCCGCCTTTCCTCCCGCTCTTGCCTCAAGAATCACTCGTGTCGTCGGGGTTTCAAAGCTCAAGGCCAAGTGGACGCAATACGAAGCCCAAAGAAAGCTATATGCTGAACATGACATTTTCCTTGCGGACGACAGGGTTATCACGCAACTTCCCAGAATCTTGGGCAAAACGTTCTACCACAAGGCAACAAAGCGGCCCATCCCAGTCAACCTCCAACCGCCCGCACCAAGAACGGATGGGAAGCGGATTGCACGCGCAAAAGGCTCAGGGCCCCAAGCTGCGGCGCCGAAGCAGATCGCAGCCGAAGTCGAGAAAGCGATTCAGGCAACCCTCGTCCATTTGACGCCTTCAACCAACACCGCCGTAAAAGTAGGATACGCATCATGGAACGCGGAGAAGGTCGCGGAGAATGTGGAAGTTGTGGCCAATGCGCTGATTGAGAGATATGTGCCAAAGAAATGGAGAGGAGTGAAGAGTATGCATATCAAGGGTCCTGAGACTGCGGCATTGCCGATCTGGCTCGCTGATGAGCTCTGGGTTGACGAGGAGGATGTGTTGGATGAGCAGGCCGCAAAGGAGATTAACGCTCCAAATGTGGGCAAGAAGAGGAAGGCAATTGAAAGCGTCAAGGAAGAAGGCAACAAGAGGAAATCAATTGAGGGAGAAGAGGGAGAGGGGAAGAAAGAGAAGGCTAAGAAGCCGAAGCTGTTGGAGAGCAACGACGATAAATTGGATCAGGAAATTGCGTTGAGGAAGGAGAAGTTGAAAAAGCAAAAGGAGGAGGCCACGAAGGATGTGGAGGATGAGGTGCCGAAGGCTACAAAGGCAGCGAAGGCTACAAAAAAGTCGAAGAAATCCAAGGTCTAGAGCTTGCAGCTCTGATTTGCGGTGCTAGATCGTTGCTGGGCGTCTATGGAGTATGGGGTTGGGGTAAAATTCATCTGGATCGTACAGTTCCGTACCGGCTATGTGTGGAAGAGTGGCACATACATACGTTGCGCTTCGAATTGACATTTGGCTCCTTGCTCTACCACGCATCACCCTTCAAACCATCAGTGAGAATGATTCAGGACCATCTCTGAGAGAGAAGTCAATTATTGAAAGGCAGAATATGTTTTAGGATTATTGATGGTCGGGAAGGTCCCCTTCTCTGATCGAATAGCCTTATAACTCGTAACTTCACAGCTCCTCCTGCCAAGCAGAATCCGTTTCTTCCTTCTCAAAGCTCCTCCCATAAGGGCCATAATAGTTCTTAATCACCTCCCCCAACAACTGATCTGACAAGGCCATATGCCGACCCCCAGTCGTTTTGAACTCCAAGGCGCCCTTCTTGTCTAAAGTTTTGAGACCAATCCAGTCCTCTCTATAAATATCCCTCTCTCTCAAGGGCGTCACCTCCGTACCATTGACCTCTGCAAACCAGCCCGATTCCTTCGGGATAACGGTCTGGTCTTCCTCAAAAACATACATGATGAATTTCTCTAACCTTTCCAGGTTCCTCTTGTATGTCTGATTCTTCAGTGCTCGCTCGTTATTGATGTCTGCTAAGAAGTTGCTGTGTTCCAAGTAGTTGTCGTACTGATTTATATCCCGGAAGTACTGAGCAGGAACAAGGCGGCTCTGCACAAACGAGCTCCAGGTGTTAGAACGCAAAAGCCCCTGCGCACCTCTACATAACCAATCCCTAGCCCCGCAAGTCTGGAACTCAGAGATTCCATTGTGCTGGCTCCCAAACGTAACCAGGCTCCGCACGGGTGGGAAGTTGCACCGTTCAATATAGCCTCTTAGGAACTGGCCTCCCTGGGAGAATCCGAGCGCATCGACAGCAGGAGCGGTGGACAGGATTGGATGTGCTGCTAGATCTGCGCAGACTTTATCTATTTGCTCGGTGAGGTTTCCGAAGAAGCTCGCGCTGCGGTCGGCGGATGCATCGTCGTCAAGACGGATCATGTAGACGAGCGTTCCGGGGTTGACTTCCTCAGCGAGTTGGGCGACCGAGGCAAGGCCTTCGGCGGCATAGTTATCTCCTAGGCCGTGCCAAATAATGAGAGGAAGGGGAGTATCGTTTTCATCGTCGGAGAGAGGGATGGGGAGGACGGTAGAGGAGACGAGGGATGCTGTTGCTAGGAGGGAAACGAGCGTTGTAAGGCGCGCCATGGTGGTTGGGCAAGGAGTTGCTTAACAGCTCTGAGGACCTAAATGCTATAAGTCCTCTCCTGCTGAACAGTCTGGAGGATCCTTCAATGAAAAGGCTCTGATAATCGATGAGGCTTTCTGGACAACCTACCCAGACGATCAGACGTTCAGACGTTCAGACGCTCAGCTCTTATCGGGGGATAACAGAAACACAAGGCAACACTATACCGTACTAGTTTAGCAGCAGTCTAGCGAGGCTGTCACAGGAACCTTGCGATCTTTGAAATTCCCACCACGCGGCTCTCACGACATTTCTTGGACATATAACGACCAACATAAAATGGCTCCAGCGGCTACAGCGCCATCTGAGCCTGTCCCAGTGCAAGGGCCTCACCCTTCATACATACAGGTTGCAAAACCCCATCTCTTTCACCAGCAGATTCAAGGACAACTTGTCGCCATTGGAACCAATCCTACGCGTGAAGATGGCTTCAGGCTGCAGGGAGTGCAGTGGATCAACGATGTGAGAATCGCTTTGCAACTGTAGGTTTACTCTGAGCTGGTGTCATTCCAGCTGCTAATTTCTACATAGACCAGTACGGACTTTTTCCACGGCTGTCAACTACTACCATAAGTTCCGCCTTGTCCATAAAGACAGCGAATACCTCTATCAGGATGCCGCGGCCGCCGCTTTGCTCACAGCCTGCAAGATTGAGGATACTCTAAAGAAGTCAAGAGAGATCCTCTGCGCGGCCCATAACCTTAGGGTTTCTGCCTCGGAACACCTCAGCCCTGACGATAGTGTGAGTCTCCGCGAGTCTTATTGGTAAACCATCCAGCTCATAAAAGTTCTGCAGGCTTTCGAAGGACCATCGAAGATAGTCATTGGACTTGAACGTCTCATGCTGGAAGCATCTGGCTTCGATTTCCGAGTTCGATACCCACATAAGCACCTCATCAAGTTGGCAAAACATGCTGGAATTGAAAAAGATGTTGCCAAACTTGCTTACAATATCATGCTGGACCTTTACCGAACCTTTGCTCCTCTTAAACAGACTTGTGCGGCTATGTCCTTTGCTTGCATCGAGGTTGCTACCCTAATTCTTGAGAAGCAACAAGACGCCATCTACGGCCCGGCCTCACCTAGCTATCAAAAATGGTGCACAACGCGAGCAGAGGTTATGGAGACAATGCTCGACATTCTTGATCTTTACACACATTTCCAAAAGTCCTCTATTGTAGGACCGTCGCACGACATCCAGAAATTCATACAGCTCAAGATTAAACTCAACCAGGAGATGGTCGATGGGGGTTCCTTCACTCGATACACTGAAGAACATGAAGCACCAAAGACGAACGGTCTCAAGTCAAATATCAAGACACCTAAGACACCCATTACTCCGGCTAGTCCTTCGGATACCCGAATCAACGGAGCTTCACCGGCCACGTTAAGCCCACGGTCATCGGGCTCGAGTCGCAGAGGGATTGGAGCAAGAGGTCAAGACGGCACTGTTCGGTTTATGCTTGACGCAGAAAAGGCCAAGGAGGAAAAGGAGATAGTCGCTGAATATTTCAAGGTTGAGTATGAGGACTATGAGGTCGAAGTTGAGGAGCCAATAAGGCATGAGAGGCCCCCCCACAGTCAACGGAATGGCCGCGATGATAGATTCCACAATAAGCGCTTGCGCCGATGAATCCAGCAGGCACGATAATTAATGCATTGCAAGGCGTCTGGGGTGGATGGGTTTAGGTATGGCATGGGCAGGACATGTGGAGTACGCGGATGATACCAAAAACAAAGGAAAGAAATAGAGTTAATTGTTCAGTTTCTCCTGATGACTGAGCTCCGGATGGTGGGTAAACACTCCGGACCCTTGACTTCTCGAATTGTTCCTTGGCAGTTGGACAGGGCTGGTCTTTGCCCCTCCCCCCGCCTCCTTTGCTGCCCTTCTCCCCTCTCTCTCCCCAGATGAAATGTAAATGAACCAAAGCCATTCGCCAGACCTCTGGCACAGTAGTAAGCCATGTAATATTGGCATGTGGAGATTTAAAGGTCCGGATCGGACGATCTTTGGTAGTCTTTGATAGCGCGGGTCAGCCACAGGCGATGACGTCCCAACAGCTTCAACACAAAGAGCTTTGTAGGATCAAGGAAGAACAATTATACGTATTTGCCGGGTCTTTTACTTTCCTATATATAGCCCAGCCTATTCATCCGGACCATTATTTTCACTCGGCTTTGCAATTGATCATTTAGTGAGTAAAAGATTTGAGCGGCAGTTGGTTTTGTTCGACGATGATATAATAGAAGAGTCGCTTGGCTGATCATTGGGTGCTTCTAGCAAAACCGCAGCGACACCCAGCCATCTTCGTTCGATCTTCGCACTTCAACAAGCTCCGTCCTTGTTCTCCGCACCGCACGCACACGATCTCCTTCCCTCTCCACCTCCCTGCTGCGACGACTCTCGACTCTCGCACAATCCGCACTCTCTCACCGCTCAGCTCCTTCATCCAGCATCTTTCTAGCTTTCTAGCAATGGCCCCTCCACCCTCGGCGTCTCTGCCGTTGACCGAAAGGCTCTTGGCTCTAGCTCAGACCCTACAATGTGAGTACAGTCTACCTGCTGCGGTCTCACATAAATACGCTGACATCCTTTGTAGTCGCTTGGTTTGCTGGGTATGTACCCAGCTCAATACAACCGCATGATTCAATGCTCTAGCTCCAGTGTCAACATGGAAGCTTTTTGCTGCGCTTCAAGTACCATGGTGGTTGAGCGAGGAATTAATGCTAACCAGCTTCTTATAGACATGTAACACTCCTCTTCTGCATTGCTCGATACGGCCTGTCATACATTACCTTCAACTATTACTCGACAGCGGCTAGATTTTCATACCGCACCGCCTTCGTCGCGGCAGCGGTGACGTATGGGATTGTGGTCTACAAGGCTTTCAGAGCCCGCTCAAGAGCTGGAGCCAGAGGCGGAGCTCAACCGAGCGCTCTTTCGCTCATACTCGATGAGAACGTTCAATATCTGTGTTAGTTATCCCATTTTCACCCTCGTCAAACCAAGGATTTGCTAACGTGTCACCAGCAATGGCGCTTATTTGGCTCTTCTCACCCCAGTACCCTCTTGCAATGCTCCCATACGGCGTCTACTCCGTCTTCCACGTTGCAACCTATACCCGTGCCAACCTGATCCCTACTATCCAACCACCTCAACAAGTTGCAGGCGCAGGTGCCTCCCCCGGCGGCAAGCCAACCTACAAGCCCAATGCGATCGCCGACACCATTGGCAAGTTTGTCAAGGAATACTATGATGCATCTATGGGACTGGTTGCCGTTCTCGAAATCCTGCTTTGGGGAAGACTCTTCCTTTCTGCCATTACATTCCGGAAGGGTTCTTGGATTTTGATTGCTCTCTACACTGCCTTCCTCCGCGCAAGATTCGCCCAGAGCAGCTTTGTCCAAGGCCAATTCAGACAGCTAGAGGCAAGAATCGACTCGCTCGTTGGTGCGCAAACTACCCCTCCTGCGGCCAGACAGGTTTGGGATACTCTTAAGAACAGTTTGAGGACATTCCACGATGCTACCGATTTAGGAAAGTATGTCCACGGTGCGCCCGCTGCGAAGAAAGCTTCGTAAGTTTTTTCGGTGCTCAACTGAGAGCAAAAATTTGGCAATATGCCCACTTGGATGTGTTGGTGAAGCACAAACAACCATGGGTAGCAGATGGAAGGTGCATATAGAGGGTGGACGATGAGGTGACGGGAGAAGAAGCGGAATAGGGTGAGATGGGGGCTGTTTGTCTGATGTTCCTAAAACATCATAAACAGCCTAGCTTTTCAATTGTAGGGGCTGAATGAGTGCGGAGTGCAGTGATGTTGTCGTGTTCGTATAGTCCTTATCAGGTTTTTCTTTTACTCCTGGTTTTTGATACTTTTGACTGTGCGTAGTAGAATGAAGAGGCTGTGTGTGCTAAATGGAATTGCGAGGCAAGGTCTTCCAGAGCGATGCTTTTTTGATGTTTGTGAACTGTTACTCTGATGCCTGGTACTGACACAACTTGCTTCGTCGTTGCATCTTGTCTTTTCATTTCATGGAGTACGGTATTCTAAAGGTCTTACACCAACAAACCATATACTAGTGTTATATATATATATCCGGCATGTATGCTGAAGATATCAAATCAAATCCACCTCCTCCAAGTAGGTACCTACCTAACGCTCACTCCCATTCGTCGTCTTCAACATAATACATACACACGTCACATGCCCTAACCTCTTTTTCTCTACATAGCCCTCGGTATGTGTTCCTTCTCTTCAGCCCAAAGTAATCGATACATTTCTTCCTTGATCTTCTCATCCATCTTATTACTAAATCATCTTCTTCATATTCTATTATTGGCAAACAATTTCTTTTTCATGACTTGTTGTCTGTCTGAGTGTGTGTGATCTTTGTTTTGTTCTTGAGATACACGGGCAGTGAGTGGCAGCTGTCCCAACTTTGAAGGAGGATATGCGAGACCAGAAGGATGGAAGTACAGAGGTACCAGTACCCATATTCCTTCCTCAATAACAGAGATAGAAATAATAATAATAAAGCTAATACACAATAATACATAAATAAATAGAGCTTTAGACATCTATCTATACGTCTCTGACTTCTTTCCAGCAGCACATACTGTATATATACGGGGTGGGTTTGCACGGACAGTTGGTTGGTTGGTTTATCTAAATAAAGCAGCCAGAATATAATTTCTGGATTGTTTAGAGAGAAGAGACATAGATAGATAGAGAGTGGGTGTATGTATGTATGTATGTAGTGTTTGATTAATTAAAATACTGCTGCTTGCTATAAGAGAGAGAGCGGTTTTCGCATAAGAGACAAGAGAGGACAGGATAGGATCAAAGACCAAGGTGGTGAAAACCAAGCTTGGTATGATGACACATGAGTGAGTTAGTTAGATTTCGTTCCTAGGGTACCTATTCTGGCTTTTTTGTACAGATGGATGGATGGATGGATGGATGATAAGCCGGGAGTTACCTATGTTTTTGGTAATTGAGAAGAAGACAGTTAGTCAGTCAATTGGTCTTGCTGCTCATTAGCTAATGATATTAAAGCAGTACGATAAATACAATACATACGGAGGATAGATTATCAATCTGACCCTTTCTTTAATATCAGCATAGATTCATCTTATCTTTAACGCACTTTTGACATTTGGGGGGGATTACGGATGGATAGATATCTATCTATTTTTTGAGAATGAAAATGGATGAAATAGCAAGGTTATATATTGAATCCGATTTCATTATTGTGTTTCTTCATTTGTAAGTAAACTAAGGTATCTTTCATGCGTGTAACAGCTGCATTCCTTACCTTATCATCCCCTGAGCGGCGTTCGTTCTTTCTGGATATATGAAGATAAATGGGAGAGGGTAGGGGTTCAATTCAGCTAGATTCGGGTCTACGGCCATAGAAAACGACACTGATAGTGGTGCTTAGTGAAGATTCGAGACACCGGGTAGAAGAGAGGGGATGGCATACAGATCAATATACGAATGCACGGCACGATTCCTGAGATCGTCTCTCACGCCCACAAGCAGCAGCTCGACCTGCTCTCTCGACCATCCCAAGCCCCTCGTCAGGAGCGCCATACTCATGGCATGCACGCCATCGAGCAGATTCTGCTGGGCCCACATACCGACCAGCTTCTCCTTCTTGCCGCGGGGCCACGGGTTCAGCGGCCAGTAGAAGTGCTTCTCGACGATGTCGACGAAGCCCGCGGCGTGCATGTAGCGGCCGTAGTTCTTGGAGTTCGTTACTGGACGTCCGAGGTTCTCGGCCGCGAGGCAGACTTGCGCGCCCCATTCCTGCAGTGCGTGGCCATCCATAGAGCGGTCGATGCAGCGGATTGGCATCTGAGGGTCCTGGAGCTCGAGGAGGCCGCCGGGCCGGAGCGCGTCGTATGCTTGCTTGATGATCCAGGAGGGGTCTTGGAAGCAGGAGAGCAGGGCGCGGCCGTGGATGTAGTCGAACTCTTGACGGTAGTCCCAGGGTTCTTCGGCGTCGCTTACTTCGAAGCTGCAGTTTGGGGGTACACTGGAGACTGTTAGTGAAAGGCGCTTAGCTAAAGATTGTGGGATGTTGCACTTACTAGGCGGGTTGGATGGGGCTGAGATCCGTGCCTATGACTTGGGCCATGGGGTATTGTTGCGCTGTGGTAGAAGAACTATGATTAGCCATTCCCACATGATACTGATGCTGGCCAGCTGTGTCTTGAAATTGCTTGTAAAGGGGATAATGGAACTTACCAAATTCTGTCGCCCAGATGCCGGTCCCTGTTCCCACATCTAGCACGTTGTGAAGGGATGCTGGTAGGGGAGCTATATGTAGGCCATCCAATGACAATAGAAATAAGTGGTGTTGCAGATCTGAACAGCGAACTTAGCGCGGTATGATGAGTCGAACCTGTTGACATACCAAGTCTCTCCTGCTCCTGCTCGTCGTTTGGCAAGACATACTCTGGAGATGATGTTAGTTGGGTCGTGCACACCTAAATATGCGTATCGTGTAATATACTCCCTTGTTTGAAGGAATGATAGGTACGGCCATTTTCTTCGACGTATCTGAAGATACTCTCCCGAAGAGAGACGGTCGAGCTCCTTTTCCAGCCGAGGTTAGTCAGCATGTAAGGTATCTTTGCGTCCAAAATGGGATTGTGCAGTTTGCTCACCCTGTATCCGAGCCCAGCGTAGAATCCGTGTCGCTATTCGAGGACTGGGGGAGCATGGTTTAGTGTCGTTTATGAGCGCTGATAGTGCAGAGCCACTTACTGCCGAATCAACCTCCATCCCCGATCCAGCATCCATGAGATCGGGGGAACTACTAGATGACGATAGGCCATGCCCCTCATATGTTGGGTCACTGGTGCTGTCTAGCCAGAGATATTCATGACTCTGGCCGTGTCCTGTTGGTTGATTCTGTTCCGTGGGACGTGGATTTGCTTCTCTGCTTGTCGTCTCGGAGTTGGTCTCTTGCGGGGAGGCGGAGGATGTGGGGTCTGCTCTACCAAGCGTGCTGTCGGCATCGTCCGTCTGCATGGTGTACTAAGTACAGAGGATTGTGCTATCTGGACTTGATGGCAGGTTAGGGACTAAGGCTTCCTAACATGATCAGCCAGGTCGCTATTCCCTTCGGATGCACGCGCAATAAGTCACGAAGGCCGCTTGCTCTGAGGTGAATATACTTACCTAGTAATAACGAGGCTTTGGTGTCACCCTTCTCCGTAAGGCGACACGACCGAACTGCCATTACCCGGTCTGCATATAGATGCTTACATACGAGAGCGCTTGGGACCCTTCGAACACCTATGGTCGCGAATATGGCATTGAAAAATGACAGTCCTATCAGAAAGGTCAGATGAAGTCGAGATTGAGAATCTCGTGCCCTGCTCTGATCAAATTCAACTGTCGAAAGAATCAGTATTGTGAGCAAAGCTGAGTGAGCAAATCTGAGAAGACCCCGATCCTCTGAATTCTTCCTCGCCATTACAAACCTTTCAGGGGCCAGATACCATTGGAAAAGGTTCAGGATAGCTCGGCACGCTTGATGACTGGAGGTACTTTTGTTCTGTGTAACAAAGGTTGGAAACCCGATCTCGAATCGGGCGTTATCCCAAACTGACTGCACACTTTATCGCTACTCCATCGGGCCGTACACTTCAATCCTACATACCTCGGCCCGTTTCTCCTTTCATCTTCATGATTGCCAACTTATTCTTCCATCTCAAAATCATGCTCTGCTCCCCCCTCGCAACATATCATGCTTGGACCGATACTTCGATAGACCTTTGCAAAAGCTTGACATTGAATATTTGATAAAAACAAAAAGCGATGAAACGATATTGAAATCTACAATTCCACGAGAAGAAAAAAAGACAGGAAAATTGACTTGGTACAGAAAGATACCGAAAATCTCTCGGCACGCAGAGTAAGATATTAGGCAAAATAGAAGAAAAAGAGGATATTCCGTTTTAAAAGACATGAACGGTAAGGGACCTAATCTAAAACTTTAGCAGCATAAAAGTAGCAGAAATCTGTGTAAAATCCCTCAAAAGTTGTAGAAGAAATATATGATCTTATTTCCCAACAAGTCAGGACAAAGCACTATTCATACCTCTCCTTGGACCCTTATCCCAGCACTAGCCAGCCCCGGACACTTTATTTCAATCCCCACTTGAGAATCTATAAGCTGTTCAGGCTTTTACGATCTAGCTCAAAGACATGCGTTGCGTCGTAAGGTTTCGCCAAAGTCGTCGATTCCAACTTGGGACGACGTTCCTTTTTCAAGATCATCACGACATCAGAAGAAACGAGAGTGAGCTTGGCTTGAGTGAGCATGTAACAGCTCCATATTATATGGCCGGGTTCAAATATAGATAAAGTAATAGGCTCAGAATAGCTCTATATCAAAGCAGAAGATCAAAGCACACAGCGCTTTGTGAGAAATGCTAGGTATGTCGTTTTTCACAGGTTGGGGGGGCTTGAATTTTTAGCGATCGCATTTTCCTCTGCGGGTTTTCAGTCCATGCGGAGAAAAAGAAAGCCGTTTTTCTACTTTGGTCTGCATCTCGGACCTCCAGATTGCCTGTTTTGGTTGATTTTCAATATATAAACATGCTGCAGCCTGCAGCATTCTTACCTACCTATTCCCAGAATCCTAATACACGTGGTGGCATCATGTGATCATATCACGTGGATAGCCACATGAAGTACCTAGGTATCTTATAGCTATCTAGATACCAGGTACAGAGTCCCTAGATATGTATTCATTGAAATGTAAAAGCAATTTGATGAAAGGCATTGTTTGTTTGTTTAGATCAAGTCACGTCAATCCCAAGTATGTTTTTAGACGGCTGTATTGTGTAGCTAGCAAAGAAGCAAGAAGCCTTGATGATCATTATTCGTATCCGCATCGCAACGCATTTCAAATCCAGGGCCGGGGGTATCTCGTGAAGCAATCCCTTACGCCAGTATTTGAAAACCATAACAGAGAAACGCCAGCAATTCCTTCGCAGCGTTGCAATCCTCCAAAGTCCACCTACCATCGACCCCACCACTACTACCTGCCGAACAGACCCGTTGTACTTTTATAGCGAAGAAAGTCATTCATCATCATCGTCGACTATCCTGCCCTCTGAATCAGGTCATTCAAGTGTGTTGCCATTTGGCTCAGTCCAACCAAGTACAGCGTATGTCTCGCAATGCAACTCCTCCCCAATGATGCATTGATGCATGGGTATTTCATCAGACTCATCATAATTGGACTCGATCTCCTCACCTTCCCTTAGTCTGGTAAAGTAATCCTTGATCTCAGTGGGTATCTCCTTAGACAGAACTGTTGGTGGACGCAAAAAGCCACGCTTAACAGGGAGGGTTTCCCAAAGTGTCTGGATGTCGAACACAACGTTAAACTCCTGTAACGCGGGCATAGCTCGGACTGCTTTTCTGAAGTATGCCATCACATCGTGAGAAACCATGTCGTATTCTGGATTCTCAAGATCCTCTGGCGGTGGTGTTGCAATACACTCGTCGACCGCTATGAATTGGATCTGCCTGAGTTCACGCCGGGTCATTCCGACAAGGAACTGACCAACAAGGGCCTGTAGATCACGGTAGAAGAACAAAGTGTCAAGAGAGAAATTGAAGCGGATTCGGGATTTGTGCAAGATACTACCGAAGCAGCGCGGGTAATGCTTGATCACAGCCTGGCGCGAGTCTTTGTTCACCCTAAGGGCAACCGGTGTGTTTGTATAAGCAAAAAACCCTTTCTCCATGCTGTAGGCAAGGTCGATCACGCGGGGCTCGAGGGTGAGCTCCCAAATGTTGTATCTAATCTCGTTAGGAAGGTCATTGAACTCCATTGTTTCCTCTAGTGCCTCGCAAAGGGCTGCTGGCTTAGGGAGGTGCTTTAGGAACTGTTGGAGACAGTTCAAAGAATGGTGCTATGGGATTGCTAGAGAGGGTTAACATGAAGGTGCTAGGACTAGATGGCACGTTCTTACCAGCCTAAGGTAGGATGCCAGTAGGAGGCTTTGAAAAGTCTATGGTCGACAGTTCGCGTAGATAAAAACTCTAGGAGCCCGCGAACAGGCTGAAATCTGATAGAAGAACGTGTCGTTCATAAGTGGGTAGGCTTCTTGATAACTATTTAGCTTTTGCACAAGAGTCTGAATTTCAGTATAGAGTCTGGCTTACTAGTTGTAAATAAGACGCGTCTTATTTGAAAGTGAAGTCGTGATAGGTGGTCTGTAGACAGGGGAGTCCCTTAAGGATTGTTAGCTAATGCAAATAAGACAATCAAGAGACGCAAACCTTTCTTAAGGAGTAGAAGACACTTAGTCAAGTAGAAGACACTTGAGAGTCTTGTCACTGTCTTCTCGATACTACTATTACCTGTTCTTAAGGTCTTCCTAATAGAAAAGATCGACAGGCGCGTGACGCGTGACGCGAAGGAACTGTAGAAGTAGAGGTCGTACTCAAAAGAAAGTAAACGTCAAGAAGAGAACTACTACCTGTGTACAGTAGATAGTGCGTAGTCTCCTTAAGACCGGCGCGCACTTTGTCTCTACCGTGTTGTTTGTCTGATGAGGTATCTCAATGAGTAGGTAGGTTAGTGAGTTGACCGTCCTCGAGATATTAGGACGAACAAATACGGCCGTGTAAGCGAAGCGAGGCATGGGAGGAGGTAAATCACGTGCCATGCCGGCTAGACCAAGCCTGCGCTAGGACAAATCAGCACTGGCGCACGCCCCTGTGCCTAACCCCTTTGGGCGGGAAGAGCCGTTTCCTCGAGGAGAGCCGTGCTACCATCAAGATTCAGGAGACACGCACCGGACGTCCCTTGTACATGATACATCTGCCTCTCCTCCGTCCGAGTCCTTTTCTTCTTCCCTTCTCTTCTCTCCCCTTCTTTTCTCCTCTCCTCTATCGTCTCTCGCTCTCTGCAACCACTTCACCAAGTCCTCTCTCGGTACGTTTGACAGCTTCCCCTTCCCCACGTCGCGGAGACGGTCTCAATGGTACTATTTACGGAGTAATTTCATCGATTGGTGATCCCTGCCACTACCCCCTTTCTCGCCTGGAAAATCTACTTTACCTTCACCTTTACTCCAACGCACCTCCAAACCTTATCCCATCTTTCTTTACCCATCACCCGCAACTGACTTCAGCGCGTCGGCCGACAGATCGAGCACTACGGTCGATACCCACGCATCTCCGCCCATCTGCGATTGTGCGAGGACGCGTGCGACAGTTGGTTGAGGACAACTCATCTCTGGTATGTGCGATCACTCTCCTCGTATTCGTGCGCTGCGCATGACCCCCAATTGCCCCCCCCATCACTGCAGAGATAGCCCTTCAAAATCCCATCTTGCATCGTGCTCGACCCCCATCACTATCAATGCGCTATTCGCTGGCGTCCTGGCTCAGAAGCTAAAAGCTAACTTCATCCCTTCGCCGACCCAGATTCTGCCCTCGTCCCTTCCTACACGACGCCGAAGATCGATCCTTCTCCGTTGCAATCGAGACAATGGGTAAGCAATGCATTTCTTTCATATAGAGCAGGCCCCGGGAATGGACCGTTGGATCAGATTCACATCGAAACCGAAGCATCGCTGCCAGTGGTTACCACGCACAGACTCAACAGACCCCTTGGACAATCCAGCAGCGTGTCCCTAGAGACGTTTATCTTCGGACTCGGAATCTTGCATGCTCTCTACTATCAGCCCATTGGGTGCCCCCTTTGCATTGGTGGCCAGGTATCTCGTCAAGTGCACCGGCACCATGGCCTCTACGCTTTTGGGACGGTATAAGGAGACTCGCCTTTCTCGCTCAGAGAGTGCTAGCAGTAGCCTCGCCATGTCTGGAAATGAGAACGAGGAATCCGATGTTCACGTCTACCCTGGCAGCCTGCATCGCAACCAGCGTATATATGCTGTGCCTGGCCAGTACCGCAGCATGATCAATATCGAGGATCCTCCTAGTCTCAAACCTATCTCTATTCCACGGGGCGGCTCCCTCGAGTCCTGGGCCAACGGGAAGCCCAACCGGGACACACAGCAACCTCATAATACTTGGAACGATGGAGCTAACATGTCATCTTTCTGTACAGCTACAAATGGCGTTGCCCCAGCGGCACCAACCCGCGCCCCAGCGCCTGTCCCGAATGGCAAGGCTGCGTCCCCTGTTGATGAGATACCACAAAGCGTGAGCTCGACTGATCCAAAAATTGCTGCGCAACAAGCCACCGATATGAGGAACATCGTCAGAAGAAAGTTGACTGGCTACGTTGGATTTGCAAATCTACCTAATCAATGGCATCGCAAGAGTGTCCGAAAAGGATTCAACTTCAATGTCATGGTTGTTGGTAGGTTCCCGTTGTCCCACAAAGCTGATACATTTCTCACATGAGCATAGGTGAATCTGGACTCGGAAAGTCTACATTGGTCAATACCCTCTTCAACACGTCGCTCTACCCGCCAAGGGAGCGCAAAGGACCAAGTCTCGACATCATCCCAAAAACTGTATCGATACAATCCATAAGCGCTGATATTGAGGAGAATGGCGTTCGTTTACGCCTGACTGTTGTTGATACCCCTGGTTTTGGTGATTTCGTCAACAACGACGAGTCTTGGCGACCAATTGTGGATAACATTGAGCAACGCTTCGATGCCTACTTGGATGCCGAGAACAAGGTTAACCGCATGAACATTGTTGACAACAGAGTTCACGCCTGTGTGTACTTCATCCAGCCAACTGGCCACGCTTTGAAGCCGTTGGACATTGAGGTTATGCGCAGACTTCATACGAAGGTCAACTTGATTCCAGTGATTGCCAAGGCTGATACGATGACCGACGAGGAGATTCTGGCTTTCAAATCCAGAGTAAGATGTCTGATTCATACGTTTCTGGATCATGCTAACCTACTTAGATCCTCGCCGATATCAAGCACCACGACATTCAAATCTTCGAGGGACCGCGCTACGAGCTTGACGATGATGAGACGATTGCGGAGAATAACGAGATTATGTCGAAGGTCCCCTTTGCTGTGGTCGGCGCCAACTCTGAGATCACCAATGCCGATGGGCGAAAGGTCCGAGGACGCAAATACCCCTGGGGTATCATTGAGGTGGATAACGAGGAACACTGCGATTTCGTCAAGTTACGCCAGATGCTTATCCGAACACACATGGAGGAACTCAAGGAGCACACCAACAACGCGCTGTACGAGAACTACAGATCCGAGAAACTCACTGCTATGGGTGTTGCACAAGATCCAAGTGTCTTCAAGGAGGTCAACCCCGCCGTCAAGCAAGAAGAGGAGCGCACATTGCACGAGCAGAAGCTTGCCAAGATGGAAGCCGAGATGAAGATGGTCTTCCAGCAGAAGGTTGCCGAGAAGGAAAGCAAGTTGAAGCAGAGCGAAGAAGAGCTGTATGCCCGCCATCGCGAGATGAAGGAACAACTCGAACGCCAACGAATGGAGCTGGAGGAGAAGAAATCGAGGATTGAGAGCGGACGACCGTTGGAGGAGAAGGGAAAGAGGAAGGGCTTCTCGCTTCGTTAAGCCGGCGACGAGGGCGCATCGGAGTTACCTTTGCCATCATGGTATCGACACGACACAGCTACTTTGCTTTTCGATTCTTTTTCTTTAATCACTGATCCTTAATAGCGCGAGAAACGACGGGAGAGCGAGGGGGGCATGATATCCAGCTTCTGTGAGGCTGGCGCATCGTGCTGGATTTGCGCAAGGCGGATGGATCCTCGAGGAGTTTACGTACCGGACGAGGACAAAAAGAATGGCCGAGAATCCCCCAAAATTTGGCTTTCGCATAATTTTTCTTTCCTTTGTCACTCACCCTCTTGTCTGCTGCCTGTTTCTTCAGACCAATCTGTATTTATTACGGTAGCTCGAGATTTGCTCTCCTTTGGCTTTCTCTTCTTTGCTTTGTCATGAATCAAAAGGGATGTTATCTCACAAACCTCGCTGCGGGTGATGCTTGACTTTTGTAACAGATGAGTGGCGTGCCTGTCTTGGCTCTTTCTCCTGCAACTCGTCGGCGCGAGAAGAGATCACAATTTCCTCACTAATCTCTGGCTAGATGGGTAAGGTAAGTTGAGGCCATCCACGATCCCGCCAAGTAGAAATGCACGTGCCATGCACCTGACTGCTGCCTGACGCTACCCCATCATGGACCCATGGCTACACCTATTCGGGTCAAGTGCCCCTCTTGCTGCCTGGAATCTAGTCCCGTGACAGCGCGTCAGGGACATGGTGATTTCTATCTTTGGATGTCCGGTATCGCGTTTTGCTATTGTGAGAGAAATATAAATATGGGAGGGGAGTCCTCCTTGGAATACATGTTTATCAGTCTTGATTCTCTCTCTTTCAATTGCTTCGAAGCAAGATCAATCGGTTCATTGATACAGTATTGGTCAATTGTCAAGTCAATTGAACCAATTCCTTCCCCCCCCTTATCTCAATCATGGACACCTTCCCCCTTTTCAATTCCTTCCCTCCCGAAATCCACTCTCTAATCCTCGCCTCCTGTTCGGAAAACGATCGCATATGTCTGCGACTCACCTGGTATCTACCTACCAAACCAGCCCTCCAAACCCCATCCCATCCCACTAACCGCTCCCCCCCAGCAAATATCTCTACACCCTCAGCCCAACCACGCGTCTCATCTCCCTGACCAACACCGACGATCCAGAGCCTCTCTGCTTCAAGTCCCGCCCCAAGGATCAACACTACGAGCCTAGCGCCCAGCACATGAGTTTCGCGCGCCTGGGCCACCGCGCAGAATGCCACCGGCTCTGCTACGAGGAGATGGTCAAGCGGCGACGGGCGCGCGGCTGGTCGGCGCCTCCGCTCCGAGGTTGCAGGACGTCCCGGTGGACGGCGCATTGCGAGTGTTTCTCGCGCAGCGCGGTGCTGCATCGGAGACTTAGGACGTGGGTTCCCAAGGGGTTGAGATATTGCTCGACGTGTGAGACTTTTACTGAGAGGAAGGCTTGGCGGAAGGGAAGATGTGAGTCTAAGTTCAATTTCTTTAATTTTTTCATTTTTTTTGGGGGGGGGGGGGAGGGGGGGTCAGGGATGATGATGATGAAGAGTTGAAAAAACTAACAATGAGATGCAGGTAATCACGGTCTCCCAAGATGGTCCATAAATAACTACAACTGCCGTCGCAAAGGCAATTTCTGGACCCATCGCCCCAGAAAAGGCGCGTTTGGCCAAAAGCTCTGGAAGAAATGGTTCAACAACAACGCCATGAATAGCTTGGAACAACGCTTGAGCCAGCCTCCTACAGAGCGTAATGGGAATAAGAGATATGCGTTGAGGACACTGCAGCCAAAGGATATTGATACGAGAAGGGAGAGAAAGAGCCATTGGTGAAAGAAGAAAAAGACTTGAATGATGAGGGATGGATGGATGGTGGGTGGGGGGTTTGCAGGGGGAGGGAAGGGAGTGGGAATGGAGATTTGGAGATGTCTCTTGATTTATGGATGATATTATGACGATATGACTGTAATTATGTATGTTTATTTTCGTATCTACATACCTAGCTTTGTTAGGATATCTAGTAAGGCCTCGAGCCTTGCAATGCATGGCAATCAAACTGAACAATTGCAAATCACATCCCCAATGTACATTCAATTCAATTCAATTCATTCTATACGCACGTCCAACCGTTTTTTAAAAAGGGACAACAAAACAAAATAAAGAGAAGAGGATATCCATCTACCTTACATTAATAAGAACCCCAATCCTTTAGTTTCTCCTCTCCACTCAAACCCGACTTTTTCGAATCCGACGAGCCCTTCCAATTCTGCTCCGCCCAAGTTCTCAGCCTCTTTTCCACGATAGAAAAGCGCTTCTCCATCTCATTCAGGACATGCCATCCACGATCATCACCCTCGGCGATACATCTGCGGACCAGCGCGGACGCCGTGCCTAGACGCATCCACCAGCCGCGCTGCTCATCCTTCAAGGTGCCGACCGCCTTCATCTCTTCCAGGTACAAGAAGGCGTCTTCGTAATCGTCTTCGCTGAGACAGATGAGGATGAGGCGGTCGTAGGTCAGCTGGTCGGGTTTGACGTTTAGCGCGCTCATCTCGGATGCGAGGAACATGGCGATGTCTTTGGAGCGCCGTCGCGTGCAGCCTTGGAGCAGCGTGTTGAAGGTGTCGGTGTTGGGGCCGCGGTCGCAGATCGTGTGCATTTGCTTGTAGAGGTTGATGGAGTCGTCGTAATTCCCGACGGCGACGCAGCATTCGAGGACGACGTTGATGGCTGCGATGGGAATCTGATGCCCGTCCTCGTGCAGATCGTGAAGTACTTGCCAGGCTTTGGCGGGGAGCTCGGGCGATGAGGAGAGGTAGAAGTAGATGGGACGGGTCGTGCTGGCATCGGGCTGATGTCCGGCTTTGGCCATGATGTTTAGAATTCGGAAGGAGGTTTTGAGATCTTTAACACCCATGTAGGCAGCGAGGAGCGCTTCATAATGGAATGGTAATAGGGAGCTGCGGCGTGTGGTGAGGAGTTGAATGGCAGATGTGGCAAGGTCAGGATCAGAGTGTCGTGATGCGAGATTGAGGACCGCAACACACATTCCGTCTGAGGGAATCATTTTTGAAGTCTGGACGCGCAATTCCCAAATGTACTTGGCGCCTTCATACTATTTCTGATGTTAGTGAGATGTGCGAATGGGAACGAGATACATACGTGAAAGGCGTGGCTAAAGGCATCAAGCATATAATACCACATTTTTGGTGACACTTCCTGCATAGCTTGCTCGACTCTGTACTTCAACATCTTGAAAGCTTCGTCAAGCTCATCCTCCTCGCAGAGTTTCCATATAAAAATATCATATAGCCACGGCTGAACCCGCATCTGATCCGCATGCATCTGCTCCAACCTATCCATAGCATTTTCGAACTGGCGGTCTCGGAGGAGGCCAATGATAAGATTGTGACATCCTTCCGGCGAAAGAGTAAACCAGCGTTGCTTCATCTCGGCCAAGACATCATTCCGGAGGAGATAATCGGGATGGTTAGCTAAGGCCTTGATGCTCCATTAGTACCAACATTTTTGATCTGAGAGTGAAGACAAACCTGCAAAACACCATGATAAAGCCCCGCATCAGCACCAATACCAAACTCCTTCATCTCATTCAACAACCCCCTCACAATCTCCGCACTCCCATACTCCGCATCTGCATTCGCTCTTATCAGCGCATCATAATGATACAGCGCCGGCTTCTCCCCCCGTTGCCGCAACAGATACTCCACCAGATCCGCGACATCATGATACCGGCCCTCCTCCGATGCCATCTGCCGCAAGCGATCATGCAACTCGGACGTAGAGAGGGCGTCAAACTCTTTGTTGTACTCTGCTCCAGGGAACCCCAACTCATTGTACTTCAGTACTAGTCGGTCGGGTTCTTTCTGTTCTTGGTCCTTTTCCCTTTGCTTTTCCAAGGACCTAATTCCAGACTCAAAGCGCTGTCGTTTGTACTTTAGAGTGCGGTAGTCAACCATCTCTCTCCGGATCTCTACTCGCGCTGCGTGCGAGGTGTGGAATGCTCGACGAGTCCATGGCTGCGAAAGCCTTTCGCTGCCGCCCTGAGAACGAATCGCCGTATTGCGAATGAACGAGAGGGAGTGTAGGTTGGAAAGAGCGATAGTATCAATTGAGGGACAGAGGCAGCGCCACAGCCCATCGATTGGGGCCCGAGCCGCAGACATTGAAGCTCTTGATGTTCCTGGCGATGCGAGAACTGCGGACGTTAATTTCTGGAGCGGGCTGCGGCAGCCTTGCACTGGGTCACGTGCGCGGAGACGATCAGGCATTCAAGAACTCCCGAGTCAAGACAACGATATGGGGATTGACCACGAGAGGTATTACTTTCTTTGCGGCCATCTATGTGAAAGCCGGATGCAGCATAATAACAGCTGCAGGTGGCGGTAGCTCTTCAGCATCTGAGAACCCTCCCAGCATTAGTTTCTCACCCGTCACCATCTGCCATTCTCAGCAAACCAGAGCACCAAGCACAGCTCTGCCAATCCTCCCTCAGCGAGTAATACACCAGACAAGAACCCATCATATCATAGCCAAGACAACTCCCACACGCGCACCTCATGAGCCTCTCCCCCTCCCTCTTCCTCTACCGCCCCTGCCACCCCTCCCTCTATCCCCACCTCTGCCTCCATGATCCCCTCTCTGCGCGCCTCCTCGCCCTCTATACCCGCCGCCCTGCTGCGCTTGCTGCTGCTCCTTCACCAAATCGATAATCTCGTCCGGGACGCGCAGGTATTTGATCTGTTCACCACCGCATCATATTAGCCAGCTATCCCAAACAGCCCCCTAAGCAACACCACACCACACCACACCCCTCCCCTCCTCTGCAAAACCAGACAGTACAAATTATTGACAACGTACATTATTCCCTTTCACATACACCTCGGGAAGTCTAAAGAATTTATCACCCTCCTGTGATGTTCCCCAATTAGCATCATTCATCCACATCTGCTTTCGCACCGGGACAGGCGCTGTCTGCGCGCGCTAGGACGGCGTACGTACTGGGCTCGTTTGGATCACTTCTTTCAGTGTGAGGTTCATCCAGGTATCGCATGTGACTAGGTGGCCGTTCAACGTCTCGCCGTTCTTGAGCTCGACTAGCATCGGGTGGCCTTGCGCCGCGGTCAGGAGCCCCAGGGGAAGCTGGTGCTGGTTAGCGCTCTGCTTGGATTTCGCTGCGTATGACAGCTAGCATTGCTTGGAGAGTGGGGAGAGGGGCGCGCACCATTGTGAATAGGTTGGGGTTGCTGGTGCCTCGAAGGGCGTGTTGTGATGGAATCGTTTGATACCTATTAGTCAATGGTGTTTTGGTGGTCAACGTAGTGTTTTTGGTACTGCAGGCAAGAAGCACCAAAGGCGCGCTTCGCGCTTGCACGTGATTTTGGAAGATTTCCCGATTGGGGGAGGCTTTTCATGTATATATTTACTGGGTTGGGCAATCATTATCGTAATCGTTATAAACATAGTAACCTATTGGGTACTCGAAAGGCCTATAGCTTTGACGAAATGAAACCTTTATCCCCTTCCACCGCCTCCCTCACACATTCCATCACTGGAACCATGAGTCTCTCATCTCTGAGGGCTTCATAGATGATGCTGATCTGCGTGCCGGTATTCTTATGCTTCGACCTCTTTTCCTGGGTTTCGTGTCCAGTCGGGTGGTCCACAAGACCTCGATGGAATGGCACCTGAAGCTCCTGCCTCACGAATCTGTACATCCTCTTTGACGCAGAACCGAGATATGGAGTGGCGTCTGGATTTGCAAGGTACGCGGCTCTGTTCTCAAGGAAAATCTTCTTGGAGATACCCGCTGCTTTATGTGTCCAGGACTTTATCAAGGACATAGCATCAAGGCCATTTTCAGATGACATTTTGATATCCCCTAGGGCATCGATCAGGACTGATTGCGCCGACTTTGCAACAACGATAAAACGGTTGGCTGAATCCTTTATCGTTGTAGAACTGATCGAGTGGGAGATTGTTGCCCAGATGGAATTGTTCAACGAGTTCAACTTCACTGATTCGAGGACCCGACCGAATATATCGGTCGTGAGAGTTTCGATTGAAGGCTTCAGTTGTCCCATGAAACGAACGTTCATTACGCGAAGATCGAGAGCTTGGCATAGAGAGTAGAGGTAAGCAGACATCATGATGGACAGGACGTCCACAGCCATGTGAGTGTATCGAGCCGAGATTAGAGCAAGAGAGTTGATTGCTTGGTTGGACATCTCCGCCGACTGCACATGGCTGCTTACCGGATTTGCAAGAAACGCGAGTTCCGACATATATGCAGCCATGTTGATATCGACTCCCTTGAGAGTATATGATAAGCTTGGCTCATCGGCAGCTAGATTGGGTGGAAGACCATGATTGAGATGGACATTCAGAAGTTCTGTGCTCTGTGCAAAGACCATCTTGCCAAGCATCTGCAATGCTAGTCTTGTTTTCTCCGTGGAAGATGTAATGACGGCAGCTTGGAAATTGCCCGCATGATGAACCTTTCCGGCGGGTGCATCAAACATGGGATTGTCGGTGGTCGAGTTCAACTCAATCTCCAGTTGCTCGCGTGCCAGCATGAGATCTTCAAGTTGAGGCCCTATCCATTGCGAGGAAGTCCGGAGAGCATAGCGATCCTGCCGCAAGCTGCCATCGCTAGCAGCGTCTTCCTCTCCATCCCTTGCTAACGACGAACCTTTTAGGAAGGAACTAATGTTCAGAGCAGACTCTATCTGGCCTTTGTGAGGACGTACATTGGCAATGAAAGGATGGAAACTTTCAACTCTTCCTAGAAGGGCCTCTACGCCAATAGACGTAAGGACTTGGGACAGGAGAGCCAAATTGTCCGCTTGGTGTAGGGCCAGTGTTGCAACTGAAGCAGAGACTGAAGTCCCATTGAGTATAGCAAGGGTTTCTTTCGGTCCAAATGAGATAGGGCGGATATTCAACTGCCGTAGCGCTACATCAGCGGTGACCAGCTTTCTGGAATTATGAGGACCTGTCCAGACGCGAACGTCGGGGTTGCCTTCTAGTGCACCCGCCAAGTAAGAAAGCGGATTCAAATCTCCAGAGGCAGATATGCTCCCACGGAGTGGAATAAGAGGAACGATATCATTTTCCAGCAGGGCGAGCAGCGTTTCAATGACGTTCAAACGCACTGCCGAGTGACCCCGAAGAAGTGAATTGCAGCGAACGAGCATGGTACCTCGGACCCAGGATTCGGGCATTGAAAGAATGCTGTAGGGCTCTCCATCGGGGTAGATTTTCCGTGGTCCGGACGTAGTACTTGCCTGTCTCTGCTCGGCGGCAACGGGTAGCACGGCACTGAGTTGCATCTGCAGGAGGGCGACTTGAAGGGTATCTGTATCATTGGTATTGGTGTCGGCACTACCACCAAAACCAGTGGTCACCCCTGAGGATTTTCAGCATGAGTAGTCACTAGCTTCAGAGGAGTGGGAAGTACCGTAAACGGAATCTCCTTGCTCTAATGCCTTTCGAAGGAATTGGACGCTGCCATCAATCTTGTCCAGGACAGCCTGCGGGAGGGCGTCGACCGAGGCCTTCACCCCATAGCTGATGTAAAATGTTAGCGAATGATGAAGATTCCAAGATATGGCTTTCAAGCAAAGGGGTCATGATGCAGAGCATACCGAGCTACGGCCACAAGCCTCGGAGTATCCAGTGAATCTCCTTGCAGTTGTATCTGCTTCTTCTGCTTGATTATGGCCGAAAGTGCTTGCCACTGGGAGAGCACCCGCTCTGCATGACGACGAGACATTGGAAAGAAGGTGTTGAGAAAGAAGGTATTGATAGGACTTGAGCTCTGGGCAATGGATAGGGTTGGGCCAGAGGGTTGGTCTAAACTTTAACTGAGGAAGAGGAAGATCAACTTAGGGATTTAGGTCTGCTCTCTAAGATTGAGCACCCAAGCGGGCCTTTTAAATATTTGGATATAGTAGCGTACCGAGTACTCGGTACGGCGCCAGGATGGGTGAATATTGAGGGGATTGAGGCGGGATGGACGACCACCCCATCTTGGGTTCTGAACTGCAAATTCAATGCTCGATGGAGCAATAAGATCGCCCACCCGATACGACATCAATAGTACCGGAGGCAGCGGTGTGCTGATCGGCCAGATAGTCGAGACATTCCATCGCCAGGTGCATGAACTTTAAACCTTATCATGTAAGGACGTCCCCTCTAGCTTATACACGGGATGGTGTTGTGGGATGAGATCCCCAACGGTTGAAGGCTCGAACAATACCGTACTGCATGGCCGCGGCTGTTGTGCACTAACACGCCAGGGGGGGTGGTTCATGGGCAGAAGAGAGGCTGAGAAGGGCTTAGAAACTTCCTCCCTTGCAGATGGAGGATAGTCAGCCTCATAATGAGGGTTGAGCCAGGATCTTGGATAGAGATGGTGTACGGTATCCGGGCTTCTCGCTCTCCGTACAACGGCAATCGTCGGGCTCCTACAGGACAGAATCCTCAACATCACATATCACATTTCATCAATCCATCACCAATATCACCATCACCATCACCATTATCACAGCCATCACATACGCTACCGCTCGCATAGCGCCATGCTCATTGAAGGCGGTGGACTATTGCTTTTATATGTACGTTGCGTAGGGCTTATGTAGCCGTGTGGGCGGCAGGCGACAACAAGGTGAGACTACCAAGTCCCATGGTCTGGACTCTCTTCCATCAACCACCCGCCATCGAGTTGCCGATTGGGAAGAGGGATTATCGATCATTGCGCTCCTCCTCCCCTTTTGTCTCTTCAAAGTTCAAAGTTCAACCTCGGCGAAGTCGTCGTCAGCTCCCGCCCGTTGATTGGACTTGTCCTGGTTCCCCCCGGTCCCCCACCAAGTCGCAATCAAATGGAAACTTGCGCTGTCGTCACAACATCCTCTCTGTTCAGCCTCCTCCAGGCAGCCATTTTATTTGATTTTATTCTCTTTTGTTCCTTATGTTCCCAATGTCTGCTTGATCTCTAGCTTCAGGCTTCGAGATTGTATCTCGTCGAGTGATTCTCATCTGTTACGGAAGCTCTTCTTCTCATTCCCTGGTCCTTTCTTTATATCTGTTTGTTCTCCAGGCAGTCAACTCTCCTCCCAATGCACCGTCTTCCCAAGGCTGCTGCTGTGTTGCTTGCGTCTACGCTTGCATCAGCAGCAGCGTTTACCATACCTGATGGGGCCGCTTTCATTAGAGATGGCGAGGCTCTTGAACCTGCCACTGGTAAAGAGCCCACTGATCTATCCAGCTGCCTAAGAACTAACCACAAACCCATCCAAGATCGCTCCATCGCTCTCATTACTGTCGAGGTTCCAAGGTCACCTGACGGCCGCCCGAGCCAGTCTTTGCCCTTCCGTCTAGATATCTTTCAATCCGAGGAGGCATGCGGTTACGCAAACGTCACCCTTGATGGCCAGGCACTACCCGGAGACTTCACGGCCGATCAGGACCATGTAGCGACCGGAAGTGGTTCTATCACGACCAATGAGCAGGCGGTCATTGATGCAACATGGTCTTTCCACTGTGTCAAGGTCAATGGCCAGCCACAGATGCAGTTCCTGAAGTTTGACATTGGTTCCTTGAATGGGACGCCAGTAGAGGATATCGCCTTCTCGGTTTTGTTCCGACAGACGGGCTCCCCCGAAGTTGTCAATGTCAATACCGACCCGTCCGTTCCGGATGAGCTCGCCGCCAACCCCAACCCCTGGGTGCTCGTCGCAGACGATGACGATGTTCATGTCCCTCAGTACAGCATCGACGACTTGGATGAGCTGCGACAGCAGCTCAGGGAGCTCGAGTATCTCATCGCTCAGAAGGAGCAAGCGATCGCTAATCATGCTCACGAGCGCTTCGAAGAGGATATAAAGAAGTGCCACGGTTTGAAGTGCATTGCAATAGCCGCGGGTCAAACGGTTCACCATGCAGCTCACAAGACCTATGAGAAGATCCGTGGCCATGATGAGAAGGCGTGGGATCCGTTCCACAAGCATGATAACCACGGAAAGAATGAAGCGTGGGATCCGCTTCATTGGAAAAAGCCCCATCACCCCCTCCCAATCTGCCGATTCCCACACCACGAGCCATCCCATCCCTCGAAACATAGACCTCCCCATCCACCACATGGAGAAATCCTATCATCACCTCCCCCTCCCAGTTCCAACGTCAACGACACCCGCCGACGCACCCTCCTCCTCCACCTCGCCCCCCTCCTCATCCTCCTCTTCGTCTTCCTCCTCACCATCCACCTCCGCGCTCACCGCCGTACCAAATCCCCATCCTCCCGTCATCAAGAGCGCCGTCTTCGCCGCACCCTAAGGCGTCTACCCGCCCTCCTCTCCCGCTTCTTCCCCTCATCTCCGAACGACGAGAAACAACAACAACAACAACAACAACAACAACTCGCCACAGCTGAAGAAGGCCATCATCTGCACAACGAGATCACAGAGCTCCGCAACGCTGCCAACCTCGTTGGATCCCTGGTCAGCGCCCCCGTGCAGTTACCCGCGTATGAGGATAAGGATGGGTTTTAGTCGGAGTTGGAGCTGGGTGGGAGGGGAGGTGAGTGAGGAGGGGAAGAAGATAGGTAGTCCATACATAGATAGATAGATATGTCTTTTTTCTTCCTTCCTCTCTCTTTCTTTCCATAGTTCTATCAACAAATCGCGAATATGCCCTAAGGACGGAGTAATAACATACCATAACATAATGTTAATCACCATACCATACCATAAGTTATGTATCTATGCATATGTATGTAGAGAGGTAGGTAGGTATGAGAGTGATGGATTATTGCAGGTATTGTATTACTTTATTAGTGTTATCTCTTTTATCTATTACTCGCCTGCCTCTATTTTTCTTTTCTTGTCTTTTCATAAGATTAGATTAAGAAGCGGCTACTTTTCGATACCGTATGCGTCCCCGGCCTCAGAATATGCCCCATCCCTAGAACGCCAGCCAAAATCCGAGCTCCACCAGACAAAGCCAGCCACCAAGGGGTATAAAACTCCATTCGCTATGCAACACACAACACAACACAACACAAGATCACGCACGCAGTCTCAAAACTCCATCACGGCACCCGCCGGCTCCACATACGCAGGGAAAGGTTCTGTCCCCGGCGCCGAGAAGGCGCGTTTTGTCTCGAGGCTGAGGATGGCCTTGGGATCGGGCATGTCGGGGGAGATTGGGGTCTCGGCCGGGGTCAGCTGGTCGCCGACGCCGAGGACTGCGCGGCCAGTGTGCGAGCCGGCGAACGGCTCCTCGCCGCGCCAGATGCGCGCCGAGTCGTAGATGGCGGGGTCGGAGCGGCGGGCGGCGCGCTCCATGTCGAGCACGGCGTCGGCGATGATGGACTCCTCGCAGAGGGGGAGCAGGCGGTAGGAGATGTTCTCGAGGAGGCAGCGCTGGGTGAAGTTGATCTGCTCGCAGCTCCAGAGGCCGTGGCCCCAGTCGGCGGCGTGGTCGGAGGTGGTCCAGTGGGAGTCGTCGAGGAATTTCACGGCGACGATGAGGGCGCAGAGGATGAGCAGCTCGGGGTGGATGCAGTCGATGTGCTGCTCTTGGGTCCGGGAGCCCGGGTGGAAGGGCGAGGGAGGGGCGGGGGTGTTCAGGGGGCAGTTCTGGCGCCAGGTCAAGGCGAAGCGGGAGTTCAGCGAGTCGAGGATGCAGGCTGCGAGGGCGATGGTCTCGACGGGTGGGTTGGCCCGGGTCAGGATTGCCTGGACGAGAGGGATGGAGGGCGTGGTGAGGGAGGTCGAGGAAGGGATGAGGTTCGTGAGGTGCACTGCTGGGCCTAGGGTTCACGGGAGAGCTTAGCTTGAGTACTTCAGACGTACGAGGGGCTGATATATGGAGGAGGAAGCATACCGAGGAAGGCAGGGGATAGATCCTCTCCTGGGAAGAAAGACTCGGGAGACTGCTGTCTTGTGCTGGCATTGGAATGACCCAATGGCGGCGTGGGCAGATTCGAAAGAGGGACATAGTTCTGGTAGAAGAAGGACTCGTCGAAGTCAAAAGAGGACGAAGAGGAGGATCGCGAGCGCGAGACCAAGGGCGGCGCCTCGTTGACCGTTTCTTCCATACTGGCCATGTTGTAATGGTTTGTGTGTGTGATGGTCAAGGAAGAAGGCGAGTTGGGTTTGTGTAGAGGAGAATCGAGAAAGGCAGATGGTCGTTCTAGGCCCATAGCGAGGCTGCACACCGTCGCTCGTGAAGCCTCTCTGCGTTGTCCGGCATCCAGAACTGAGGTGCAGCAGAAAGGAGAGGAATGGCGGGGCCGCAGATGGTGGTGACGGGATGATGTCGATGTCGATGTTGATATCGATGTCGGAGTGGAGAGGAGAGGAGAGAGGAGCGTGGATGCGGTTCTTATAAAATGTCTCCCTCTCTCGTCCCTTGGAAGATCGCAGGCCGCGGCGGGGAATCGGGAGAGATGTCAAACGAGGTGTTTGGCTACATAATCCAGACGTCGGTGCTCTGTGCACAATGACCTCCGCATGGGCAAGGGACTGGGAGACTGTTAGTTTAGTGCGGACGGTGGGCATACCTTAGCCAAGGGACCCGCTGGAAGTCTAGAACGGTGCAAGACAAGACAGAAGACTAGACCAGAACAGACAAGACAAGATAGACAATGCAAACAAAAGCAGACCTACCGTGGCTTGCTTGCTGGTTGAAGGACGATGGATGGATTGCAGACAAGCAGACGTTGTGTAGGTGAAGGGAGGGAACAAAAGAGAACCGGAATAGGTAAAAGAGAATCCCCGGTAATCATAAGAATACGCACGAATACGGTATAATCATAAAAATAATACCTGCCTGCCTATCAGGAATGCAATAGTCATAAATAGCCCTTAAGACATCATCATCATCAACATCATCATCATCGCATCGCCTCGCCTCGCATCGTGGCGCCGCTCTTCCCCTCGGCCCCTGTGCAGCCGTTTCCGGGTGCGGCTGAAAAGAGTAGCCAGGAACACTTTTCGTATCTTTTCCCAGGGCCACAATAGTAACTACCTTAGTATTCGATATTCGATATTCAATATTCGATGTTCACTACTCTTATTCATGATTGTTGCCGTTATACCGATTATTATCTGCATAAACAACATCGCAGGTACAGACAGCATCCTGACCTACCTACCACCAAGATACTAAAAATAAAAAATAAAAATTGGGAAAAGCGATAGAAAAAGATAGAAAATCGTTGATTCGCTTTTTTCCCCTTTGGCCAGGATGCCTGTCCTAAGTCAAGGCTAGGTACTTACTGGCTACTATTCACGGCATCATCCATAAGCCCCGGGCACGTATCTATCGCACAGTAGTCGCGCACGGAGCAAAATGCACTGCAAAGTCCCGAGCCGAGGCATCCAGAGAATTTCGAATAAGAATCTAGAGACTAGGTAGGGCCCACGTCTCTCTTCGTGTTTGCTTCGTGTTTGTGGAGCTGCAGGTCAGGGGAATTATGGAATAAGAGAAGATCGGGTCCGGTCCCGAGTAGTCCGAAGCCAATGTCAGGAACGGGAGAGAAAAAGGGGATCCAGGAACCGCTTTCTGACTTTCTTTCTTTTCGCTTTTCGCCTTTTCGACTGCTATTTATAGATAGCTCTGGTGCCATGCAATTCATGGTCGGGTCTCGGACTCTGCTGCTAATAATGACTACTGCCCTTGCATGCTTTCTACATAGTATCTATCATATAGATGTACGATTTGTATATTTGTATATTTGTATATGTATACTGTACCGTGTACGGAACTGCAAAGACCACAGCGCATCCTACCCCTGCCAAGAAAGATCTTCCCAACGTTGTCCCTGGGTACAGCTGCGTACAGCTGCGTACCGCATATCCCGGTAGAATCGTAGACCCTTTGACCCTTCCACGCGGCCGACCGGGTACATGTACCACTAACTCATCTTGGCTCTGTTCTTGCTACTGCGGCTTTCTGTTGAGGGTCGATCACGACCATCTCATCAAAGACCTACGCTTTCGAACTCACATACCATGATACGACTGGCGTGATTCCACCCCCTATTTCACTTGAAATCCCTTCCCCTTCTGGCCCATCTCAAGTCAGGTGGAAGTGGTCCCCCTCCCCTTTCTTCCCCACAATCCCCAGTCGCATCTTGCGCCGGAAACGAGCCTCCCGCTCCGCTGCCTCTCTCTCCTCTCTCCTCCTCTTCTTGCGTTCGTAGACAGCCCGCACGCACCGCCGCGTCCTCTCCCGCCCCTCCTCGAAATTCGCCCGCGCAAGAGCAATCACGTGGTCCACGTTCTCCGGCGTGTACACAAAGTTCCAGGTGCTCATGTAGTCACTCGTGATCGGATCGACGCCTTCGACTTTGGGGTTGCTGAGGAATGGGAAGTAGACAACTGCAATCCCAGCATCCGGCTTCATCAACTGCCAATCCTCATTGACGGCTTTGGATCGCACCTCGTCGGAAGGATCAGTGCGCTCCTCGGTTGTCCCGACCCAGACCGTGCAGTATCCAAGGTCCCCTGAATCCTCGCTGTCCATGCTGTTCGCTGCTTTCTCCGGTACCGTTGCGACATCTTTGAGATGCTGCTTTTGCTCCGCCTTGGCTTCTTCCACCTTGGAAGCTGCTTCTGCAACAGTTGCAGCTTGCGCTTCTTGGAGCTGTCCAGCGGTCTTCTCAGCCGTATCGCTTTGTTTAGGCCACCCGGCACCCAGAGGCCATCCTTTTATGCCCCGTTGACGTGCGTATCCATCGACGACCGAGAGCCAATTGTCGGTCCGGATATCGGCTGAAGCATCGAATGCGATCAGGATATCGACGTCTCGTCCAGGTCGAAGGAGAGGATAGATAGGGAGATTGTTCGACATGCCGGCATCCATGAGCTGCAAGTGCGTAGCCTTGTAGATGCTTTCAGGTGTAGTTTTCGGCAGCCTGCCTTCCATTTTGTACGCAAAATTAGGAATCGAGGCTGGCTCTATGGGATGGACTTTGCTCAGATCCTCATTCCTCCCTTCGATCATGCCGTCGATGCCTGTAAATCCCGTGATGCCTTTGACGATTGGCCGGATCTCCTTGTAGTAATGGCTCAATGTTGCGCAAAACGCACTTCCGAAGACGCCAAGTAACAGTGGTAGACGAAGCTCTGGTACACGCAGGCCGCTCTCGTTCGAGGGAAGATCTTTTCCGTTCTCAAATTTTCGGCCTATCGACCAGGTAGGTATCCCAGCAGCGAACTCCTCGCAAAACATCTCATACGGAGTAATTTCGAACCATTGAAACCAAGCCTCTTTCTTTGCCCTCTCCTTGGTCTCCTCTGTTGGGGAGTCGTAGGCTTTCTCTACTTCTGATTCCTCTTCCTCTATGGGTATCTCGTGTCGAACAGCAGTGTATATGGGCATTGGGTGTTCGCCATTCTTGAGATAATTCCGCTGGTTGGAGATCTTCAGATCTCTGTCATCAACACCAAGCCCCGTCTTTGGTACGAGTAATCTTGCAGCCAATATTAACCCGTAGATGTCAACAAACCCAAAGTCAGCATTGCAATCACCCCTCAACTTCTCAACAAAGCCACGAAGGAGGAACTTGTTCGTCGGGGCTGTGTTGAGAGCTTCAAGTGCAACAGGGGGGTATGCGATATGGATCCCAAGTCGAGATTTTAAGTGGTGGACCATCTTGTCGAATCGTCTTTCACCAATTGAAGAATTGTATAGAGCTTGCAGCCAACAACTACCGCTGACTCCAGCTGTGTAGGTAACACAGTCAAAGAGACCATCCTCGGTTGCTGCAAGCATCGATCCAGTACCAGCGACCAATGCTCGTAAACCACCACCTGATCCTACCATGGCAATTCGTGGAACGTCATCCGGATGAACCTCTTCCTCTGGTAACCCGAGGTATTTGGCCAGGGCAATCCGTGTGACCTCTCTCCTCCTCTCCAGAAACTTCTTCTCCTCGTCACAGAGATCCGCAGACACTCTGACCTCGGCCGAGTACTGGATCTCGGGATTAACGTACGGATCATGCGCCTCTTGCCATATCTCATCCGCCAAGGAACCGGGGGCCATGGATAACTCCCTCTGTAACTTGCTGATATATCCTGGCAATAACTTTGCCCATTCGGGCATTATGAAATCCGTTATCGAATCAGCCACTGAACCCCATTTGATATTCGTGACCGAAGAGAATACCGCGAATCTGGTGGTGAAGACTCCCCATGACGAATCGTCCGCGGGAGCATCAGACGTTTTTTCATCTTGCGGTGAAGGCGACCCAGAGACCGCCGCCGTATTCTCTCCGTCAACCGCCCCCTTCTCCTCAAGGACTCTGTTCTGCCTTTCCACTCCGGTTCCGGCCTGCGGTTTCGTAGGTAGTTGCTGCGCGGAAACGCTTTCAGACAGGATAAAGAAGAGGCCGCCGACGATTATAGCGGAGGTTGCGCCGATTAAGGTCGGGTTGAAGAACGAGGATTTTTTGGGTTCGGCTTCCCTCTTCGATCTTGTGAATAAAGTACGAATTTGCTTGCTATCTCGCCCAAGGTGGTTTCGCCAAGGTCGTCTCAGCGCCGGAATATTCGGTGCTTTCTGGATTCGAAAAGCGCATTGTTTGTTGATGCATGCCCTTGAAGCCCTCAAAACGCCACGCTGGATTGAAGAATACATAGGAAAGGAGAGTGAGAAGAAGAATGAAAGGAAGGATGAGCAACGGTATGCCCGCTGGTACTAGAAGATCATGGGTGGTTGGTTCGCAATGATGGACAAGAGAAGGTGGCAGAAACATGCAGCTTTGTACCTGTGGGGAGCAAGCCACAAGCGATGTTGAGGTGTGGCTGAGGGGCACTTAGTGGCGGTGACATCATCGAAAGAGGATACAACCAGGAATGGATAGAGAGAAGATGAAAAGGATTTGCATAGATGAATGTAGAGCTTCATGTGATGCTAGCAGTATACATTACTTAGATTTTTGAATTGGTTGTCGCTGGATGAGGCGCATATCTTTTTTTGGAGAGGAAGAGGGAGAGAGGGGTTGAGAGAGTGGTCCCAGGTACTTGTAACTACTTCATTCACGATACCCAAGTGCATTACTAGCCTCAATAACTGTGCTTTTGCGCAATCTACCTGGCATCAACCACCCATCTAACGGTGCGAATGCCTTCAAAGATCCTCTCTCCTCCCATTACCATCTCAATGGTCTAGACGCGGGGAGATCTCTCTCCATTCCTGTCTCACCGCCCTCGGAGCACCGAGTCCAGTTAGCAGCGGAATATCCTGGTCTAGCGCCCGTCATCCCGAAAACGATGTATCTCGTCGGGCGCAGCGCCTGGTCTCTGCAACCATCAAAGATGGCGGTAGGTCTTGGATCCAAAGCTGCCGACGAGGAGGCGCGCGCGGAGGTTGAGGTGCTCAATTCGCGGTTGGAGAAGACCAGTCAATTGAGCAAGAAGATACAAGCGTCCCTGTCCCGCCTCGAGTCAAACGGAAAGTCGATGCAGGATGCTATCGGCCCAGTCTATGGCAATACCCAAAGACTGCAGGTCCTGGGATCAAGTACGAAGCCTCAAGGATATCCGCTAGATATGTGCTGACGGCCTGCAGATATCGAAGGAATCCTCTCAGCGATTGAAAAAATTAGGCTGCCCTCGGATATCAAGAACAGTGAGGAGGATGTTATTCGCAAAGGGCCAGTATAGCACAAGCTGTCCATGAATCAATTGCTGACCGTTTGTAGACCAGAAAAGGCTGGTTTATCAGCGTTCCTTACTTCCGTCAAAAATGTCAACAAAGCCCTCGCTGATATGAAACGAACAAACCTTCGATCGAATCAACAATCATTGGCGGATCTCAGCAGACTCCTCAAATCCGGCAATACCCAACTGGAAAGCTACTTTGCAAAGATCCTACAGGAAGAGTCGAGACCTATCGAGCCACTTCACTTTGTTACCAAAGACAAGCCATTCCCTGCTCTGGGCCAGGATAAGATGACTCTCCTAGGTCTGATTAACTCATACATTGCCTCGAGCACCAGACAGAACGGACTTGGTGGGGATTCGCCAATGTTGCAGGCATACGCAAGTGTCCGGGGCCCATATCTCATTTCGACCCTCCAGAACCTCGCCTCTGCATCGGTCAATACCGCAAAGAAGAAAACGCCCGACGCTGTTTATCGACAGGGTACAAATGGCATAGGGACGTATGCGAAGGGAATGGAAGCGGCTTTCGTCGCCGAATACGACAACATATGCAGTCTTTTCGCCCGAGACGAATGGAGCAAGGTATTCAACCTAACTTGCCAGGGAGCTATATCAGAACTTGCTCGGACCCTTCGAGAACTGAATGCACATATCAAGGCCAATCTGAGCACTGATTGCTATCTTGCTTACGAGATAATGGAGATCATGACGGGTCTCTCTGCGAGCCTTGATAGTAGGACAGGCGAGCTGAAGCCTTCCTTTGCGGCAGCATTGAAGCCCATCCGAGAGACGGGAAAATCATCGCTGGCCGATTTACTAGAGGACACACGCCGTCGCATAAACGGACTCCAAGCTATGCCCCAGGATGGTTCTCCCCTACCAGTTGTGACGGAGACGATGACTCGACTGCAGACTATGGTCGATTTTCTGCGTCCGATATCAAGTATTATGATCGCCATTGGGGACGGGGGGTGGAAGGCGAATGCGGCACCAGGAAATACTTCAGACCAGATCCCGAGCCTGAAGTCATTCGATATTTCAGCAGACGGCAAGCAGATCTTCGCCCACTATTGTATAGACACCATCGACACGCTCCTGACGTCCCTGGAGCAGAAAGGCAAAGTGCTTATCAAAAGCAAGCCAGCCTTGGGTGTCTTCATAGCTAATAGCGCCACCGTTGTCGATCGCATGATTCGGGGTTCAGATCTTCAGCCTCTCTTGGCGTCTCGCATGGCCGATGTCGACAAGTGGCGCAAGACTGGCGTTCAAATCTACACCCTTGGATGGCGTGAGCCATCCACACATCTCCTTGACGTGCAGTACACGAACCGTGGTCGACCATCTTCCGGCGGTTCTGCTGGCATCGACTCATCGGCCATGCACAAGGGGCTCAGCAGCAAGGACAAAGATGCCATTAAGGAGAAGTTCCGGTTATTCAACGTCAGCTTTGACGAGCTGGTGGCTAAGCACAAGAGCCTCTACATGGAGCGAGAAGTTCGAGAGATCCTGGGCCGACAAGTGCAGCAGATGATCGAACCGCTGTACTGCCGCTTCTGGGATCGATATCACGAGATTGACAAAGGCAGGGGGAAATATGTCAAATACAACAAAGCGGAAATCTCGGGGGTATTCTTGAGCCTGGGGTAACGGAGTTGGCAGCATGCGGATGAATGTACGAGCACGGCGTCTGTCTAAAGTATGATACCAGGAAGGGGAGTTGAACGGCGTTCAAGGTTGATTGAAAATAAGATAATGATAAAGACTCATCGACAGCCCAGCATTCCCCAAAGTGCCTGCCTGCAGATCTCCTCTCTTGGCTTCCCTCCCCGCTTCCTCCCCCACGCCGCAAAAACTCCAACCCCGAAAAAACCCCGTCCAAATGCCCGAAGAATGGTACACGCAAAGTCGAGCACCAGAACCAGAACCAGAACCAAACCAACTCCCTTCCCCCATCCCATTAATGCAGCGCCATCCAGCGCCATCGAAACCCGGAAAATCACCTAATCATCTCACACCGCAGCGTATCGTGTTCGTAAAGCCATGATATGGAATCATGTAACCGAGCCGTGACAAAGCAAGGCTACCTCAGAGACAGTTGGACGCATCGCACCAGCCGCAATAGTCGTGGTTCCCATACTGCTCGGCTTTGCAGCAGTAGCCGCAGCAGTGGTTCACGGGATGGGTGACAGTTCGGAGGCACATTCTGTTTTGCTCTTTGGTTTCCGACCTTGCTTTTTGTTTCTTTCCTTGGGAGAGCTGGTGGATGAATAGTATAATATATAATAGGATGGCGAGGCTAACTGGGTCAGGTGAGGATTGGGGGGTTTATATCGTATCGTATGTCTTGTTTGGTCTTGTCTTGTTGGTGTATGTAGGTATGTAATGTATAGGTAGAGAGGATAGCGAGACAAGAGCCAAGGTCTGAACAGACAGATTTGTGTATATATAGGAGCCACAGCAGAGCAAAGCAAAGCAGAGCAGAGCCCAGGCCAAGGCAAGGCAAGCTAGCCAGTCAGTATGTCGAATGGAAACATGACCTTCTTCGTTGCAGGATCCGGTCGCAGCTTTATAACCCTCGAGATTTCGAATCCCCACGCCCGGCCCTTCCCGCTCAACGAACCCCACTCGGCTGTTTTGGGCATTTATGGGATGGCCTGTTTTTTTTGTTTCTGGTTCGGATACAGATATGCATATCGATATGTCGATATGATATGGGTAGGTATGAATATCGATATTTTGGATTGCGGGGGTTGTGGTGAAGGGTCCCCCCGTTGTCTACCTATATGATAGATATATTGATAAAGGAGCGGCTTCCACGGCACAGCACAGTCAGACATGGAACTTCATTATCTCCTCTCTATCTATCGAGGAACACGAACATTGAAGGTAGCTAGGTCGGTAAGTAATCATTAAGCCGCCTCTCAAGATTCCCAAAACCCGGAGACTCAAGATGACAGTAAAGCCAATACCTCCCCTCCTTCACCCAAGAAACGAGTAAGCCTTGCGAGCCAAGTCAAGCCCAAAAGTGAGGCTGTCGTTCCGCATGTGTCGAGGATTGCCCCATGTAAGAGATACGTCATTCAGTGTTCAGTGTCTTTTGTCTTAATTTCCCTTGTTCTCTTTGTGTCCCTTGTCCTGGCCCCGTGTACATGCTTGTTGATAAGCCCGTAGAACCGTGGCATCTGGGATATTATTCTGTGCTGTACGACGCTGTAACTACTTATTGTACATGCAGACTGCAGACTGGACTAAATTAAGTTACAGTAGGGGTCTTGGGAATACTCGAAGAAGAGCCCCCTCCCCCTCCCCTCTTCTCCCCCACGAAACGGTCCTGCGAGGAGTGGAGCGGCAGGTCAAGGAACGTTTTCTGACAAGAGGCGGAGAAAGGGATTTCCGATGCGTCATTTTTTTGGGCGGTTGACAGCTAGAAGCGGCGTGGTTTTCGGGTAGAGGATGAGGAGGAGGGGGGTAGGGTAGTGGCCAGTAGTTGTTGTACAGGTAAGGCTGATGAGGAGGAGGAGGGTTTCAACCGTTATCGCTATCGCTATCGCTATCAGTATCGCTATCGTTATCGAGATACTTGTTGCTGTAGAACAGGACAGCCGAGGTAGATCTTAATCTCTTGCAGCGCATACATTTTGACGATACAACGACATAACGAAGGAATGCCAACAGCCGCGGGTGATGGACAGCCATATCGTGGACGCTGAGCTGTTGTGCCAGTGCATCCGCCGAATTCCCACGCTGCCGCGAGGGGAAACGCGAGGGGTTCGAATCGTTCGAGAGGGGTTCGGTGAGCCGTTGCGATCCTTTTGCCCTGGATGGATCATAGGCTTGCGACAGCCACCTGGACGCAGGGAGGGATGTATTGCATCACGCATCACGCCTCCTGCATCTCTCTCCCATGGCCTCTTGTCACTCTGTGCCTCTCTATGCATGTGCTGCGGGTAGCTTTGCTTTGGGACGGGAATCATCGGTACGACTCCCCCTCGACCACGAAGCCGCAAAAGCCGGCGTGTTTCACCGCGCCTGTTCCCATCCGCCTTTTCCCATACGATACCAGGAAATGGAAATCCTGGTTGCGAGGGCCTACTCGGTGTCACGGCGGACGATTACCTTACCCGTCTTATCGAGCGAGGCTTTCTTTGATCCTGCGACGGAGTAAGCCGTTTCGACCTGCAGGGACTGTCATATGGTATCTCGACCCCATGCCTACCTATAGTCCTATACCGATGGCTAGTCCTCGAGACCTGAGAATCCTGTCTCGCATTTCTACACCGCTCAGTAATCTCGCGCACTTCGAGGGACTCATATGAGCTGAGAGCGCTCGCTGCCTTGGAAACCGCTACCACCCGCTTTCAAATCCCCAGATCCTCTTCACCGCTACAAACCGCCTGACTTCCGCAAACCCATATCCGCATATCCTCGATCCTGGCGGAGATCCAATATTCGGTATGCGGTCATGACTAATGGCTGGCTGCGGGGTCGCGGCGTTGGGTCAGCCTTGCAGCTGTCCGCCCAGACAGATAGACATGTAAGCTTCTCTATCTATGCGCAGTACCAGAAGATGAGCCTTTTCGGTACACTACAGCACCCCGGGGTTTCTGTTTGCTGGCTTTGCCGATCCGATCGCTCGATTGGGATCAGAATCGTTGAAAACAAGCGACGGGTCGATATTTTGTTTCTTTTCTGTTTTCCCGTATCAGTTGGTACAGTGAGGGGAAGTGCAGCCCTTGGCTCTTGATTGTCTGTTGCTGTCTGTTGCTGTCTATCACCTTGTGACTCTTCTTCAGGGATTCTAGTCTTCTTTATCTCCTCAACCTATCACAGGGATTCGTTTGCTTCAAGCGATTGCGAGAAGAATATCCAGAATCTGGAGGATAAGGTGTGGGACGCCCTATATGCGGATCCTAAGTCTGGGCCCAATGATTATTCGTTCCCTTGTCTCCCTTTCAATTCGGATGCCCACGTGCTCTAGCTTGGGATCCGTATTCGTTGCTTTTGTTTCTTAAATGAAATGCGGAGTTATGGCACAGCAGTGTTGACTGGAGCTGTCACAAAAATCACAATCTTCACCATCGTTTGTTCATGGTACACGATACAGTGCACATCTTTAGGATAGAAGGGTAGAGAGTTTGCTGGTTTGCTTTGCTTACTGCGAATACCCTCTAGTGACCGGCTTGCGGATGCTTGATTGTTGTTTGATCAGGCAAGTGCTTGTCTTGATTGTCTGTTTGAGAGCGATAATGCACATTCAAAGTCTTCACACAGCAAACAGCAAACGTAGGACTCATTCTATGCTGCATGCAAAGATTCGATGAGACTGGCATATATAAGTATTGAATATTCTGGGTCTCTATTCTTTTATCATCATCTTTTACTCATCAATATATATACCATCATTCAATATCACAATATTCTTCAAAGCATTTCCTAATCAACAGAATGCATAGGTAGCCTGCATTCTCGTCGAGATGAATATGTCCCCCCAGCTTCCTACATCAACAAGAAGCTCTCTATGAAATACACATTCCGCCATCACATAATTTCTCAATCAGTTATTCCACATTACAGCTGTTCTATAGCTCAACTCATGCCGTAGCACTCTGCGCAAACCAAGGAGCCGACCACAAGCAAGGACAAAATCATCACATCAAGATTTTACACCTACCATGACTTACCTCGGCCTATCACCAGATTCAGCGAACACAGAAATTGGCCTCGTTTCAGAAACAGGGGAAATAAGAGCCCTACACACTCACACTCACAACAAGGTGTTGTGTGGAACGAAGGCCACACTGCTCAGCCAGTTGAACTGTCTACCTATCGGATTTCTACAGAGTAAATCACATAATAGTGATTCTCAGGACTGAGGTGTGCTTCGCCGGCTGTTTTTCAATAGGATTCTTCCAAATTCAAACCAAGATCAGCATATCATATGAAAGCTTCAAACAGGCCATTGAAGATCGCGCAGATGGAAAGGAGCCCATCTATTTCGAATCAACAAGAAGGATCATGACTCCTCTCTGATGCCTTGAAATTCGAAAAGTGGGACGCGTAGGGGAACGTCGTGCATTGAAGAAAGCCTGACCCGAGGAGGAACTACCAGCTGATGGTATTTCCCCCTTATTACTTGCAGGACAAGATCCCATTAATCAGAGAGTAACCGACGAATCACCTTCGAGGCAATGGCTCCCACCAAGCGTTCCGTTGCATGTAAGCGTTGCTTGAATCAAATGGCGACATGGGACTTGCGGGGCACAGCCCCCAAGTGCGAGGACGATAGTTGTAAGTATCCCTCCCTTGTAAGGAGTCACGACCTAACAGCGTGGCAGCGGCGTCTGCGAAATGTGTCCACTGCAAAAATTTGAAAAAGGAATGCATTTTTGTGAGTATAACCCCTCCTGGGACGACGCTCCCGCGTCGTGGCTTCGTTGACGCTGCTAGGTTGTGTCTACCCTCAGAGCCAGAGGGATTGAATTGCAGAAGGCCATCGCGAAGAAGCGCGCCCACCGCATGGATTGGGCTTTGAGGAACTGCTAGTACTACTCGAGCACCTCTTTTAATGGCAACAGCTGGTTCGACCTAAATACTGATTTCATGACGAGGGAAGAGGGATGGCGACAAGAAAGAAAGACAGCTAGCGGAACCGCCTGTGCTATACCCGTGGAGATCCTGGGAAGAATTTCCAATTCAGATTCAGGATCGTCGCTTTTTGCGGCATCACAGATATTGCTGATATTGCGTCGCCTACTAGGGATGGGTGGTTCCTGTCAGACTTCTGGATGTTTAACCACCTCTTTCGCAGTGCACCAGTTGCCAACCAGACCTGGCTTACCTGCTGCAGCCCAAAACATCCTGTCGACAACGAACTCGGGTCGGACGCCCCAGACACCGTGCGATACGGAAGTGTTATGAACTTATGCCGAATGAATGGCGTGCTCTTGATCGCCACTACAACACACCTGACAATCGGCGCTGCGCCGCTACCTAGGAGAATGCTTCAACATAGTAGTGGAGGTGATCCCGTTTCCTACAAAGGAGAGATCGGAGAATTCAGTGACACTCTTGATCTAGCACACTTCGCCATGTTTAGTATCTCTAGAGCCGCGGATTATGGTCCGCTCTTGCGAACCTAGCTCTCGTGAACCAGGACTGCCGACAACTAGCTCGTTCACGCCAGTTTGCTATGGTCCATCTGGACTATAGCAATAGAAGTTTCCAACTTCGTCTGTTCCCGGATTACAAGGCTACGATCCCGAACATCTACATAGATGTACACGCTCGTCACCAGATATATGATGAAATAGCCGGATCTAGATCAGTTTAGACACGAATGCTCGAGCTGCAATCCACAACAACAGCCTTTTCAGCAAGCCCCCGCAACAGCCACAACTCTGTGGCAATCTCCGACTGCCGTGTGAACATGCCCAGTACCAACATCTTTCGGCGCCTCCGCTTCACTGACCTTAGACACAACCTCAATCCATAATCATCACACCAGTAGACTGGTATTGCATCATGTCTATTGATGTTCCGGGGAATGTTTGGGCTGAGCCAAATCCCCGCCGTCCGTTCTGCACGCTTCGTCTCCCCACGACCGGGGAATCAGCAACAAATACATTAACCCAGTCTCGAGGGGGAAATCATGGAGGCGATGAAGGAGAAGTCGGAGAAGGAATGGGTCCCCGCGGGGCTCGAGAACCCTAGCCCACGCTCTACTGTGCCCTGGACGGTTCTTGCGGAGAGAAGGCGAAGACGTACAGAGACGGTCGCGCGCTGTTACATGAGGTTTTCTCCAAGATCGATATGCCCGGTGTGGAGGAATGGAGATTCAAGCTCCAGTCCTGAATATAACGCTTACAGTGGTTGAATTGTCGAAGCTAGAAATTGGCTTTTCCCAGTTTATTTGTCGGATGAACTTGGACTGAAAGGCAAAGGGGAGATATGATCGAGGACCTATGAAGGACGCTGGCGAGGGATTCGACAAATACACCTCCGACCCCTACCTCGGACAGTTGAAGCATGTGGGGACAGACATAGGAAGTCGCTAAAGGAAGAGAAAGAGGCATCGTCCTGAACCGCCCATCATGAAATGGCTGGTTACAATACTCGACAGGTGTGGGCGACGATTGCACCGATCCTGGCAAGCCATCAAAAACCCCGGATTCTCCACAACAATTTCTGCCGATCTTGTGTACACCGCGACTGGTGTTATCTCCGCAAATGACCTTGCTGCTATACGCTTTTCGGGGTCATATCGGCATACCAACTTATGAAAGCTATCCAAAAAGTCATAATAGAATTTGATGCCGCGAAGGCGGGGGCCCCACGCAAAAGGGTCTACTCATGGTACTGCACAAATGCCTGCCGACGAGCAGAGACATGCATACTCGCTCTTCCCACTCCGCGCCGGCTGCCTTTAACCATCCCAAATATTGAGCCACAGACCCTCGTACATTAATGCGATTCTCTTCTAACGGGCCGGCATATTGGTCGTGGGCGGGTGTTCTTCCTGCAAGGGAGAATGGGGAGTTTTCCCCGAGTGTCGTATTTTGCCGTGGTTTTGGGAGAGGCTGCTGTGCTAATTCCAGCTTCAGAGACCATGGCGAACGATGTTCGGTCCGTGGGGACGATTGGGACTGGGAGCAACCGGACGAGCGAGTCCCGGGGTTGCATGCGTTGCCGAAAAGGGAGGAGGACGACGACGACATAACATATTAGCAGCCCGCTCTTTATTGACAACAAGTCTTATACGGAAGCTACACGGTTTCCACGTCCGTTACACTCCCACCCGAGGGACCCCTCTGCCGCCAACCCCTTCCCTACACGACATGTAAGTGCCCTTTTGATTGAGCTTGGGGTGTTATCCTAATTGTCAAGTAGTATTGCCTTCGTTAAAAATGGCGTTCCTTTGTCTCCAGCCAGCTGTCAACTGTGGCGATCTATCCCCCCGCCATTTGGGAGCTCACCTTGAGCCCAGTGTTCTTGTCCAGATGCTCGAATATACTTTTGGAAGTCTAACTGTATACAAATATGTGAGTTTCAGTCTTGAAAGAAAAAGAAGAACACTTCTCTACCCGCTTTACACTGTCAACATTGCAAGCAAACTACTGCTGCCCTCACACACTGTTGTCAACTTGAATCGCTGTTGTCATTCTATCGCAAATCAGCCTCCTTTTCCTCCGATTTAGTGTTGGCAGCAGCTCAAGTGGCACTCAACAATCATGCCAATCTTCTCGCCCAACCCCTGCCTCTCCTCTGCACCTCCCTTGGTGTAAATTCTACGAACGATCTGACAGCGTACGCATCTTAGGTCATCTCTGCGTATCAACTACTAGCAGCTGTACCCGCCATCGCCATCCCGTCAAAGGCCCCCGACGACTACAATCAGGGATGATACGACATCTTACGGCCTGGCATAATGATCTCCTCGGGTCGGTTCTTGGGAGGCGGTTCTGCCCCCCCACGCTCAGAGTTGTATACTACTACTGGCGTGCTCGTTAAAGATAAGGATGGCAATGAATATGTGACCGCCCGAGCAGCGCCGCGCCCTCGCACTTCCGGGCCGGGACGTCCCATTCCGAGAGGGTCGTCTACAACCATCACAGCTCGCGACCCATCGGCCGTCGTACGTGAATGCCCTGCTCATCCAACGGGCTGGGGTCTTGGTTCCGGGGGGCTGTTCCACAACAACCTCTTTCGGCCAAGATGTCTCCTCGCGGCAACGCCCACCTGCGTGACCCGCGAGGGGCGCTCAAAGTGCAATCGCTGTACCGACAAAAGGAAGGCTTGTCACCCCGTCCCCCCGGAGTTTGTTGTCCGCCTTAACAAATTGCTCGTCCTTTCGGACCGCGTAAAGGCGGCCATCGCGGCCGACCCTACTTCCGCCCGGGCCGCCAACCTGGAGTCTCAATTCCGGCAGGCGCGCCTGCGCGGACACTTTCTCCTTCGCACAACCCTCCGCCCGATAAAACCTTCGCCATTTCCGCCTGATTGAACCTCTTTCCTCGTCAACATGCCGTCCAAAGATGGACCAACCCGGGACGATCTTCTGCCTTGTTCCCGACAATAAATATGCTACAGAGATCGTCGGCAATCCCGCTAACCGCGACCGAAGATGTGTGGATCCAGGCCGAGGTCTTGTTATTACAGATGCCGAATGTCAAGGAATAGGAGTTGAACTCGGTCGCCCAATTGTCTATAGTAGGCACATCGGATCCACGATCCATGTGATCCCGCAAACCGCGATCTGGGCCGTACGATCAACCGAGTTTTAACGCTCCTACCAACGATCTGTACGGGTAGCCCTTTACAAGACGCTGACCTAAATTATCCGACGCATACATGAAGGACTCGACCGTACATTACGGGCCGCAGTACGGATTTGGGATGGCATGACCATGAGTGAGTTCCAGAATGCGGTATACGCGGCTGAGACGTCCTGCCGGGACAACTACAAGCAAGTGACCGAGATGATCAAGAATCAGATCCAAGAGAACAACAAGGACCGAGAGAGGCGCGACCAGCCTCGCGATTTCCCTACTCACGGAAGAGCGCCTTGCTTCCGAGACTCAGTCACTTCCCCCAGCTACGTCTGGAAAAGCCTTTGTCGAGGAACCCTCTGAGGCTACGTCTAGTAACGCAGCTGTTACAGCTAAAGGCAGCCTTGACGACAAAGACTTCGACACTGAAGATGCATTTGAACATGATGCGAACTCAAGTAAAGATGAATCCGACCTCGATGACACTAACGATAATTCCATCCCCGGTCTAGAGCAGTCTGAAACCCCTGACGAAGATGAAGGAAGCATAACTAGTGATTCTCTTCCTTTTGGACACCACTATGATTACTTTGTACATACAGTTCCAGAAGTCAATGATGAGTGTGTCTTGCGCTTTAGGTACTGTCTCACTATCCTCTTGGATGGCCTTCGAGAAGCGGGGCGGCGTCATACAAGAGGTTGAAAAGGAGCACACGAACACCATGGAACTGTGGCGTAAGCGTCACAGTAATTCGAACAGGCAGGAAGGCTCAGATGACGGAGGGTCTAGCAAGCACGGCGGCTTTATAGGTCCTCGTGGGCCTTAAGGAGCAGCCCATATCATACCGTTCGCGCTCGGCTCGTTCCGAAACGAAGTCTGCCAACACGGGGCGTTAGAGTGTGGTTTTCTTAGTTTCGTGAATGTCGACTCACGAAGCTGCGACCTACGCTACTCCTAAAAGACGAGGACCCAAGGTCACGACAGGGAGAATGCCCTCCCATATCATCGAAATCCAGACGCCAGGACGCTTAAGAGTACTCCAATGGAATCCGAAGCCTGCTTTCAGGCAATAGTGCCCGAACACAAGTTCTCATGTGCAATTCGGCGCCCGTTCCCTAATCCAGATGGTTTTGTCATGACTGTAGGTGGCAAGCTTTACAACTCAGCTCTTACCAACTCTTTCCTTCATTTTCGTCAGCAATGTAAGTTTTATAGTAAATATAGCATTATATGAGCCGTGGCGAAGGCTTCGACAGATGGCTCGCTTTACTCTTTATTACATCAAGCTGACTTCTATAGTCACTCAAATATTTCCTATTTCCGTGGATGATTTCCTCCGAACAATCTCTCCGGCGTTCAATCATAAATACCTAAAGGAATTTGAGGCCAGCTGTTATCATTTTGATCATATCATCGGCAGCCTCACCCCTCCTAGCTCCACATCGTCGTCGATCCCACGCCATGATCCAGGCCCCCCAAATCTCTCAGACACCTTCATATGTTGCTTGGATTTTGACTCGTGGGTTGCTGACATTTGCCAGGCCATTGCTCTCTACTACTGCTTTGAGACTATTACTCCAGGTAGAAAGCATACTCTTTACCGCGTCCACACTCAGTGATGAAGAAGCTGGCGACGATGACACGTCCGACAGTGAAGGCAATAAAAACGAGAGTAAACCTGGCGGGGAGGGTAACGAAACCGAGGGTGAAAGTGGTGGAGACGGAGGTATCCTTATATCCCCGACGAGATATGAGCCTGGTCATTATCCTAGGTTGTAGCCAGCCGTCATGGGGTAACTTTACGGAATTGTCGACGATCACCCGCGAAGCTAGGAATAACCGCCTCACGGACATTGTAGGGTTTTGCGGGGCTGCTTTTCGCCGGTGAGATTGCTCAGATTAGTTCTGCGAGCAGTGAGCATGAACAGGCATCAGCCTGAGTACAGAATCGGTCCAAACTTGGAAGGCTCACTTCAAGTATCAGGGTTCTATCTTCCCAAGTCTCGTCCCAAGCAGCTTCCAGTCCTCTACTGCAAAACCTTGGTGCTCTGCCGCGTTCCGCGCACCAGACAATCAGCGAGCTAGGTAGGGTAGGCCACGAAGCCACAAGATCTAGAAGCCAAGTCAGGAAGCTAATATATTTATATTTATAGAGCTTCTTCCTCTTCAACAGAAAACCCTAATTCAAGTCTCGCAACGTAAGTGTTGCATTCCTAGATGTGCATCCACAACCCCCTTCCATCAATCATCCATCCTCCTCAAAGATCCTCTATCAATCGTTTATCCATTCTCATTAATTATCAATCATCGTTCAATCACTCACATATCTATAGAACCTTACCTCATAACTCTCATAAGTTAGTTGATAACAAAAGCGCGGTCTTTCTATTTAACCCTTTTACTGCAAACTAACCATTACTACTTAGTGGGTAAGCATAAGTATGGGAAGATGACAATTGTAAGTTTTCCCCCTGCCTATAGACAAGACTGCGAGCTAACTGCGAGGTAGCGGCTTCGGCCAAATGTACCCACTGTCGAGCCCACAAGAAAGATTGTATCACGGTAAGCCATGAACCGCCTGAAGCGACGCTCCTGCGTCGTGGAGTCGACGCTGTTGCTAACTGTCGTAGGTCGTGGCGAGATAATTGAAGCCCCTCTATTCACAACACTTGACAACGTATGCCTGAGATCTTCTAGGTCTTTTTTCTTCAGCACCTCTCATCAATCACAACCGTTAGTAAAATGGCAGCCAGCTCAAGCTCGATGCTACAACCTACTTCCTTTGGAGGATACGGCAGGCAGACAAGTACCTACGGAGGGCCTTAAAGGCCCAGGCTGATACTGCGAAACTCTGAATGGCAGTTTCCAGCAGTGAGTTTTCTGCCAGAGATGAAGTTTACTGTGTGCAGGAGACTTCCACAGCGCCCGAATCTCGCCAAAGAGTTGATGTAACCGTCTATCGAATTGTCAATAGACGCTAACGTAATCAACTCTATGCAGAATTCAAACGTTCTAGATTAAGTACACGAAAAGTCAAACAGGCAGAGAAGCAAGTTGACAATTACTGTAAAGCTTTAACCCGAAAGGATGAAACGACTACTAGCATTAGGGCCCTGTGCTGCCATGGAACAAAGGCAGCTATTCCAAGGCTCGGGGACAGGAGTTGGTCTCCGTCGCAAATGCAGCGAGAAAGGACGAGGTAAGGTAGGTAGCTAGGGGCACGCTGTTACGCCGTCGCTAACTTTCTGTAGCAAGCCATCAAAGATGTGCAAACCGCTGTGGATAAATATTTGTAGCATCTCAAGAATCGGTCTACAAAGTCGTCCAAGGCACCGCATTCCTTCTTGCTAGTCTTCCATGTGCCCATCAATCCTTTATCTTCTTCCAATCATCTATTGACTTTCAATCGCTCATCCTCGATCAATAACTTGACACATTTATAGCGACTCCAAACCGTCGCCATGCATTCTGTTGCTCCAATCCTTCATTTCTTTTCAGCGATGCGACCAGACGTCGAAGCCGGCCCCTCGCAACTCTATCGCACAGCCAAGGTGGATCCAGGCTTCGAACCTATCAGTGGGCAGAAGGTCCGTGACGAAGTTCGCGAGCTACACTGCCTGCTCCTTCCCAACGATGGTAGTCGTATTCAGCCATTTGGCTCTTTCTATCTCTCCGGGTGCTTCTTCTCTCTTGTTCGTCTTGATCGAACAATATCAAGATGGCGCCCCTCGCAAACAACACAGACACATCTCTCGATTACACCGCGTTGACTTCAGGGTCTGGCAACACGGAGTCGACAGAGACGGAGACCCTGAGCGCCCACGGGCATGGGCTCTGTACGACCCAGCCAAGCTGCCGATACTCTATCCACACTAGTATCACGACTCGGAGGGCGCGAACGGATTCCCTGCCAATGTCATCCTTCCAGGAAGAGCTATAGTGCCCGTTACTCAACTCCGGGATATTTGGACGAAAGGGAGGGTGAAATAGCGGCCGATGAGACACGCGGGGTAGCTGCGGACGTGGGCAACTTGGCAGGCTTAGACTACCCGAAGCAAAAGTAGTGTGTCGAGCTCTCAAAGAACCCTTATGTCAGCATCTAAAGTCCTATATTTTTGCCGATCAGAAAGAGCCAAGGTCACGATCTTGTAGATCCGGTAGATTATGGCAATGCAGAAACGGCATCATATGTTATTCTGACTGGCAGATCTTATGTTAGCAAGTGTGACACGCGTACGCAATTCCAGACATTCGCAGTGCTCGGGCTGATTTGAATGCAGATCCAAACTTCAACAAAAGCGAAAGAAGTCGCATTCGCAGCAGAAAACCAGCGAGAGCAATAACCTCATCACCGTCCGTCTACAGGGAATGTCAAACCTCATGGGCTGGAGGCAATGGTTGGCAAAGAACACCCTACTCTCACTCCACCCGATGAGTAGACTATGTACAAGGCATACTTTACGTGCTATGATGCATACCCCTTTGCTACGGATATCAAGATGCTTCTCCGAGAAACTGACTCACTCTCTAAGAACCATACAACCACTGGACATGTATGTGTTATGTTCTTGTTACACGATGGGCTGGAGTACTGCTATTAGCATGTCGCCTCACCCCAGCCTGTCATTTACCTACCTATCAGGCCGGCCCAAAGAGTGTCCCCTCGCCACGAGGTAATCGGAGTCAAAGACCGGTCTAGGCATGGACAATGTCTTTACAACCTCGCTTCTTTAAGAATTAGAACCGACAGGCATAATTGCCTTCGTGGCGTCACAACCCGTCAGACAATTCCCTATTCAGCTTCTCCACTCCGCGATTTCATTTACTGCGAACAGTCTGGTTTAGACGACCCTTGTGCGGAAATTATATATCGAAGAGAGGCTGTCGAGTTTTTCCAACCAGATCTCTACCATGACAGCGTTGCGAAGGGGAGATTTCTGTACGATAGATTGACGAGGAGTCTGGTGCCGCCTGTCGTTCTCATGCCTTGTTATAACGCGAAGGTCATGATGAGGCAAGGACGGAAGTTGGCGATACTGTGTCACACGCAAGGAGAGCCGGGAATGAATTACCAATCTACGGCTACGGGCTGTCCTAGGCAACACAGGCGCTCTTTGTATGGCCTATAGGTGCGGAATCGCTTGAACCTAGCACATTGTTGCTTTACTGCAACCCAATCCCTTCGATTCTTGACGCGTTATGCGACCACTTGCTGATACCCTTTTGACACACTTCACACACAGTTATTTGCTTTACTTTTCATGGCTCGGTATTATGGCAGCGAGGGCGCTGACCTTTTGTCTCTAAAAGGGGGCGAAAGATACAGTTCCGTGACACCGTGATATATCGAATCTACGGTCTCTAAGACCCGGAAATTTACAATCAATGCCGCATGCTGGGCCAAGTTTCAACGCCCCTACAGAAGATCTATGCGATGATCCCCCGCAGGCAGGCGATCTAAACGACTTGGATGCGCGGCTCCGTGATGTTCGCGCCCAAAAGCCCCGCGTTTCTGGGTGGCCTGCACGAAATGGGAGTCGCTTTACGAGGTCACGACTGGGCCTTTACGTTACCATGCTACCAATGCGCCGCCACTATGGGATACCAGTCGCCGAAGGGATGGCCGCTGGCCGAGAGACAGATGTACCATGCCACCTATGATATGGCGAAGCGAGTTATTAACGACAACCCGCAAATGTGTGCCGTGAAAGAGGCGAGACTCGTGTCCATCGAAGCGATTTCGAACCATCAATCCAACGATCAAAATGCCATCTAGCAAGAGAGAGGTACCATGCAAGCGCTGCTTGAACCGGCTTGCAACATGGGATCTAAAGGGGACGCCGCCATCGTGCGAAGACGACGAATGTAAGTATCTCCACTTCTCTTGTCATGACCGCGATCTGACAGCGAGGTAGCGGCATCCGCGAAATGCACCCATTGCCGGGGGCACAGGACGGTATGGGGCGTGTCACTTCAGGCTCTGATACCTCTAATAGCGGGTTTATCTCGCGCTACGGGTTCGAGAAAGGAAACAACCCCCTACCTACACTCCTGAACAGCTAGGACTGTCAGAAGTGGCGAATAAGATCATCGCAGGACGCATACGCTCTACTGCAATAGATCAGAAGCTGCAGAAAGAACTGTGTCTCCTCCTCGAATCGCCCACTCATGGCTGAAACTCGATCTTAACGCTCCTCTATCCTACTTACCATCCCTTCACCTACCACCTACCTACTATCCTACTTACCATCCCTTCACCTACCACCAAATCCACCAACTACAACTCCAACACCAAGTCCGATACCAAAGTGAGTATACGGCCCTACTTACGGCCCGTTGTTCCTAACCTCATGGACTGTTTCTAGATGGATCGCTTTGAAAAGGACTTTCCCGCGCCCGTAAAGGGTGCCGTGGTACGTGGCGGCTCACAGTAAGTCAACCCTTAGATCTAGGGAGGAAGGAGACTAACGGACCCGACAGGCCCCCTACCACCACTACCTCTGCCCATGCTGGCGCGTAAGTAACTACCTACCTCTAGCCGTAACGGACTGCTGTATGCGTAGCTAACGGCCTGTCAATAGTCGTGCCAGCTCTGTCCCTGGCTCCCCCCCTCCTGGCTTTCAAGCCACGTTCCTGGCTGTCGTCGCGGCCGCCGTCGCCCCTGCCATCGCCCCCGCCCCCGCCCCCGTCCCGTAAGTTAGCCAAAGACCCTGAATACAGAGCGTACAGCAATACTAACCTGTCCGTTAGGGCCATCGCCCTGCCACCCCTCCCCCAGAATGCAACCTGCGCCGCAACGGCCCTCGCTGCCATGGCACCACAGCGGCCGGCGACTCTCCGGCCGGGCCGTAACCCGACGAACCGGAACCGGGCCAGCAACCTGGAGGCTGAGCTTTCAACGCCCCAGGTTGTAGCCACTGCCAAAGTGGCGCTGGCCCGTGGACGGTTTGTGTTACGGTCCCGGGACGGCTGAGTCGGAGTTGCGCCAACTGCGGCATCGTATATGCGATCGTCGAGACAAAGAAGATTCTAGCTTCGTATGTTACTTAGACTAATACTACATCAAGGAGGCGATAGAACAGTCTACGGAATAATCGCTATGAAAGATACTGGTTCTGACGTATTATCGCTAAGACCGGGTTCACTATGGGACATACACAAGTTTTCATTTGCCTCTTAAGACGACCTTTGGGCCAAAGCATGGGGGAGGAGGACTGGACTTCCTCTCTTGAATTACAAAGAGAAGTGGGAAAGCCTGCCAGAAGCTCCACTGACGAAGAATATCTACCCACCAGCGGCGGCATGACGGCAAGAGGATCCGCATACAAGAAACGGCCCAGCTTGTGACCTGGATTATGACCCGTACGTCAAACACGGCACACATGGCGAGAACACGCAACCGGTAAGTCCCATCAGGAACTTCAACTACGGTGTCGTGTAGGTACCCAGGCTTGTTTCTAATATACTAATGCTCCCGGCACAGATTTGTTGTCGTCTCGCAAGATCGCCACCAGGTCTAGCTGACCTTTGCGAGGCTTGAGGACCACTACCTCGGATACTAGAGAGACAGTCATCAACAACCAGTCGTCAGGACGACAATTTGCGAAATGGGGGGATTCCGGATCAATAGTGACTAATTAGAATATAGAGTGGATTGGCATTGTCATGTCAGGCGAGAGCACCAATGACACGGCTTATGATGCAGTGGTTACGGTGGGTGGTCTATTGTGTGCTGTTGTTGCCGCTCGTACTCTGGTATGGGAAGGGGAGGTTGGCCAAAGCCCTTGGGGACTACCTCGACCAAAGGTCTGAGTTACGCCGTATCCTCGCCCGGCCAGTGATTGCCGCCTTGCAGTTGTTGCGGAGGGTGTTAAAAGAGGCCGCAAGATGGGCGCAGGGGGCGCAGGAACAAGAGCAGTTGTGGGAGCGATGGGTTGAGGAGGGTTCGAATAATCGGCGAGGATGAAGCGTGGTAACCTTCGCGCCCTTATTTCCGCCTGTGGTCTCATGGCTATCAGCCAGCTTGGAGGCTTCGACAGTCTGCTAGCACAGGAGATTATCGATGATGTTAAAGCCAAGACCGGCGGAACGATCACTCTCCCATAATAGTCGACCTCGTCTACTCGAGTACCTCCTCCATGGGCAGCATGAGTAGGAAAAATCACTTTTCCTCTTTCCTCTACCTGGTGGAAGGGGGCCGTGGAATGTGACCTGTCGAGACGATATGGAAAGATTAGGCCTGATTATCGAGGGCATCCGCCTCAGGGGGGAGTTTGACGGACTGATCGCTCGCGCTACGGCCGGCATCCCTTGAGTGAAGGTGCTAGTGATCGCAGCTATTGCAACCTGGAGGCTGATCTTGCCCACATGGTGGGCCAAGTGAACACTCAGGTTGTAGCCACTGCCAAGGTGGCGCTGGCCCGTGGACGGTTTGCGTTACGGTCCCGGGACGGCTGAGTCGGAGTTGCGCGAACTGCCACTATAGCAGCGAGGGAATCCGGTGCTCCCTCCGTAAGTTGAATTAACAGGGCAGATTCGGGCCATACCCTGACTAATAGGCCGTAGGTCAGGCTGCCGCACCCGCGCCGTCCGCCGCCCTCACCTCAGCCATCAATGCCGCATTTGCGGCCGCGCCTGTGCCCCTGGGTCCGCCCGTTGCACCGCCCGTCTCCCTGGCCCAGTCCTTGGGAGCTGCCCTTGCGGCCCGGCCTACCCGTCGCCGTAAGCTTAAGTGAACTACCCCTGTTAGATACGGATGGAAAACTTACTACGTGTAGTGGCTCTCTCATCCATCGCGTCCGGTCCAAGTGGTAATGCCCTCGGTTTCCTTGGCATGCTTAACTTCAAGCTACAGTGGCTCGCGGGTTACCTGGCGAAAAAAGTAATGGCGGAAAACGGTCGGGTCGTCATAATGGTTCAGTGGCCCGCAATAGAGGACGCCCCCCTGGGGAAGCCTTCCCCCATATCGTCGCCAGCGTTCATCGTATAGAGGGACGGGAAACCTCGGGTGGTAGTTGACCTTCGTCGGGTCAACACAAAGCTGCACGCGGACGCATACCCATTACCAAAGCAAGACGATATTCTAACCTCAATGAATGGCAGCGAAGTCTTCTCGGTTCTGGATATGACAAGGATGGAAGACCTCTGGATTCCTGGCAATGCTCAACTTTAAGGTAAGGAAGATGACTGCAGTCAACTAGAGCGCAACAGCTAACGCTTAACAGGTTGAAGAACTAAAGTCCTCCCAGCCCGTCGCAGAGCGCAGACGGGTCGTCGAGTTGTTCAACGACCCGACAAGCCCGGTGGAGGTACTGGTGGCCAATGCGCGCATTGCCTCAGTTGGACTCAACCCCCACCGGGCTTGTCATGCTCACGGGTGACACGCGACAGAAGAGCCCTTTCCTGAACACTGTAATCACAGTGACAGGAGCGTAGGCTTACACGGTAGCGTACGACAGTATCCGCGTTCCCTTTTGCCTTTTGAAAGTAGGAACCATACTTTTGATCCAACTTCAATGATCATTTGCGCGGCTCTCCCAGCTTCCACACGAGAATCCAAGCCACAGACGATCCAAGCCAGGCACCACGGCATGGCAGTGCACGCCATGCCTGTGCACCGCACAGGTGCGCTATGCAACATTTCGCGTTGCAGAAGTTGCTCGCCTTAAAGAGACTCCTCGACACTGCATCAGAGGATGAGGTCGGATTCAACCCGGCGTCCTCTCGGTCGGCATTGTCAGCAATTACCTCGGAGTAGTGGCCTGGGCGAAGGCCATGATAGCGGCACATCTAGACAACCGGTTTTCGGCACACACGGTCGAAGCGGTGCAAGGGTTGTAATTCTTACCGCATACACAGCTTGGCAGCTCCGCTCATTATACACTGAGGGAGATGTTACTGCTAAGGGGAAGGGGAAGGAGCGAGAAGCATGCAGAAGGGCTTCGTCATGCGTCTTGACCCGAACCGCAGGTTGATGGCGTTCACAGGGTTGCCTAAGGACAACTTGGTAGCAGGATTCTCGGTGGAGATACGGATACCTAGTCATGGTCACGGACAGTTCATTGCAACCAGCGACGTACAGCAAACAGTCAGAGCGATTCATGGTCGACAGTCCTACAACGCAGCATGTATACAGCCAGTACCTCTTCGCAAAGGGGATAGACGCCGTTCAGCAGGTCGAACTGGACCGCGACATAGCCACTGAATGCAGCCGTTGCGGGGACCGCGTGTGCCTCCGACATGCCCGACCCCGACGTGCCCGCCGTGCGTCTGCGGTCCTCCCCCTATTACCGAGAGCCTACCTCTTGGCACGGTCCAAGTATTAGGCGTCCTAATACTAGGTAGGATACGTAGGTCGGCGTTGGGCGACTAGACTAATAGCCGGCTCGGGTGGGCCAAAAGCCGCACCACGTATCATATCTAGACTATAGAATCTATCTCTTTGATCTGCGTGCTCCCAGCACAACATGATCTCGAAGGAATGGGTGGGCGGCAGTGGGCTGACTTAGCCTGTCTGTACTAAAATGATGATGGCTTTTATGCGATATTAGACAGTGTGCTTGGATCGAGTGTGAGAATTATACGAGCAGTGTATAAGGAGGATCTTGGATATAGGGCGGTGGAGAGAGGGAGTGGTCGTTATTAGACTAGAAGCAAAGTTCAAGATGGAGGATTGAAAACGAGAACTTTCTACGTCGAGTTGTCCAAAAGTCGTTGACCGGTTCCGCCCAGGGAGTATCATGAGCTGAGTCTCTATCCCCGTGTGTGCCCTATAAGCAGCAAGGTTGTTGAGCATTCGTCTTCCTATATTACACTTGGTTTGGGACGTTCGGCGAGTCGGCGACTAAGGCAAGCATTTAAATTGTGGATTGGCCAGTCTCTGTATAGTTGATTGATGTCGTGCTGGAATTGAGTCATTCTTATATTGAATAACATTCTGTTGCATGTATTGCAACTCGTGAGGATGTTTTCGTAGGTAAGGTAGGTATCTAGTAGTGAGTTACGATCGTCGTTTAAATAAGGGGGGGGAGGTGATTTACTGTGGCGTCACGCCCAGGGGTTCTGTGGCGGTGCAGCCCTCCAGCCGTGACTACGTCATCCAACAACCTCCCTCAAAAACGCCTCTCACCTCCCTTTCATCGCGCACAATGTAAGTTGCGGCGACGCCCTCTCCCACAACCCTTCAACATGGCGTCCCTGCTACGGCAAATCGTGGCGGGCCCGCGCTCGCGCCACCCAGAAACCGGGCTCGACCTCTGCTACGTGACGGACCAGCTCATCGCGACCTCGGGCCCCAGCGCCACGTATCCGCAGCGGGCGTACCGCAACCCTCTGGACCAACTCGTGCGGTTCCTCGACTCGAAACACGGCGATGGCTGGGCGATCTGGGAGTTCCGCGCTGAGGGCGCGGGGTATCCCGACGAGGAGGTGTATGGTCGGGTTTGGCATTATCCGTGGCCGGATCACCACCCGCCGCCGTTTCGACTGGTGCCGATGATATTGGCGAGCATGCGGAATTGGCTGCGCGAGCGAGAGGATAGAGTCGTCGTCGTGCATTGTAAGGCCGGGAAGGGCAGGAGTGGGACGATTGCGTGCAGCTATTTGATTGCCGAGTGTGGATGGAATCCTGCGGAGGCGTTGGCGCGGTTTACGGAGAGGAGGATGCGTCCGGGGTTTGGACAGGGCGTCTCTATCCCGAGTCAACTGCGCTGGATTGGATACGTGGATCGCTGGGCGAAGGCGGGGAAGCTATATGTGGACAGACAGATTGAGATCGTGGAAGTGCACGTTTGGGGCTTGAGGGATGGGGTGAAGGTGCAAATTGAGGGCTTCGTGAATGAAGGGAAGGTGATAAAGATCATGCACACTTTTACAAAGAGGGAGCGGGTTGTTGTAGAAGGGAATGCGCCGGGTAGTGGAGGCATTACGGATATGCTTTCGGACATGGCGGGATTTCAGACCTCTGAGAAGGGGAAAGAATCGGAAAGCACAGATTCCCTTGACAAAGAGAGCAAGACTATTCCTCGAGCTAGGATACCCGAAACTGCGTCGCCAGGTTCATCAAGCCCCGATCCCGAAGCTGGTGGCCGAGCTGTGATCTTCAGACCTTCAAAAAAAGTCGTCGTTCCGTCCAGCGACGTCAATATTGATATCGAGAGACGGAATAAAGCATCCATGGGGTGGACGATGGTGACGGCGGTAGCCCACGTCTGGTTCAATGCATATTTTGAAGGAAACGGACCCGAGCAAAATGGAAAGCCTGACGACACTGGGGTTTTCGAAATCGACTGGGACAAACTGGACGGTATCAAAGGCTCGAGCAGGAAAGGCACTCGGGCATTAGATCGGCTAGCCGTGGTATGGAAAGTACATGAGCCGGAACCTGGACGAGGAAGGAAAGAGGATGTAATCCGTGAGCCGGGTGTCAATTCGCCCGTGCCTCAAATGGCCGCAGCAGATTGGAAGGGTGGCAATGAAACGTCGCCAGGGTTGCCGACGGGTCTTGGCCTTCGAAGCGAAAGCCCATGTGGTGCAGATGTTAGCAAGGCAAACAGTGTGAATAGCAACATTGTAAAAGGCAATGGCGAGAACGACGCGGATCTCGACTCTTTTGAGGGCTTGAAAATTAGCCCGACACCAGAAGAGGGGGGTTTGGAAGACGAGCTTGGTAACGCCAACCTGGACGACTCGCCCAAACCAGAGGATTCTCATGTACCTAACCTCAAGGAGGTAAATGCTGGCCTCGATACTGCATCCTCTACAACACCTCAGCAGGGATCCGGAACGTAAGTTCGCCCAGTACGTCCCTACGCTTCTGGATACTTGGTCAACATCAGCCAACTGTCGATGCTGACATCATCTCCTCGAAATCGACCTATCATATCCTACGCCGCGTATCAGAAGATCAGAGGAGCGATTAAAAGCGGCACATGCTTTGACAAGTCCGGTTCAACAAGACCATGGACTCGTGATAGTTTCAAAGGCCTGGAAGGCGTTGTAAGATAATAGGAGCTCTAAATTAATGATACCAATGCGTGACAAACTACGGCGAATAATCTAGAAACTAGCAGCAGATGGAATGGTATAAACCGCAATCCAAAAAATCATTGACTACTTGACTGATTCTCTCTTGAACAGAATTCCCACCTTGCGTCCTCTCAGCTATCACAAGCCGGATTTCCTTGTCAATTGACCAAATTAAAGTCAACTTTTACGTTGCACATACTGTTATGAGGGCAATGTCCCCTCCCTTCTCGGTGACTGGGCCATGGAGAAGAGATCATTTCTAGACAATAATCCAAAACCGGCATTGAACCATGGGACTATAGAACATTAGGAGGTTTCCAGGAGGACTTCGCCGAAGTATTTGTTGAGACCTAATTTTTGAGCTTTTAATTTGTAGGAGCATTTGCTGGCTTTGTGTGTAAAGTTGGTTGGGCAGATTTGGTCGGAGATGTAAATAAAGAGTTGAACACTCATGGATTAGATGTCAAAGCAGGGCTGAGCAAAGCGGGGCAAGATACATGGAAAAGTGAAAGGGAATGAAATGTAGAATAGGTAGATCTGGTTCTCAGGGGTAGATCACGTGGAATATTCAGGGGTTGAATGACGCTAATGCAGGCACTTTAACTCGATACGCGGTTGGACGCGACGCGACAGAACGCGACAAACTCTCCAAGAAAGTCCCACCTCGTTTTCCAAGATCGTTATACAACATCATCTCCAAAACCAGCCAACCTCAACCAAACTTAATTAACATGGACGGTCTACAGCTCAGAGATGAGGCGGTTCGCGACCGTGTCCGTGCTGCTCAAGAATTTCTTGATCCAGGTTCGTCGTTCTGGTCAACAACTGTCCTCCGTGTGCTAACGTCTCGCAGTCGATCGTTCCACAGCCCGAGGCTACAGATCAGACATCATTCTGATGCTGCAGAAATTCCAACGGAGACTCGTAGTTAGCATTGATGAAGTTCGTGCTCACAATGCTGAGCTTGCAGAAGGTCTGCTGCAGCAGCCGTTCGACTACGCCCAGGCCTTCGACAGAGCCCTTCACGAGGTGATCCAAACCCTTCCTAATACGACGCCGAAACAGACTTCCGAGGATGTCATGTACTATTGTGCATTCTCTGGCAGTTTTGGTCAATATGCGTGCAATCCTCGAACCCTCTCCTCGTCGCACCTCAACCACATGGTCTCCCTAGAAGGCATTGTCACAAGATGTTCTCTCGTGCGACCAAAAGTCGTCAAAAGCGTGCACTATAATGAAAAGAAGAAGGTGTTCCATTTCAGAGAATACAAAGATCAGACCATGACTGCCAGTGGCGCCAGCACTTCGAGTGTATACCCACAAGAGGATGAGGAAGGCAATCCTCTGATTACGGAGTACGGATACAGCACGTACAGGGATCATCAGACTATTTCCATTCAAGAAATGCCGGAACGGGCTCCGGCAGGACAATTGCCACGAGGAGTGGATGTTATTTTGGACGATGACCTTGTGGATAAGGTGAAGCCAGGGGATCGCGTTCAACTTGTTGGCATTTACCGATCCCTCGGAAACAGGAATGCGGGCCACAATAGCGCTCTATTCAAGACTGTGGTGATTGCAAACAACGTTGTCTTGCTGTCTTCAAAGTCTGGCGGAGGAATTGCAGCTGCAACCATCACCGACACAGATATCCGGAACATCAACAAGGTTTCAAAGAAGAAGAATCTGTTCGACCTCCTTTCCCAGTCGCTGGCACCTAGCATTTACGGCCATGAACACATCAAGAAGGCCATCCTTCTAATGTTGCTGGGTGGTCAGGAGAAGAACCTTGAGAACGGCACACATCTGAGAGGTGACATCAACATTCTCATGGTTGGTGACCCATCTACTGCCAAGTCCCAATTGCTCCGATTCGTCCTTAACACTGCTCCTCTCGCCATTGCTACTACTGGTCGAGGGTCATCTGGTGTTGGTCTGACGGCAGCTGTTACATCTGATAAAGAGACTGGGGAACGAAGGCTCGAAGCCGGTGCCATGGTTCTCGCTGATCGCGGTGTTGTCTGTATTGATGAATTCGACAAGATGTCCGACATCGATCGAGTTGCTATTCACGAAGTTATGGAACAGCAAACGGTTACAATTGCCAAGGCAGGCATTCACACATCCCTCAATTCTCGCTGCAGTGTGATTGCTGCTGCCAATCCAATTTTTGGTCAATACGACACACACAAGGATCCCCACAAGAATATTGCCCTTCCGGATTCTCTGCTTTCTCGTTTTGATTTACTTTTCGTTGTCACAGATGACATTGATGATTCCCGAGATCGTCAGATCTCAGAGCACGTTCTGAGAATGCATCGGTACAGACAGCCAGGGACCGAAGAAGGTGCCCCAGTTCGCGAGCAATCCCAGCAGACTCTCGGGGTTGGAGTGGAACAAGAGTCAGAAGCCAACCGTCCAACGGAGGTGTATGAAAAATTCGATCCGATGCTCCATGCTGGAGTGACTCTGACAACCGGTCGAGGATCGAATAAAAAAGTGGAAGTCCTCAGTATTCCCTTCATGAAAAAGTACATCCAATACGCCAAATCTCGAATAAAGCCAGTCTTGACCCAAGAAGCCTCTGATCGAATCAGCGACATCTATGTTGCACTCCGAAACGATGACATGCAAGGTAACCAGAGGAAGACCAGTCCCATGACCGTTCGTACCCTTGAAACAATCATCCGTCTTGCAACTGCACACGCCAAAGCACGTCTGTCAAATCGTGTCGAGGAACGAGATGCCCTTGCTGCTGAATCAATTCTTCGATTTGCCTTGTTCAAAGAAGTCGTGGAAGATGAGAAGAGAAGTAAGAGGAGGAAGACCCGCCCTCTCGAGGATGAATCGTCGGGTAATGAAAGCTCCGACTCGGACTCTGATTCTCCCCCTCCAACCACTAGAGCAGGTTCCTCTAGAACACCAGGAGGAACATCACGTACTCGTCTCTTAGCTAGTCGACGAGGTGGAACGAATGGTTCTTCTTCTCGCACAAATGGCGATACTGGTGGAGGCGCCATTTCGGAAGACGAAGAAGATGACATCTACACATCATCGCCACGGAAAACCACACAACGTTCCGGTCCCAGAATGAGTGGCGCTCTACCAACGCAGACCCAGACTTCCTTCGCCTCCTCGCTTCCTGCCTCTCAAATCCCGTCACAATCGCAGTCTCAAGAAGAGAGCGAGCTGGCGTCCGGAACTGCAGCGCTGAGTATAGCACCTGCTGCTATCACGCCAGCTAGACTTCAGCTTTTCAGAACAACGCTCGGTCAGCTTCTCAACACGCCGCTCTTTGAGAACGACTCTGCCTATGTGAATGATATTATGACGGCTGTGAACGAGCGTATCGGTGGTGCCGGCGGTGGTGCTTTTGATAGAGCGGAGGTGGAGGCTGCGTTGTTGAAGATGGACGAGGCGAATAATATTATGTGAGTACTCTCCTCCTGATCCCCACTCTTTTCAGCCAAGGAATTATAACTAACTTGGGCCAGGTATACCGATGGAGAGCTTGTGTATAAGATCTAGACGACTAGTGCGGATACAGGGGCTGTGGATGGGAGGGTGGAAGGTTGGCGTTGTGGGTATGGTTTGGAGATAAGATACATGAGGTCACTGTTTATGTTTTAATGATTGATATGCAAGTCTGAATCCAAAGAATTACCTAGTCTATAGTCATGGCTCATTTATCCCATGTCCAACCAAGTCTATAATGCCAATCGCCATAGTCTAGCCGTAAATATTAACCCTCACTCAGTACCCATCACGCCCCCCCCTTTCTATAAAAAACTCACTCCTCCAATCCCGCACGCTTCCGAAACGCTCGCAACCGGTCCTCAGCCCGCTCACCATTCCAGGTCTCTCTCCCATCCTGATCAACGCCCAAGACGGGAACACCGACCTGCTGAATACAAAAACTCGCCGCCACACTAGCCCAACAAGCCGCATCTTCCAGCCCCTGGCCCCTTGCCAGCGCCACCGCAAGGCCGCCTAGGAAGCCATTCCCACCGCCCGTCGGATCAACGACCTTCTCTTGATCGCCGTCGGAGAAATACGCCGGGAGCCAGCGCTCCAGGCTAGGATTCATCGGCACCTCTTCGCGCTCGAACGAGCCTTCGCTGTTCAGCAGGCCCGCGAACAGCGACTCGATATCCATGTCCAGGGTCAGGCCGCCGCGGGCGCGGTTCGCGGGGCGTTTCTTCCGCCGCTCGGAAGAGGGCCGGCGCGAGCGCCCGCCGTTCTTGGCTAGATAGCATCCTGCGGCTCCGCAGCGTATCACCAAGGCGTAGCTCTGCAAGGGCATGCTGCCGAGAAGCTGCTCGCAGGCGCGCTCGACGGCCTCCTTGGATACCTGGCCCGTCGACGCGTCGAGGCCCAGATCGGGATCGCCCATGAGCGAGGCCAGCTCGGCGTGGTTGGGACTGCAGATGTCGATGTAGGGCAGGGCGTTGGTGCAGTTGAGGAGCTCGCTGGGGACGCAGAGATCCGGGACGGGCTCCCATATGAAGAGCGGCTTCGCGGCGTGGGGATCGAGGGATTTGCGCCGTCGCAGGATGGCCGTCACGAGCTCGATGCAGCGCGTGGGACTGCAGATTAGGTGGAAGCTCTTGGAGAAGAGGAGCGTGGGCGTCAGCGCGTCTTCGTCGAGTCGCAGTTTGGGCGTCGTGTATTTGAAGGCTCGGTTCTGTGTGCTGTCGTAGCCGTTCCAGCCGCGGGTCGTGAGGCGGTTGGGATCATCGCGGATGAGGCATGACGTGCCCCAGGTGCGGATCTGAGTATCGATAGAGGTTGGGAAGTCGGAGCCTCGGTCAACGATCCAGGAGACGGTTTTGGAGAGCGGCGGTGGGGAGAAGAATCGGGCACCTAGAGCGGAGTAGGATCCGGCGCCGCCTAAGATGTCGTAGACGGGTGGGGTTGGAGGAGGGAAGTGGATCTCATCTGGGAGATGTTAGAGAGAATGAAGGGAGGGGATTCATGAAAGTATAGAGAATATATATAAAAAAAAGGTGGGGGGGGGGCGGAAGAGAGAACGAGGAAGCTTTCGACACGAATGATATGAAGAGCAATCTGGAGATGCTCGATACTAGGTATCACCTCATGGCATCAAACCCCAGGTTGGAAAGCAAGACATCAACTAGGTTGAAGGGGTTCTTGAAGAAAACATTGTAGGAGATCCTGTCTCCTGATTTTGTGAATTCAAGTAGCATACAAAAACACACCCCCCACTTTAGTTCTCAGAGCCCCTATTCAAGCTGTGAAGCTTTACAGGTCCAGATAAAAGCAGAATATCAAAAGCAATCCTATCAAAAGCCGGAGGGAAGAATTTGTAACCCTTTGCACTTGAGACTTCCCATTGTGTGAACAAGGCTCTGCAAAGGTGATAGCCTCAGATGGTGACAGCCTTGAAATTGGCCGATTGAACAAGTATGTATTTTGAGATAGGAAAATTGTCTTACCAATGATGAACATTCCCAGAGTACAGAAATCTATCTCCTGACTAGGAGAGATCTCTTCCTCCTCCGCCATTATCTGGTGTTTCTTTGGCGGAAGCAGTTTCTTGCGTGTTTGACCGCGTTGGAGCGGTAAGGCTGACACCAGATCTTTTTTTAGTGTGAGCCTCGTTGCCGCCTTAGATTGCAGGCATCAATACTCCCTGTCCGTTCTCCGTAGAAGCTCCTGAAATTGAGCTGCCTGACTTACTTTACTTACTGTCGCTCTCCATCCACAGCCAGGGAGACCGCGCACGCTTTTCCTTCCTTTCCTCCACCTCTTTTGTCAATTTATCTCCAGCTGCTGTCAACCCCCATCGGCTTGACATTTTCTTTCTTTGTGCCGTGCTCGTAACTCGTTGTCAGTGTATCGTCGTATCGCAGCCCAATCTGTCATCTGCAGCACCTCGCATCCCTGGGACCCTGCAGCTAATATGGCCACCAACCATATGAACAACCTTACCACCCTCATCAAACGGTACTGTTCAATCCTCTTTTCTTCTTTGAACAGTCCTCCACCATCCTGCTGTTCAACAACCCTGCAACATGGACGAAATAACATTACCTGCAATTCAGAGGTTGGAACTGACATCCATTATTCGTAGGCTGGAAGCTGCCACCTCCAGACTCGAGGACATTGCAACGTCTACCATTGAGGTTCCCAAGACCAATGGCTCTGCTCCCCCCACGCCTGCTCCGACAGGACCTCTTCCTCGAGCTCCTGTCCCGGCCGCTCTAGTTCCAGAATCCGAGATCCAATTTACACCGGTGTTACCACAATGTGTCGAGGAATTCGATTCGTTCATCAATGGTCCCTTGGTAAAGTTCGTCAACATCAGTGATGAGTTGGGAGGACCAGTGGCCGAGCAGGTGTGTGATAATGGCAGAACATCATTAGACAACTTGGCTGACGACGAACTAGGCGTCAAGTGTATTGCGGGCGTTTGCAGCACAGCGAAAATTCATCCTCATAACCACGAAGGCAAAGAAGCCTGATATGAGTAGCCCGGTGTTTATGGAGCTACTGAAGCCTCTGCAAGAATCGATTTCGGCCGTCAGCGATATTCGAGATGCTAATCGTGGTTCGCCCTTTTTCAATCACCTCAGTACGGTCTCAGAGAGTATCGGGGTGCTTGCTTGGGTAACAGTGGACACCAAGCCTCACAAACACGTCGAGGAGTCATTAGGATCCGCACAATACTGGGGAAACCGGGTCTTGAAGGAATACAAGGAGAAGTAGGAGACCAGAACGCCTATAAAGGGTAGAGAGGGTATTTGCTGACTAGATATAGGGACCCAAAGCAAGTCGAATGGGTAAATTCCTACTACCTGGTCTTCAAAGAACTTGTAGACTACGTGAAAGACACCTTTCCTATGGGAATTCCATGGAATCCTAGGGGTGTCTCCGCCGAGGAGGCAATGAAATCAGAAGTGCCCCCCCCGCCTCAGCCACTGAAATCAGCGGCCAGTCCTTCTCCACCACCTCCACCACCTCCTCCAGGACCACCACCACCACCTCTCAAGTTCGACGACGCCCCCAAACCGGCTCCAGCAAAGGAGGCCAGTGGTCTGGATGCTGTATTCTCAGAGTTGAACAAGGGTGAAGCTGTTACAAAGGGTCTCCGTAAAGTCAACCCTGATCAGATGACGCATAAGAACCCATCATTACGAGCAGGAGCTACCGTACCTACTCGGAGTGATAGCCAATCTAGCGTCTCCTCGATATCTCGTGGGAAGAGCCCAGCACCATCAAAGAAGCCGAAGCCAGAAGCGATGCGGACGAAGAAGCCTCCCGTGAAGAAGCTCGATGGAAACAAATGGATTATTGTGGGTTTCCTCAATCCTCCGCCATGTAATTGCTAACGGCTTTTCAGGAGAATTTTGATAACGAGGCGCAGCCAGTCGAGATTGAAGCCTCGATATCACACTCCATTCTCATCAGTCGCTGTAGCAAAACCACCATCATGGTCAAAGGCAAAGCGAATGCTATCTCGATCGATAACTCGCCCCGTCTCTCTCTCGTCGTCGAGTCCCTGGTCTCCTCAATCGACGTCATCAAATCCTCGAACTTTGCTCTTCAAGTACTAGGTACCCTGCCCACTATCCTCATGGACTCGGTAGATGGCGCACAAGTCTATCTCGGAAAGGACAGCATGAACACGGAAGTATTCTCTAGCAAATGCTCCGGCATCAACCTGAATCTCCTCGAAGGCGAAGATGGCGATTATAAGGAGGTTCCGATACCTGAGCAGATCCGCACGTATATTGGCAAGGATGGCAAGATAGTTACCGAGATTGTTGAACATGCTGGTTGAGGTTCGTAGTGGGGCTTTGCAGATTAGAAGGGGGAAGGGGAGCTTTGTAGTATATGTGATGTACTTATTTTGTAGGAGTTTGGCTCCTGAATTTGGTTCGGAGTATGATGCAAGACAATGAACATCATTCATGATATAGCGTTGCTTTCCTTGGTATGACGCACACTTGGACCGGTTGTTGGGCTTCATGCAAGTTGATGCCGTATTCAAGAGATGTGCGGGCGTTTAATCCTACGGGGAGTCCATCTTACTTCACTAAGGATAGAATATAGCAAGGAGCGTCGAGAGACTTGTAAGACTTGAACGGTGCCTTGGATAGGGATGACGAGCCTCTTTGAAGGCCCAAGATCTTTTGAGTATAATCTTAAATGATGGCGGACATCCCAGAGACAGGACACCACGCACTGCAGCATGCAGAAGCATGAATTAACAGAGGGGGAGGGAGAGGGAGAGGGAGAGAACGGAGAAACTAGATATCAATGCGACAGCCCATCCATTGATGACTTCCAAATATGTACAATCCCGATCGCTCCCCTCCTTATAGTTCCATCTATGCCGACCCAGCCTTCTTCTCCTTCTCATGCTCAACAATCTGTTTGCTCCAGCTATTACCAAAATCAGCACTGTATCCCGAAACCACACATAGAATTGGAAATTGACACATACTATCGACTAGGGAAGAAGCGGCCCTCCTCAGGAAACTTCGTCCGCACCTCGTTATCTGCGCTCAGCTTGAACGCTGCGGCGGCGATCCCAAAAACCACAGCGCCCAAGACTGCAGTGTTCGCTTTCCAGTTCGATGGTTGAGCGTACCAGCCACCAGCCGGTGACCAGACGTGTTTGGGGTATCTGAGCTGCTTGTCAGAGCTGTGTAGGATGGCGGGTGGAAGAGGCGGATAGGTCAGGGGACAGGAACATACGGGATTTTGTGGCCAGCCTGGGTTCGATTAGTCTCTATATTGCCATGTGGTGAGAGAGGAATTGACGTACCATCTTGCTCAATTGTTCAATTGCACGGGATTGCTGCTCTGCACGCTTTCCAGGACGTCGAGCTTTGGCGATGTTCGACCGTTAGCGCGCACGCTGACTAAGCGACGTTATATGGTCACTCGAGCAAGCTTAAAATTTTGGGATGCGCAGGGGATCAAGCTCACGAGTCAAACAATCAACGCCAACCACGCCTACAATCCGTCGGTACGATAGGGAGGTTTACAGGGGAATAATTATCGATGAAGAGATTACGGTTGGAAAGATGGAGTGGGCAGTTGCTCTCCCCCCGGACAGGGCCTTCGTCTTGTCTGCGGCACCAGCAAGAGCAGAGGATAGCTGGAAGACGCCTGCAAAGCACATCGGCGGGCCTGGATCTCACATATGAGGATGGAGAGGAATTACTTTCAGAACAGGAAGCACCCAAAACCCCTCGAAAAAGAGAAGATTATCCATCACCTCCCCCAAGTGCCGCTCACCAGTCCGCCAAACTGGCAGCACTCCACGCCCGTCTTTCATTACCAAAGAAACTCCCCTTACAGACAATGGCACGCACACTTGTCGATCCCTCTGCCGACTCCAATACGCGGTTTAACAACGCTGCGTTGGCACAAGTGGGCGGCTCCATCATCTCATATCACGTCGCCGAATTCCTGCTAGCTACCTACCCCCGATTGCCGATGACCGTCCTCTTCGCCGCTGCATATGCCTACAACGGACCTAAGACGCTCCAATTAATCGCCAAAGAATGGGGTGTTGAAACGGCCGCCGCTCCCGGGGGCGAGGTCGATCCGGGGCTCCTGCAATTCTCCAAAATCAAGCCCGGGCAAGGTCTGTCATTGGGATTTGGGGGAGGCAGCACCCGGCCAGATAAGAAGAGCTGGATGCGGAGGGGTATCTCTAGTCGGAACGTGTACGATGATGAGTTTGGAGATGTGATCCCGAAGGAGGATACCAGTGAGTTGCCGCAGGCGACCGAGACCGCCTATTCGAATTTCGTGAAGGCGGTTGTGGGCTCAATATATCTGCATGCCGGCCGGCAAGCCGCCAAGACATTCGTACAGCAGCACATCCTCTCGAGACACCTGCAGCTGTCGACCCTCTTCAAGTTCTCAGAGCCGGTCCGGGAGTTGGCGAGGCTGTGCCAGCGAGAAGGGTTCGAGTACCCGGTGGCGCGGATCCTCAGCGAGACTGGACGACACAGTCGGTCGCCTGTGTTCGTGGTGGGCATCTTCAGCGGGACGGAAAAGCTAGGGGAGGGCGCGGCGCCGAACCTCACCGAGGCGCGAGTCCGGGCTTGCGTGGCTGCGTTGAAAGCTTGGTATCTGTACAGCCCGGGCAAGAGCGTCAGGGTGCCGAGCGATATGGAGGAAGCGAACGCGAAGCCGTGGGAGCCGCTGCATGTTGATATTGGGGAGATTATACATTAGTGTTGCTACTACTGCATCGGGAAGCGGGGGCTGTATGAAAAAAAGATCGGAAAGACTCGTTGTAGTAGTTTGAAAAACGGTCGGTTCGTGTGTGAACAGGGTGACAAGATGGATGCTGAAGTACGTTTGGCTGCTGCAAGCTGAACGATCCGTGTATTATTGATCTCTTTTTTTGTGTGTCAACCGCATAGGAACTAGAAAAAGACTCTGGAGTCTCCTTGTGTGGATAGCTGTAGAATATATGGGCCCAATGTAGAAAGAATCAATGGCATCCTCTCCAACCCAGTCTCATGTGCAAAGAAAGTCTGTATGGAAGAATTGCAATATGGCTCCAATGTGCCTCAAATTTGGTCTATGATTGTAGATACCCTGCTTTTTGCTCCATCATACCCACAACAACAACGCTGCGATATATAAATTCCTCTTTGTATGCCAAAGTGCACAACAAAGAGTAGAGCTAAGCGCAGACACACAGCAAAAGAGACAGAAATGCAGAAGGTCCCGTTATTTATCTCCCGACACTTGTTCCTCCCCAGATAAAACGCCGGATGATACACCCCTTGAACAATGCATGAGAAACCCGTGTGAAACATGCCGTTAAAGGAATTTCAAAAGAAACGTAAGCTCTGGGGTATCATGAGGTTTCGGCTGGAACTTCAGACTTGTTATCAACTTTCTTTGCTGGCTTCTCCTCGGCGCCGTCGTCCTCGCGTGCGCGTTTCTTCTCGTTCTCGACCCTTTCAGGCGCCTCCTCCTTAGCTTTGGGTTCGTCACTGCTACTATGTTAGTCGGGGGTATCAAACGCGATATTGGTTCAACATACCCATTCTTCTCAGCACGCTCCTCATTTCGGTCATTGTTGCGGGGCCCTCTGTCATCACGACGTCCACGGCGTCCCCCTCTCTGACCCCGATTGTTTTTGCCGCCTCGATTATCCTTAAATCCATTGGCGCGGTCGTCCTCCCGTCGCTTCTTCCAATCATTAGGATCGCGATCACCCTTGTCACGGTCACCACGATCATTTCTGGGTCCACGACCTCCTCGTCCCCCACCTCTTCCTTTTCCACGGCCTCTTGGTCCCCAAGACTCGCTTGGTTGGACCTTGCCCTCTCGAATCTCCTGGTCCTTCAGATCTTGGTACGCCTTCTTTGACATAATCTGGAGAATGTGCTTCCCCTTCCATAGAGGCTTGGGGTCAAGGGCAAGGAACTTCTGCGCAGTCTCTTCATCGCTAAACTCGACGAAGACGGAGCCCTTGAACAGCTTTTGATCAGTACGACGGAGACGGACAGCGTTGGTAGAGCCGAATTGAGAGAAGAAAGCTTCAATATCGAACTGCGAGCTAGGCTCTTCGTCGCCAAAGCCTTTGACATAGACTGATCTAGCCTCGGTCTTGGATCTTGGGGTTGTAGGGTCGTATGCGATTTTCCGGCTGATCATCTCAGCGCCTTCTTCCCCAGTAACATTGAGGAATTTGCTTTCTCTCAGTGCGGAAACAATTGCGGAATATGGTTGGAATCGTCTCATACGTCCGAATGCATGGATATCCTTAAGTGGGACAGGTTTGTTAGTGCTCCCTTCGGTAAGTTTCATCATGTGTTTGTCCTGTGGTAGATTTGAATCGCTGAAATAGAATTCGACCTTTTAATATGCTGTCAGTGACCTGAAACCCTAGCAGATTTGCAACTGCCTACCTGACCACGGATCTTGGCTGCATCGTCGGTCGTCTCAAGAATAGAAGGATCGTATCTGCTGTTACTGGCTCCTTCGATTTGTTGGGCGGTTGTCTTCAACACCCCATTCTCATAAAATCTGGGTCCATTGGCGCTTCCCTTCCCACTCTTCTCGGTGCTGTTGGCCTTTGCGGTATCCTCTTCTTCCTTGGCCTTGGCCTCAGACTTAATCTGCTCGTCTGCGGTAGCAGGCTCAGTTTTGATATCCTGATCTGCGATAGGAGGCTTAACCTCGTCGTTGGTAGGGGCGGGTGCTGCCACTTGCGGCTCAGCAGCCTCGAGCTTATTGTCCGACATAATGGATAATGAATGTTAAGTTACTTTGTTGATGTTAGTTGCTGACATCGTATGATAACAATCAAAGCCTTCCAAAACATATAGCGACGCTGGAAGGACCGCATACGTACGTTTGTAGTAAAACCCAATGGCAAAATGCGACTCGAAGAGCGAAGGCGGGGTGAAAAGCGTAACAGAGCTGGGAGAGACGCCACTCGAAAGCTGCCTTAATTTCTGGGAATTCGAGAAGACCCTGAATTGGGCTGACTGGCTTTATCCTACTGGAAAGAAGATTCGTTCATAGAAATGGTAGAATATTTCTATTAACTCTATCTTTGTTTCGAGGCTGGCAAAAGTCAAGAGCTTGAAAATGTGCGGGAGCTCACGTTCATAAAAGCGATCAAAAAACTAGCGAGCGCCCGCTAGCGTCGAATTTTCGTTTGAAGTTCATCCGGACTCGACCTCACGATCTCGAAGTCGACGCACGGCTTTCAGGGGGAACACTATCCATTCATCTACAATTCTTCAACCATGACGAGGAAAAGGTTTCATGGCCTGAAGAAGGTGGTATGTAATCTCCCGACCACAGTCCATTGCTTCGCCCTCGTTGGCTGACTCCTTTTACAGAAAGTCCGCGCATCCTGGAATAAATACAATCTCTACAACCTCACCAGACTGAGGGCCCCGCCCACCCACCGAAACCATTACCAGGAAAAATGGACGGCCAAGTCTATGTCCCGAGCTTATCACGGCGAGTATATTCGAGAGAAGCAATGGCAACGTATGTTTAGGTCGCGGATACCCGCTGTGGTTCCAATGGATCACAGATATCTGGCGGAGAATGATGGCTCGGAGCTTGCTGCTGGAAGAGGTTCAGGGAGGGAGAAGCCATTGAACTCCGAACCGGCCAAGTCTGCGAAGAACCAGATCCCCTTTATGCACATGACCTACGCGCCCCTGGAGAGACGATTAGACATGGCTGTATGGAGGGCATTGTTTGCCAGCAGTGCACGGCAGGCAAGACAATTCGTTACACATGGGATGGTCAAGGTCAACGGGCAAAAGGTACGATCTTTGTATAAGGATTTTCATCTCGGCATGCTAACACGGAGCGTTCTCAGATGCCATATGCCGGTTACCTCCTGAACCCAGGGGACATGTTCCAAGTCGAAGTTGATCGAGTACTATACGCAACTGGTGCACCGAAGACACCCGAACAAATAAGGAAAGGGCGTAAGATTCACAGAGCACAACGGCTAGCGAATCAAAAAGCTTCGGAGAAGAGACTCGCAAGGAAACGGGATGTGGCGGCTGGAAGAACCAACTTGGCGTCAACTGGGAGCCAGCTGGGCATAGATGAAATCCGCAAGCAACGCAAGCTGGATCTCAAAGCCCTCCAGAACCAAGCAGAAACCATCTTGCACGACAAACGCAGCCGAGTAGGTGCGAAACGCAAGATCCAAATCCGTGCTTTCATGAGAGAGGTCAAAGACACCATGAAAACGGTCAACCGCAGGAGCGAGAAAGAACTCGATGCCGAGCTCGCTTCTCTCGTTTCCAAACTTGAAACTATCCGGAATCACGCCGCGGACGCGGCCGCCGAAAAAGCCGAGAAAGAAGAAAGCGAGTCTCAAAAGGAGGAACTGTCGCCAGAAGAACAGAAGAAACTTCGCGAAGCCCTTGTCCTCTCCCGGGAGAACCCCGTCGATGAATCGAAGCCCTACGCAACGCCCTGGAGACCGAGACCCTTCATGTCGGCTTTCGCGTTCATCCCGAGATATCTGGAGGTCAATCACAACATCTGCGCAGCTGTGTATCTCCGACACCCTGTTGCAAGGCCCGGTTTCGCAGAGGTGCCATCCCCATTCCCCGCAGAGATACAGCAGCTGGCGTATACTTGGTATCTGAGAAGGAGGTAAAGTGTAAATTGGATATTCAGATGACGTGTATTGTAGAATGTATATTAGGAGAGAATAGACTCGCTCTGCACCCATGTTTTTCTCTATAGCAAAGCTATCTATCCTCTTACAGCCATACAAAGCTTCTTCCATAGATATCTCTCAAAGGCAGAGAGAGCTATGTTGTAGCCAACAGACTTTCGCTTTGTTGCACATCTGCATTCTGCACTATTGTCAAACCTGACTCCTATCATACATTCAGGTACATAAGGTAGTCATCTTTGAGCACATATGGTAAACCCAGAGCAGACCTTACCCGATTAGCAACAACAAGACATTTTCGTTGCATGTCTGACTTTGTCGCCAGACTTCACTTCTAATCCCGGAGGAGCTTAGAGAGCAGACATCCTAGGGACCTTGGATTTCGTTGCATGTCTGAATTTATCACACTTCACTTCTGATCCCGGAGCGACCAATTAGAAACTACCTACCTTACCTACCTTACCTACCTGGGTAGAGGAGGACTTTTCGTTGCGTATCTGACTTTGTCGCCAGACTTCACTTCTTTCTGATTATTCTGGAGCGGCCAATTAGAGACAAGCAAAGCAATCTTGGTTTCGTTGCATGTCTGAGTTTATCACACTTCACTTCATTACTGATTGCAGAGCGGGCCAATTGGATAGGTAAGGTAAGTAAGGTAGACTAGGCAAAGGATTTCTAGTAATAGCCGGATTTTTGCACATCGATGTTCATTTAGGGTGCACACTGGAGATTTTCCCTTTCATTAAGACTTTAGGGGTGAAATATGCACTTGTCATCTACCTATGCTACCTACCTAGTCTCATAAAGAAGATATGTATGGACATACAAGAGTGCTTCACTTTGAGAAACAAAGAATGTGTGTTTGGTTGATCTATCCAACATACAGCTTATGCTAAGCTAGGTATGATACACAATGAACTATAGGTGTTTCCATTTTCTAAAATATAACTCTTGTCTAAAGCTTAGCCTTTGGTGCCTCGAGTGTTGGGAGCAAGAGGTCTCGGATATCCCCTGCTGCTTCGTTGAGATAGAAGCTCATCCTCTCGCTACCTAGACCTTTGGATACAACATTGAATTGGATGCTACGAATCATCATTAGTACATTTGTCTATGCAGATAAAAGCATGAAAAGAAACAAGGGGAGGGAGGGATATACCTGTTCTCGTTAATCATATAAGCAATTCCCCATCCATCGTCAACCACCTGACTCCATCCATAGCCATTGAAATACTCGCTACTCAACTGGGAGCTTGAAATAAACCACGTGCTCGAATATGCATACACGGGGTCTTTGAAAATAGCTGGCAACTCCTCGTTCGGACCCACCAACTTCTTAAGCCCAAACAGATGTCTGTCGACACCTTTGCCGTCCGAAGCGGCGGAGATGTATTCCACGTGGGCCTTGATGGCTTTGTGGAATAAGTCAATAGTGGTTTGGGAATCAATCGATGGATCCGCCATCGCCTTGCAGAACGCCACCGACTCATCGGAGACGCTGCGGCAAGTCTCAGTTCGTCCCTGTTGGAAACGTCTCGTGGCGGCGGATTCGTAGGTTGGGCGGTTCTTGCCATACATCTTGAAGTAGGCAAGTTGGATGATCATCTGCACGTATGCATCTGGTGAACATTTGAACTTTTTGATCAAGCCCTTACCATATGCTTGGTAGGCTTGAACGCGCAACTCGTGAGCACCAATCACTTCCGTGAAGTCTTTGGATGCGCGCTCGATCTCAGCCTGCACTTCCTTGTTGACGTGGAATTTGATAGGTGTTGGCTCGGGGAGGTTGGAACGGACGCTGGGGTCCGAGAAGTCGAGTTTGTTGTTGAAGATTACCTCGTTGACATAATCGTTGAGTCGGTGGGTTGGCGTGCCGTCCATCATGCTGTGCTCACCCATGAAACCGGCAGTGCCGTTGTCGTTGACGATGAATTGCAGGGGCTTGTCGAACCATCGGTTGGAGCCGTCACCGTGCCAGTATTGGTGGGCGCGCTCTTCCAACGTGACTGGCGCCGCATCATCCAAGCAGACTACGAAGGATGCTGATTCAATAGCTTCCAGAGCTTTTGCGTTCGAGGGGTGTGCATTGAGGAGAATCTCGCGGGCATCAGTCCAGATGTCACGGTTCTCGGTGGTGAGTATGCCCACAGCAGGGGCTTTCTGAGCGATTTCATAAACACGTTTGAATTGCTGTTCCAGCTCAGAGGTGTTCAATTGTTTGCCATTGACTTCATGCATGACCTTGAAGAACTGGTTCTTGCGGATAACCAGAATATGCTTGTTGCTCTCGGCAGAGTACTTGGCGGGATAGTCTTTGGGTTTTGCAGGCACTCGACAACAGTTGAACATCCATTGATAGCTCTCCATAGAAATTGGTAGCTTTTTCATGTATTCTGGCTCCAATGTACGTTCATCAACCTGTTTCTTGAATTCCAGAACCGCAGTGCTAATGGCAGCTGCACGCTTGGAGGGATCGCGCCGCCTTCGGTCGTCGCGATGGCTGTAGAAATAGCTGACATAGGGCACGACTGGATCACGATACGTCAGGTACGCTGCATCATTCCACCATTCGTAGAGCCAGTTCAGGTGCTTAGGATCCTCCCGGCGAGCTATCAATTTCTCTTGAAGTTTGCTTCCAACGCCACCTGGCTTGATGAATTCCTTAACCGCCTCTGTTGTTGATTGGAATTCGGATGGCGAGACTAGTGGGTGGACGGATTTGAGGTATCGGGCTGCAGTCTCTTCTAGAGTCGGGACTGGCAGTCTGGGCAGAGACTCTTCGAATCGAAGCATTGGTCCCTTGGAGAGGTCTTCCTTATAACCTGAAAAGCCCATCAGCTAACGTTCAATGTGGGGTAATCGCTTTGAGAATATATACCGGCTGGGAGAGCAGAGCTGCTGCTCTTCCGCGCATTTGCTGGAGCCATCCCAAGAATCTGCGAGCCAGTGTTAGAAAGGTGCATCCATCAGAGAGCTCTCAAACCTACTCTTGTTGATATGGTTGACTTGAAGCTGCTTCTGAGCACCGGAGACTGCGTGCGACCTTTCGCCAGAACCTTCAACATTCCAACGTCGTCTCTGGGGAAGCAGAAAGAGACGCTTATCAAAGGACCAAGAAAATCAGACTAAATTCACAAGCTGGCAAAGGCTCAATATCGTTTTTTCACTTGTGGTTTGTTACGCATATGTAGCTTATGAGGACTGGACCAGGCCCGAGGATACATAGGTCCTGGGTAGGCCTGTACCGAGGTAAACGGGGTAAGACCGATATACCGTGGACTATGCCTAGATAGGATTAGACACCACGTGACTCCCCCAAGATCAAAACATGTGATTGGGGTAAATAGATAAGCACTCCACAAATTATCTTCCGGGGACCGGTTGTCTGGTCTTCTCCGCATTTGCTTATATGATGAAATGAATATTTGCTTCCTATGAAGCCCAGAGTGGTAATAACCGTTGGCTTTGAGGTAAGCCAAGCTTGCATAGATAGTTTATACTAAGTCCGTCAAGCTTTCCAAGATGCTGCGGGTGAGTGGAAGACAATGGATGGGCTATTCGCGGTCAACCGGGTTATTGGTCATTTGACTCGCCTCCCATTGCTGACTCCTGCAATTACATGTGATAAGACCCTTGGTCCGAGGAGCAGAACGCGTTTCCCATCACTGTTGGGTTTCCATTCAGCCTTCCTAACGCCTCCCAAATACGAGAATATCGCTTTCCCAAATACGCCCATTGCATCTCCCTATGATAGTACACCAAGACTGCCAGAAATTTATCTTTTCCTCCTGCTTTTCCGTGGTGGGTTTTGGGCTTTGGTCGGAGGCTCCGCCTTTGCCTTCGAGCTCGCTTTAGAAGTCTTCGGGGATGCGTTTTCCTCTTCTTCCTCAGCTTCATGTTCCTCATCTTCATCTACCTCCTCCGTCTGTTCCTCGCCCTCATCCTCATCCACAGTTGTATCTTTGCTAGGTTGACGCGAGCTAGGCTCTGCCTTTGCTCGTCCTATTGATCTGTTTGTGCTCCGCCCTGACCGAGTCGCCTTCGCGGGTGGGGAACGCGCTGGAGACGTTCTTGGTTCGTCGGTGTCATCTACCGTGCTGGCGCGAGTCTTGGTATTTGTAACAGTGTTTCCTCTCTTGCGCTTCCGGGCAGGCTGCGGCGATGGCGATCGGCCGAGTCGAGGAGGTGAAGACGCTGCTTCACTTGAATTACGCTTTCCTCTCATAAACAACGTATGTCCGTAATCTTCCTCTGGGAGGCTGAATTCGACGAATTGATTCTCGCTGTCCTCTTCTTCAAAAGAGTTTTCCCGTGCGTCAATGATGTCCATATTGTAAAGAGTCCTGAGCTTCTCCCATATACATGGTATTCGAGTATGCTTGTCGACTCTTGGATCGTAGCCATGATTTCGGAGGTATTCTGATAATGCGATCATTCGAAAGTGCTTATGCATGCCTGTTCCGAATTAGTATCTCGTGTGCAATGCCGAGCGACATCTACTTACCACTTGGCTTCCATCTAACGATGCCCTTAAATAATGAAGTCTCCTGCTCATCTGTCCAGGGATTTTTGAGTATGTCGCAGGCGGGTTTGGGTGTTTCCTTGGGTGCTTCGGTTGGGGGCGCAGGCGTGTCAATTGCCACGGCATCTCCGTCAGCTGTAGGGGTCGAAGCTGCGCGAGCGACTGCTTTTGTTTTCTTTTTGGGGGGCATCTCTGAGAGAGGTTTCAAAAGACCCGATGTGATGTCAATACTGTTGAAGCTCCAAGCTTTTCATGATCGAGAAAGAATCCCCCAAGTAGCCTGCCCAATCGCTAGCGGCGGGAGCAGCCGCAGGGAAATTGCCTTGACGCGTCGAACATCAAGACGCGACAAGCCTGCAAGTATGGACGACGACGAGGATAAAGACCCAGGGGAGGTTTTTGCGATTCCTGACTTATATCGCCCCTCTAGATGGCTCAGCGATGTTCAGCAACCCTCTAGTTTCCTGTTCTCAGGATTGAGACTTGATGGTTTGCAGACCCCTCCTTATTGATTCTACTACTGACACTCCTCTAGATATTGATGCGAGGTTGCCAGATATTGTTCAGCAGCCCAAGAAGGACGATTTCTTTAGTATTCCAGACCTATTGATTGGACCCTCCGAAACCCTTCCTCCGCCTAGCCCTTCGACCGCGCTGAAAGATGCTTCTGAATTGCCGGAGGAGACACATGAGGTTGAAGATGATGTTTGGTTACTCCCAGAAGGGCTATTAGAGTCTGCAAAGTACCAAAGCTGGGATAGCTTTGATGACCAGAAGAATCGAGATGCGTACAATACCTATATAACCGAGACTGGGTCATCTGTGTTCGATGCTGCCATTGCGACAGATCGGGATTATCTGCGTGTCGGTAACGCTGGCTATGCGGTTGTTGATGCGAAAACGTATGCATCATCATTACTAGCTCTGGGGCTTGGTAGGAACTCAGTTCTCTTTGCCTGGGATGAGGAAAAGCAATCCTTTGAATCGGTTTTACCTAGAATGAGGATTTCTGGCTACACTGCGGAATCCCTAGATGGACTGTCCTCAATTTTCATGGATTGCGGGAATATCACAAAGTTCCTTCAAACCTTTGTCGACAAGGCGTACGTCAAGAGGAACTCACCAGGCCAGATCGCTTTAGCCGATGCCGTGTCTAGCCTACTCACGACCATTCAGACACGACTGAGGGAGACTGCATCTCAAAACAAGAGCATTTTACAGCTCCAAGTTCTATTCGGACCGGCTCATTCAATTCTCACATGCTTCCAACGCATTGTGAAGAATGTCTCTGCCAGCCGAAACGACGAGTCTATGATGTCAACAGTGTTTGAGGAAATTCAGCTATTGGAGTATAGAACTGATTTTTTGAGAGAGATTCTCATCGAAGTCTTGTCTCGGGTGTCCCATCCATGGCTTGAATTCGCATGCGAGTGGCTAGGCCTGCGAAAAGAAGCAGGTTTGCCACTTACAAAGGAAGGTGACGGGAAAAGCTTTGTGAGCGTGGCGAACAGAGAATGGATTGATGAACAGGGAATCGAATTGCAAGAGCGGGACTATGTGTTGGACTATGATAAAGTGCCCTCTTTCATTGCACCAGAGGATGCTCGTGCCATGTTCGAAGTTGGGAGAAGTTTACGATTTCTAAGGGACCATCATCCAGACCATCCGCTTGCCAGGGCCGATGTTATAGCATCCGCTAGTCCCCCCTCTCTTGAGTGGAAATTTTCATGGCAAGACATCGCTGCCGTTGAAGCTAAGGCTCTGAAATATGAGAAGGATTTGACCACAGCCATCCTGCAATACTCGAAAGGTGCCCCAACTACCGGTATCCTCGAGACTAATCATGAATTCGATGGTGTAGAATTCGAGTTGGAATTCTTCGGCAAGCCAGAGGAGGATATCCAAGCTCATGTCTTGGCTTCCATTAATGCATTTGATCTTCCCTTGGAGAACACTACTCCAGATCGGCTTTCTGGTATACTTGATACTTATTTGATCTCAAACGGCAAGGCTTCTTCCAAAGACACTTCCGTATTGTTGCCCCCTATCTCATTGACGCCCTCACTTGCATTCAACCCGATTATCGCAGCACAGGCTCGAGTTATTAATGGTACTTGTATGCGGATGTTCTTCATCTCTCACAAACTCAGGGAGCATTTGGCTCTTCAACGGAGCTTTCACCTTCTTGGAAATGGCGTCTTTTCAAGCAGGCTATCTCACGCGCTTTTTGATCCGGAGCTAGAGAGCGCAGAACGCCATCAAGGGGTTGCTCGTTCAGGTGGTACAATGGGCCTTCGTCTTGGTGGTCGCGATACATGGCCTCCAGCAAGCTCTGAGCTTCGACTTGCCCTCATGGGTGTTCTCACCGAGAGTTATGTTTCAGACGGCCCCTTGGATCAGTCTCGCGCTACCGGATATCTTGAGAATTCTCTCCCGGGTGATCTCAGCTTCGCCGTCCGAGATATGTCAGAAGAAGAAATCGAGAAGTGCATGAATGCGGATTCAATTGAAGCTTTAGACTTCTTGCGTCTCTCGTACAAACCCCCCCAACCTCTCGAAGCCGTCATCACCCCCATAATACTCTTCAAATATGATCAGCTTTTCAAGCTTCTCCTACGGGTCCTTCGCATGCTCTATGTCGTATCAGCACTCTTCCGTGATGCTACTGATCGGACATCGTCCTGGCAGGGCATTAATCATGTAGCACAGCGTTTCCGCATTGAAGCCCATCATTTCATCTCCAACGTGTCTGGATATTTCTTCGATACTGGTATTGAGGCCACTTGGCGTGTCTTTGAGCGTAAGCTGGATCAGGTCGAGTCGCGTATCAAGGATGGCAACATCACCCTTGGTCAAAATGAGGGGCTTGACAAGCTCAGAGACTATCACGAAAGAGTTTTGGACCGCATTATGTTCGCGCTTTTACTACGGAAGCGTCAAAAGCCCGTAATGCAGCTACTCGAAGAGATTTTCACACTCGTCCTCCAGTTCTCGAAGCACTCTAGACAGAGAGCTTTGGGCCAAGTTGGCGCGGATGATGAGGTTAGAGAAATGTATTTGAAATTTAGGAAGAAGGTTGGAGTGTTTATCACTGTTTGCAGGGGACTAAGTGAGAAGAAGGGATATGGCGAAAAGAGGTCGATGGATAAGAAGATATTAGGTCAAGGTGGACTTTTTGATGGGGATGATTTGGCGGAGGAGAATACCATTGCGCATCTTGTGACAAGGTTGGAGATGTCGAATTACTATTCGAGAACTGTTGATGTGTAATAGCACAATAAACAACCATCCATTGGCCAATCCTTCCCGTGACCTTGAAGATTAGCTGAACGCGTCCCACAGCTGAAAGCGTATCGCAGAAATAAAATATACAACATAATTTAAGTCGTCGTTGCCACTGAAATTTTATAAACCCAAGCTGTTGGACGCTTTAAATCTGAGGTCTTGGATTTGGTAGAGTTGAAGGTTGCGGATCATGGAGCTTTAAATCATAAACGGTTAGCGCGGTGTGCTAGCTCTGCCGAACAACTCCAACGTCAAGAGCATTATCTGACCAGGACAATATCACAACAGCCTCATCTCTTGCCATTGATCTCCCCAACCATGAGAAGGACATTAAGGCAGCTTGCGGCTGTTAAGCCCTCCCGCTACCTGGAAGCGGGAGCTCCCACCGGTCTCACAGGCCTCTTCACACATCCCTCGCCACGGCCGACCCTCCTATACCTTTACTCCACCACACTGGACAAGCTCAAGCAATTCCCCGAAAACTCTGTATACCGCCAATCGACGGAAGCGGTCACCAAGCACCGCATGTCAATTGTGAGCTCCGTCGTGCCGGAAGGATACGCGCAGTGGGCGGAGAAGGCGAAGAAGATCCTCGCGGAGCACCCCGACGTGTTCAACACGCCGGAAGGCGGGGTGGAACATGACGAGGGACGCCATGTGAAGGAGACAAGGGCTGGGCAGACCTTTGTGACGACCAAGGTGGATCCGGAATATGATGATACCGTCGTGGAGTGGGATGGTGAGAAGGGCGAGGCGGAGTTGGAGGGAGTCCGGACGACGGCGGAGCGGAAGGGCCAGAGAGTTCTGGGCAAGGAGAGACCAGGAATCGATACCAAGACGGTCGAGTGGGAACCGGAGCCAGCATTGACCGCCGAGCAGTACGTTGTTACCTCTCGCGCCATCCACGCGCGATAGATGGATGCTAACGGAGTCCCAGGATCGGAGAAATTGAGAACCGGATCGGCGCTGGTCTCATCGAAGAAGTTATTCAGGTTGCTGAGGGGGAGCTCAAACTTGCGGATATCATGTTACAGTCAAAAGTGTATGTTCCGGTAGCAATTACTGGCGTCTCCATAGCTAACACTCAATCCACAGTTGGGAAGACCTCGAGGAGAAACCAGTCGAGGGCCAATGGACTTACTTCGAGCGAAAATAGATACAACCTCCAAAGTAAGACTCGATCTCGAGCAGGGGGATGTATTATACAGAAGATTGTAAATAGAGAATATACCATCATTGGACCTGTGTCAGGCTGCAATGTTATTCACAGGATCGCTGGATATTTATATCCTCCTAGAGGGGGTCTATCTTGGTAAATAAATCTTCCTTTCTCAATCTCAACCCCATTTGAAGATTTTCCATTATGGTAATGTGATATTGTACAAGATGGTGGACAGCCTCACTCCCTGATTGCTGTACCCCGTTAATGTGGAGGAAACATGAAATCATCTATCTATCGCACCCCCAAAAGGATCTCACCCCCTGCTTAACCCACTGCGGCGGCTTCCAGACTGCGCTGGACATTATCAATGACTCAGTTTTCCGCCTTTTCTCATTGAATTTGTCGACAAGGATCGATGAACGCGTACCTCTTCATCATGGTATTGCTGGATAGGATAAACTCGACCGTTACTTACATACTAGGCATGTTTGAACTGTTTTATATTGATTGAGATTTGAATTTGGTGGTGGACGAGGGTGTTAGTCTGATGGTTCTATTGGACTGTAATTATGACATGATTGTCAACCTTCATTATGGGCTTTTCTCGTTCAAATAATGTTATCAAAGTTTAAGATATATATATACAAGGTTTTGTTTGCTGTTGATGAACGCAATTGCTTAGGTCTACCACTTAGGGGGGAAGGCATCCCAACTTACATGTACGAATCGGATGAAATTTTATGGGCGTAATCTGAAATGAACTAAGAGTCGATATTCATCTGTTTCTGTTGCACGTCGCAAAGGTCACCTTGCCAACTGACTGACTGGCTGACAGACAGGAAAGTGTAGTCAATAATCGTGGGTGTTGAGACCACTTATAGAGATGAAAGTGGCCCCAGTTATAGCAAAAGTCACCCACCCATTTTGTTGCACATCGCAAATTATATATCGTCAACCGACTGATTGATTGGCTGGCTGACTGGCAAATTGACAGGGGCAGTGTGGTTAGATTCAGTTTAGGGCCATCTATAAATAAGTATAAATCTAGTAAGACTGTTGGTTGGGGTAAATCAAACGTTAAATTGGGTATAATGCTCTTAAATATGCTCCCGAAACAGCCTCTCCATTCCATCATAGCGACTGAGTAATTCTCCCTTTGCGTCACAAACGATTCCCGACTCAATGAAACCACGATATAAATTACCATCCTCGCCGGGGAAGCCTTTCGAATAACGATCCATCTCCAAATATCCTGTCTGCCAGCCCTGAGCGTGTGCGTTCCAGCTGGTCAACAAACAAACCCTAATGCTTGGATTCCATGCCTGGCCAAACTGTTCTATGTATTGCGGGAAAACGTTTGAATACTGCTGTGCAGTGCCATTAAGCGCTGTGAGAGTTGCGAGACCCCGAAGAGCTTTCCTCTTCAAGAGCCGATCACGACAGCAGTCCCACCGAAGCCTGACGAAATCCACAAGATTCGAATCTATATCGATGAACCGTAGGTCGTCGCAGCCTGAAAGCCGTGGGCCGTGCCGTGTTGATCCTCTCAGCTGTGAGCTCGGAAATAGGATCAGGGTTTGAAGGCTGGGGCAGCAAGCCTGCAGAGGCCCGAATAGCTCCCCGCCGTTCTCATGCAGGAGATCAAATGCCAGTGCTAAATTCTTCACCTTTGCCAAGCCACTGAATAGAACGAAACAGCTGAGATTGAAGGCGGAGCCATCAAGGTCGAAGAGGGAACCATGCTGAAATGTCAAATCCCTGACGACGGTATCGATATTAGGATTTACATAGCTAAATGACGTTGCTGCAAGAGGGAAATATGGACCTGGGCTGAGAACACGCGAATACTTCGCTTTGATGACATCCCGAGACTCACGACAGGCTGCCAGCAGAGATAGAGACTTGTTGTGCTTGGAATCGTGTGTGATGATTCGTGGGCCCGGGAGACAAGCCTCCCAGATCTGGAGACGGATCTCAAGAGGAAATTTCGAAAATAGGGTAAAGGATGGACCTGTTTCTGGAGGAGGTTGAATAATCGCTGGTGTGGGGTTTTGATAGTTCCCCCCGCCTGTTAGCCGGGCGAGGGCAGCCATCTGGGGAAAGTCTGTAGCAGACAGCAGTCAGTTATAAATTGATAAAAAGAAAATTGAGAGAGAACATACCCTTGGATGTGAATGTAGGACTCCACTGCGCTTTCTCAATTGCCATGATCTTCTCCTCCAGTTCCACACAGGCGGAATCGGCATGCTCTAGCACAGCTTCATGATCACCGAGCAATTTCTCTAACCTGATCAACTCATCTTCCTTAGTGACCATGTTCAGCTTCCGCTTGGCGAGTAAATCTCTGCAGGGCTGCCGCATACCCTCCTCGAGATCTGGGCGTCCCAGCTGCTCAAGGACGATTCTTCTCGTTTTCATAATCAACATCAGCTCGCGGACAACTGTTTCTCGCATTGATTGCATGGTTGCTTTCATTCCTTGATTTTTTGTGGTGATCTGTATTAACTGATCTTTTACCATTGCTAGGGCTTCTTTCGAAATGATACGGGGAGGGTCTGCTTCTATGTCAGTGCGAGCGAGGCAGCTTACCAAAACCGGCATGCCTCACCTTCGGGATCAACATCTGAAGGCTGAGAGCCTGGAGTATCACGGTCACTAGTTTTTGCTATCTTGTTAGGTTGAGGTGAAGCGTCCTCATGCTTCCTCTTCCGGCCATCCCGGGACGATTCGTCTTCAGTGAGCATATCTGCATCAGACCAACTGTATCAGATCAGATAAGGTATCTGTGGCTCGAGTTTATCAGGAATTGTCTAACACAGAATCCTATGGCTTAAGAAGGAGGTTAAACGCCCTGCGAGTAATTGTTGCTCGTCCCTCGAAGTTGGATCTCAACATCCAGATGATGATATGTCGTCTCGTGTGACGATCACAGGTCACGTGCTCAAGATATGTACTTTCTGGTGTCATGCAGACGGTTCTCATTTTCACTTGCAAAGCCTCTGGGATTCTTGCAGGTTGAATATAAATAATCCCGTTATTACTATTCTCCCCAACAAAAGAAAACCCGCCATGATCTATCCCAGAAATCGACACCATTCGGAATGGATGTGTCATCAATCTGTCATTTCCGCCGATTGCAAAATTCCACAAGGCTAGATTTCAGCCTCGACCCGAACCTCTTAACCTTGTTCAACAACCTACCTTTCCTCTAAACCCATATATACAAAATGCCAATCTTCGGCCTCCCCTTCGACCACCACTCCTCTGTACCCCAATTACGATCCCGCTCCGCGCTCCCACGCCGAAAACGCAAACGTGCCTCCTCTTCTGACGAAGAATCCTTCTCCGAGCCCGAACTCGCACCTGCGTCCACGAACCCGCTGAGTCTTGCGCCTGAGGAAATCGCACAGTATCGACTCGCAGGCTTAGAACTCAATGAGGAATTGCCGAGTCAGGGAGTAGATGGGGTGAAGGATTTTCCACATCGTCCGCTGCCGGTCCGGTTTTTGCGGGATGGTCTGGGAGACACGGGCAAGGGGAAAGGGAAGGGAAAAGAGAAGGCGCCAGATGAGGTAGAGAATGATGATCACGAGACCGAGAACAAGGACGAGGATGAGGAGGAAAAACAAAGGGGGGAAAGAGGGCCGAGGCTACGGATACAACACCTGAATGTTTTGACGACCATCCTGCATAGATGTCTACTAGAAGGAGATGCTCCGCGCGCGAGTCGCGCGTGGGCGATGCTGCTACGCGAGCAATTCCTGGGGAAACATATTAGTCTTAGAGCAACTGGATATTGGGCTATTGGGGCGGAGGTTCTGATGCACAGTCAGGATCGTAGGCTAGAACGGCGGAATAGCGACCCTGAAAGCTCAGGAGCTGAACAAGATCAGGGCGATGAGCAATATCAAGGTCAAAAAGAAGATGTGGGAGAGGGGAGATGGGGAACTGCAGAGGGGCTGGAAAAGGCGAAAGCGTATTATGAATACTTGATACTGCAGTATCCGCCTAAACGACGTATGCAAACGTCTCTCAGCTCGTTAGACTTTTGGCCGGCGATGCTGAGTTGTGAGATTTATGGGATTCAGTGGGAGCACAGAGAAAGGTTAAGGAAGATCGCGATGGCTGAGCAGAATGAGGATGAATATGAGGGGAGCGCAACTGAAGAGAGCGAAGGAATGGGGGAAGATGAAGATAATGAAGAAGATTGGGAATATGCCGCCAACGAACGGAGGCAAGCTCGGCGGCAACAAAGGAAAGAGGAAAGGATATGGCAACAAAAAGAAGAGGCACGACAGGATGCATTGGCAGCTGCTAAGAGTATCGCTGCAAGGATGGACACACTCATGACAACTACGCCATACGTAGACGCTCGTACCCTTATCCGGCTTCGAGGAATGCTGGCTCTCTATATCGGAGACCTCAGTGTACCAGCTCTCCCTATTGATAATGAGGAGGATATAGAGGGATCTCGGCTACGGAGTGGTGGGAGAGATGAGCGTAGATTTTTGCTGCGGCAAAGGCAGGCTGAACATGAGAAGGGAAAACAAGTACGGAGGGAAGAGAGAGAGCGAGCGCAAACTCTGTTTGATAGGATCGTGAGACAAGGGGGCTGGGTTGGAGATATCAAGGACGTGAGACTTGATGAAGACGATGGTGCTGAGGAACTTTATAGTCCTAGTCCCTAAGGGCAACGAAGCTTCTTTTAAGATACCCTGAGATAGAGCTTTTCGGATAGGTCAAATCAGATTGTATTAAATATGCCGTCCTCCAATGCTTGCTCTGCTATGCTAATGATAATGCAAAATGCAAAGCTCGCTCAAGCAATACAAACTACCCCATCCATGACCCGCATCCTCCCCCCCCAAATGCTACAAACCAGATAATAATACATGTATATAATACATTGTGCAAAGCTGATTCCAATCCATCACGTCGTAAATGTCATAACCCGTTATACACAACCGTTGCATCTACACCTCAATCCCATTCCATCACCTCCCTCATCCCTCATCCCTTAATCGGAGCTATAAACAGACCAGTCGATGCCGGCCACATCCGCATAGCAATTCACCGTCTGTCCATATGGATGCGCGGCACCACTATCCTCACTACACTGTGGCAACAGCGTCACATCCGCGCATCCATCTGGCGTCTCTCCCGAGCCTTTGGAGAATAATTGTACCGCATTCCCGTACACCAGCTGGCTCTCGCATGCATAGAAGCCGTCGCCGCCGCCAACTGCGAGCTCAGTGATCGGGTCTGGGAACTGCGTGAGGACGATGCCTGGTTGCCCGGCTCCGGCATTGATGCTCACTGCGTTTGCGGAATCGATGGCTAGGCCGGCGGGGAATGGTGGGGTTGCTTGGTTAAGACCTTCGTCAGAGAGGATATTGGAGTTTCCGAAGCGTACGTCGCTGGCGGTGCCGTTGACGTAGAAGATCCGCCCGCTGGATAAGTCGGGCATCAGAACAGCGTAGGCTTCCCCCGCGCCGGTGTGGTAGGATGCCACGACATAGTTTTGGATGGAAGGCGTGAGGTCGTTGGCGGTTACATTGGCGATCAGTTGGAAGTTCTGGGAGGTTGTCTTGGGTGGGTAGACTGGCGCTGCAGTTGGAGCAGCGGATGCGAGGCTGCTGAGTATGGCGGCGGCGCCAATGAAATTGATGGGTGATAAGAGCATTGTGGAAGTTTCCAAAGATGGAGGGGAAAGGACTGGAGGTGATGGTGGGAGGCGATTGTCGCTGAGGGAGGTGGGAGATGGACTTGGTTGCGTTGATGAGAAGAAGAATGAGTGAGAGACTGGGAGGGGACTTATAATTATATATTTTCAGCCGCCTTCAGGTACTGCCTTCAGGAACAACTCCGGCCGCATATGTAGGGAAAGACATATCCAGTCGGAACAGAGTAAAAGGCCACGGCCAACAGTAGTATCAGAACCAAATTTTCCTTCCATTGGTACTACCAAAGCAAGCAAATAGGATTCCTGTCTGTGATAAAGTGATAAGACAGACCCGCTGAACCCCAGAGCATCATGAACCTATGACGTAGTTTAGTCCATGTCATATATGTCATAGCCATGATAGCCCCATCGAAATGATGTCGATTGAGACCCCGTCTTTGGGTCGGGGTTTTTCGAATCTCCGAGCGAGCCTTAGGAGAATTAATTTCATTCTAGAATGTGCTTGATCATACATCATCTTTCAACGGTTTAAGGTACTGTGCGAGAGAGAGAAGTGTAGGCGTGCATTGTCCCTTTGTCGCTGCTGGCTCGGCTTTAAAATCGGTTTTGATCTCACGGCTCCTGTGAATTGTGACTACTTAGCCTATATGTGTATTGGAAAGATTCTGTCATCTCTTGCTGTACGTATTGAAGCTTGTAGGACTCTCGAAATACTGGTTGTCATTTGTCGTTTTCAGAAGTTTCTGGATATCTGCCGAACACGAACTTGTCTCTGGTAGGTAAGGCCAGTAGCAACTCCATGAGCCTCTTGGGCCTGACCACCTAGACTAGTGAAGTACTACTTCTAGCCGAAAGGTATTGGTACTTCTGGACTGTAAGAAGGGATTGGAAAGAGGGGTTCTTGTTTTATTACTAAACGGTCGATTTCTTGATATATTCCGAGCGCTTGAGGCTCTGTGGCGGAGGAACAGAGGATCATCGCAAGTACATAGGCTAGTCCTAGTTTAGACTAGTTACTACATCACATGACACACCCACCTTTCATTCCACTGCCGTGCATGGTGTAGTAAGAAAGTGATCAATAATCAAAACTACTGCAACAATTCGTCAAACACCAAGCGGCTTTAGCTCACTTGGGAGAGCGCCAGACTGAAGTCAACTTCAGACAGTTTAATCTGGAGGCACTGTGTTCGATCCACAGAAGCCGCAAATCTGCGAGTCAAGGAACACCTTGATTATAGAACACAAATTTTTCTTTTTTTCGCATCTGGTACCAATGGTATTATTTTTTCGCTTTTGGGGTACTTGAATTGATCCTTTTGTTTTACTGCTGATTGGCTTGATTATTTTTTGCGTTGTTTTTTATCCCCTGATACGGCCTAGGCTACCTGAGTTGCCCTTCAAAGGACCAGATGTGGTTCCACGGAGCAAATGTCACGTGAGGAGAGAGATGTTCCCAGTCGCTGCCGATAATTGTTGGAAAGGTGCTTTCTGGACTAATTGATCGGGAATGTCTGCGGCAAAACAGACTTCCGATTCCAGTTTGAGACCCATCTCGGAGACCCGCTCCAACTGCGAGAAAAGCAAAGCCCGCGATAAAGCCAAGAACCAACCAAGATAGCCGAAGGAAGGCCGCCATCTATTTCACAGTTCCCCAGTTCCTCTTCCCTCGCTCTGGAGAAATCGTCCTTTGGGCAGGAAAGTTAGAAAACTGGAAGAGGTTCATTTGGACCTCCACTTTCAAGCGGAAATGGATGATCCAATACTCTTCAACCCCAAAACCCATTCCCATCTCATTCCCTCGTTTGCCGACATCCTGACGGCGTGCATAACCACCCCACCTTACACCACTGCCGGCTTCCTTCCACCTATTGACCCAGCTCGTATACGAAAATGGTGGGAGGATCGCGTCAGAGAAGAAAGTGAAGGGCATCGCAAGATCATCATGCAAATGGCGCGCGATCCGAGCACTGGGGAAGAAGAGTTGGCCGGGTATGTAATGCTAGGCATGCCAGTGACGGAGACGGGACCTTTTCGAGGGAGCGTGGAGAAATTGATGGTTTCGCCGAAATATAGGCAGAAGGGGATTGCTGGGAGACTGATGGCCAAGTTGGAAGAGGTTGCGCGGGCAGAGGGAAGGACGTTGTTGGTGAGTTTGTTGGAAATGCGGGGAAGAACAAGGGGCTGACCTGAGAACAGTTGTTGGATACGGAGTCGGGAAGTCCTGCAGAGCTTGTATATCCAAAATGGGGGTATATTGAGGTTTGTAATGAGTCCCGTCTGTAGGTTGAACGAGTTTCTGACCTTCATCAGGTGGGCAAAGTTCCGGACTATGGGATCTCTCCCTTGGATGGGTCATTGAAACCTGGGACGTTCTTCTACAAGAACTTGTTATCTGCTAGTAAGGCAGCTTGATTAATTCAATGACTCTGCGATGCTGCATATAGTAAGTCTTCTCAGCACTTTGGAGGGCGGATAGGAATCTGTATCTGAACATTCTGATTCTGATACCTAGCTTTTGCGATAGGAGGATCCTTTTAGCTCTTGCTCACAGTTTGTTTCATAGCTCGGCGTCTGAGATTTCTGAAAAGTGTTTGTCCTGAAAGAAGAGACGTCTGCTTCGAAATCTGATAGATGAATCATCTCCTTTGCTTAGGGTAGGACTGAAGGGCTTTCATTCGGGCTCGAGAGTTTTGCTTATGTCTCTGTTCCGCTACGCTTTAGTTAACGAAACTGAAAGGTATATTGCATATTCGGTGACCTTTGCCAAAGGTCAAGTAGTTAGACCGAAAATTTTCGGAGAAGCGGTGAAATTGAGATTGAGGAGAGAGATGCTACATCGATAGAGCCTACCCGTAAAGTTTGAGAAATCTGTATTATTTGAACCAATTCTTTGCTGGAGAAGTCTCTGGATATTTGAAAAATTGTCGATAATGATCGCACAGAACAACAGGAGGCGGTATCCTAGTGGGAGTTCGATATCCCTGTGACAAGCAAAGTTGATGAGGGAGAGACGTTTAATACGAAAATCGCGAGTATGCGAGAGTAGCGAAAGTCTTTAGAAGTTTTGAATGAGGATTTGGAGAAAAAATATAATGTATTGAAGAAGCGGAAGTCGACAGTGCTCGGGTACTCCTCAAAAGCAGCCGTGGTGATAGGCCCTTCAACCCGGGCCCGACATGGGGCTGCAATTTCTACGTAAAGAAGTCCTACATTCCGCCCCTCTTTATTTCAACGCTTTAGAAACAATACTCAGAGTCTCAGAGGCCCTTGCTGCTTTATCTTAGCTTAACAATGTACCTCACCGCAGTTCATGGTCACGGGATCGGGATAGGCCAAATCGAAAACTCGACAATCTGCCAGACGTCACTTCATCATCCCAATTTTCCAAACATCCGTCTATGATATTGCCAACTTTCCAGGTATGAATATTGAAACGAGCATTTGATGACGCATGAACCGCTGACATGTCTGTTTCTTTGCCCTCCAGAAAATGCATAAGTTCAAGTTCGGCCACAATATGTTCAGATCAGACCTGGTTTCAGGTTTGCAAATCTTCATATCCTCATCAATTCCGTATTTCTTCGCGGTATACAAAAAGAGAGGACCAAATTATCTATACTTCTTACAGGTACCTAAGGTACCCTGATTACATCGAACATAATCATACCAGAAAGCTACGCAGCAGACGACGAAAAGAAGGACGGCAAATTACCTTATATCTCACCTGCCTCGGCTACCCAAACCTGAAGTAGTTGAATATAGGCATCTTCAACGTGAACTATCCTGTCTGAATCAAGATCCAGCTGAAGTGCAAACACAAGTCTCAGATAACTAGACACTAAGAGCACAAATCGAAGTGCTAGCCTCTCGATGCAATCTGAGCGCGGCGGTACTGCACGAGGCCTCCGGGACCTCCGGCGACAACCTTCTCCCTGGACGTTCGTTTCAATTTGGTGGATACCGGATTGCTTCAGGTATTTAACCAGAGGGTGAGAGTGGTCGGACGGGCGTGGATCCATTTGGGCTCATGAAAATATGCGGGATATCTTCCAGTCAGGCCTCCCGAGCCGTCAATATTCTCTGGCCAGTGGTCGCCGTGGCAGTGTCCATCGGATATGCCCGACCCCATTACCACCCAGCTATCTTGATTCCCAACTACCTTGCTATGATTCCCTGCGCCAATTTGATTGGATTTTCTGGTCAGCAGATGGCTAGAAGTTGCACAGGGTCATTGGCATCTTGATGGGGACTACCTTCGGCTCCGCAGTCAAGACTGTCCTCTTCATGGTCCTTCTGAAGAACAGCCAGTTCCAGGTCATCCAATTCACAATTCTGAGATCTATTCTGGCCACCCAACTCCTTTGTCTTGGATTGTGCTTCACCGTTGGCGGCATTCGTTATAATGGACAAGAATTCGATGAAGTAGTCAGTGAGGTTGGTGGTGATCTGCTCTTGGTAGCGTAATCCTCACTTTATAACTTGGTGTCTTTTAAACTGACATTCCTGGAGCGTCTTTGGCCTCATCATTCCTGCGGCCTTCCGAACAGCAGTAATAGCCAGTGATAATATGGAGAGAGCTTTCATCGATGCCAAGATCCTCAGCATCTCTCGTATTACTTCGATTCTCCTTATTGTCGCCTACACCATCTGTGTATTTTCTCAATTGCGTACCCATCAGAGTATCTACGGTGCCATCTTCGAAGCGCCGACAATCACAAACACCCCCACAGACACAACGAATCCCACACATCTAAGCTTGCCTTTACGGAATGTGTGATTGCTATTGTAGTCGCTGTAACACTGGTCACGGTTATTGCCATCATTTTTACTTATATGTGTTCACAAGTATAAGCCATAGACGCTGACAAGCTCGTCTGCTTAGAGTATTCAGGATCTGGGAGCAAGTTTGCAATTCTGAAAATGGTTGAGCTGCATGCGTACTCAGCAAGAGAAAAGGCAGAATAAAATACAAAATGAAAAGAAACAGTATGCGAAATCTCAAAAGACATAGTAAGTCCCCATGGAACAAGAAGCAAGACTTCTGTTCACAGGTGTTCCTTTGCCAGAATCTTCTTGCATAGTTGGATTCCTTGAACGCCTTCATTCCATGCTTCTTTCCCAATCCTCCAAATTCCAATATGAGCTTCATTGTTACTGCTGACGCTGAAAGATGTCAGACCACCCGAGCTCTCCCGCTGTGCCAAAGAGAAGAAACTCCATTTCGAAAATATGCCGCGGCTATTGGGACATTGAATAGACGGATTGCTTTTGATAAAGTCGCCGCGTCGTATTCACCAACCATTCGCATCATCATCAAATATAGAAATGGCTCCCTAGAAGCGACGGCCCTCCCACCATTCAACCATTCGAGAGGCAGGATCGCAAGGGTCTTTGCCATACTGAATCAGAAAAATATCTTCAAAGGGCGTTCCCTTGACTGTCTTCATGAACTGGGCGACGGCTGCTCTGCTCTGACCAAAGATAGATGGAAAGGTGAGCTCTACAACCTTCATACCACCCAGGACTAGCCATTCCTTTTGATCTAGAAGTTCGAATTTGATCTTCTCTGCAAAGAATGCATGCATTTGAGCAACCGAAAGCTGATCTTGGGGGCCTCTGATCTGAATCACTCTAGACTGGTGCTTATCGCTGTAGAGCTGTGGACGTGTGATGTTGCGGTTCCAAAAGACATTCACTCGCTCCCCTCGAATCCAGATGCCAACCTTCTTGCCTCTGTCTTTGAATTCTTGGGCTGCAGCTCGTGTCGTAAAGACTACTTTGGCTGCGCAGCCTTTCCACTGTCCTGGAATTGGGGCGATCATGGAAGAGCTGAATATCTTTCCCTCGGATATGACACTGAGAAGCTCTGAAAGAGTTGCACCAGCAGGGATGTTGATGATGTGTAGTGCACAATTGTCATCCTTGGCGGCCAAGGAATTGGTGATTAGGTCTTCTGTGATGTCTCCCTTATAATTTGCATTAAGCCTAACCCCAATCTGTTGAGCTCTTTGGATAAGGTTTGGTGACACGGCACGAGGTGCGTTCGTGAGGGCTCGGGATGGCTTGAAAGAATCATGAATTGATACTGGTCTTGATAAAGCGAGATTTGGGTGCTGATATGGCACTATGTTATTATTGACAAATGCATTGCCTCCATGGGTGACTTGATTATGGAACGTGTAGGAGAATGTGGCTTGAGCGACAACAACCTGATCTTCGAGAGCTTTGACAACGTTTGCGTGGCCTATCATAGGTATAGGAGCCATAAGTTTGGCCGTGTTTTGTCCCATAAAGTATGGCACATTGTCGTTGTGACTGGCAGAGTTGTTGTCAATTGCCGGACCGTACGGATAAATATACGGATTATACCAGATATTCACTGCGTTATTTCGTCCCTGGACTTGCTGGTGGGCTCCGTATTGGGAATATTCAGTCGAAACTAACTCGCTCTGTGACAGTTGACGGTGCTTGCGTTCTGGGGTATCCTCCGAGCTGGAGTTAAGGAGAGTCGAGAGATCGGATCCAAATGAAGATCCTCGAGTCTTTATTGAATTCTCTTGAGGTCCAAACATGGTCTTGAACTCGCGTCCTCCTTGCTTCAAGGAGCCAAGTCCGTTGATGATGTTTGTTTCATGCTTGATTCCGAAGACATCTCGTCCATTAATTGCCCACTTGTTGATGGATTGTGCTATTTTTAGTTAGGATGAGGGCTGGTTGAATGAAACAGTATGGGGACAAGAGAACTTACTGACGATCTCTCCAAGAGACAGTGCATGGTCTTGCTGGATGCTAAGTTGTTGAACATGGCCCATGAGGCTTTTGACTTCTAGTATCTGGTAAGCCTGATGTGTAGAGATAGAAGTAGTATGATGGGAGGAAGATGTCGAGGCAATAGGCAGAGAAGACTCACCCATCGCGCTGCACTCAGCGCGACGCTTTCCTGTTCTTTGGGTCAGCCAGCTTACCAAAGAGAATCTACGACGCATGGAAGACGGTGGATAGAGCAATCAGATGAATCAGATGTATGAATCAGAGGTCGAAGCTTACTTTCGGACGCAGAGTCTTGCTCTTTTGTCTCACCAGCTCTGCCAGGTTTCGTCCCCACCCAACCACCAGGGGCTAACGAAAAGGAACGGGTCATGGCTCCAGAAGTTTCTGGATACATGCTTGTCGATAGTTCAAAGTAGTACGAGTTACTACTCTGATGGGATACGCTTTGTGTTGTTGTTCTGTTGATCTGAAGTTTCCCGAAGTTGTTAGTTGAACAACAAAGTCGAAGGAAGATGGAAGATGCGACGAGAATTTATACTCGCGGGGTGCACCACAGAACATTTGACAGGCAATACGCTCGGTACGAGTACACAATAAGAACAATAGCCATTGTGTGTCGCACTGTCTAAATTTACGTCTATTTATCCCGCGTAAAATAGGGATTAAGAACTTAGCAATTATCGTCAACAAGACAATAATCATGATACAGAGACTCTAGGCGTTCCATATCTAAAACGCTGAGTCCAGTCTCAAAGTTGTGTAGTCAGTTCTAAAGATGTGTTCGTCTCTTTCCCTGAAGTTATTGAATATGATACCAAGAACCTCAAGAGGATAGACTAAACATTCCGCACTGAACCATGTACTTTGAGTAATGACAATAATCTGATCTGCAATATATAATACTCGTGGGATTAAAGTGTCGAAAGTGAGTTTGTTTGATTATTCTGTCTGCTCCCAACTTGATACTGTTGCTGCAGAAATAGTGGTTCCCTCCAACACAACAAAAGCTTGTCTCGAGAACTTGTCAAGTAATACCTAGTATTTTTGCAATTTATACTTTTTCTAGTGAATGGGTTCAAGAAGTATAGGCTGTATAGCCATCCTTCTTTCTATGTAAGAATCTTGATTTATGCTAGATTAACTTATGATATCTTGGTGTTGCTATATGCTACGAGAAATCTCTAGATACTTGCAGATACTCAATTCGAGGAGCTTCATACGGCTACTCGGCTTGTATTTTGGAGCTTTTCTGTATTATAACGGGTGTCTTGGTCATGGCCCTAGGGGTATGTCTCCAGCAAGAAGGAGAGATGTAGAATTTGTCTCATGAGTCATAACGCATCATTGAATATGGACAATGGATCACAGTTTGATTTCTGAAGCGGCTATTGAATACATTGATAACCCACCAACCCCCAAAATCTACTCAAACTTTTCCTTCAATAACACGTAGGTTCATATTAAAAAACTCAGACTAGGCTTTCCAGTCTACCTTTATCTATGCTGAGAATACGCTGGAAATCGCCAGAATTGTCAAAGTATTCCTAGCTTGTAGTCGTACTCTGAAGCTGGACGTATGCCTGAAAAACAATCAATAGTTACGGAGCAGTTTATATACTTGTTTAATTCTAACTAAGTTCCAGGTACAACGAAAGAAATATTCGAGTTAGAAAGGGATGATCATCCGAACCACGGTAACGTTACATGAAAGCTATAATATTGGATTTAAAAACAGTAGATATCATCACTTTTGAAGATTTGCACGGCATCGCAGAGCTGGCAATATATTAACTTACACGAAAATAGATGAAAACCTTCTACGGCCATTTCATCGGCAAATGAAAAGTTCATCTTCAGAGAAGAATTCATAACTTCTTCTACAGTCTTTCGACATCAACAGCTTTATCAAAACGGGGAACTGGGTGTGCTATGTAGATTTAAAATTAGTTAAATATTATATTGTATTTATTTCACGTATATCAGCAATCGTTGACAATATACTGAAGCAATATTGATTTGGAGTCCCAACCACGCTGGGCTTAAACGGCGAAAAGAATAAGCGAAGGGGAAAAGGGGGCCCCTTTATCAGGTCCATGCTCCTTTGGGTGTTTTGGCTTAGATTTTGTACCAGAAATAACCGACGTAAGTACAAGTCACCCTAGAATTAGGCTTTTTATATCCCAGATCTCCCTGACTCCAGCCCATTTGCATGAGACTCAGCTATTTGCCTTGCCCCCCTTAAGTCCACACACGACATGTCCGGGATTAGTGTCGGCCGCTAAATCTAGTGGCAAACTTTATAAGAACATCTCAACGTGATGACAACCACAAACACCTGTCAAACATCCGGAGTCTTTTGCGAACTTCTAAGCTTCCACTTTTCGTCTAATCACGATGTATATTAGTGCTTTCTGATATAAGTTAGCACAGGAATCTTAGTTTCATGAGTTGCGGGCTAACATACGTTACATACCAGGAATTAGGAAGGAGGAATCACTTGATCACACCAAGATGTTCATTACTATTGACGGAGAGAAATGAAATATCATGGGCTGCTTCTTATACAGGCAAGAGATCTAGTACGTGAACTTATCCATGCTAGTTGTGCTTAATGTTTGACGTTTATATATAGCAAAGCGATAGGAAATTGAACTGGACGAAGAGAATCAATTCTGACAAAGAAATGATACTCAAATGCTGTCCCTAGTCGACCCACATCTAACCCAGAAGCTTCCGGAAAGCTGACCAGGCGCACGATCAAATCCGGCATTCAGCAGGATCTGTTCCTCTCATTTCTGAGACCTGCAAAGCTACCTCAGCCAGTGTCAATTGGTGGCCATACAATTAGAGCTTGCCAACGTTTTCGACAGCTCTCTGGTGAAGAATATATGACCGATGCGGGAAGGCCTGATTACAAAAGAGCTAATTTCTGACTATCTGGAATGATAATGCTGCTTTTGTTAGGGACGGTGAATTGTGATGTGACCAAGTGTCAAAGACACTTGTCCGAGCTATCACAGTTACTGCATGAATTGCCTTTCTGAAAACGCATATCGAGGCTCCGCTTCGTCATGGTGGTAGTACTTCTCGATGATCTGAAGATTTGGATGTTCTAGCCTCTAGGCCTGGATTGCTTTTCAACTTTCCCTTCTATCTCCCGAACAAGGACATAGTTTCCCAAGAGGCAATATACTAAGTTGCCAATCTTTCCACAACTAAAACAGTATTGTTTATGATATTTGGAATCTTCTCTTTGGCTTTCTGCAAACAAGAACTGCCTCGTCAGCTCTTGAATCATCACCTGTCTTGGACAACTTTCTGCTGCCATTCGAATTGCTTTTGCTCGAAGTGCTTCTGTCATCCTGTGTATCTCGAGTTTCGAAAAGTGCTCTCTAGCCACCACTAGGATTTCTCAGAATTCTCATGAGCTTCTATCTTGATGCATCCCCACGGAGTCTTGGAAGACAACATAATCCTCTACAACACAACTAGGCACAGATGCTACAGATGTTCCAGGTGGTACAACTCCCTTAGTCTCATCACCTCTTCTTTCTGAACCTTAAAATACTGAGGCTGACCCGTCTTGGGTTTATATTGATGCTAGGAATACAGATTGACCTTATCCTCCAAAAGGGTTCTACCTACCAGTTTGCTGTGGAAATCTGAGGTTTCAGTCAGCACAGCATATTACCCACAAAGAGCAAGCAGTATCAACCTACATTCCGTCGACTCCTTTAATAGCCACCCAATACATGGAATCATACGCGCGGTTGCCTATCTGCACGTCCTTCATGCCGGCAATGCCGCCAATGCCATTGTTGCTAGCCGTCTTGATCACGCCAACCGGATAAATATTAAGAAGTATTTCAGCTCGACATAAGGTTTTAAGGGGCTGAACAGACTAATAGGAGGATCAACACTTTGCCTGAGGTCCCGCTAGGAAGTTACGAATCAAATGATCCTGCCTGTTTACAAGCTCGCATTCAACTCCTTGTCATTGCTTGGTATATCATCTGCAAAGTCGACAGCCTCGGCACCTTGAGGACTTTGAGAACCTGCTCTGCAGTAGGGTTCAAGCGGGATGGGAACATGCAAAAAGATCAAAAAGGTCTCTGTCAGCTGCATATTTTTGCTTGGGAAACAAGATTTACCTGAGAACCATCTTCAGAGCTGAATGTATACCTTTTCGGGCCTCGCTACCTAACGCAACACGGACTTGTCCCACCATTTCGTCGACTGCGGGGGATGTTGTCCTGATACGGCTGGAAACTATACTCTGGGCGAGATCCGAATCGAGGAAAATATCAAAGGGATTAGTGAAGGCCTGCAACTATAGGCCAGGAATATATAAGACAACAGAGAGAACAAGAGAATCGTGAGGACTCGACAACAGTTTTTGGGTTCACTTGGCATAGCAGACTGGGCTCATATGGTCCAGTCGATCACTGTCTTATTATCTATCCATCCCTACCATACTCCGGAGACCCTCATCGAACATCTACCAGCATATGGGTTAGCTGTTCTGTGCTGACAGCTCCCCCTCGGATTTACCAAATAAGACATATCTCGTCTCTCGAATTTCTCCTTCATTTGGATCCTATGCACGGTTTATTGGATCACATGGATCCGGGCCGTAAGAGACCTTGACCGAACCGTCTTTGAACTGGATATCCTTGGTGATCGCCTGGAAACAGGCCTCAGCTTGACCATCTACCCGCGCAAATCGAAACTCCATTGTTGTTCTCCCACAAACTGTCTCGTGGGTTAGGTGACAGTCCCACTCCAGGTGGCACTGGATCCGGAAGTACGCATCCCACTTCTCAAACTTCATAATCTTTGTTGGTCCTTCGATGATTAAGACCCGGGTCTGGTTCGTCTCATTCATTCGGTAACCGTGGCGGTTATATCGAGCCTCGAGTCTTTTACCTCGTACCCAAACTCCGTCGTCGCTTCTTGACTGCCGCAAGAAATTTGCCGCCCCTTCTGGGGTCATGAAAACCAGTTTGACAGCCTTCATTTCATGCATCTCATCTGCTTCTTGGACATTGATGCACCAGACTGAACCGGTGGTGACCTTCTTGAAGAGGTCCTCCATGCTACACTTGACGGGAACGTTTTTCACATACAAGGCACAGTTCAGATGGTCTGGAAGACCGTTAATCTGTCTTTTAAAAGACCCCGAATTCTTGTCCCCTTTGTATGGGTTACTGACAGAGTCATTGTCGGAGCGCGGCTGGATAAAACCTCTCTTTTCTAAAGCCATTCTCGTCGGCTTGAACTCACTTTCTGATGAGTAAACTGCTCCTTCTAGCAAATGCTCCATCATTCTCTCCATGTCTATTGGAGGAATCCGACCTCCGCCTGGTGTGGTGTGAATTGCTGCGACGCTTGCGGCGGGCCGTGTTGCTCTCCACTGAGCTGAGGCCATGAATTGGTGGTTTTTCGCTTCCCTTTTCCGAAGGCGATTTGTGTTATAGTTGAAGCCGTCTCGGGTAGGCCCGAAAGGTTGACGCACTGGAGCAATACCGCTGACTGACTGGTTGAGGGTGGCAGGAGCTCGGGTTTGGTAGGAGCGCCTATGGGCCGAGGGTATGTAGATGGCAGTAGTGTTTCGACTAATTTGATTATTGCTGGCAGATGCTAGATGCATTATCAGTAACTCATCGCAAGAGTATGCCACAAGAGGAGTTGGAACTTGCCATTAGAGTTTGCTGCGAAGGCGCGGGGAACGGCCTTTTGGAGCCCCTGCTCAGAAAGCGTCTGTTCGGGCATTTTGATTTTGGGATACAATCTTTTAAGGGATCTTGAAAGATGCCTGTAACTGTCATCCAAGAATTCCTTCTAAGCGGTGTTATTGTTATTACTGTTGTCGCTTTGGTGTTTTAGCTTGTGTCTGCGTGGAGAATGGGGAGAAGATGGAGAGATTGAGATTCTAGGAATCTTGATCTGACTCGATGCCCACAAAACATAGGTGGATGAAAGTACAAACCTTACCAGTGGATTCAAATTCGCTAGTTAGAGTAGGATGGGTTGTTTATCTTTGGGTTTGTGTCTTTTTACCGCTCTCTTTAGGTTGTCTTTGTATCTGTTTTGCTATTTTCAAAACAGTGTGAAAATGTAGAGGAATAACTGCCCTCGGAATGAGCGAGTACGGACAATCCAAAGTGCTCGATCTTGGAATTGTCACCAGTGTTGATGAATGTTGATTGATTACTCTTCCTTAAGTTTGTGAAGAAGAATCTGTGATTCCGTGATTGAGATATTGAAGTTCGGTTGTTTCTATCTGTCCGTTCCCTTTTAGGGGATTCAAGTGAACGCGAATTTTGAAGCCTCCTACCTCTGGGCGACTATAATTTGGCTCGGCAACTGACCCGAGATATGGTACTCTGCGAGGTTTGAGCTAAGCGTCCAAGACACTACACAAATCACCCATTGTATTACTGCAGTCTGGAATAAGGTTGCAAAGTTTTTCTTTATTAATCAGCTCGATACTCTATTCTATTCTAAACACACATCTGACGGATCGGGATTTGGATCATCTCAAATAGCTACCCTCGAATTACTGGAATCGAGAGATAAATCCCCGCTCGCTCCCTTTCTCTAACTGATTGACACACCAGATTTTCCTTATTCGGGAACCCCATAAAGTCCAACTCGATGAGGGGCTTGCTGATACTGAAGAGAAAACTCAAGATGTGGAAACCAACGTTTGGAATGCTATAGAAGGTCTCCTGGCGCAATTATCATCCTATCTGCCCAAACGCAGCCAACAGTACAACACCTATGATCATCAGGATTAACTTTCAAGTCTAATACCTCTGCCCGTTCCAGTCCCAGTATCCTAGTTATTACCGGCTTTCTCGCACGGGTCCGGGGCAAAAAATATCGAAAATTGATCGTTATAGACGGTTCCTCTGATGAATTCCTTGAAGCATTTCATGGCGGCCCGGCTTTGTCCTCGGATCGAATCGAATGACAATTCTACCGTTCTTCCTTCTCCTGCGAAGATCCACTCCCTCCTTCCAACGAGATCGAATTTGATAGTCTGACGAAAGAAGTCTTCGATCCCATCAGCTGTGAAATTTCTTCGTGGGCCTGTAATTCGTATGACCCTTGACTGATGACGCTCGCTGTAGGGTCTTGGGGGGGAGGCATCGCGGTTCCACATTGCCCTAAGTCGATAGCCTCTAATGAATACTCCTTTGAGGTTGATTCTATCCATCATCCTCTCTGCAGCATCTCTGGTTGTAAAGGCAACTCTGCAAGCGCATGTGTCGTAACATCCCGGGACTGGTAGTTGCTTGGAGAATGCAAAGACCTTGCCCTGAAAAACATTAAATATTTCCTTTGTTTCGGCCTCCGCAGGGATGCCGCAGATTCTGAGGGCACAGTTAAATTCATTCGGCAGGATAGCGTTCACAACGTAGGAGTCCGTAATGTCCCCTTGATAGTTTGACGATCGAAGGTCAATTCCTGCGCTAAGTGCCTTTATAACCATGCTAGGATGGATATATCGATGTACGTTGGTTAGAGCTCGTGATGGTTCAAACTCCTGTCTGGACTGCCCCTGCCCCGCTGAAGTTGTGGACTTGTCAGAGGAGTCGTGTAGCTCCTCTAGCTCATTGAATTTTATCTCCGATTGAGCAGCGTAGCCAAGGACGTCTTTGTCTTGGCAAGAAGCCACTGGTGAGGTAAGTCGTACTAGAATACCGGCACTGGAAGTTGAAATCGTCATCTTTTCTTGAGTTTCGGAAGAACGCGAGAACACCTCGTGGTGACTGATCCGCTTGGAGGTTTGAGATCCTGCAGACTTGGTCAGTGACTGTATCATTAGTATCTTAGATGTATACTGACCATGGCTCCCAGTTAGAGATCTAACAGATCGAGGAGCCTCAGCATCCTGGGTGGTAATATACATCACCATGCCGAGAGCTACGTATAGTCAGCAAAAGAGCGTGCTGGCTTAACTTGCCCAATCCTACCATTTGATTGACGATCATGATTATGAAGTTGAGAATTCTCTGCATGAGTCTGATGGTTGACGGTATGCTCGTTGCTGCTAGTGACTTTGAAGACGATTATATGCTTAGCAAGTTTTCCGATTAGGGAGATGGGAGATGATAAGATGCCAGGACTTACCTCCCTTCACGCTGTCAGAAACAGCTAGTGCCTGCTGGTGCATAGCATATAGCTCTGATGCTGTCAGGTGAAATACTGGAATGCCTCTCGGATCTCCATTATCTGCTGGTAGGGAAGGCATCGTTCAGAGTAACTCTCAAATCGAGAAAAGTCACAAGGGTGTTTCTGTTTCTGGTATTGATGACAACAGTCTGAACGATAGAAGTTGCGTGAAAATGGTTTGGGTTCGCGGATCCGCGGGGTTGTCAACCTGCTCGATTGAGGTAGGAGAAAATCGCTGCTTGGCGGTGCAGCTGCGCTACTGACAGCTACAATACTATCGAACAATAAGTGATTGGACTTAAGCGACATTCACTCTGGAAATGACCATAAGGTTTCAATGACATGTGACTATTTGTTACTCAAATGAAACATCGACGGGCTTCAACTCATAAACTGATAATGATCTGAGCCTGGATCCTCCAACTCATCTGTGACCCCTTCTACAGACAGTAATGTGGCTGCAGAATTTCACACTTGCTTGGAATTGTTTTATCTTTTGAAGGATTTGATCATTTGGGTCTATTAGTAATTGTTCCCAATCTTCATAATGATCTATTGTCTACCAGGAGTTCCCCGGTTCTCTCTCTCCCCCGCGATATCTCTTTCGCGCTTGATTTCCCCATCCCAAAGCCCCATTGCTATTCAGCGCTGACGAAGTCATCATTACAGGAAACCTCTGAAGGAGATCCCTATGAGAGAAAGCATAAGTGCAAGACGCTCTACATATAAGTGACGAAGTACAGTGCAGGAGAACATCGAAATGCCGCTTAGGAACTTCAATAGCTATGACTGCAATGATTTATAAAGGCCAGCGATGATACTAAGGACCTTTTTCATACAAAATGCTTTCTCATAAAGCCTACAGGGAACTCCAGTTCTGCGATCTGGCTTTATGGAGGAGTTCTGAGAGTTTGCAAATAAGCAGCACTAGTATAGATCCTATTGAACAGATCCGAGGGGAAGAGTTATGCTGATATCTTGTTGGCTATTGCCTCTATACAGCGTCCAACTGCAGTAATCCTTTCCAGCATAACTTTGCTTCAAGTTACATTTCAAGCTTCTATTCCCACAAGATGAGATGCCAATTCGGTTGAAGGGTCCCCTGCATTGTAAGGCCGTGTCTTATTGTCGCGACTCGGATCATGTTGTTGCTGGAGTGCTGGAATATCCATGTTGACGCGGCAGAAAACAAAGGGCCATTGTATAATCATTAATTTGTATTCGCGGGAGGTATAAACTCGCCCCTACCCTAACCCTTCTTTGCCTACTTCTTAGATGATAACATAATCAGGATCTTGCTTTTTGGAGGCAAATGCCACACGCGTTCAGCTTTGTATACCGGCTTACACTACAACATTGAGGCTGATAGGTGCTTAGGTGCAACCTGTTCTGGCTTTTATTTCTGGGGGTTCATTCTATGGCTAAACCATTTCTTGGCCCTCGTGCGAGCCTTTTGATGACGACATAAAAGTACAGCAAGTCTCTGCGGTTTTCAGCTCTTATGCCTGCTCTTGAGAGCCGACCTGCAAGGATGACTCTAGAGGTGATGATGAACCGTGATTCCTCTATGATAAACTCAGCGCACTACCGCTGGTCGAATAATATACATCCCGAGCAAAATGCAAATCCGAAGGTCCATTGCGATCAAGTAAACCCCCGTCCCTATCAACGCCGTAGCCGATCCTATCGTGTGCAGCAGAACCAATTCCACCGAAGCATCTAACAGCCTTGATGCAATTCCCGACTACTATGGGAGAGTGATCGTTCCGCCGGTCTTGGCTTTAACATCATCGATAATCTCCTGTGCTAGCGTCATATAAGCCGTGTCATTAGTGCTCTCGCCTGACATGACAATGCCAACCCACTCCTTATTCCAATTAGTCACCATTGATCCGAAATCCCCCCGTTCCGCAAATTGTCGTCCTGACACATGGTTGTTGATGACTGTCTCTCTAGTACTTGGAGCATTGTCCCGGTGGATTAAGGCATTCATAGCATTTGTGTCCCCAGCTGTAACACCGTCGCGGGCGTCCCCCAAATTCCGGCCAGTCTTAACAACCCATGCACCTTCCGTAACTGCCCCTACTTTAGAAACGACATCATTATCAGTCGCAATGTACTTTCTGTTCAATGGCAAGTACTTCTGTCGAAGATCGAAAGGATCAATAAGAACAGGAGGTTTGTTCTGGGAGAATAGGGTTGGAGACTTGAGCTCAATCAGAGCCCAGTCCATCCTCCTAAGGTTGGCCCCTTGATATCTGCCTGATGCGCATATCACTTCACCGATTCCGCCAGCATGCTTGTGGCGCTTGATGGTCTCCAAGGTACCCTTCATTTCTTTGCTTAACGGACCGTTGAGAGCTTCCAATGCCTTCCTTGTCGTGACAGTATCATATGATGATGGGTAGTCGATGGGAATCCGACGCTGATGCTGAGGGGCATTTTGTCCTTTCAATCCAATTCCGATTCTGTCGGTTGTTGCTTGGTTCGAAGGATCTCCAGAACAAATGACGTGGTAGCACGTCATGACACACAGCTTTTTCACTTCCTGGCCCTCTGGCTGGAAATAGACGAATGCGCCCAGACTGCCAGTTGAGTTGGAGCCTCGCGGACCAATCGAGGAGCCGTTCTTAGGATTCGCTGGGAGGTTAGAGTATGGGCTTGGTTCGGCCTTTCCGAACAGGGGCGGCAAGTCCAAGAGATAGCCCGAGTAAAGCTCATGATAGATTGCAATATCCATTGGGGTCTTCGCGGATTGGAGTGCTTCGTCAATCTTCTGCTCCACAAGGTCCCAGATGTGGCGTGTTCCTGGTTTGATCATAACCATGACGGTAGGCTTTCGGTCTCCCTCCTGGTCTCTTGGCCCTCGCATATGGTAAGAGATGGAACTCCATGAGTCCGGGCAGGCCATTCTGACTGCCTCTTCGACTAGTGGTTGAACGACAAGAAGGGCTTGATGGACGTCGGTATTGCGTATAATAGCCGTTGATGTGTCGCGGTACATCCTGCGTTCGTTCCGAATCTCAACCCGAAACTGATTCGCTAGCGTGGGTGCAGCATTCTCGACCACTTCATACAATTGCTGCGTTGCCGCCTTCCAATTTGAAGGATCATCATCAAAGCAGAGGATGATGAGGGTATCTTTCGTGTTCTCAAGACCCTTGGTCTTCATTGCTCGGACAGTTATGCGATGCGGCCTTATCTCATGGGACCGGAGGATATCGCGGATTTTTCCCTCGATATCATCAATTACTGAGCCGAACGCAATGGATGCAGGCCGATCCTCATATGGCCATGGCGTCGGGATCTTGTACAGAGGAGCTGTACGAAAGTCGTCTTTTCCTGCGACGAACTGTTCAATACTACAGCATCCATCTATACATGCATTAGCTAAGAGACCGAGAAATCAGAACAGAGGAGGGTTAGTAAGGTCCAGGACTAAAAAGCAGCAGCTTACCGGCGTCTACTTTCTCGTAAGAAGTGTTGTTTACATTAAATCGCCTCTTCTTCGGGATAATCCCCATATTTGCGGTTGGGCGCTGAGTGGACGTGACTCGTTTGCTGTTGTGGAGGTGGAACTTTGATATCAGTATGGAGAAGACTGTCAAGGTTGAGGTCCAACCTTTCATTCTTATATCTTGTGTTGTGACCACCAACCTTGTAGGTTACGATGACTCGCTTCGCTCGCGCCCTATGACAAGCACAACCCCTGAGCCCCTTTCGTCTCGCTTATTCTACGCGGATCCTCCATCAATTACCTACCTTACCTTGGGTATGGTATACTATAGTCTATACAAACATAATCGTAATCATAATCATAATCATAATCATGAATCATCAAGGTCACCTCTGTCCCATAAATAGAAGGGCCTAGGTATTCAATCCGCCGGCTCATCCTTAATGCCACTCTGTCTCTCTACCACCACTTCCTCTACCCGCGAGCCCACCCTAGGTAAAACTTCCTTTGCCGGAACCACCGTCTCAATTCCCGCTGGACTAAGTTCCTCAGGGCCCATGGGCAAGGCATCGATATCGATCTCCATACCAAGCAAACTCTTCAGGATGACTTCGCTACCTGCTTTGCTCATAACCTCATTCGCCTCTTTACAAAACTCGCTCACGACGCATTCCACACAACCTTGATGACAATGGCATGCTTCTACCCGCCTCAGAGCTTGCTTCAGGAGCAAATCGATGAATTCGAAAGCCTTAGTTGTAATCCCCGAGCCTCCCTTGCCACCTTTAGCGTCGTAGAATGTGAGCCGTGCCGGGCGCTTACGGGATGTTTCCCTCTGGGCAAATTCCTTGAGGCCAGATTTGCACTCGGTGCGTACATCTCCAGGCATGCTGATTACAAAGTTGGGCATCAGGCTTATGACTGCGTGTTCCGCAGCATGAATGGCGCCTGCGACGTTCAGACGTCTTTCTTGGAGGATTTCAAGGGCGCGTTGAGGGATATCGAGCCACATGCCCTTGCTGAGTATGATGATGGGCGGATTATCAACTTGCACGGCGTCGAGGATTCGGCGTTTCTTGTCGACTTTGAAGAAGCCGAAAACAACTTGCTGGATCTTTATTGGACCATAGAAAGCTCTACAGAGGGAGCCAGGGATTCGTCGGATGGCTTCAGTTTCGATGGGGTCAACATCGGTATAGTCGCGTTGTAGAGTCGTCCACTCCACATGGACTCGTTCAACTTTCGCAATTTTGCGGTCCGGATTGAAATCCTTGACCAAATAACTGTTTCCTTGGTGCAGAAAGATGCCGCCATCGTAGAGGGTGAAGAACGCTCGGGACGCTTCGAGTTCCTCTAGAACTATATTCTTGCCATGACTGATATCTATGATTGCAAAATGCTCCTCCTCAGTGTCGCGAATGGATACGAACTTAGAGGGCATGGGTCGGAAGCGTTCATTGCAATGATAGAAGCCAAGCTCATCCTTGACCAATCTCCCCTCTGCTATTTCCTTCAGGCTGTTACCAAAATAAATGATATCTTCATCAGGGCGGATGGGCATTTCGTACGCAGCGCACTGGATATGTCCCTCCAATACCAGCATATTCTGCAGATCAACTTGCAGCTCACAATTGGGCTTCATGAAAATTTCGTCCGGATTGCTCATGTAGTACTGATCTGTTGGGAAGTGATCTCCAAGAAGAACAGATAACGAGTCCTTGTTCCTGCGACCAGCACGTCCGCTTTGCTGGCGCAGATTCGCGATGGTGTATGGAAATCCGACTGTGATAACGGCATCTAGGGAACCAATATCAACACCCAGTTCAAGAGCTGTTGTTGCGACGATGCCCATCAGTTTTCCCTCAAACATTTCACTCTCAATTCGTCTTCTATCTTGTGGTGTGTATCCACCTCGATAGCCCATGACTCGAGCTATGACTTCTGGTCGTTCCAGAGTAGTGAGTTCTTGCTTTACAGCCGCAATGAGCGCCTCACATCCCTTCCGAATTCTGCAAAATGCTATAACTCGCACACCCCTCAATATTAATTGGCAAAATAGTCTAGCCGCTTCAGCCATTGCGTCGCCACGTCCACTGGCCGGATCCCCAGGATCCTTGAAAGGAGTATTCCAGCAAAGAAACTCCTTTCTCCCAGATGGAGAACCATCAAAATCCGTCATCCGAACATTCTCGATTCCAAAAATAGTCTTGAAATGCTCTTCGGGATTGGCCACTGTAGCGGAGCAAGAAATAAACTTAATATGGCGGTTTCCCACTGCTGCACATATCCTTCTCAGTCGCCGCATTATGAGAGCCACATGTGATCCAAAAAGCCCATTATAGACGTGGATTTCATCGACGACTACATATTTCAGGTTCTGCAGGAAGGTTCTCCATTTCTCTTCCTGTGGAAGAATAGTGATGTGAAGCATGTCCGGATTTGTGAAGATGATTCTGCCTTGATCACGGATCAGGTTTCTATCCGCCATCGGGGTATCTCCGTCGAATGTCTCAACAATTGTATCCTCGAGTCCGGTCATAAAACTCATCATCTCTTTCAAACTTCGCCTTTGATCCTGGGCGAGAGCCTTGGTAGGAAATATATACATCGCTCTTGTATTGTGATCTCGCTCAAGCTCGTGAAGGACTGGAATTTGATAAATGAGAGACTTGCCCGAGCTCGTAGAAGTGGCGACAATCACATGATGACCGTCATGGAGATTATTTATTGCTTCGGCCTGATGAGCATAAAATTGGGTGATGTTCTTCGTGTTATACAGGGCGTTGACTAAGTTCTGGCTAAGCCGGAAATTCAAGTCCCCGTAGACGGGTTCCTGGGGATCAAATACCCGATGGCCATCGGGCACAATTTGCCCAGTATACCACTCACTATCTTTAAGCTCCTGAATAATCTCAGACATCGGCTTTCGTTCCTTAGGGATGTTCTTGGGTAAAACACTGAAGTCCGGTCTTGGAGTAGTACTCCTCGTCGACGCAGGATTAGGGATATACGCCTCAGCCTCCATCTCTAGAGTCTCTTCTGGCGCCTTCCCCTCAGCAGAACACCGATTCAAGAATGCATTGATTGCATTCCCAAATTTTAAATTTCTCTTCTCGATTAACCCCATCATCTGCTTCTGACTGAAGACCGGCATCTTCAAATCTTCATCCCTTAGCTTCTTCGTTGGCTTGGTCGGCTCCCCCGTCTTCTTACTCTGCGTCTCCCTCTTCAAGTCCCCGTCAATGAACTCAAAGAACAGTACCTGTTTCCCATCCCCTGTAGCTCCCCCCTGATGGCCCAACCCCTCATCGCCAGTAATTCCACCCACCGACACATCTGGCGCCGGACTCGGAGTATGCCAGCTCTTCGCCCGCCCGCTCTTAAACGTATCGTCCCTCTCGCTGCCCCGCACATCAACCTGCAACATTGCCTCGTCCACATATTGGAACCGCATCCCGCCAGGCCGTAACGCTACTATCTTTGCCACATCCTCGACCTTCAATTCGCGTTTGATATGTTCCTCCACAGCGCTTTTTATCGTATCAAAGGTCGTGGCAAGGTGTTTACGAGTACTGCAGAACGTGAAGACGAGGTTTAGTGCTCGATGCGTCTTTTCGAGTTGTTGGATGGAGGCGGGCCATGGGATGTCGCTGGTGACGGGATTGGAGAAAGTGGAGGTGCTGCGGGAGAGTGTGGAGTGGGATTTTGGTTTCGAGACTCGTCCAGGTTTGGAGTCGCCATCGTGCGTCTTTGTGGGGATCGTTGCGGTAGTTGGGGAGGAGTCTTCGTCGTTCGGGACGGTGTTGGAATCTGTTGCAACTGGGGGAGATCCTAGGTCATCAATACTTTTCCTTTTGCGCTTCCGGTTTATCTTATTAGACACGGTAGCTTCCTGCAATTCAGGCATTGCGGCCCTTGTTGTGGTAGTTCTAGCATATGGAATGTAGTGAGGTTCAGATGTTGACGTTGGTTTCATCGAAACGCGTTAGAGTTTGGCACGTGGTCACGTGAAGCAATATAGTGTGAACGACATCTGCACACCAGTTTTATTGCCTAAAGTATTCCTCTTCTAAATACTTTAGGAACGTGAGTAGTATGCCTCACACGCACAGCCAAAGATCCTTCAATGAGATAATCGGTCCCTGTCCTAGACCGCCTCGCTATGCGGGTATGCCGAACTCCTTCAAAAACGCTACAGCACCAGGATAATTGAACTGCCCTCCATCCTTTAGAAAAAGACAATACAGGTCGATGTATCTCTATGACAAAGGAGATGTGATATGTAGAAGGGATCACCACGAATTCAAAATCATCTTGCATCTGAGTCATTAGATTCTCACAGCTCATGCTGGATGGAATCGATTTCGGATCTGAAGAGTTTGGAATTGGCTTCGGACATCTTATAGACGTTAGCATATGATATTCTTATATTGCAACTGCAAATACTTGCCTTCAGAAGCATGTTGATAGGCTTGGGTTCCTTATCGCCCTCAAACGCTGTGAAGAGGATTTGTGCTGCATTGGTAGATGGCTTGTCTTTGAACTCCATCGCACGGACAATGATGGTGTTGAGAATGACACGGTGAGTATTTTCTTGGCGCATAATAAGACGTGGAACCCTAGGAGCATTGGGCTTCTCTTCATCCTCGTCCTCAAGCCCAGATATATCAAAGGATCCTGGTATTGGAGCCCCATTTTCATCAAAGCTGGCACACGACTTGGGAACATTAATCTTCAAAGTCCCAACACCTCGTTCCTTCCACCCTACTTCTTTGGAATCTAATGCAAATAGCTTTGCGCGCAGTTGTAATAGAGTTACTTCACCGGCTTCTCCGTCCTCAACATGAACTGTAACACATCAGCAATCCTTTCATAATGGTGGGTTATCAGGCTTACCTTTAGCTAATTTTAACTTCTTCTTATCCTCTTGAGAGACTTTAGAGCCCTCTTCCTCGTCATTGTCTGCCCCGTCTTGACTATCTTCTTCATCACTTCCATCATCTTCGTCACTTTCCGGTGCACCGAAAGCCTTTGCAGGTTTGCTAGGGGCGATATCCTGTCCAGGGGCAGCAAAGCTAGAAAGTTTGGGACCTGAACCGCCTGCGAAGCCATTGCTCAGACCGGAGCCAAATACACTGCCACTTCCAAGTGTGCCAAACCCAGAGGTAGAAGCCCCACTCCCGAATCCAAATCCCGTAGCTGGCTTGTTCCCTGAACCGCCGCCCAGGACACTCGTAGTGCTAGTTCCTAAGGGATTCGTGCCTGCCAGGGAGCCAAATCCAGATGTAGATGTTTGAGCATTTGCCCCAAAAATGCTTGGTTTTGATGCTCCAATAGTGCCAAACGGAGAGACGCTTGAAGATGCAAGGGCACCGAATCCCGAGCTTGCGAAGGCCGAGGAAGATGTCTGTGGTATGCTGCTAAGTCCGCTACCAAAAATAGGTTTCTCTGATGTTGATGAAGTCTTCGAAGTCCCAGGGTCGTCGGAAGGTGTCTTAGTTTTACCTCCTGGATCAGTCGCTGCTACCTCCTGCACCGGAGCTGATTAGCCATTGCCAAGAGCCTGGAGGTGCGGTGAGATAGTGTAAATCTTACCTCGGTCTTTGTTGATATCTTTGGTGAATCCTCAGAAGTATCGCGGGGGCGCTTCTTCTCTGGTTCAGATCCAAGGGCACCCCCGTTGGAACCATCCTCGGCCCCGCTGCCCTCCACATCTTTGCTATCATCTTCAAAATCGCGGCCTCGTTTCTTCTTTGGCGACGATATGCTCTCCTTCATCTCCTCGTGTTTTGCCTCGGTCGAATCTCCCTCAGCTGCGCCCGTCTTCGTTTGCTCCTCCACATCCTTATCTTCTCGAGGTGGCTCGAGCCTTGGGATCGGAGCCTCCTTCTCTGGTGTCATGTTGACTTTATCTGAGATAGTTGTATGCTTCAGCTCTTCACTGGCAGCCATCGTTGCCGCATCATCCTTATGGACATGGTCGCGATCCGCCTCTTCGGCCATAGCTCACGCTGGCAACTCTTGATTGGCTGCCGTGACTCTGAGTGGGTGATTCAGTGGGGTTTTCCAGTTCTTTGTCTTGATGAGCAACTGGATCCGCAACCAACTGCGGTGGGGTGACAATTGAGGTCGCTTCGTGGTCTTTAACAAAGTCTGGAGGAATGCTACGGTTTGGTCGTGCCCCTCCTTTGCGCGTCTATGCTTTACTGTGGTTGCCGGAGTAAATTTAGTCGAGCCTTGGGTGGCGCTAACGGTGGCGCTACTGATACGAGATACGAGACACGAGACACGAGACACGAAATACCGAAGTACCAAGTACCTACAACCCTGAACTCTTTTACAGTACCTCAGGTATGTACCATACACTTGACGAGAGTAATTACAAGGCAGGGCAAGGATGTCGTTATTATAGACAAGTCCTCTATAAGTATCTTTCTGCATTTGCTTCCAATTCTGATAAGTAATGCATCCTCTTCTAACCAGCTTTGTCCGCCATCTGATGATCTGAGTAGACAGCTCCGGACTCCTTGCTATATGATTTGAGTTTGAGATATCACTCCTTGCACATGGTACCTGAGCGTAGCCTCATTTCACCTAGTGGTATTTTGAGGGATATGCCTGTCAAATACACCGTACATGCGATTCGCGAAGTCCTCTCTTACCTTGGACGGAGCACCGGCATGATCTTGCCAAGTTGCTTTTCGCCTTCTTTGAATATACTTGCTAGTCAACACGCACTTCTAGATCATTATAATATCTATTTTATTTCTACAGCGATGCTTCCAGGTATATCCCGGATGTACGTTTTGTCTTTAGCGAGAGTAAAGGCTGTATGATTTACTCCCCCTTCGTCATCAAGGATGTATCTGAGCATCTCCTTCTAGGTGATTACCACGCCTTGAACAGGTTACCAACAATGAACAATATTCAATTATCTCTCGTGTCTGCTTCTCGTCGGCGGATCAAGCCGAAGCAGTTATATTGCCCTACCTAGGTATTCAAGGAACATCTGGACAGTCGACAGCGGTGACTCTACTTAACAACAGACCGATTTCTATTCTACAAAATGTCCATGCATCATCATGCCTATCGGCTGCACACTGCACAAACAGAAAGGTCGCTTTCGAATATATTGAGGATGGGATCCGACTACGGATCCCACCGCTTGGCAGCCTTGGCTTGCCCATAGCAGTTGACACGCCGCCAGACATAAGTCACAAAATACATTTCGTCTTTACATTACTTCAGCCAAGCATCAATGAACCACTTTGCCAATTCTCAAGTTTTGTACCTGATAACATGGGATGATGTCTAAAACCTGAAAACGGGATCAAAGAAAGCCACCGTGCAAGTGGTAAACAAGTCCGAAATTCCTTCGAAGACATCAAATATGGCAGATCAATTATACGTTTCAGTGAGACCATCTCTGGGTTTCTACAATGGCTGGTGTTTAAATACAAGGGGCGAAACGCCAGATTTTCAAAATGAGGAGACTTAGGACAAGAGATGCAATTTCTTTACACTTGTCCAAGCTTGGAAAGCCTCCATCAAGTATGGATGAAGGTAATTGATAGCGAACGGAGATTGTTTGGATACCGTGGCTCGACCTTTAGCCAAACCCCATCTATCCTCTCTAGGTTACTGGATAGCAATTGACAAAGAACATCTTGAGTTTCCTAAATCCTGTGCACTTCATGAAATGGTGCGACATACTTGGAAAGAACTGAATACTCAAATTGCCCCGGCCTCCTATTTAATCAACTGATGTTCAAAGCTAACTCGGACTACTAATAACTTTACTCCAATTCGATTCACGAAGCTCCCATAAGTTCAACCATCCTGAGGATCTTAATCCAACACCTTTTACCTTTCCGACCTTCAAAATAGCCACCAACTCGTTAAGCTTCCTATCATTATCCGACCCCTTAACCGCCACAGTCTTCCTACGGTTCCCCACCGGCGGACCATACGGCCCGTCGAAATCAAAATCCAACTTCCTCACCCCCGGCAGATGAGCAACTATCCGATGCATCATCTCACAGAGCTCCAGATCCTCATGGTGGTTCGGATCCGTCGAGCAGCGCACCCACCCTCGGCGCGGCAGGTATGTCAAGATGACAATGTGGCGGACACACTGGCGGAGATAGCTTGGGGTGGTGATGATGAAAGACCGAAGCCTGTTGCTAAGAGGAGGGTCTATGGCGTCGACCAGGCCATTGGAGAAGACCAAGGTGTTGCGGGAGTAAAGGATGGGAGCCGCCTCGGCATAGATCAGCTTGTTGACCTGCAGGAGCGCAGCCAGGTAATGCTTCGGCTCTGGGAGACACGGCTCTCTGCCGGTTTCGCGGACGATGTCCCTGTGGTACTTGATCTCGATTGGTTTGTCGATGACGAGGACAAGCTCGTAGATCATGACCCGCAGTTCAGGGGGGAGGGAGGTAAGCGTAAGTCTGGAGTTGTTGGTCGCCTGGTTTTGGTTAGTATAAATATGCAAATCAACAGGAAGCTGGATGATACGTACAATGGAGAGGGGAAAAGGAGAACTAGCTTCGAACTTGAAGGTATTGGTTTTGGAAGACATGATTTTGGGTGGGACTATGTTTGAGTGAAGATTGATATAGTTAATTATGTGACTTGAGATGTTTTTTGGGTGCTGTACTTGAATGTGAAAAGTCTGGAGAAATCTTGATTGGAATTGGGAGAAAAGAGAGAAGAGACGAGAGGACTTGAAGCTCAGTGTTTATACTCGGTGGCTCGCAATCTTGACAACAGTTGTACAAGTTCAATACACAATGGCAACTAATGAATAGCAACAAAAGGACAATAACAATAATGAAAAAATAGCATTATGAAAGGATAGCATTCACTGAAAGAATAGCATTCACTGAAAGAATAGCATTCACTGAAAGAATAGCATTCACTGAAAGAATAGCATTCACTGAAAGAATAGCATTCACTGAAAGAATAGCATTCACTGAAAGAATAGCATTCAATGAAAGAATAGCATTCACTGAAAGAACAACAACAAAAAGAGAACAACAACAACAATAACAAGCCCGTCTAGCGAACCTCTCGAACCACCCAAAATTCCACCTCCTCACACCAAGTCTATTCTTAGCTACCTTACCTTATTAAGCATATCTAGATTTCTTCAGATCAAACCAATAAAGCAAAAAGTCCTCTATATCTCAAGATGTCATTTCATCTAATGCGAGGGTATCTTGGCCATGGACACCTTAGGTGAATAGGGGGGCTCGGCTCCCGGCCAATCGTGGACCGGGTGGTGGTTACACAATTCAGTCCCCTTGCTCAATGGGAGGAAGTCAAGAAAGGAAATCTAATGTTTGGGATTCACGAGGTTGGGAAAATGTCCTCGTAAGGATAGTTATATAGGGAGCTTTTGTGGTGCTATCGTGGAGGAGCTATATCTAGTGGTTTATCGAAAAATATAAAGTAGGTAGAGTTATTGGGTGGGACAAAGGCGACAAAGAGAACACGCAGATCTGGGTAGTTTGATAGGTAGGTATATAGGTATTTTGGTGTGGATTTCTCATGAGGCTGTGCATTACAATACAGCCTTCTCCATGTCTAAGTGTAGAAGACAGAGGTGATTGGAAGTTATTTACAATGAGTCCTGCGCGGTTGGGCCAGGGGGTCGGGCGATATACACGCGGACCTCCCCTCCGCATCACACGGGCTTCTGTCATCCTGTCTGCGCTCTTCTGATGAAGATATTAAGTATCTAACTCCAAGGCCAGATGGCCCTGATTCCTGAACATGAATGCTCACACGAGCCTCAGCCATCAAGAGCCAAGATCAGCTCCGAAGCTCTCTCAGCAACAGCCATGATGCCAAACTGTGGGTTTACCGAGAGGGGCGCGACGATGCTACCATCTACGACGTGCAAGTTCTGCATTCCAATGACCGTCGTGTTCACATCTACACATTCCCCAATCCTACAACTTGAGGTCCAGTGGTTGACCATCCCTCGGGCATAGGGTGAAGGGGTCGTGATGTACGTCTCGATCTGTTGCTGCGTTGCGTTTTGTGGAATATTCAGGGATGTGAGTCCAGAGCCGGGTAATCCTTGAAAGATCTTGTATATGAAACTCGAGATATCCTTTGCATCTTGTGGATCCGAGTAGTAGACCTCGCTGCTTGGACCGGGGATGAAATTTGAATCGAGTACGACTTTGCCTTTTGATTTGAGACCGCTAGTACCGTAGACATTGAGGGTGATAGTGTTGTTAGAAGCAAAGTCACTGTATCCTGCTGAGTCAATGGTGCCTTGAAAGGTGACCGTGCTACCATCGGGACGAGTGAGTGTGTCCCAGAAAACGGATGTTTCGCTGCCAAAAGAATAAGGTCCGCTTCTTTGTTGGAGGTACAGTTGTTTGTCCACCGGCGAAGGATTATCGTATGAATAGGTGAAGGACTGTATGCTGTCCCCTTCCAATTCAATAAAAGTGTTTGGGTTATCAAAAAGGCCATTTCCGACTGCAGTGGAGTTAATCCAATCAGAACTGTTGAGGGGTAACCGTCCAGAAGAATACAGGGCAGAAAGTTCTTCAGGTGGGCCAATACCAGAGAACATCAGAAGACTTGGACTCCTCAGCGCTCCTCCACTGAGAATGACACGACCAGTTGTGGAAAGTTGAACGGTCGACTCGGTACCGTTTATCAGAACCGTAACCCCCGTCGAGTGCTCTCCCTCCCTTTCTACGCGAACGACGAGAGTGTTAATCTGCAAGTGGAAGTCGTTCCGCTGAGAAGCTAGTTCCAGATAGTTCACCGTCGGCCCCCCTCTTTGCCCGTTTGAATAATCAAATATTGGATATCCGAATACTCCGGTTTTGTTGTCAGCTTCAGCATTGATATCCACATCTTGGAACTGCACCCCATCGACAATCCACTTCTTTGCTGCATCGTATCCTGATTGAAGGTATCGTTTTCCATCTTGAGAAGTAACACTGGTCGAGGGCTGCATTGCATACAGTCGCTGTATGGCTGTACCCATGTCGGCAGACTTCCATCCTTGGGGAAAGTAAAGATCGAAATCACTGGCAGGTGGTTGGAAGAAAAGACCGGCATTGATTGCAGAACTTCCACCAATTGTGCATCCTAGGTAAGCATTCACAAGTGACTCGCAGGTGAGGCCGCCTCCATCGGCGAATATCGACTTGTAAAGGCCGGGTACGTCAACCCTTGACAGGTTTGTCCCATTGAGCCAGGCCTGCCTGAATGTCAATTGGATTACTTCACCAGGGGAAGTGGCGACATACTGGTCTTCGACTGTCAAGATCACCACCCGTAATGCCATAGGAGGGCCCACCACCCTCGATCAGGAGCGTTTTGCGGCCCGCTGAAGACATTCGCTCCGCAACTGTACTTCTGTATCAGCCAGATTCGCAGATACAAAAGGATGGATATATTACCAATAATTCCAGCTGAACCCGCTCCAACAATAATCACGTCCCATTCTTGCGTGAGCCAGTCACTGCAATAGCAACTAGCTACAAGGCAAGCCACTGCCAGAAGTTTTGAGAAGCGCATTTCGAAAACCGCATAGAAATAAGTTGCCGAGAATGAAATTGGGTATAAACAGTAGAAGATGTGCTTTTGATATTTTGCAAACAACAATAATGAGGCCGCAGCGACTTGTTGTCTGCTATCTATCTGGCCACTGGTCGGCACGACGCGAACAAGCTCTGGGACCGCGTTTGTACAGAGCTGCACGGCTTTTGAGGGACCTCAGATCAAAGAACTCCCATTGCCCAGTTAGAGTAGAGATCCTGCTCCGTAGAGAGGAGACCCTATTTATATAAAATCAAAGAGAGGGCCATTCCCAGAGCGGCATCTCGTAAATACCTACCTAAGTATGGGGACTTAGAAAACCAACCCTCGTCAAACACGAGACGCGCCGCTTGGCAAACCGTAAGAAAAAAGAAAAAAAGAAGGGAAAAAGGAGCTTGGCCTTCGTATTGCACAGCTGACGTCGTAAATAGGTAAATCTCTATATTTATCGCATCGCGCTAACCAGAACTTACCGCCTTATGCAATGTAGCTTAGCCTTGAGGCTCTAGGCGTGCGGCTGTAAGGGGCAAATTGAAGCATCGATCCGGATATCAATGAATATTCAATGATAACTTGCGAAGCGATGTGGATAAAAAGTCTGTATCGCAGTAAGGTAAAGTGAGATCATAGGTGCGACGTGCAACAAAACTCCTCTTTCAATTACTCAGAAGTTGTCAGCCATCACTCAGCTGCGATATGCAACAAACATCTTACTCCATCTTACTAAGTTCTCCCAATTACCCAAGAAGGACGTGTTCCAGTTCACGGATTCAGAGACATACGTGGAAAGAGCCTGCGTACTCGATTTTGGATATTCCCATGAAATTGCCTCGAGATAGGAGAAATGATAGTTGTATTTACAGTTCTAAGTGTCCTCGTATGAGGCAATCTGCGCACTTGAGTCCATCCCACCGAGTTTCAAACTCCGCAGGTACCTTCCAGAGAGTCTCGAGCACAGAAGCGAGTTCACTATGCGACAATGCATAAGAGTTAAAACATTGGAGAACGATACTGGTTACAATTGACAGAGGTATCGGATTGATAGAAAGAAAGGATTTGGGAGAGATGCATACCTAGGTAGAATGAAACGTCTAGAGGACCAGCCTGCTCTTGTCTGAAATGGGATCTGCATTACGCCGAAAAGCAAACGTAGAGTTAATCATACAACCCGTTCCATACACCACACTGTTCCCATTCTCTATCCCCAAATCGTAAGTACCCATCCCTGTTCTTCATTCAGCTAATAAAGCACAAGCAGCCCAAAGCTAAATAGAAGACTAGAAGGGGGTAAACGGCGATGCCGAGGCGGTTTTTGACGACGCCAGATCCGCCGAGGATGCTGATTCCAGCAGCTAGCGACCAGGCAATGAGGAAAAGGTAGACAGGAATCCGAGGGATAGTTGGGATACCGAGGGCGGAGAGGAGGGCGGCGATGACGAGGGGGAAGAGTGTGTAGCCGATGATGCAAACTGACTGGGCAAAGGAACTATTTAGTCCATTAGCATTTCACTTGAAAGAGATAAAGGAGAAGAGAAAACGGGAGGCGTACATATTCCCACCCAGCAACTTAATCTGCATCGTAACAACTGCCTCACCGATCCAGACCATAGCAAACACCCCACTGAAAACGAGACTCTTCTGCTCCTCCAACGCCCGAAAGCTAAGCAGCAAGCTCAACAGCAGACAGAACACCAATGGGCCCCAAAGATCCCAATCCTTCAGCCCCTCACTCATACCACCGCCGGCAAGCAGATTATCCGCATCCATTGCTCGGCCCGCAAGACCCACCAATTCCTCTCTCGCACCCTGAAGTCCCGCTTCTCTAAGATTCGCATACGCGCCGCGGATCGACGTCGTGTTGTCCAGCATGCTCCCCCCGAAGAGATATTTCGGGTAGAGCACCTCTCGCATCTTCGACCACACGGCCAGGAGATCCCGGCGTAAGGTTTCCCATACCGATTCGTCGATGGTGTTCCCTGAGGCCCGTCGGTCTTCGCCTGGTATCCGTGATGTAAGGTAAGATTGAGAGGATGTTATGTTTCCGGTTAGAGGGGCGCGCGAGGATTGGGTGGTGGTGTGTTGGAGGGGATCGTCTAGGTCGTCGAGATTGGCTTTAGGTGAGGGTGTTAGCTTTATACTTTTCTCATTGGTCTCTATGAGACTGATAATTCGAGTAGAACAAGAGTATAATTCATACCGTCATCCGGGTCTATTAGATCACCGTCATCTTCGACATGGGGCGAATTGTAATGTTCGTAGGGGTTGGACGAGGACGCCATGGCGCTTTGGCGGGACGATTCTGTCACCGTTGAACCGTTGACTTGGGCAAGTATCTCCACCTGTGCACTCCAATTCCTCCTCCTTTGCGATCGGAAATCGAATTGATTGTCGTGTCGATACGGCTGTTGTATATGGGTACCTACTTCACTTCGGATGAAGCTATCCAGATTCCACGGTTTCCTCATGCGCGTCCTGGCCTTCCGCTAGATTGAATACGGTTAGACCTCCCGCTCTTCAAATCCCACACTCAAGGTCACGTGAACTCTCCCTCTCCTCACTTCGATCATTGCCAAAAATCATTCATTGAATCTTGATATCGTGGACATCATGAGAGCTACACCACATCATGAGAGTGATATCAATAGATTGGAGCATAAATCATAACTATCATCCATCAACATCATCATCTCAAATGTTCCATCCTGCGCCAAAGCTAAGCATCAATATCGTTTATCTTGTACATGATCCTCAGTCTCGCAGATACGCTTTTCCCTGAAGACCTTCACTTGGTCCTAATGAATAGAGTCTCCACAATTGCTCTGAACGTGGATTTATGGGTTGTGGTAACGACTGTTCCAGCAGTCCTGTATCCTAGCAGACGTAACCATCTTTATTTGCCAACGGAGCAGAAGGATATGACCCAGACTGGTCAGAACCAATTGTACCAGTGTCATGATTTACTTCCTGGTCTGAATGCTGATATGAACTTTTGTTGTCGTTAACCGGCCCGGTGGTCACCTTCTGGTCTGTTCGACCACGTCTTTGAGTGACCTGATCTTCTGGAGGAAGTGGTCTCTGCCTTGGTTGCGCATAAGGATCCCAGACTGGCAGTTTTCCAAGAGTCTGAGCTTCGCATTTAGAAATACCTCGACCATAAGATGCAGCTTTCCCGTTGATACCAGCCAATGACCAGGCAAATACAGCCACATCTTGTATCGAATCCATAAACTCGTCTAGCGGAGGTCCTTCTGCAGGGGGTTCAAGAGCCTCGAGATCGTGACTGAAAGAGAGCTGTGGGCTCGGATGATATACTTGGGATCGAATAGGATCTGCATCCCACGGGGCTGTGAATAGTCCATTGGCAAACTGTGGAACGACGGTGACGGATAGCTGAGGGGGAGGTATCATTGGCCGAGCACGGCGCAGTACAACTACTAGCCCATCGGATGTACAAGAAACAACTGCCTCGATCTCAAATGGTTCCATTTGAGATAGTCTATCTGCCATAGCGTGTTCTAGTCTTGCACGTCTGCCTTGTTCCAAGGAGGGGATGATCGACGCGATGGAAGGCCGTGAGCCTGGCGGCTGATTAAGAATCACATTAGCACGACCGTGCTCTAGGTCAGCACTCCCTCCAGGCGATGTAAAGGGATATTTCGACTGCGATGCTGACGAAGTTGCTCTTAGATGACCATCATGCTCCTCTCCAAAGGCTTCTCCATCACTCCGATTAGAAAATGCTCCTTCTTGAGTGTGGCCGGAAGAGCTGCCCACTCCGGCAGTATTGGAATCAACATCCAGTTGGTCGTGGAGTTCTATGTCCCCATCCTCAGAATCAGTGCTCTGACTTGCTTCGCACATCACTGTGTCTTCCTGCAGGTCTTCGGGACGACGAGGATCACGATACCAAAATCGAAGGTATGCAATGGAATCATTAGCCTTCGCACTTTCCAAACAGCGGATAGCATCCGATAGACAGTTCTCCTGGATACACTCATAGAAGCTCTTGTTCGTGAACTGATCTGCCGAAACTCCGAGGATGTTGGAGACGGCGTTGGTTGCGTACAAGACAGTCAAGGTTCGAGTAAATCGATTGAGTATGAGAGCCGCCCGGGGTTCGTGCAGTGATTGTTGAGGAGGAGACCTAAATCCAGCGGACAGATGTTCCAGCATGTGATATCGAGGGTCCTGGGGAGAGCATACAAAAAGACGGCGGACAGCTGGTGCTTCAGCGGCTCGACCTGGTATAAGTTCAGCATCGGCTAGGTACCAATATCATGATCAAAGGCACGTACGCTCATTCTTAACATCTCCTCTATAGATGCTGGTACACGCCACCAAGACATCATAAACAATGGTGAAGACACATTCGCAAGCAACCCACTGTCCATCTCGGTTTTTAATTCTGAGATAGTGAAGGACAGCAGCTTTGTCCAGCTGTACGCTGCGGTCATGAACCTCGTGAGCAAAGGGTACCTCCTCAGGATGGAAGTAATCGAAGCATGATTTGCCCGTAACCTCTTCCGGACGATAGCCCAGTATGTCGACGATAGACTCGGAAGCAAACAGGATGTTGGCCTCCGGGGTTACATCTGATGAACCATTAACCACTGCAGCCCAAAGACTTTAATTTGTCGCAGAATCCATGGTGGGTAACTTGCTGTGAATGGTTATAAAGGTAGTCTCCATTTGCAGAGAACCTGGCTTTGTGTCTCTAATAAGATGCGCAGTTCCTCTGATTGGCGAAGGGCCCTTGAAATGGACCTGTGGCACGCGGCTATTGTAGTGCTCGGTGAAGCTACGGGTAGAATAATTGACGGCGGGCTAGAGAAAAGGTATATAGGCGCACCAACACAGAAATGGTGTGGGATGACCGTATGACAGCGGGGTGTCTTCAATACCAAGGCAGCAGAATAGCTAGTGAGGGATAAATAGTGGTCTGGTAGGACGAGCCAGTTCTCTCGTGGAACGGATCGCCCATGTCAAGGTAGTCCGCAGGGAAGATGCTGGCGAGAGTTGCATGCTTGACGATTCTGGAGTCTGGACACACACTCGAGTGGAATGCGGCCGTTTTGTACGGGCCCGTATCCTGAATTTGGAAGAGCGTCCGTCAACGCAAACTTCCTCTTGCTCTATCTTTTGTTCAAACATCAAACATTGATTGAACCTCCCACGAAATCTCTATCACTACTCACGAGCGAACCATGGATCCGGTAGAAACGAGGCGAGTCTTACTGGAATCGGATTTGTCGACGGGCAGAAGAGCCACAGGGCCGTATTGCAATAGTGGTGACTTGGCCAGGAATGACAAATCTTCATGGAGGTGTGCTGAAGCGGATAATATTTTGGATGCGTGACTTGAGGCGATCGCGGCGCCAACCTAGCAAGCTTTGGTGGGATTGGGTGCTGGCGCCGCGACAGAAAGGTCTCATATCATTGACGGTGTTGAAGTTGTTTGTCCTGATTATACAGTATATGGTAAGGTATACATAGCGCTTCACAACCTCGACATGGAGATAGCGCTGGAGGTACAGTGCCTTTTTATTTTAAAATATACCTTTGAAGAAATACCTAGCAGAAGAAGTAAGTAAATGTGAATATCGTTTTGTTCTAAGAACTCCGCATCTTACTTCCTTTCTTTTTCCGGGCCCCCACCAAGCTGCCTCACCGGAAGAAGATAGCGATGACATGCTTGCTTCTTCTTAACCTTAAGTGACATCTAGATTCCCTAGCATGCTGATGCATATATATCACATCACGAACCGTATTGTACATGTGTATACATAAATGCAAAATGACAACAGATCCCCAAGGTAGGTAGGGTTCCGTGCTCGAATTTGGTCCCCTCGCCGCGTTTCTTGCCATAGCCGCGGGGGATGGACCCGTTGGTTCCAAGCAAGGTGCTGTTCGTGGAAAACGTTTCTACCCGTGAAGGCCCTGTATGGCCAGCATTGTTGGGACTGAACCCGGTTCTCGGGATTTTCTGGGCTTATTCAGACAACTCAGCAGCGGTAACAGTTGGTGAGGAGTCAACTCCGTGGAGGTCAGCCCGTCAGGGATCGCGACCCTGGTCTATACTGTATGTACTATGTACGGACCTCTCCTGGGAATCGGAGCAACGAGCCTAGGCGACGAGCATCTGTGGTCTCTACCGCGCAATCACTGCTTTTCATGCCGTGCAACCGTGTAACGCTCCTTGCGCAGATCCAAGATCCTCTCGCATCTTGAGCCCCTGTGTGCCTTGTCCCTTGTGCTGCTGCAATGCCGTCCAGAGGCTATTGCGTTCAGTTCGTATCGTTGGGCCTCGCTGCTCCAGATCTTAGGTATATTTCGACGTGGTACCGTCCGATATAAGAGACCTGATACCCTCAACTGAGAACAGAAGCAATCATCGTGCTCTTATCAGGTATCGAGGCATTTGGTTATCTATCGTCTTGCAGTGTGGAGTTGGTGCGATCTTCGAAGCCAAAACCAGCCGAGGTCCGCCTCCCTTAGCATTCCATTGGCGGGGGATTTACGGTATACATAAATTCCCCGGTATATATTATTTAATACCTTAAAAACCTCATGTAAACCTCCACCAACTACAACTGCGCCTTTGACTGGTGATTGGCGACCCACGCCAGTAGCAAGTAAATCTGCGCCTCGACGGCAAGTAGCTTTCCCTCTTGAATAGACCAAGTCAATCGTGAAAGCCCATTTGTGCGGGCGGTCTGTCAAGCCTGCTGAATGTTGCTAATACGTGTCACAGAACGCGTCAAAAGATAGCCCATCTCCAAACCCCTTCAGCTAAGCCAACAACAAGGCTTCAAAGTTGCCCATCCGTGCACTACTGGTCGTCTCCTGTGGGCGTGAAATCGTTTGCCCTTGAATCCCAAGTCTCTCATCTCAGACAAGGATCCGACACGCTTTATAACAGCGTTGAGGTGCAGTGCAATGCCCGCCTAAAGTGTTCGAGTCCAATCTTGCAGTACGTTACCCGGAACGCCGCATGTTTGCTTTGCAGATTTTGTGCTCTCTTTCTCACATCCTGCATTGCTTTGCGGGGCAGGGCCTACTATTCGGCCTCTAACTCCGTAGTCGAGAGTTGGTCCATTGGCCGCAACGTGATGTCCCGCAGGCCTTGGTATCTTCCCGTTCAAAGTCAGGTAGGATTTTAAGCCAAGCTACCAACTGATATTTTTATGTCTGAAATTCAGGATACTTGCTTCTGAGCATAGCTGGGGATATCCTCTTCCTTCTATGGTTTGCAATACAACCCGTAGCATCCCTCATGCGGCACAGTGTAGAAGGACAAGACCTTCCACTACACTTCACGCCCAAGAACGTACGGTGGGAGATATCTAGCTCACCCTACCTTGAGCTGCATAGTATCACATTCCTACCAATCACTCATTCGTCCTTAATCAACCGAGTAAGATAGCCATGGCTTTGAAACAAGAGAAACACGAATGGGAGCTTCCCCATTTGAGAGAATCCCATCAGGTGCCAGTAAGTTACTGCCGACGACCATATTGAGGGGAAACCCCATACACTCCCACGGTTCCGGGACTGTTCCTAATGGATGATTTCTTCCGTAGGCCGTCTCCAGCGGTATGTACTTAGTCCACGGCGAACACCATCTTCGAACCAACTAACCCGCTCTACGGATTTCTGGTCGGTCAAATTCTACCCATACACCGAACCAGGTGTGGATCCCGTCTTTGCAGCTGTTGGTGGGAAGCATGTATGTACTCCTTACCCAATCACTATGGCTTCGCTCACATCAGGTAGATTCTGGTTTGCAGGCTTCCTTCAACAGCAAAAGAAGGCACATCGATCGAGGTTATACAAAGTGTCCTAGATGAAGAAGTGAGTCAATATCTCTAATCTATCACAAACTTTTGTTCACGTACGCTCAGCCAGACTCGGACCATTTTGCTTGCGTATGGACCAAGGATTTATCGACCGGCACACCCCTTCTGTGTGTGGCAGGCGACAATGCCAAAATCCTCATTATAAATGCTCTGACAGGGCAATTGCACAGGGTAACGTATTTCGTTTGATCTTGTCAAATTGTGGCTGATTTCAATAGACACTTGCGGGTCATGGAGGGGTACGCTGACCTCGCTGGCTTCTCCCAAACCCTTCTCTTAGCTAAGATGAGCAGGCTATCAATGATTTGGCGATTTCACCCATTAATCCTCAGATCCTGGCTTCTGCTTCAGATGACTTGACAGTGAGAATATGGAGTCTCGACCCAGCTCATGAGAAGGAGCCATGTGCGGCGATTCTGGCTGGCGACGGCCACCGAGAAAAGGTTTTGACTATTGTACGTTGGCCTTCTCCGACTATGAACTTTGCTGATTTGACAAGTCTTTCCACGTCTCTGGCAGATATCTACTGTCTGGGGGTGTGGATCACATCATAAACCTCGTGAGTACGTCTATCAGCATAGAGTTCACATCACTGATGCAGGATAGTGGGTACTGCCAGAGTTTCCTGACAGTAACACTGGTACGAACAAAGCGACTCGAATCCATTATCCTCACTTCTCGACCTCTGAAGTACATTCCGGAATCGTAGACTGGTAATGTCCCTCCTCTCTCCCCTTTCCCTCCACCAAACACCCCCCTAACGCTATCCAGCGTCGCATTCCACAACGATCTAATCCTCTCCAAATGCCACGACGAGGAATGTATAGTACTATGGGCGATATCAGGATTCTCCTCCGCAAACCCACCGCCCAGCCCCCTATCCGCGCCCACAACACACGACTCGGCGCGCGACACCCGCTCCGCCTTCACCTCCCCGACCTCGAACCCCAACACTCTCCAATATACGCGGCTTCTGCAGTTCGCCGTACCCGACAGCAACATCATGTTCATGCGCTTCGGTTTGTACCCCGGGTCAGCCACGTCCAACCCCGTCCTCGCCATGTGCAATACCGCCTCCAAGGTCTTCTTCTGGGACCTGGCCCGCCTAGAAGAATACCATGATTTCCTGACCAACCTGACCGCCGCCGGCACCAATCCCACAGATGCGAACACTCCCCCGCGGCCATCCTTCCTCGTCCCCTTCCGCCACCGAAACCGCGGCCCATCGGCACTGTCCCGCGTCCGGGACACTTCACCTACAGACTCGACATCCACCGATTCCCACTCCCACTCTCACACCAACACGGACACTAACAATCCTCCCCACGTCATCTCCCAATCTCTCTCGCAGGCGCAAGAGGCCCTGAGCCATGTCACAGGCCTCAGCCGCTCCGACGCCGCCAAGAGCCTCGAGACGTGGGCGAAGCGCTACGCGATCGGTGACCCGTTCGAGGATCTCGCGGCGCATAAGGAGGAGGTGGTCAAGGGGCTGGGGTTTGTGGGGCGGCAGATCGCGTGGAGTCGGGGCGGGGAGTGGTGTGTGGTTGTGGGGAGCGCGGGAGTGATTGGGGTCTTTGAGCGGTGGCGGAAATAATAATAGTTGAACTAATGGAAAAAGGGAGATAGATGGGTGTTGAGTAAGTTGCTGTTGTTGAATAAAAGGCTGGCATACAAAATAAAAGCGTCATGGTATAGATTCCCGAAGCAGAATATATAGCATATCATTCAACCAACCCAGAAACCCAAAAAGACACGCTATTGGACGCATGTACTATGATACATAGGTAAACAAGGAAAACCCCATCCTCTACACCACCCCCATCTTATATCACAAATTAATCGACCTTTCCATTCCCAGTCCCACCAAGTAACCCATCCTTTTCATCTAACCTCAAGAAGCCACCTCGACTCTTCCTCATCCTGCGCCTCAAAGCAATCAATACACTCAACACGGATACCGTAAATATCGCAATGCTCAGTAGCTTGTGACCTCCAATAGCACGTCTGATATCGAAGATGATTTTCTCTAGACGGCCGGTTGTGGATTTGGGCTTGATTTTCGGGGGCGAGCAGACGACTTTCGGGAGGGTTTCGAGGATTGAGGTACGGGATGCCATAATGCTGTTTCCGTTGATTGTTTGGTCCCAGTAGCGGCGTGACTTTTTCAATGTGTTAGCAAGAAGAATGGATAGGAAACGAGAGGACCTACATCTTCGTCGTTGATAATGACTTTCTCGCCATCTTTTGCAACCTCAATACCGTATGTTTGTCTAATCCATCTCTCCCAGAACACACCATCCACCCACGCAAAGCCAACCTCTTTGTGGTCACTCTTATCCATGCTAATGCGGATACTCTTCGCCGCACGTAGAGCTCGCTGATCATTCCGGTCTTCTGCTTCTTCGATCCGCAATTGCTTTGCGTCCCGTAGTTCTTGTCGTTCGCGTTGGAAATTGATCGTTTCCTTATCCATCCATTCTATAGCCGCATTCTTAAGCTCCTTTTTGGCAATCTCAAATTCATCTGGTCGCTCGCGGCTGAGGATACCGAGGACTACCAATTTCCCGTCCATGATCTCGCGGGCATTGGAGGCAGTAAGCTCGGGTACTATTGGTAACCAGACGGATTGCATCCAGTGTAGAACCTTGCGGAAATCGCGCATGTCTTGTGGAGCAAGAGCGGTGTAATACGTTGGACGGCCATCCCGAGAGACCAAAAGTCGAGGCCATGTGGTGATCTTGAAGCGTTCAGCAAGAACAGCACTGTTGGTCTTAACCAATTTTGCGTGTCCAATCAAGCTCAACCTCAACCTGTCCAGAGCCTGGAAGTCCTCGCTCGTCGTAGCATGGTCATAGAAATAGACGAAGATAACCTCCTCTTTCTCTTCCAGCTCCTTGAACTCGGCAGCATCCACATCCTTGATACCTTCACCAACATCAATGGCCTTGTTGGCATAAGTCACGAAGTCACCCAATCCTCTCAATCCGTCGTATTCGACACGTTCGCCTCCACGGAAGAACAGGATCGTAGGGAAGCCTCGGAGTTGAACATCCTTGCACAACCTTGCCTCAACATCGCAGTTGACCTCTCCAATATTAAGTCTGCCTTTCATTTCCTTTCCAAGTTGAACCCAGTTTGGAGCCATAGCTTGACAGTGTCCACACCACGGCGCGTAGAACTTAATAAACCAAGGCTCTTGTGTCATGGTGACTAGGTTTTGGAATGTTTCTGCGGTCAAAGAAATCGAAGTACCAATCGGGTTTGGCGTTGATGTTGGTTTCGATACTTTCTTGCTGGGTGTAGCCTGCAGAACGCCGCTCGATGACAAGGTCTTTCCCTCCTTGGCATCCTTGACAGCTGGTGTCTTCAAGGGCGCATCCTCCACCTTTTTCGGAGATGTGGCTTCCTTGGGAGCTGCAAAATCGGGAGAAGACTTATCTCCTGCTTTTGGCAAAGCTGGACCACCAATCGGTCTAGAGCCTGGCTTGATCGTTTCAAGCGCTTCCTCAATGAATTCGCTCAAGCCTTTCATGTCTTTGGTCCCTTCAAATCTCTTTTGTTCTACGCCATCATGATACAATATGAAGGTTGGCCACGAAGACACACCATGCGCTGTGCAAGCAGAGCCGAAAGCGACGCAGTCTAGGGAGCCGAAATGGAAATTATAGTAAGCGGTAAATGTATTCATCGACGTCAATGCAGTATCTGGAGTGTGGCCTGCAGGGACAGGTTTCGATGTGTAGTAGAATTCGTAGAGGGTCTGCCATATCGGTAGGATGTGAAGACAGTGTGGACAGTATGGGCTAGAATATAATCAACATGACAGCCCACAGATCGCGCAGAATGCAGGTAGCTTACGAGTGGTGCTTCACAAACCACCAGCCCTCTTTGAGTGTGGTATCAATCTTCTCGCCGTCCAAATCCGGCAGAGGAGGCACTTCGACTCCATTGAATATTGTTGGTTGCGGCGTCTCAGAAGAACTCTCCTCCTGAGGATGCGCTATCTCTCCTGGAACCCCTGGCGCTTCTACTTTTTGGCCAGAAGGGCCTTCTGCTACAACAGAGGCAAGCAGAGCGCAGAGAAAAGAGACCGGAAGAAGACGCATGATGGCGATGGTCTATTGCTCGACTGAGATTGGGGGCGTGGAGGATTGGCGCGCCGAGCGGCGGGGACCGCCGTCTGGGGGTAGATGGCGGCCGGGAGACGTGAAGGATTGATTTCTGGTCCTTCTTCAAAAATTGAAAGACCTAGGCGTCAGTTGCCTCGAATGTTGAGGTTATAACGCGTGGATGAAGACATGATCCTTTATCTGGTCTCATGTCCCAGGAGACACTTGGCCAGCCCTCGCTTAAGGGGCGCGGATACTAGTACCTTATATTCAAGGCCGTAGCTTACCGTATATTCTAGGCCTTGACTAAGGTATTCTCGCTATACCTTAATTGGACAGCAGGCACGTGATGGGATATATGCTAAGGTACAGCAGTTGAGCCTCCTCCCTATCTGTGTTATTCATGATCACAACAGGACAGAAACGGATACCCAAACAAGTTACGGATACTGTCCGGTATAGATGGCCCCGGGGCTTCACGACGATTTTTCTTTCCCATTACCATCTAAAGCCACAGAAAACGATGGAGGGCGACCTAGATGGACGTTCTCGAAAGAGACGGCGGTTGAGCAACGAAGATGATAGCGCTTCCAAGACTGACAACCATAAAAGGCTAACACACAGCTCTCTGATGAGATCTATATCTCCTCCTCCTCTTCGTCGGTCTAAACAGAGCGAATCTTCCCAAGTTGCGCAGTCACCTTTCCAACTTACCCGGATCCGTGACCTTCCACCGTCCTCGAACGTTGATGCCGTATCGCTGAAGGATATTTTAGAAGACCCGCTGATTGCAGAATGCTGGGAGTTTAACTATCTGCATGATCTGGATTTCCTCATGGACGCCTTTGACCCGGATGTTCGCGATATAGTAAAGGTTCACGTGATTCATGGGTTCTGGAAGAATGAGGATCAGACACGTCTAGCTTTGAAGGTATGTCCCAATCTCTGGACGAATCATACAGAAATAATGCACTGACATGTATAATAGGAAAAAGCCTCAAAGTACCCGAATATCACTCTTCATACTGCTTACATGCCGGAAATGTTTGGCACTCATCATTCCAAGGTATGCGTCGTATTACATGCGATAGAGTGATATCAGCTGATCGGGGATCACAGATGCTTATTCTCATACGACATGATGCTACTGCCCAGGTCATCATTCACACCGCTAATATGATTCCATTTGACTGGGCAAATATGGCACAAGGACTATGGAAATCACCTCTGCTGCCCCTGCTTCCCAGCGACACCACGCCTCCTCAAAATGCCAAGATTGGCAGTGGAGCAAGATTCAAGATGGATCTGATCAATTATCTCAAAGCGTATGATACGAGACGCACGATATGCAAACCTCTGATAGAGCAGCTCTTGAAGTATGATTTCTCTGAAATTCGCGCTGCTCTCGTTGCCAGCGTGCCTGGAAAGCAAGGAATTAATGATGATTTGGAGACTGCATGGGGCTGGCCAGGGCTGAAGAGTGTTTTGAATTCAGTGCCAGTACAAGATACTGAACCGGAGATCGTTGTGCAGATTTCCTCGATTGCAACACTGGGACAGAATGACAAGTGGCTTGATAAAACTTTCTTCAAAACACTGAGCACCTCGAAGAATGCGGCTCCATCCAAACCCACATTTCGCATTATGTTTCCGACAGCGGATGAGGTCCGGAGAAGTCTGAATGGATATCAGTCCGGCAGTGCAATTCACACCAAAATACAAAGCGCTGCGCAGGTTAAACAACTTCAATATCTAAAGCCCATATTGTGTCACTGGGCAGGGGATGGCCCTCAACATTCCTCGAGTATTTTCCTCACCACCATCCATCCCAGTGAATAGTACAAGCTGACAATGTGGAAGGTACTTCAGTTCCAGTATCTGACGCGGGGAGGAAGAGGGCTGCTCCACACATCAAAACCTATATCAGATTCGCCGACCGCGAGAAATCCCGCATCGACTGGATGCTCGTAACGTCGGCCAATCTCTCGAAGCAAGCATGGGGAGAGGCACCCAATGCCGCGGGCGAGGTGCGAATCTGCAGCTACGAGATCGGCGTCATGGTATGGCCAGAATTATTCGGGGACAATGCTACCATGGTTCCGACTTTCAAGACTGATACTCCCCCGCCCGGTGCGAGGAAGGATGGGGAGTTGGTCATCGGAGCGAGAATGCCTTATGATCTTCCTTTGGTCCCGTACGCCAAGGATGATGTGCCGTGGTGTGCGACGTCCTCTTACAATGAGCCGGATTGGATGGGAGAGACGTGGAACGTGGGATAAACCGTCTCTCGAGGATGAATGAATACCACAGCTAACATAGGCAAACCGGAAGGATTTTGACAGGCTAGCCGAACCCCGTCTGTGCAGCGGCTGGGGGGGTCTGGGTGCGAGACGGGCGTTTCTGGCAACAAAAGCATCATATCAAACAAGCTTGGCGCTTATAGCATTGACCTGTCTCCTGAAGGAATTCAAGATAGCGTCACCTAGCAGCCATATTTATAGCATAGCAAAATCCCATAGCCTTAGCAGAGTAAGAAACCACTAAATTCTATAGCAAGCGCCAAGGCGTGCGTATCTTGCAGGAGCCAAGCAATTCATCATGCACTCATCCATATCAGCCAGATATCCTCCTCCCTTCCCCAATATCAATATCCGCACTGCCTGCCTCACATCCGCGCACAAAAAATCTACGAACTCCCAACGGCCTCGGGCACCTTATCCGCATCATACCCATACTTGGTCTTCATCTCCTCGACCAGCTTGACGTATCGCTCCTGCGCCTGCTCCTGCGAGATGCCCTCATCCACGATCTTCTGCCACGCGCGCTTCTTCGCTTTGCCCTATCGACGCATCGGAATCAGATCAGTCGTCTGTGCGATTTATTCATTCCCCAGAGAGAGAGAGAAGGAAGGAAGATAAGGAAGGGTCCAGGATCCACACAACACACACCTTCAGATCAAACGTGCCTGGGTTCTCGGCCTTGCTGATATCCTCACCGGTAGCGACTTTGTACAGTCCTATACGACACACGAACACGGTGAAAAATCAGCCGCCAGTTCACTCACGTAAACTCCTAAACTTGTCCTGCATCCGGAGCAAGGGAAGAAAAGGAAAGAAAAACATAAAAAGAAAAATAAAATATAAAAAAAATGAGAAAATGGGGGGGACAGACCATAAAGCTCCAACAAATCATCATTACTCGGCTTCGAAGTCAACTTCTTCGAGTCCTTAACCGCGTCTTCGAAAGCCGTCATTGTGGTGATTCGATTTTTTGCGATCTTTCCTGTTTCTCACTCTGCAAATCAGCCTCCTAGCTATCCCCCCACATCATACATCACCATCATCACCATCATCTTTATCTGGGAGATCGCGAGAAGGGGGAACGTACGATTGTAGTTCTTTTTCGAGTTTGGGGGAGTTTGCGAAAGGGGATGTCTTCGAGATGTTTGTTGGTGGTGAAGAAGGTGGTGTTTGTTGAGGGAAGGGAGGAGTGGGGACTTGGACCGAGGCTGCGGGGTATCGAAATCGGGATTAGTGGCGGACGGGACGGCACTTGAAGAGATATCGCAGATGCCTTACCTAAGGTACAACTTACCTTACTGTACAGGTAACAAACAGAGGAAAAGGAAAAGTAAAAGTAAAGTAATTTCCCACTTGACTTCTTCTTCTTCTTGAATCTCTCTCAACCTCTCTCTCTTTCTTAGTTCTCAATCGATTTACAAATCAGGCCGTGAATCCCGTAACCAATCGTTCCTTGTAGCAAGTTGCTGAAGTCAGCCAGATCTTGTCAAGTCGTGCCCATCTTAAGCACTCATTCAAACTTCAAGCAACCCATCTCTACCTTATATATACCAGACAGCCGCCCCCCTCTCATATACCCTCCTCTTAAACAAAACTACCTATCTTTCCTATCCATACCTTCTCACTCACTCACATCACAGAAAAATCCAGCATCTGTTATCCTGTCGTTTAAATCATGATGTTGTTGTGTTTTTGCTGCTTTGGGCTCTAGGAATTCTTCTTCTTCTTGTTTTGCTAGTAGGCTTGGTTATAACTTATTGGGGGAAAATGAAGATAAGGGGCGTGTTGGGTTGGGTTGGGAGAGGTAAGATGATGATGAAGGGGAGGGGGGTTTGTGTTCTAGCTATATTGAAAAGACTACGGGTATTAATCAATCAATCAATCGATCAACCTCCCCCTTTTCATCAAAATCCAATCAACCAAAAGGAAGGAAGATCCATTAATCAGACGCCGTGCATAATACACGATGCCTTTTTCAGTCGCCTTGTTGCTAAGACGAATAAAAGAATCGAATCCACGATTTTCTAGATGAAATGCAATGTAAAATACCGTAATCTTATCATACCTTACGTGATTATATTTTAACCCCCACCTATAACAGACTCATGACTTCTTACAAAGTGGAGGGCTGGATTAGAATTAGAAGGAGGGATTGCGATATATGGATGATTTTTGGTATGAAGAACGTATGTATATCACGAATGATAGGTACGGTTCTTTGGACTTGTATTCTTTCTTTTATTCTTTCTTTTATTCTTTCTTTTATTCTTTCTTTCATTTATTTTCTGGGCTTGCTCGCTGGATGGCTACCAGATTCTTACCTAGGTACCTAAGGTAAGATACATAACATCCCGTGAGGATTTGAATCCCGTTCGTTACCTTTCTTTTCTATATATGTACAGTTTGCATATCCTCCCAAGAAAAAAAGCCAAAAAAAGAAGAAAAGCCAAAAGTTAGTTAATATACAAAACCGAAGGCTTTCTCTTCTGATGCCCACAGCACACCGCACAAAGCAAAGTCCCATCAAATCAAATCAAATCTCCTCCCTAACAACACACTCCTGCCTCCCCGGTAAACAAACCTGGTCTCTCCCCAGGCCCTTGAAAGCCGGTCCTTGCGGGCCCGCCGTCCACCTATGAAAGCCCTGCCAGGTCTCCTGACCCAATTTCTCATCAGCATACTCAGCATCACCCCATCTGCCCTCAAACCCCAACCAAGCCGTCTCCCCGAGCACACTCTCAAACTTTCCACTTTCTACTTCATACGTATAGAAATACGCGGCTAACGTCGGGTCCCATAAAGGTCCTAGTGATGTATGATCGTAGACGAGATTTGCCGGGATGGCATCACCTATAGGATGGGATGGTGGTTAGTTAGGGGGGGAGGGGGGGGGAGGAAAGGGGACCCAACTGGATGAGTGGAGATCGTGCTTCCCGGCTGTGGCATAGTTGGCGTGGGAGCCGCGCGCGCTGAAGGAGATGGGACGCACTCCGATCTTGGGGACCGTGGCGTAGGTATAGGCTGCGCCGTACTCATGTTGTGAGTACCAGACAGCTGAGGGGTGACCGTCCTTGAAGCGGATCATGTTGTGCTCCCTGTATTTGGCTTGCGTTAGCCCGGAGATGGGATGAGAGGAAAGAAAGGAAAAAAGGAGGAAAGGAGAGGAAAGGAAAGGGGAAGAGAGAAGAAAAGAAAAGAAGGACCAACCAGTCCCCCAAATGATCACCAATCACATGTCCATACACACTCGGGCCCCTATTAAAAGTATAAAAATACATATAAAAAGCATCCACGACGCCGTCCCCCTTCTCGACCACGACCACCGCGCAACTAACCGCCTTCTCCGTCCTTAACGTCTTGGCGTCCGGTTTCCTCCCCCGCAGGAATCGCGGCAGCTGCGTCACGTCCTCGGTCGATGTGAGGTAGATGTCGCCCGCGCTGCTGCGATTCACGCTATTCAGCACATCTAGGTTTCCCAGCGTGAGCGGGTCCGGCACGTCTCGCACGCGCGTGAAATTCACCTCGGGGTGCGTGTGCGCGATATGCGCTGCGAGATCACTGGGATGGAAGGCATCTTTCTTATCCAGGAAGACCAAGGGCGCTATATTTTGGATCCCAAATCAAAAATCAGCAACAGCGGACTATGGCACAGGATAGGAGAGAGCAAATCAATCAACAATACCATAAGTAAGCACAAACGCCGGAATCGCCGTGTCCTTCAAGCTCGCCGCCAGCTCGTCCGCCAGCGCTTGAGATTCCGGAGGCACCGCCGCGGGCACAGAATCCGCGTTCAGAAAACCAAGCCAGACCAGGATCGTGATGAAGATGCTCAGCACCAGGAGCATCAGCTGGGTCACGTGATATGCATGTCAGCCCGCAACTCCTCCATGTCTACGATTCTAGATATCTCGAGGGAGATATCTCGAGGGAGATAGAGAGAGAGAGAGAGAGAGAGAGAAAGGGGGATGATGATGACTGACCCTAATCCTCGACAAACCCGCCACGAACCCTCTCACCCATTTCAGGATCCCCCCTCCCGCCGCCTGACGCTCCACCTCTGCAGTACCGCGCGGCAGGAAAGCCGCGTTCTCCAGCTCGCCGAGCTCGACATCTTCTTCATCATCGCCGCCGCGTCGCTGCATCTTCTTCTTCTTCTTCTTCTTCTCCTACTGCACTATCCTACCAACGACGACAAGGTGGGGTTTCCGCAGAGAGATGGGATGCAGCGAGTGTCAAGACAGACAAGACCGAAGATGTCAAAATCTGATTATTTTTATTCGATTACGGACGCAGGGCCATCATCTAGGTAGGTAGGGACTGGGGACTCGACTCGCGGATCTTTCGGAATCCCCGCTTTTTTGCTTTATCGGAATCTTTGGCCTTTTGTCGCTTCTTCTTTAGCCAAGTTGTGGTTTTTCTAGAAAAAGAAAAGGGGGGAAGTTGATAAGATATCTATGTATGTATGTATATGAAGTACAGATATCAAACAGTGTCTTTACATATAAAAAAAGAGACATGATGCCTCGGTATCCCATTCCCCCCTTACTTACCCCTGAATACCCGATCGCGTGACGTCATTATCCTTTGTCCGCTTTACCTTCCGTTATCGGATTACTGGAGTTTAAACCCCTATCCCTCTCCCCTTTATCCTTCTCTCTGGTAAGCACAAGCACAAGCAGAAGCAGCCATATAATACCAATTAATCAATTAATCAGTCAGTTAATTAATTTAATCAATCAGTCATAGTATGTAAAGTCCAGAAAAGAGAATGCCAATCCCATCCTATAGAACCCATAACATTTCAAGGGCCCTTGATGTGGGAGCTCCATCCGCCCGGGTATTTAAAAAGAAAGTAAAAAACACACACACAAATCCTATTTTGTGAACCAGCCTGCTCGATCCCATATATTGCCCCCTTCTCCAGAAGTACTGAACGATTATTAGATTACAGACCTGCACTCGATTTCTCCACCGTGCTCGCTGAGCGCTTGCCCCAGCCCGCCCAGAAGCCGCCGCTGCTGGCGCCGGCGCTGGCGGGGGGTTTGTTCTCTATGTCCCGCTTGGCGGGCGGTACCAGACTCAGCGAAGAGTAGGGCGTGTTGCCCATCTGTATGCTCGGTCTTTGGCCTTCGCTGGGGCTCGGTGTCGACATCCCGAGTAGTTTCCTCAGGGCCTCGAGCTTGCCTTTCGCCTCCTCTGCCTCTTGCCTCGCCAGTGCTTCTGCCGTCTTCGCCTGCACCAATTCCAAGACGAGGGTATCGACATCTGCATCTTTCTTGTTATCGGTTTCCGAGGGGGCCGGCGAGGGTGGCGGCAGTGTGGGACTGGGACATTCGCTTTCCTTGTACATGATCGCAGCCGCATTCAGACTGGACGTGCGTTTGGTGAACATCGGCACATTCTTCTGGCTGCGGTTGCTTCCTGACCGTCCTAATTTCAGCTCCCTCAGCCCCCCACTGCTCACCACTTTTGGCGACGGCCACTCATCCTGGGTCGCAGAATCTGGGGTCGCCTGCGAACTTTTCCTCTCCTTGGACTTCAACTCCTGGATCACTTTCTCCAGTCTCTGCTTCTCGGTGTGCGCAGTGCGGATATGTGTATGCGCCTCCCGCAATTCTTCCCTCAAGGAAGCAGATTCCCGCGCAGATTCGGAGAGACGACGCGCATAGTCTTGTGATTTAGAGACCTCGATTATGAGTTGTTCTTTGGAACGGGCGAGTTCATCGCGGAGTTGAGATTTGGACTGTAGCATTGAAGAGCGGCGGTTGGAGATGGTGTCAGGTGAGAAGCGCTCTTCAACAACGCTGATGAGGTGTGATATGTCGTCCTCGGGCACCGGCGTCGAATTCTCTCTATCGGGATCCTCGTCTGGGACTGGTTCGACTTGTTCAGGCTGCGGGACAGCCTCTTCTGCCTCTTCTTCCGCCACTTGGTTGGTAGCTGTGACAGTTTCGAGACTATCTTCACTGTTCACCGTCTCGAGACTATCTTCGCTGTTCACTGTCTCCGAGCTACTCTTCTTCTTCAATCCATCAAGCAGCGACTTCACAGCCCGTCGATCCTCCTCACGCTCCTCCCTCTCCCTCTGGAGCTGCGTGGCAAGAATCGCGTGATCCCTCTGCATCTCACTCAGAGCCGTCAGCAAGTCTTCAATCTGGCCATGCAGGTTCTTGTCCTTGTTGGATTTCGGGGCGTGGGCGACCGGGAAGCTAACAGATTGTCCGCGGATCGAAGACTCGTCGGTGTTTGACGAATCGCGAGATGCACTCGTGGCCTCGGTGGAGGAGCTCAGAATGCTATCAGATCCACCACCCTCTATGGAGTTCATGGTTGAAGCAATACTTTGCTTGGACGGAGACCTCCGCATGAAGCTGACGGGCCGAGATGGCGCCACGAGGCTGGGACTGAGAGTTGCTGGTTTCATAGAAGTTGTTGGGCCAGCCCATAAACGGCCCAGGAATCGCTGGGCAGCGGATCCGATAGTTTCAGATATACTGGCCGCGTCTACAGCCATTGACTCATGGTAGCTAGCCTCTAAGACCTGTAAACTCTCGTTTGTGACAATTCCCGTGAGGCTGACAAAGTCATTGACAAACGAGTCGGCGTTGTAGTGATAGCAGTCCCAAAGACCCCTTGATAGGAGCAGTTGCATAACATCCTCAAATTCCGTGCACGCAATGATCTTCTCCTCATTCTTTCTCATCAGCGATAAGGCTACCCTCATGATTGTCACCGAAGCTCCCTCCGCAAAGATGACATCGTATATTCGGAATAGCATGGGCAATGGGCAGGTAACGGCAAAGAACGATAAGAACCATTGAGAGACGTAGGCGGGTTCGATTTGGAGAGCGTCAAGATGTGCGGAGAGGGTCGGCAGATGTTGTTTGAGCAACATGCGGAATTGATGGATGCGCACGTGTAGGCCAGATAAATCCGGTAGGAAGCAACTTCGAAGGTCGTAATGTTCCATAAGCCTGCATCTCATCAGCACATGTCCTATTCGATTTCGGCATGCAACTTACCGAACGAGGACGCAGAAGGCTTGCTTATCACCCATATGCATAAGGAGGGGTCCCACAAGGAATCCCAAGCCCTGACAATATCCAATCTTATGGTCATACAGGCTAAAACATTTCAATACCCTCGCCAGCATGCGTTGTCCATCACCGTCCGGATCACGGAACATCTCGACACCGGGGAAACTCCGTCCAATATCTTTGCCAATAATTCCTTCATATGGACTCGATTCCAAGCACAATTGATCGAACTGTTCTTCGAGAAGGGCATCCCTAGCCCCAGACATACTCTGCCACACGACCCCTCGCAGAGGCGGAGGAATGCCGTTCCTGATCTTCTTCGAGAGCAGTGTAGGCAGGCACTGCGCCGTCCTCGTATAATCCTGCACGAGGGCCGCCCAAAACTCCAGATCCGTCATGGGCGGAGCAGGAATCATGGAATATCTCAGTGCAGGTGGCGTAGGCCCATTGACCAGTCTCTTCAGGTGTTGTATGGAAGGCGGTCTTGATTTTGATCGCGCTCGCTGCTTCTCGAGTGATTGGACCTTCGTGAGACCGGATTTGGGATTCGTGGCTAGGAGGTTGTTTTCTTGCTCGAGTCTGGCGAGCAGCAGAGCCGTAGACTGAACTGTTAGTAGCGTTCAATGGGGAGGAGAGAGGGGTAGTACATCGTCGGATCCTTGATCTCTAGGTTCCTGCTCCTCGGTCTTTTCTAATTCTTCCCAATTGACACCATCAGGCCCCTCGTCAGAGGACTCACTGTCCCTCCGCAATCCGGCATCGTCAGGCGATTCTGCAAAGTCCGAGCCAGTGGGACTCGTCATCTCATTCCCATTCGGATCCCGCATCGTGATTGTCGGTGACTCTTGTATGTCTTCCAGCTCTCTCCTCGCATACTCTCCCGTTTCGTCAGGCTCCTCAACCTCTGTCAACACATTGTCTGCAAGCTGCGTATCGATCGTCAATGGCGTCTCCGACAACCGCACCGTGACCATCGAGTCGTGTGTCTTCCCCTCGCCTTCCCTCTCCATGTGCGTTCCCGGCCTGTGATCCAGGGCTTCCTGATGTTCCGGATCCATGATTTTCTGTATCTGGGAGTCGAATAGTCGAATAGTGCCCCCTCAATACCAATCAACAACAATTTCCCAAGCCGTTCAGTTGTCTTTCCACCTTTTCCAATCTGAAAACCTCCCAACACGTATCTGCGAATTCGAAATGTCAAGACCCTTCGGATAGATGTCCAAGACGCAAGATATCCAATTCCGCGGCTGCTTCAATCTGATCGTTCCTGGCGGGCGCCCTGTAGGTCGGAGGATGAGCGAGGATGCTGGACAAATGAATTGTATGTATGTAGCATGTAAGTATGTAATAATGAACGAGTGTGGAGGAGAGTGCCGGGACCCCCAAAAAGGCAACAAAACAATCCCCAAAAAAGAGTGGCAGCTGCCGGACCCAAGGGATGATCCAGACAAGCAAAAAGAAGGCGCTCCGGTGAAGCGTGGGTGAGAAAAAGGGAGAAAAGAGATGGCAAAGGAGGGGAGGAGGAAAGAAAGGGAAGAAATGATTGAATCGAGTGTGATTGAGACGAGACGACAGATGAGAGGAGGCGAGAGGAGACGAGAGAGGAGAGAGGGTGTGGATAGGGAGTGGATAGGCGGTGGATAGGCAAGTTCCTGCATCGGGATAAGTCCCACGGGCCGCGCTAGCCTGATGCGCTCCGTGCCTGAGTCTTCAGGGGGCCGGCCGCTGTGATTGGTTCGATTGGAGCGGGATCCCCCCCCTTTCTGCGCTTCACCCTTATATGTTGCCTTTCCTGTCCTGTCCTGTCTTGTCCTGTATCTACTCATGCTGCTGCGTGCCTTATCTTCATCCATGTCTCCTTCATTCTATATATTATATATAGCATAATCGATTCTCCATTCTCTCCCCTCCACAGATATCTCCCCTCAAACTCATGCCTCAGGCACGCTAAAACCCCTCTTACATAAGGCTCCGCGGCCTCGGCTCTTTCCGTCTTACTCGCGTCAACTCCACCACTCTCCACCGCCAACCTCAATTACCACAGCAACACCTCGCCATGTGCAGCACCCTAACAACTAAGAATATTGAATCTCTTATTGAATATTGGTCATCGTGCATCGCCCAACCGCTCTTTTTCTCTCTCTTCTCGAAACGAAAAAAGAAACTCCTCGCTCTTCTCTCTCCCTATTCCTCTGGAGAACGACTATGTAGATCCTTTGCTCGATGCGGTGGCACAGATGTGGCATTGGTATGGTCTTCTCCTCGTTGATCATCAGTAGTGATGGACAATGCCGATATCGATATCAGAAGGCTGCACCCGTTCTACCCTTGTTCGTACTGTAGTCGGCTTAGACCGAGATCCCCATTGCACGATAAGAGGGCAATGTGCGTCGACACCATTACATGCATGAACTCACCATCTCGAAGCGGATATACGTACACGTGACGGCTTAGTCTTGAGAAAAAGGACATATCTCTAAACATCAAAGCTGCGCGGCGCTCCCGAATAATATGTACACCTTGACTGCTTGCTCCCAATAACCACCAGAGAGGAAAAAACTGAATAAACAATATCCCGTAAAAACCCCCAGAGAACCCCCCAGCCCTAACCATGCCAAGAAACCGTAGAAGAATAACACGCTTTTCCTTAAAAACTCTCATCATAGTCATCCTCACTCTGCTCGTCCTCGACGACAGCTGAGATATCGTTATCATCCGCATCCATTTCGTCATCATCATCCGAGTCGATATAGACGGGCTTCTTCTTCTCCTGCGCCTTGGTGGCAGCTGCGCGCGCCGGTCGACCGCGTGCAGCCGGCTTGGGCGGCGGAGAATCATCGATATCCATCTCGTCATCCTCGTCGTCACTGAATGAATCCTTCGCTGCCTTCTTCTTGGTCTGCTTGGCTGCATATGCTTTGGCAGCAGGCGACAAGGCAGCAGGCTTCGGTGGAGCAGGGGCGGCCTTCTTCGCAGCGGCGGCGGGCTGCTTGGGCTTCGGCCCACGCTTGACCGGAGCCTTCACGGCTGAGGGCTTGGCGGCGGCCTTCTTTGCGACGGGCGCCAGTAGATCGTCATCATCATCCGACAAGAAGCTGTCGATGTTGTCTTTTGGTGCCGGGGCGGCTTTGTGTGGGGAGGACTTAGCCAGCATCTCGTAGTTGGTCTCATCCTCATCAGACAGGTCGAATGCCTTGCTGGCCTTCGGCTTAACGGTGGGTTTGGATGGGCCTGAGCTGCTGCTTGGTCTGTCGCCGTGGCTGGTGCTTGCACGTGACATGGCAAACAGAGAGACTCTTCCATTTGCTCCAGTTGTATCGGTGGCATCCCCACTGCTAATTCCCTTGACCATATCGCCTACATCTCCGAGGAACTTGCCATCATCGCTCTCGGATTCTTCGTCATATTCTTCGATCCACTTCTTGGGTGCAGCGGCTGCAGCGCGTTTGCTTCTACCATTCGATGGACCGGGCTGCTCGCTTGGCGCTCGAGAGGTCTCCTTGGACGGCTTCGTGGCCGCCAATGCAGCAAAGTCATCATCAGACATTCCAGAAAGCTCAGCTTCGTCGGCTCCGTCTGGTGAAGGAAGAGGCTTTGGCTTGGGCTTGGCCTGGAACATTTCGAGAAATCCTTTGTGGGGCTTCTGTTCGACCTTGGTGATGGCTTTAGCTTGCGAGGCCTTCGAGGCAGCCTTCGACTTGCTAGGGTTAAAGTCCTCATCTTCCTTCTTGACACGACTCTTGGTAGTGCGGCCGGCTCCAATCTTTCTCGACGCGCGGCGGCCCTTGGTGCGGATATCTTTTTCATACTCTGCATCCTCCTTCAATTGATTCTCCCATTCCTCGATGAATGCATCGAGGTCCTGGCACCACAGGTCCTTTTCGCTGAGCTTCAAGAGCGTATCGTGCTCTTCCTTCTTGTCGATCATTTGCTGCCTCAGCTTGTCTACACGTTCCTGCGTAAGAGACCAAATGGGCAACTGATAAACATCAGCAAGATTGTACACCAGACTCAAAGATAGTAACTTACTCCAAGCAGATAATCATAATCCCGCGCACCAGAATTGTCGTCACCGCTAGCCTCATCCTCGTTCTCAGCAACCTCCTCGGTCTCGCCAGCCTTCTTGGCGTCGCTAACTTTTGGGAAGGGCTCGTAGTCACGGGCGCGCAGCTCGGCGACAAGAACTGGCTTCTTTTTCTTGGAGACGACGAGCTTGTTGTCGATGATTTCGGTGACGAATCTGGCTTGGTTCTTCAGCTTGCGATACTCGGAGTCGATCTTCTTCAGTTGGTACGCCTGTATACGATTAGCAAAGTTTAAAAAGTTTAATCTGGCAGACAGTGGAGCTAACCTTTCGTTTTGTATACATGTTGAAGCGGTAGCCGTAATATTCCTCTAGAATATCTTCGACCTTGTCATATTTCCGAATCCTACCCTGAAGATCAAACGCAACGAGGTTCGAAGTCGCGATGGTCTTGTTTAGTTTGAATTTCTCAGCGAGGCCCTCAGAGACTGCTGCCTTCATGTGTTTCTCGTCCAACTGGATCACAAAGTGCACGTTCTTATGGTCGTTGAATTCCTTGTAGTCCTTGATGAATGAAGGAACCTTCTCAGCCTTGATGATTTCTTCAAGCTTCGCTTTGAAGTCATCGGTCCACGTACGGATGGGCAGTTCGGTGATTTCCACTTCATTATCTCCAACTTCGCGGATGATACCGTTGAATTTGTAGCGGTCTGGACCAGCTTCCTCAGGGGTACCTTTCCAGCCGCGGAACCATGGGATCATGGGCTGGAACGGCTCCTCACCCTCTTGCCCTGGCAAACGTCCCATGCGACGCTTCAGATTATTGACAACGTCCACCGGATGGTAGTTGGGGATTGAGGTACTCCATCCGGTTCCGATACCTTCTGCACCATTGATAAGAACCATTGGTACTACTGGGGCGTACACGACGGGCTCAATTTGACGGCCATCGTCAGTATTGTATTCGTAGATTGGTTCATCAAGGGCGGAGAAGACACGTCGGGCAAATGGTGACAGGCGGGTGAAGATGTAACGAGGGCTAGCAGCATCGCTGCCTCCAGCTAGTCTACTACCGAAGCTTCCACTCGGTTCAAGACAGTTTACGTTGTTGGAACCCACGAAATTCTGGGCAAGACCAATGATAGTCTGATTCATGGAGGCATCACCATGGTGATAAGCTGTGTTTTCGGAGATGTAACCGGCCAATTCAACAACTTTGGTGTCTCTGATGAGATTCCGCTTGAAACAGGCGTATATAACTTTACGCTGACCAGGCTTGAGACCATCGATGACTGAAGGGATAGAACGGAGATTGTCTGCCATGCTGAAGAGAATCAGCTCCTTGTTGACGAAATCATTGTACGTCAGAGTTTTTGTTGAATGATCCAGAAAGGTTCCAGGAGTGAAATTGCCCAGCCAATGTTTACGAGCATCAGCCTTCTTCTTCGAGAATGCAAGATCGAACAATTCCTCCTCCTCTGGCTTCATGACGTCGAATTCTCTTAAGTGATCATCTAGATTACCAAAATAGATCATTGCGTCTTCGGGCGAACTGGTACCCAACCCCTTGTAGTACTTGTGCTTCCAACCTTTGTCGTTTGCATGTCGTTCCTTCCATTCTTCATACTGAGGCATAGTGAAGAACGACTTGGTACTGAGAGGCTTCTTGGGGTTTGGACCCTTCCAGACCTTGACGATAGGTGTGATGAATTCTCGGAAGAAGTCAGGTAGCTTAAGCAAGCTGGGAAACTGCACTTGAAGGAAATTGATGAGTAGACCCTTGATGTGACTGCCATCATGATCCTGATCAGCCATGATCATGAGATGGCCATACCGAAGACCAGTCGCGTCTTTGTAGACCTGTTTGTGTTTCAACCCCAGAAACTGCTTGATGTTCTGGATTTCGGCGTTCTTTGATATCTGATCGATGGACGCGTCTCGTACATTGAGCAATTTGCCACGGAGCGGGAATACGCCGATACGGTCAGGATCGAGGATTGCTCGCCCCGCAACAGCCAGACCTTTGGCCGAGTCTCCCTCAGTCAGAATCAAGGTACACTCATGACCACGCTTAGTGCCAGCTAAATTGGCATCAACCAGCTTAGGGTTACTCATACGAGAGCGTCTGTTTCCATCGCTCTTAGCCAGTACCTGATCAGCCTTGGCCTGAGCGAAATCGAGGATGTTCTTTACTGCATCCGTTTGGCTAATTTTCTTCAAGAACTGATCCGTAAGAACACAGGTGCTACCAAACTGCTTTACTTTGGTAGTGAGTTGTTCCTTGGTCTGGGAAGTGAATGCTGGGTTGGTGATTAAGCAGTTGACGAACAGGAAGATATGGTTGCGAATTTGATTGGTCTTCAATGCTGCTCCTTTCTTGTTCTGCTTCTTGACCACTTCCATGAGCTTATCACAGATTTGGTCAGCGATATAGTTCACATGGGTACCGCCAGACGTGGTTGCAATCGAGTTGACAAAGGAGACTTGCTGAAAGGAGCCATCGGAAACAGCAAATCCGACCTCCCAACAGGAATGGGCCTTCGGATCTTCGATTATGACCGATGCAGATGCAGGCTCAGTACTGTCCTCGACGCCGCGTTCCTTCTTTATGGCACTCGCATACATGGTTATGTACTTCTTGAAGTCGAGCTTGATTTCAGAGCCATTGAGATAGACTCTAACACCTTTCACAGTTCCTGCCATATCGTAGACTCGACGCTTTACCAGGGCTTCAAAATCGTCATCAATTCCATTCATCTTGAATTTCTGGTAGTCGGGTGTAAAGGTCACTCTGGTAAAATCGGCCGACTTGCTTGAGGAGACTTTGGCCTTGCCAACCTTGCTCATATTATCAGTCCATGTTTGTTTGTATCTCTTGCCCCGCTTGGAGTCTTGGGTCTCGATTGTGAATTCAGTGCTGAAAATGTTGCAAAGCTTCGCTCCGTAACCATTTCGACCACCAGTAGTCTTCTGCTCGTTATCGTCGTAATTTGAACCCGTGAGGAGATGGCCGAAAATCATTTCAGGAATATATATGTTCTCTTTCTGCATGTCGAAGATTAGCAGTTGTTACTAAAAAGGCATTAGTGAACTTACAGCATGAATCTCCACTGGGATACCGGCCCCATCGTTCTCCACGCTGATCTGGCCTTTCTCCCTATCCACGACCACCTTAATGTATTTCATGCTGGGATCTTGCTGCTTATTATCGGCGGCATTGACCAGAATCTCGTCAAAGATCTTGTATAGACCCGGGACGAAGGTCACCTTACGTTGCTCCATCTGTGAAGTCTCAGAGTTGAAGACTAGAATCGGTTAGCAGATGCTACCAGCCAAAGTTCAGATAACTTACCCCACATCTGCTCAGTTGTCTGTTCAACTGATCCAATATACGTGTCGGGACGCTTGATAATGTGTTGAAGATGCGTAAGCTTTTGGTATTGGTCCGTCGCGCTCTTCTTCTTGGCAGGGCCCTTTTCCGAAGGACCATCTAGATTCATGCTTTCGTTCTCAACATCCTGAAGTGGTTTGGCCGCGGTACTCTTTTTCTCAGGAATTTTCTTTTGCTTCTTCGCACTGGGTGGTGTATTCGACAGAACTGAGTTGTCACCAAATGGGTCATCCTCGGATGGGGGGTCTTCGTCGTCGCTCTCGGGCTTGGCCCGCTTCTTGGTTGCTGGCTTAGCAGCCTTCAGGGTCGTTTGAATCATCTTCTTGGTGGTAGCCTTGGGGGCTTTTGGGGCCACAGCTTTCTTTACCGCAGGCTTTGCCTTGGGTTTCTGTGGGGCACACGTCAGTATGGAGTGGTCATGGCCCATTGAGTCTTTGAGCGGTGGGCTTACGGGTGCAGCGACGGGAGAGAAGGCATCAGAATCGCCATAGTCATCGAACACCGAATCGTCCATGGTCGAATCCTCCATAGCGAATAGAGTGGTGTGGTTTTGGCGGCGCGTCGCGCACGAGGTGGGGAGCGAAGGTGCACAGTGGATCGGGATCCAGTTCTCAATATCCCAATGTGCTCATTAAAGATCGACTGGGGTCAGCAGTTACGGGTTGATTAATCTCAACTCGTCAAGAATCGTGAGGTTGTTGTGCGACTGGCGTGTTGATCAAGTTTGTAAATACGGAGGTAAACACAAGGATTTACTTTTGTCGCGACCCGACCAACGGCGCTAATGATGGCGGCCTGCCAAACAAGGCATCAACACGAACGACGAAGCGGAGGGGCTCTGTATGAACGATCAGTACTACCACGTCCCAGACCTGTCATATTATCGAAAGATGAAGACTTCGTATTGGCAACTGATTGAAACAACCCACCGGGAAGCAGCTACGGTACTACTCCAGCTCTCAATTACTGGGGGAACGGTGTCACGGCGAGAGAGTTTCGACATCGTGGGAGCCATGAGCTATTCTTCCGACGTGAGAGATGCAGAGGCCCGTATCCGAACCTCCCGCAGTGTCCCACAGTCATCCCCAGATACTCTCCCTGGAGGAATAGAGGGGAGATAACTGGGTGCTCCACGCGTTCCTGGACTCTGAAACCTCAACGGCTGTCACGATTACTGCATTCGATGCCGGATTGAGGAGTTGGAGTTGCCGGCTTGTACGACTTCCTCTGCCCCTTTGGCCTCTGGCCTTCGAATGAGGATACTCCCTCGAGAGCTCAATCTCTGAACCCTCGCTGTGGCTGGAGCTTAGGTGGTCCAGGCCGCGGTATTCTATTCAACTGTCCCTCTGGATACAGGTCAAATATCACCCCTTATAATTACCTGCTCTATTTATATATCTTTATATATCTAGGCCCCCTTTTGGATCTTTTTCTCTTTAGGATCCTAGGCACCGGAGTCGCTGTGGCTTTGCAGAATGGGCATCATACTACGGAATTTCAATTGCTCTGAAACACTGAGTGAGGAGCAACTGAAGTCCTAAATAGCTCGTGGCTCTCTCAAGCTAGACGACCTCGAGTCCCGTCAAGAGAATGTCCCGCAACTTCAACCAATTCCGAGTTGCAGCTATTGTAAGCTAGCCTATCATGTGCCTGAAATGCCACACCTTGACACCATTCGCGGGAGCGTCCAACCTTCGTTTGTCGATGTGCATTGGCGAAACGTGGTTGGCCTGAATGACGCAAGGCGCCTGATGGAGTAAATGGGCAAGTGCAGATTTGGTTGATTTGAGTCGTACGCGCTGGCCATGGCTTGGAGACTGCGACTCGAGGACGGGCGACAAGTTGTCTCTCTGAATTCTGGTGGTTTAGTATGATCACTAGAAGAGCATCTCATCATCATTAATTCTGTTGAGGTAGTTTGTACCTTCACTTCCTTCTGGTATTTGTCTATAGCTGCTCTTTTATTTCATGCCATTTAGTTGCAGATCACACACTACAAGGGCTAGCCTTCCTCAATCCTCTTTCGCAGCCAGCTAGTGGCAGCCTCTCCTGAATCCGAGAATAGAAATACCGACCAAAATATCCCGCCATAAGCCTGCATGCATCCCGTGGCTTTACCATCATTTTGAAGTGACAGCTGCAGTCCCCGCATTAGTTGCGGCCGGGGAACATTCTCATCCATTTCTCGAAGGGCCGTAGAAGTTCTTTGAGGAGCTGGAGGAGAGATATGTGACGAGGACGGCTAGGAGCATGATGCTCCTGATCAGGGTCACGGCAGTTCCAAGTTCAAAGATTTGAATCATTAAGAGATATCTCCAAGACAAGATGTTGAGACGCGCTGTGAGCAATGTTCAGCTTTTGACGCATGGCGTACGATTTTCAGTTCAAGCTCTGGAATATTGATGTCCACGTGCATCGAGTCGAGGAATCTGTCTCTGAAGTCTGGTGCTAATTGCTATGACTTCTTTGTCTGTTCTCAAGATATGGCAGTCCATGACGGTAGCGTACCCGCGACTACTGCAGCCTCCCGTGCCAGGACTCCTCGCCAACAAGTGTGCCCAGCGATTTTATGCTCCCCTTTCAAACAAGCTCTGTTCCCGATCGGGCAGTAGCACGATATTTGTGGGTGTCAAACTTACATTCCAAGCCCTGCGAGACATATTTCGCTGTCACGCAGCCGGATTGCCATCTCCTCCATTCGGAAGCTCCGCGATAATCCGCAGTTGCTGGGGTCTAGTGAAACGTCTTGCCTCGGTCTTTGCTCTGGAATGCGTCTGCAGGCTGCTCGTTGGGTCTGTTAGCTCTCTGGTGACGGGCACGGGAGCGGAGAATCTCTCCAGAAGTATTTTACAAGTCTACAAGTCGTTTGGACCACACTATCTTGTCATCTCGGCTGTTGTCCATTCAAAGCATTGACCCCGCAAGAGACCAAATTCATAAGAAGTATCATCTCTCTTAGGTAGTCGGGGCACCAAGGACTCAGAGTACGTTTTCACAGGGTCTGCAGGTTTTGTGGTGGTCTCGTCCTCGATCTCAGAATAAGCGGTGGGCATGAGCAAACGGACGACCCATCTACCCCAGGTCGGTTCCCAGACACCGCCAACAAAGACCTTCCACACCGAGATCGCTGACAGTAAGGTAGCTAAGACACTCCAGTATTGCCTGGGACTGCAGGAGCCTGCGCCGCTAGCTGGTATCGAAAAAACGCTGAGGCTTAAGCTCGTTATCTGCCCATTTACCTCATAAGACCCCCGAAGGGTCTATTCCTGGAGATCTGTTTGCCAGCTCCAAAACACTAGTACTCTGCTCTCCTGTACCAGCTCATTATCGGCTTGGGTTGGTATACCCATTTTAGAATCTGTTCGTCACCGGAGAAAAATTTCGAACTTGCAGGTCCTAGAGGCATCGAGCTCCGCTCGAACTCTCCTATCCTCACCGCTATGTTTTCCGTAGCATCACTCCTCAACCCTGTTAAGCCAGAAGGGAGAGGGACACGACTGCCCTCAAGTCCCTCGTCGTCCGTCACAACATCGTCTTCTTATGGCAGCCCTCAATTGCCAACGCAGTCTTTCATCAAAAAGCAGAAGATGACTAAGGATGGTGCTATTTTTACCAAGGGTAAGATAAAGGGCGAAGTCAATTTTCCACCGTTTGAGCTTCTTGATGAGGAAACGATGCGCGAACTCAGAAGGTTTGAAATTTATCCTTTGGGCAAGGTACGGGAGTACTGCCGTCACATTCCATATAATAGTGAGAAGAAGAGCTTCTTAGAGAAGACAGGCCGAGAAAGCTTTGAGGGTATGTCCAGAATTACAATACGGAGGCATCCCTGTAGATAAGGGGTTGAACGTTGCTGATTCCGATTGCAGTCTTCCAATACACCTTCAAAGTTCCCGGAGACGATAAGGAGTACACCGTGATGTGGGATTATAACATTGGGCTCGTTCGCATCACCCCTTTTTTCAAGTGTTGCAAGTACTCAAAGGTCAAGAGTTCTCTCTGAATTTCAGTCGATTCTCAATTGACAATATATCAGACGACTCCCGCCAAAATGTTGAATATGAATCCCGGCCTGAAAGAGATAACCCATAGCATTACGGGTGGTGCTTTAGCAGCACAGGGTAATTTAGCACCGAGAGATGCTAACAGCAGTTGCTAACGCGAACACCAGGCTACTGGATGCCCTACTCCTGCGCCCGCGCGGTCTGCGCCACCTTTTGTTCTCATATCGCGGGAGCACTTATCCCGATCTTTGGTCCCAGATTTCCCTCCCAATGTGTTCCCCCCGAAGCTCCCGAGCACGGCCGAATGATCATCGACAACTCACTGGTCGTAGCTGCCACTGCAGAAGCTGAAACCTTCCGACAACAATACAGCAGCTTCACGCCCAAATCCACCCCACGAACCAGTTACTCGCCCCAACACTCCATTAAACATGAGCCCATGCGCGTGACGCCCCCTACCCTCGAGCGGAGACTACGCTTGAAGCGAACTTTCGGAGAGAGTCCATATGGTACATCCACAGACACGGATGTCGATGCAAATGGCAGCGAGACCAGTTCTGGAGACGGATACTTTTGCTCACCCGGAACGCCTGCCAGTCTTTCAAGCCTGTCGCATCAGTGGAACCGCAATATGATTTCCCATTCTGCCAATGCATGCATCAATATCTCGGGCCCAAAGCCGCTCACAGGACCTAACCCCTGGCTGAGTGCTATTCCGCGCTCTAGCGGCCTGCCGGATATGACCATGGCGGGAACATGGCGCAATAAGCGCCGAGTTGAGGAGGTAGATGCGGACGATGAGGGATATGATGGCGAGGAAAGTGCTGAGAGTGGTAGGGATGATAAGAGTGCTGACGAGGAGAAAACGAGTGATGGTGACGTTAGTATGAGTGGGAGTGGCGTTGGAGGTGCCGAAAAGAAGGCAGCGTGGCTTTTGATGAAGCTCAGTGTTAAGGATGGGGAGCGTGGCGGCGACATTCTAGGAGGGACTAAGGAGAAGGAAAGTGATGAGGCTCCAAGGGTTAAGAGAAGGAGGGCTACTAGTATGTGAATGTTGGGATAATAGTGAGAGATCAGATGGAGAGAGAATCATGAGATGGCTGTGAAGATTGTTGTTGATGACTGGGCGTAATGGGCAAGGAGGGAATCTGCTTCTGGTTAATGCATTTCTCCTGGGACGCCTGAATGTGCAATGGGCATACGCAACTATGTATTCATAGGTTCTATTTACGATGTTTTCAACCATCGCTGTCTCTAAAATCCAGCCCCCACCATACGAACCGTGTCGAATACCTCGGTCTCAGATCATTTGTTGACCGCCTTACACGTTGTACCACATGATCGTGATCGTTCTCAGGGCCCCTGGCTGTCGGCTGGAATTTGCTTGCCAATTGCTCTTGTCATACTGGTACCGTTTGGATGTTTCATAAGCTTTTTAGTCCTCCTTCACAGATTTGTCATTTTGGAAAGCGGCCAAAGCAGCTCTTTTCCATCGGGTTCAGTTCCTGGTGTAGATCATCCAGATTTCTCAGCAGCCTTCTTCCGCTTGAACTCCTGTACCCAGGCTTCCGCGCTGGCCTTCGGAACCATAAATATCTTGACTACCTCATCCACAACCTCCACATTGCTCTCACTTAGCACTTTCAACAACGTGACCTTCCTCCCCACTTTAATCAACCCTCCCGTGATTGTCTCCATGTAACACTCCACACCCGCCGGAGTGTATTCTCCCTTCCTATCCCAAGGCACCGGCAAAATATACGCTAGGTGCTCCCCCACTGTCTGCATTTCGTTAAACCCCTTGATAAAATCCGATTCCAGAGTTAACGGATATAGCAAGACTGTGGGAAAGGACAGGGTCGACGCAGGATCGATTGGGTCCGGCACTAATTCGATTTTCGCATCTTCCATTTCCGGCGGCTGGGCTGTTTTTCGCACTTTGATATTGCGGGCTTTGAGCGCTGCTCTCAGCGTCATCTCTTCTTGTCTCTTCCTCACTGCCATCTCTGCCTCCTTCCGTTTTCTCGCTGCCACCTTCTCATTCCTTGCGATGATATCTTTCGCAACGGCCAATAACGCCTTGTTTTCGGGATCGAGAGCTAGTCCCCTTGCGCACGCGTCGTCGGCCTCCGCAATCTTGTCCAAGGCCAGTAAAGCTTTGGCCGAGCGGTAATAAGCCTTGATATTCTTCCCATTGATCTTTAAAGCGCTGCTGCAATCCATGATACAACTCCTGTAATTCTTGAGCTCCAGATGACACGCTGCGCGGTTCACTGAGCACGCCTCCAGAACCGCCACCTCTTTCTTAATTTCCTCCGCATCGGCGTCGCCTTGTTCGCCTTTCTGCCGCTTGCGCACCTCGGCCAGCAGCACTTGTATCCCTTTCCCGTAGAACTCCTTCGCATCCTTCCAGTTCTTCTCTTTGAAACACTCGTTCCCGCGCTCTTTGAATCCAGATGCTACTTCGAGGGGCGTGCCTTCATACGCCAACGCCTTGAAGGCTTCGAGCTCGTCGTTCTCTTCGAGGCTGGTCATGAATAAGGGCGTCTTGTTGAGGTCCGCCAAGATCTCTTCTCCTGATTTATCCCGCAGCGCGGCCATGGCTGGCGGCAAGTCGGGGGTAGTCCCATCTTTCGAGGAAGATGTAGGAGAGGAGGCTGCGAAAGCGTTCATGGCCTGCGTGAGAAGATCAGGACCCCCCGGCTGCTGTGCGCCATCTTCGGGCGTGGAGACTTGTGCCTTGTCGGCAAAGTCGTCGGCGAGTTCTTCAATCTTCATTGTGTCGTTTCTGTTGATCTTTGGCCTCTGGAGTTTTGTTTGTCGTGGTTCAAAGCCGGAACAAAATTTTGGCGCGGGCGCGGGCGGAGTTCCGCCCCGAGGGGCGGATTCTTATCGCGAACGCGGGGCGTAGCGGGGCAGCGATAGGACAGACTAAATAGGTAAGGCGCTTAGAAATCAATGGAGGGGAAGGCACGAAATCCAAGTCGGGTATCGCGCCATCTTAGGTATCCGGGAATAAACATCACGGGAGAGGGGCATATATAAGGCTTCTTACTCCACGATTGTTGCTTTTTCTTCCTCCTTGCTCAACACCATAATTCGATATCATCTTGATCCAAGCTTCGAATCCTCCCCCTCGAACAAAACTCCGAGAAAGCAATCTTCAATCGTCCAACAGCAAAGTCTGAATCGTCCCGACAATCGTCAAGATGGGTTCCAACGCTGAAGCTCCCAAGATCACCCTCTACACCGCACACCAATGCCCCTGGGCCCACCGCTCCCAAATCGTCCTCCGCGAGCTTGGTCTCGAATTCGAAACCGTTATCATCGACCTCACCGTTCCCCGCACTCCCGAATACCTAGCCATCAACCCCCGCGGTCTCGTCCCCGCCCTTGAATACAACGGCCGCATCCTGACCGAATCCGGTCTCATCGCCCAATTCCTGGTCGATGCTCACCCCAGCCACCTATCAAAGACCAGCTCTGAGCCCGGCGGAGCATTGTGGCGCTACCAGGCCAACTTCTTCGTCGACACCTATTTCAGCAAGGTCCAGCCTTTGTTCAACTCGACTCTCTCGGCGAAGGGCGAGGCGAAGGAGATTGAGGGAACTAAATTCACCGATGCGATTGTGAAGGAGATTGAGCCTCTTCTCGCAGATGCAGCGCCGTTCTTTGGTGGTTCTAGCCGTCTTACCATCGCTGAGGTTGCCCCCGCCCCCCCTCTCCTTCTCCCAAGTCCAGCCCAAGAAAATGCTAATCTGTATCTTAAACAGGTCCAAACCGGATCCTTCATCCTACGCGTCCTCAGCTTTCCTAAATACGAAGCCCTGCTCCCGAAATCCGTTCTGCCCACACTAGAAAGCAAAGCGCCGAACTTCTGGAAGTGGGCGCACGCCGTCGTCGCTGAGAAGAGCGTTAATGCTATCTGGGACGAGAAGAATGTGGCGGAGAAGACCACGGCCAGGATCCAGAAGATCACGGCTGCGAAGTGAGGAGCTCACTTTGAATATTGTGGAATTGGATGTGTGAGGGCTGATTGATGAGGTGTAGGATTTGATCGTTTAGGTTTTATGAATAGCAAGCGAGTATGCAAGCATTCTATTTGATCAGTATTAATCTGTGAGGAGAGTATTCGTGGCGCTCCCCATCTTTTTTTGAACTTTCTATATCCCCTCCCCACAGCGGAACGTACTATAGAACTCCTGATGATAGAGTAAAAACATCAAAAGTCCCATTACTATTACCCACCCTCACCTCCCCGAGTGTACCGAAATATTTCGATTTTTCTCTATAACGCAATCCATTTCTCCCCAATCAATCAAACAAAATACCTATCGACCATCTCACCCTCTCACCATCTATCCATCCATCCATTCATACACCACCACCCCCCCCCCTCCTTCCCCCCCAGAAAAACCCAAATCCCAACCTCAACCTCCCTATCTACACCCAAACCCAAAACTCCAACTTTTATTCCTGCACAATCACGTCGGAGCAAAATACACTACTCTCATCTCAGCAATAAAATACCTAAGTAGGTAGGTAAGTAATGAGGTAGTCAAGGTATGCGCTCATTTACTAGTACAGATAGAGTAAAATAATCCACGAACCAACCCATGCGCTTAATCGAGAGTGACGGAGAGTCAAATAGGTAAGATATGGAATGATTCCGGGTAAAAGGGTATTTATTTGTGATAAGGTCAGGTAGGTATATATTGGGTGAGTGAGTGAGTGAATGGCCTCTAGTATGATGTACTGATGTTTGGATAATGTGTTATTTTATTTTATTTTATTTTTTTATTCGACATGATGACATGATTTTGTTTCATGTGTCTGAAATACAACAAGATCGCCGGACCCCAAAACCGCCCGACCGACATGATATACCCTTCATTCTCTTCTCTGTGATAAGAGATGGATATGGGAGATTAGTTACATGATTCGATCTTTTGCTGCTGTGGACCGAATGGTATGTCTTATTCATATTGAGTGGTTCCATGGTGAATGTCTTCCTTCCCTATTTTCTTGAACCTTGGGGGGTTGAGGAGGAGGAAGATGAATGACTGATCGCAATCGTCGTTGAAGACTATCGTGTTAAAGTCAAGACTCAACGCGCTTCTTGGAATAGAAGGGCTGGATGATATTTTGGATGGTTCGGGTGCGATCGGGTAGATCTGAATGTGGTTTTGAGAGGGTCGTCTGGTGGATGTCGCTGGATCTTGATCCGAGGTGCGTTTTCGAAAGCCAAGAAGGCACCCGGCCTGAGGCTAGAGTGTAAGAGAGTGAAAACGCAGTGATGATGATTCTTCCGCATGGAGTTTCACCATCCGTTTTCAATCCGGGGCTCAGAAGTCGTCGCCAATTCCGTATCGTTCATCTCTGTTCGAATACGGTCTCAATATGGCAACATCATCGACATCCCAGTACAGATCATCCGAATATCGACGCCCATCCCATCTCAGCCATGACGTCCATCCAGTACATATCCTGTCCCATATCCGCCCTTGCCCACGTCTCCTGAATCAGCTGCAACGCAATGACGACCGGTTTCGCCGGCAACGACAGTTGGAATTCTTGAAGTCTGGTGACGACAAAACGCCGCGCGGAGGCGATATCGACCTCCCGCATAGTAAGACTGTTGAAGACCGAGCTGCCAGATGCAAATGGCGCCGTCGGGTCAGGTATCGACGCCGGTGAGAAACGGAGCTCGGTGGCAGCAGCGATGATCACGATGGGTTGGAGACAGCGTGTCCCGGAATTTGGAGGGAGTTTCTCGAGGAGAGAGATGGTATGAAGGGCGAGCGAGATCAGGAATTCTTCTGGTGGTTGGGATGAAGGCATTAGGAGGAAGTCGAAGGCTTGTTGGGTTGCATCGTTGCTGGAGGATGCGAGGGAAGTGTTGGTTAAAGGTACACGCCGGAGGAGGACCGAGGGAAAGATGCGATATATTTCGAGGAGCGCGGCGCAGCGATACGCTTCTGCGAGATGAATGTATTGTTGAACGGGTGTGTTTTCGTCGCCTGCATCCACCAGGTTGGATACTGATGGTGGTTCGAAAGCTAGAAGTTCTTCTTCTAGACTTTGTGCTTTCGCTATGGCTTCGATCGTAGTGGCAGAGTCTTGACTATACTGAATGTCGAACCCAACGTCTAAGGAGAGAAAGTCTAACGATGCGGCGTCCTCAGCAATGGACTTGCGATAACTTCGAATCAGACGGCCGACCTGGGCAAACAGCCTTTGTACTTTGGGAGCTACACCTGTCCAAGGATGGGGGAAGATATTTTCCTTGGCATCACTTGATCCATTTGCGTCGTCTCCGGGTAAACTGGCCGATTCAAAGTTACCAAAATCGCCAAAACCAAATTCATCCACATCATCCTCAACGAACCCTGCAAGCATATCCCAGTACAAGATGCATTGCTCGAAAAATGCATTCTGACGTTTGATTCTGGTGTCAATAGTAGTCCCAGTTGCCTGTGACATTTGCTGCTCAATTCTACGCCGATTCAGACGCTTGGCTGTCTTCAGGTGGACGAGGCCAAGATCCTTTGGATCATGCCAGGCAGTGGTCTGGCCAATCAACAATACAGTTAGAAGTGTCTTGTCAAGGTTCTCATTTTGGTTGACCCCTTGCTGGACCTGGTACAGATATCTATAGGTCTCTCTTTGCATCTGCACGCCGACAGGTGACATGCGAGGAAAGTGGTTGGAGAGGTATGCCGCAGCCATGCTTTGAATGGCGTAGTATATGGGAGCAGAGCCATCCCACAGCTTCGCTACTGTTGACCGGAACGGATTGAGCGTGCCGTCAAACGAGGAGAAGATCTGGCATACGTAGTTGAAGTAGTACTCGACAAGCATTGTCGGGATATGCAGAAGGAATTCGGGAACCGTGGAACGGTGCAGTTGTTGCCGGATCGCGGAGAGACTATCAGTGGTGGGGATTGAGTCGCGTCGGACACTTGTCTGGCTGGGTGAACTAGCCGTAGAGGATCTTCGGCCCGGCGATGATAGATTAAACATGGGGGTGTTCCCATCCTGATTTCCTTCCATCTGCTGCTGAGAAGTAGTCGCGTCAAGGGGATTCGAGATTTCTGGATCTTGCCTGGTCGGAGGGGATTCTCCAGGTTGCTGAGAGGGAGGGATAGCCTGTTGCGGGGGAAGTAAAGGGCTTGTCGTATTTGGAACCAGCAGTTTCTCGTGTTTGGTCGACCAGACAAGCGGCTTAGCTTTGTAGCCTGGACAGGCAATATTCTTCCGATTGCATTGATAACACTCGGGTTTCCTCTCATCACATTTCAACTAGGAGGCGTCAGCTCGTCTCGCGAAGACACCGTAGACTGGGCGTACTCGTTTCGCCTTGCAACGCATGCACCCATTGCGAGACTTTGGGGTTCTTCTCGCATTGATAGGAGGGCCATTCTGTGTACTCTCGCTCGTCTCCATCCGGCCAGAATCGCAGCCAGGTTCTCTGAAGGCTGAAGAGAGGGCAGAAGAGAAAGCGGGGTGTAGATGTAAGAGTGGGCTCGGCTTGTTACATGAATCTGCCCTCGGGGCTCAGAGAGCGCAGAAGAGATCGGATCTATATACACAAACAAAGACTGGGGTGTACGGCAATTGGGGTCCATTCATACAACACGATTGTTCATGTTATGGGAGCTCAGCGTGTATATGGAGGTCGTTCAGCGATAGCGGGTGTGGGGCTGATCATGTGACTACTGATAGCTGAGGTATACCGAACTAACTCCGTAGGTAATAGGCAGGGTAATTAGAAGAACGCGGCAGATGGCTAATACGAGCTAATTTGCCTTTAGAAGTTAATTGCACGGGGGCTAATATTGATAAGGTACTTCCACCTTATCAAAACAACAGATCCAGCCAACCATAAGCAAGAGAAGTAATTTAAAGCCGCTATTCTTATGTCCGAAATTAACCCCTATTCTAACCGTACGAGGTTCTCCAGGTTTACCGTGCTTTATGCCGCTCTCCACCCTCCCCACCCACCCCCGACTTTCTCCTAAGTTTAACAACGTTGTGAACCCCCCCATGATCTACCTTACTACAACAGATGGTTCTGCAGTTCCAAAACCGCTATAAATACAACGGCTACAAAAGAGGCTTTTTAAAGCAGGATTTACAGTTCTTTCCGGACCCACTCGCTGCTTTCGGTTCACCAAGCACCACTCAGCATGGAAACGCAGGAATATTGTGGTAACACTATGGTCAATTCGCTGTATTCTCAACACCGAGCTCTTGTCTAGAGGAGACAGGCTCGGCCTCCCCTCCCGTTGGATGGATGGCATAGTCATCGAGGACCCGGTATATTTGTTGCGTTGGCGGTTATTGTCACAGACATGATGTTTGCCGCGGAGCGGCCGAGTGAGGTTTGCTAGAGCAGTTGCAAAAAAAAAAAAAAAAAAAGGTAAAGATCACGGTATTCGGAGGATCCGATCAACGGGCCAGAGTTGTCCATGTTGTTTGACATCCTTCGGGGTTTCTGGGGTCGTGGAGGCGGCGGAAGTGCCCAAGGGACAACCCCCACCTGCCGTGCAGTCGCTGCTGGGTGAGATATCGGACAATCATTCGTATGGTTGTCAAAGGGAGGTGATCTGCTATAGCCGTTATATTGTGTTTGAGCTCTAGACTTTCAGAATATTTAAAGACTTAGTATTTAGAGCCACTAGACTCATAGGGTCTCAGCTCTCAAACAGAGTCGTTTCTAGTGCTTGCAATCCCCACCAACCTCTCATAGTCCACGGTAAGAAAAGATGATTCGTATACTTCTTGGCGGCATTCACATCAGCTCTGTGAAGTATAGAATGCTCTGTATGGGGCAAATGGTGGGGAAGAAGCGAAGTGGGGAGTTGGAGATGTCCCTTGAGTAAACTAACACGTGCCACGATCCATCATCCATCACCACACCCACCCTTGACTTCTCAAGGGAGACCTTACCTTACTTCACCAACCCCGCGTCAACCACAACTCTGTCCACCATCTCTGAATCTCCTGCCTTCACATCTACAATGCCTCCTCCTCACCCCGTTGCTCTCATCACCGCCGGTTCAGCCGGTCTGGGCGCCGCCGCCGCGCGACTCTTCTGCTCCTCCGGCTACCGCGTGATCATCAACTACTCCAACAACGAAGCACGTGCTACGGCGCTCGTTCAAGAATTATCAGGACTCTCCCCCTTATCCCAAGAACCCCAACAAACAGGGGCCATCAAGAATCCCAACGTCCAGGCCATCCGCGCGGATCTCACCAAGCGGGACGAGATCATCAGACTTGTGGAGACCGCAACTGAGATGATGGGCCGACTAGACGTGGTATTCTCGAACGGTGGATGGACAATGATACGCAATTTTAATGATCTAGATGATAATGTGAATGAGGATGATTGGGATCGCTGTTTTAATATGAATGTCAAGTCGCATTTGTGGTTGATGCATGCGGCGAGGAAATGGCTGGAGGAGAGCGAGGGGGCTTTTATAACCACGGCGAGTCTGGCGGGGGTTAGACCTAGTGGGAGTTCTTTGGTATGCTTTCTTGCTTTTTTTTAATACTCTTTCACAAATAATAGAGGAAAGTGTTTCTTTTGCGGAGAAGCAGACTAATGGAAATAGGCATATTCTGTTACGAAAGCGGCGCAGATACACCTCGTGAAGGGATTGGCTTCGATTGCAGGCCCGAAAATCAGGGTTAATTCCGTGTCCCCTGGGCTTCTTCTGACGGTATGTCTTCTTGGCCATCATGGGCTGGTTTATCTTATTATTTGGTTTTCCCTCCGTGGGTGTAGGGCTGATATTGATATGTTCGCGCAGGATTGGGGCAAGCAGTTCTCTCAAGAACGACTAGACGCTGCATTGGCAAAGACTAAGCTGAAGAAATTTGCTACAGTAGAGGTGAGTCTTTTTTTAATGATCCCAGATTGATTTCCGAAACTATTTTCTTTCCTTGATATCTTATACTTCACCCTTTGAGACCTAAGCCATTTCCGCCCCTTACCCTCCTATCATTTCGACCATTCTTCTTGTCTCACCTACAGTTAGTATGGATTTGTAACTCACCTGCTCCTAATCCAGGACGTCGCCGAACAAGTTCTATGTTTCGCTCGGAGCAAGACCGTAACAGGAGCAAATGCAGTTATAGATGCAGGCTGGTCACTGTAGACAAGAACAGCGTAGGCGAAAATAACGAAGAATTCTACAAGTTCCCTGCCCCCTGAGCAAGAACCACCAAAACTACCTCTAACTTATCTCGCCCCCTTTCTTCCCGACGTCAATCCACTCATGCTGGTCCCCTAGATAATGGTGAGCTCTCAGATCCCCCGACCTGGCATGCCCCTCGAAATTCTCTGCCCGCGCAGCCCGCCCACACAGCCGTCCTAGCTGTCCACTGGCGGATGGCGATCGGACTTCTTGATACGTGACGGTGCGCAGGAACTTGCCCACCCAGAGACCGCCCGTGTAACGCGCCGCGCCACGAGTAGGCAAGACATGGTTCGTGCCGATTACCTATAGAAGCGCGTCAGTCAGTCAGTCTCAGGGAGAATGCCTCCGGGAAAGGAAAAGTAGCATAGCATGCCTTATCCCCATACGAGACACAGGTCCCCTCTCCCAAAAATAACGCCCCGTAATTCTTCATCTTCTCCAACGCTTCCCGGGGCTCCCGCGTCAGGATCTGCACATGCTCGCTCGCGTACACGTCCGCCAGCTTATACGCCTCATCCAGCGTGTCCACGACGACCACCTCTCCGAAATCCCGCCAACTGACACCCGCCAGCGCAGCCGTCGGCATATCCACCAAGAGGCTCTGCACGAAAGCGATCACGCGCCTCCCCAGCTCCTCACTCGTCGTGATCAGGACCGCCGGCGTGTCCGGCCCGTGCTCCGCCTGGCTCAGAAGATCCGTCGCTACTGTGAAAGGATCCGCTGCGTCGTCCGCCACGATCAACACCTCTGTCGGGCCGGCGAAGAGATCGATGCCGACGGCGCCGAAGAACTGGCGCTTGGCCTCGGCCACGAACGCGTTTCCGGGCCCGGCGATGAAGTCCACTTTGGGGATGCTGGGGGTCCCGAGCGCCATGGCCGCGATGGCTTGCACGCCCCCGAGAATGTAGATGCTGTCGGCGCCCGCGAGATGCATGGCGGCGACGGTAGCGTGGGGGATCTGGCCGGCGATGGGGGGCGTGCAGCCAATGACATTGGGCACGCCGGCGACTTTGGCGGTGAGGATTGTCATGTGTGCTGATGCGAGGAGAGGATATCTGCCCCCGGGGATATATCTACAACCGGCCAACAAAACACATCAGCCTCAATTCTCAATTCTCAATTATCAGCAAGCCGCAGAGAGATGGGCAGGCTACTCACGCCCCAACACTAGCAACAGGATTATTCCGCTGTCCCAAAAACACCCCCGGCTGGATCTCCAACTCAAACTCCCCGAGACTCTGCTTCTGCGCCTCTGCAAACGTCCGCACGTTCTTCTGCACCTCCACAATGTCCGCGATGATCTGCGGCGGCACCTGCTTCATGATGTTCTCGATGTCCGTAGCGGAGAGCTTGAACGACGCCGGCGACCATTTGTCGAACTTCTCGGAATAGGAACGCACGGCTGCATCGCCTGCTGCGCGGATATCGTCGATGACTCGCGAGACGGTGGAGGAGATTGCGGGGTCGGTCTGGCCGATGGGGATGCTGGCTTTCTCTTTGGTTTTGAGGAACTGAGGCATGGTTGTGTGGGCGACAGGAAGATGATCTGTGATTTAGTTATTTGAAGACTGTTACTATTAGTAGAGAAGTTTCTCATAGAGATTCAATGTTGTATATAATGTCTGGTCTTTCTTCCCCCAGGAATCTCCCCGAGCCGTGAGGATATAAGTCGCTGCTCTATTCCCTCCAATCGGGTATCCCCCCTGAGCTCGGCACAGAGCTTCCCCGCGCATCGTGCGGGGCACTAGATGCACACCGGACATGATATAGCGACGGGATGTTTATGCCGCACCGCCATTTCCAACGAGGATATCCGCAATGTCGGAAGCTTGCAGATCTCTGTCTATGGATCCCCGGTTCAGCTTTCAAATATGTGGTACATACCGTCCATGAACCTCAAGTTCCGCAGAAAAGATAGTCCTCGGCCCTCAAAATCTTCTTCCAGTTGATCCAATTCCAATTGAGCATTCGCCTTACTCTCACCACTCAACATCCCCATCATGGTGAAATTCCTAACGAACGAGATCCGCGACCTGCGCGAGGTGCACGAAGACGCTGAGAACCACCTAGTGTTCGAGAAGAACGTGTCGATCCCACTGACGCACAGCAATCTTCCCGTACGCTGTAACGTGTACCGACCGCTCACAGCAAAAGCAGCAGCGGGTGAGAGGTTCCCCGTACTAGTGACCTACGGACCATATGGGAAGGACATTAACTACTCGACGTGGGTTCCCGTTTCCCAAGAGCGAGAAAGGGGGGCGAGAGAGTGTGCTTTTGCTTGCTAAATAGATGGTAGGTTCTATGCAGCGTCGTTCGCGGAGGTGAACAAGGAACATAGGAGTAGGTATAGTGCGTGGGAGACGCCGGATCCGGTGTATTGGACTCAGAAGGGATATGTGGTGGTGCGTGTGGATGAACGGGGGCTGGGCCAGTCACCGGGTCTGCTGGATACGATGTCGAATGGGACGAGTGAGTGTTTCTTCGATGTTGTGGAGTGGGCAGCGGAGCAGGAATGGTCGTCCGGAAAGGTGGGTTTGCTGGGGATTAGCTATTATGCTGGTATGTGCATCGCCGGGAAAGAAACGTGCGGATCCTTTTTGGGTGACTTGATACCTGTCTGTAGGCAGTCAGTGGCGTGTGGCAGCACGTAGACCGAAGGGATTAGCTGCTATCGTGCCATGGGAGGGCATGTCTGATTATTATCGCGATCGGTGTCGGCACGGCGGTATCCTCTCCAACACGTTCATCAGCACCTGGTGGAATCGACAGGTTCTCGTAAACCAGTACGGCAGGCCCAACCGATCGAAGATAGAATTTCCACCCGATGGACCCGGAGCCAGGGGCCAAGAAGACACGATCGAAGGTGATCTATCCGAAGAGGAACTCGTGGCGAACCGACGCGATCAAACCGTGGACAACGAAGCGAACAGATTCAGGGACGACGAGTACTACGCCTCGAAGGAGTTCAAGCTGGAAGATATCGAAGTGCCTCTTCTCTCCGTCGCCAACTGGGGAGGCATCCTCCTGCATCTCCGCGGTAACGTAGAAGGGTATACGTGGGCGGGATCCCAATTCAAATACCTGCGCTTCATCACCGGCCGCCACGATCTGCCATTCTACTACCACGACGAAGTCGCCATCCAAAACAGCTTCCTCGATGCCTTTCTCAAGGGGGAAGATCGCCATGGCTGGTCCATTCCCGGAAAAGTAGCCCCCGTCACCCTGACTCTCCGAAAAGGGAACGTCGGCTTCATCGCGGAAGCAGAGAAGCAGTACGCGAAACGGGACGAGGAAGCCTGGCCCATCCCACGGACCCAATACACGAGATTCCACCTGACTTCCGATTTGCGCCTCTCGCCGAGCCCGCCCAGAGAACCGCCAACAAAGATCTCATATAAGGCGCTCGGCACCATGGAGAAGCAACAGCTGGTGCAATTCCGGACGCCGGCCTTTGAGAATGAGACCGAGGTCACTGGCCATGTGGCCGCGCACTTGAACGTCTCGATGACGCCGGACGAGGGGGCCGCGGCGTCGGGAGATAAAGATATTGATCTTTTCCTTACCCTGCGCCATATGGATGCCGCCGGCAAGGAAATCTTCTATACGGGGACGTCGGGCGACCCGGTGCCGCTGTGTAAGGGCTGGTTACGCGTGAGCTTGCGGAAAGTAAACGAGGAGAGCCCGAAGCACCGGGCGTACTTACCATACCGAGAGTATTTCGCCAGCGATGTGCAGCCCGTCGTGGCGGATCGGGTTTATGCTGTGGATGTTGAGATCTGGCCGACTAATGTGATTGTTGAGAAGGGCGGGAGCTTGGTGTTTGAGGTATCTTCGGGGGATACACAAGGCTGTGGGATCTTCCAGCATAACTCGGAAGTCGATAGGTATGTATTCTTCGTCTCATCGGCATGATCTTTGCTAACGAGGTCATGGAGACCGGCTTCAAAGTTTGCTGGCTTAAATAGCATTCATTTCGGAGAGGAGTATGAAAATTATGTAACGCTGCCAATCATCCCAGCCAAAGAACTGTAGGTTATTTAGTACACAGCTGAGCGAAAAATCCAATACGGAGGAAATAAATCTGAAACCCAACTTGGCTCGAGCAATATCCGAAGCCTTTCAACGGGTGCACTTGGCACGTAGTCGTCACTTGACGTCGGCTTTTGCCTGATTGATCTTCTCCACTCTGTCAAAGATCCCCATCGTATGCTCCCACACAATTTTCCCAACACCCTTGTCGTGATATTCCTTCAACAGCGCCTCTTTCCCAGTGATCTCGCCATTCCAATTCACAAGATAGCCTCCACTCCCTACCTTTCCATTCGCTCCCTTCGCAACAGATAGGCCCTTAGGGACTGGTACACCAGCAGCGAGGACCGAATCTCCAGCAGGTTTCGCAGGCGGGAACAGACCACTCGTAGCAATGAAAAGCTGTCTCGCCCCGGTCTCGTCCGCACCCACCATGAACGGAGCCATCAGCGGAGACAAAGCCTTAATAGGGAGCCTAGCCCAAAGCGGCAACTCCCTCGCAAGCCCCGTATTCACGGCCAAGGGAGCCGAATGTATGAACGAAGTGCGCGGTTCGCGAGCCGCGAATTCCTCCGCCATGAAATCGTTCATGACGATCGTATGCGTTGCACATCGCATCCTCGAGAAGGTATTCTTCAGCTCCAGATCCTCGAAATTAACTCGGCCTTCCGTCCCTGCGCTCAGGATCGATAGGATACGTGAGAAATGCGGAGGGGTCGAAGTTGCGTTTCGGAGGAGAGGAAGTAAGTTCGTGATGAAGCGCATGCGAGAATAGTAATTGAGAGTGAACTTCCTATCCAGCCCTTCGGAGTTTTCTAAAACCCACAACGGACAGGGTTAGTCATGATTCATTCCATGCCATCCACTATCCCAGCGTTGATGAATGGGTAGGGATAGCAGCATCTAGAGGGACGGACGAACCATCGCGCCCCTTCAACGTCATGTTCCCTTGACTTTGAACCAAGAGATTGATATGCTTCTCCCTCTTCCCGACCTCCTGACATACGCGGTCTACCTCTCCCAACTCTGTCACATCAGCTTTCAGAAACTCCACATTGCCATCGTGATTCAACGCTTTGCATTCATGAATGATGCGCTCTGCAGCTGCAGCGTTGCGGCCCACGAGATACACGTGCGGCGACACGGTATTTCGCACGAATGCCTTAGCGGTATATTCCCCGATTCCTGATGTACCTCCAACTATGCCATTGTCAGCGTTTGATGAGCGAGAAGGGGAAAGGGGAGGGGACCGAAGAGAGCTACAAGACCGGGTCCCAGTTCTCGAAGCTGGGCGTTTGACGCGTGCACGATGTCGAGGGCGACCATGGCGACTGGAGAGATGGGATCGACCTAAGAGTATCTGAAGTATCTGAGGTTATACTGTATCAATGGTTAATGGGACTCAATGGCTTTTATATAGGTAGCAATGCTGCGTCCTGCGAGCAGGCTGCAGCTCTGTCGTAATGATGCGGGCGCATTTTCCGCCGTATCGGTGGACGTTGAAGGCGTGTCTTTAAGCTCTTGTTTACGCGAAAATAAAAGACGCCTCAAGCGAAGCCGCCGATTAGATTAGATCTTATCGATAAGGGGTCCTAGACACGAGTTCTTTGTCTCGGCTTCTTTCAAACCTACCCACCGACTCCGTTCGTTGCTCAAAGAGCTAGACATGCCGACCGCCCATTTTCAACTTCCAATAATGACTTTCAGCATGTAAGGTTCATTTCCTTGATCTTTGTGTTAAGTCTGTGGGCTAATAAAGCTATTCAGACGTCGCTACACATGCCCCTGACTAAACGGGCGTACAAGGTCGACGATTCTGTCTATATCAAACACGGAACAAGCCTTGAAGTACAGCGAGAGATAGGCACAGGGTTAATCTGCAGGTCGTGGAGTGTTCCGGAGCCCTTGTAGTACCCCAACTCGGTACATTATGTGATCCAAGATGAGAAGCTCAGACAAGCCTCGAATACCACCTCCATCTTCAACGAATACGTCAGTATTCTGTATACTCTTGGCAAATCAGGTTTTAGGGAAAACGCACTTGGAGATAGGAGTCAAAGTGGCTTTTTATTGCCACCTGCAAAATCCGTCTCCATGATTCGCCCGACGCCTATAATATTCAGCGCTTCTAACTGGGGCCAACGCTTCACGTGCTGCTGGTACCTTAGTAAAGATCTTGACTTCCTGGGCCCACAAATGTGACCTACAAGTTGGTTCCTGCACGGTTATAACTCAGGCCTCCGTAAGCCTCACATTTTCCTGTTCCTTTTATTGGCTGTGGGGTTTTCTGACAAGGAAAGGCAATCCCGGTAGAGAGGGCGATTGCACGGGAAAATCGCTGCCTATTGGAAGGAAAGCGCTGCGGCTATGGGCTGTAGTGTGCAACAGAAAGCTCTTCTAGTCAACAGTAACTGCCTCGTGAAAAGAGAGAGTCAATTCTAGACAAAATCTTGGAAAATGTATCTGAAAATTTCAATAGTCTTTGATATATTGACTGCCGATGTCTGGGCGTGGAAGTGAGACGATTTGGTGTTGGGATAACTTTAATGGATAAGCCAATGCTGTGAAAGAGGCTCCGCAAGGGCCATAGTAGACGATAGCGGACAGGGCTATATCTGGTGTATAGAGCCCATTTCTTTGGTGCCTGCCATACAGGAAGTTATGGTGGTCAGCGGCCAATTCTAGCCACAGCCAAACGCAACCAAAGCCGGCTTCCAATAGGCGGCTGGATGGGAGCTGATTGTCTGGTGCAGTCCCAGCCCATCTGTCTTATGGTCACGAGCGAACTGAGTAAATGAGCGAGGTATTTCATGGTTGGCCATTCGATGCGAGCCGGGTGATGGAGAATTGTTGGTGTTGGTGGTCAATTCCTACCTGCGCTAACACTAAAATAAGGTTGATTCCGACACCCCACTTCGCGTACTAACCGTGCGCCGATAAGCAAGCTGTCGGCTACGTGCATCCTACCTCCACCAACGCAACATTGAAGGAAACAGGCGATTTAATCCTTCACATCATCCGTTCTCGACATCATGATCCTCCAGACTACCATCAGCAATTCTCCACTTTCAAATAACATAATCCGTGGTTGGATTTGCCGACAGCCTTCGAGGAGATGGGTTGGCGAGAGTTCACAGAGCTCTAGACGGGTTGGAGGCGGATCCGTTTAAACTCGATCGCACAAGAAGACGGTTTAGCCAGTCTCCATCACCATATACATCAAACCTATCGGGCATGACAACTCAATCTGCGAGTCCTGAGCTTCCCAGCGACGAACAGCAACGAAGGGAGCAGCGGGAGCAAAGATTCCAGTGACGACGGAAGCTTATGGATGAGTGCGCGGCCTCACTTCCTCTGCAGCGATTCGAAGCCCAAAGAGATGAAGAAGCGAGACGGTCTTGGAATGCAGATCCGCCCACGAATTGGACGAGCGAGAGCCATATACCTATCGGAGGTGCCGAAGAAGAGGCTATTGAAACGGTCAAGAAGCGCTGGGTTGAGCAAGGCATCTGGAAGGACAAGTGGGATGAAATGGCTGCTGGGCGGTATAGGAATATTGGGCCGTGGAAGCATGAAGAACCGCTCGAGCTGGAATCTGAATCAGAGATGGACACAGAAGGAGAGTCCCCACCTCCTGCCTTCAGTATTTTTGGTATACCTCAGAAGCCGTCGCAGCCGAAACCCAGACGGCCGAGGAGTGATGACGAGGAGCGGCTGATTGCGGAGCGACGAGTCATATGGGAGCAGGAACGTGAGTCCTCACGTCCGTATTATCAGTTCATCCATTAGATATTGAAGGAGCACGAGCGAATCCATGGCGAATACGCCAATGGGCAAGGTGCTGATGCTACTAACATCAACACAGGGGCGTATGAAAATATCAAGAACACCTGGAAAAAGCGAGGGATTTGGAACGAAAGATAGGGTATACTACCTAGGATGTCGTGGAAGCATGAAGAACCTCTTGAAGAGGAGACCGTCGACAGTCTTGCGCCTACTCTAGCGAACCTGCTTGTGAACGGCAGCAGTGAAGCAGGAGAAGCTCCTCCTAGACGAATTTTTGGGTTTACTCTTCTCGTCGAGAGGCATATATCTGCAACAAGAAACACTCGTAGATGGTTAAGCAATTCCAAGTCCTCGCCTCCTCACATCAGTGATGAAATCAGAGGGTATAGCGAACGGCCCACCCTCAGAGTCGAGAGATTGACTTGGCTCATCAGAGTAGTCTCCGATATAAGGTACATGTATTGCAATACCCTCCAGAGCTTAGGTACGTCCCTCATCCTGTATAGTATACCTTACATATCGCGGGCTGTAAAGCCTGTAATCAGAGTGAATTATAAAGCAGATTGGTACCTAGTCTTTTCAAATCTAGGCACAGTAAGGTACCTTATCTAAATCACGGAGCTTAGACCATTATTCTACGACCGTCTCTTTTTCAATTAACATATCTTTTATTGAGGCCTTGTCGCCTCACTCGACTCACTGCCCTTGCCATCACTATCGTACAATACCTTCCTCTTTCCCTAAGACTTACAAAGGCCGAGTTTCAATTATCATCAACGGGTTGGATGATAAAACTTAAAGCATGTTGGCTCACTATTGTCGGCTGTGTCGTCATCTTCTTCTGCGTCTAGTACTTCACTATTTTCGCTCTGTATTCGTTGCGAATGTCCTCGCTTGACTTTCATCGTCGTTGTTCTAGTCTGCTATCGTCGCATCTTTATTTCCGTTGCGATCCTCCTTGTTGTTGTCGCTATAGGTACTATGCTAGAAGGCTTGGTCAGTCTAGGAGAGACCTCGCTCGGTCGACTCTAGGGACAGAAGCTACCTATGTATAGATAGTGCTAGGCCCAGGTGCTAGTAGTGGGTAATTCAGGCAGTCATGGATGATGGTTCTTCTCCATCGTATTAACATTTATACTGTTACTGAATGAGGGTCGGCTAACAACCATGGTCTTACAGTTGGATCCGAGGCCAACTGTGGGAGATATGCCTGGTGAATTTCATTGTGCCGCAAGTCGCTTTCAGTGATACCCCTAGATAGCAATGCAAGAATCAACGTGTGGAATTTTTTCACCTTCTGTCTGACACTGACCTTTATAATAAAAAATCGCACGGGCTTGTGCTGATCACAGTTTGCTCGGATTCCTGCCCTACAGGCTGCCTCCATACTATACCTACTAGATACTCTATAGTATCAAAACAGGCCAGAATAGGCCTAGTGTAAAGCCCATTGAATTCCATCTGCTGGTGTTGTATGAAAACTGTAGCATTATCAGGCCTAAGCTAAGAGTCCGGAAGCTTGGGGAAAAGCTGTCTTTGTTGTAAAAGGAAGGAGAAGAAGCTCTCTGGAAATAAATACTTAGAGGCACTATACCTAACGAGTTGTGAGTATTTGAGACAGAAAGTGCCAAGAGTTCTATTGAACCAAAAGGGGTCATTAGGGGTCATTCTAAGGGTTTTTGGCACGTGACCTACCCCCTTTACAACCCCTCCCCTGTACCTTACCTAGGTAGGTAGGCAGACAAAAGAGAGAGATAGGGGCAACTCATGATCTGCCACGCGTCCTTTGCCTTTATTAAAGACGACGGTGATATATATGCCTTGACCTCAGTGCCTATGTCGTCTGATACTAACAGAGACATCTCTTGTTAGTGACCTGATCACATGCCAGAGACATCAAAGGCGCAATCATCTGATAGAGAGGGAAGATGTGTCTTTTTTTCGCTTCGAAAACAACATGGATAGATACCCTTGACAGTACAGTATTTTATAGCAGAATTGACGATCGTGAAGTGACAACGTCTAGAAGTGCAAGACGGCAAACAAATAGATCTTCCACGCTCGTGTGCTGTGTTGTCTTGTATTGTAGTAGTCGCATTAACGTCATGGCCCCCCCACAGAAAGCGAGTGAACTCTTGGAGACAAAATTGTCGCGTGCCTCTAACCTGATTGGTCGGGTGGTCGCTTCTCCCATTCGTGACCCTTGAGATGCTCCGTAAATAATATTTAATATTATTCGACCACTGCATCATCACCCTCATCACCCTCATCACCGCACTCACTCTGTGTCCTCAATCCCATATCCGTCTCTCCTCTGCTGCTCTGCCCGACACAGGAGAATCACGATTTTCTATTCGGAAGTACCGTATCAACCATCTGCTGAGCTTGCCTCTCCCGCGGAATCCCAGCGACACCGATCGGATCAGATCATAACAGCTCTCGTAGCTCTCATACAATGTCGGACACCGTCGACAATAGTGTGGTGCCTTCCATCGAGGGCCCCGATGCCTCTGGCACATCCAGCCTGGAGCTTGCTCAGACCAATGTGATCAACAGTGAGGTAATTCAGAGCTCCTCATAGCTTCATAGTCTCGCGGTCGCTAACATCCAGCAGTACACGAGCTTCCGAGGCCTTCCATAGAAAACTAACCAGCTCCCGCAGGCACCTCCTCTGCCGCCAGCGCAATCGTAAACCACCCTCTTACCCAGAGCGTTACCAGTGGTAGGGCCTCCCCATCCCCTTCCGATTCTGCATGTGGTCACTGCTTACAAGATGCAAATAGGCCCAGTTGTAGCAAATGTCAAGGAACAAACCGCGAAGACCCAGCTCGAATTGTCGAACCTCGCTGTTGCCCGCACCACCACCCCTACCAACACTGCTGCTAACGGCCAACGGCTCACCCACTACCACTCCTTCTTCTCAAGCCTGCTCTCATGGGAGAATCCCCGAGCCTCCGGCATTGCCTTCGTTTCGGTTGTCCTCTTCATCTTCGCTGCCCGCTACCTTGATATTCTACGATACGTCTTCAAGATCACATGGATGACTTTAGGTATCACGGTCTTCGCTGAGGCCGTCGGAAAGGCTATTTTGGGTACTGGTTTGACCTCGCAATTCCGCCCAAGAAAGTACTACACACTTCCCAAGGAGACCCTTGATACTCTGATTGGCGATCTTCACGAGCTCATCAACTTCTTTGTCATTGAGACTCAGCGCGTTGTCTTCGCCGAGAACGTCTTTGTCTCTGCTGCTGTACGCCCCCAACATCAATTATTGCATCAATCTGCTAACAAATCCCAGGCTTTCCTTGGTGCCTTCTTCTCCTACTTCCTTATCAAGGTTCTCCCATTCTGGGGCCTCTCCCTCCTCTCCACCTTCGTCATCTTCCTCACACCCCTTATCTACAAGAACAACAAGGAAGTGATTGACCACCACCTCGCCGAAATCTCCAACATCATCAACCAACAAACCGAGCAAGTCAAGCAACTCGCCAGTCACCATGCTGCTCGCGCCTCCGATGCCACGAAGCAATATGTTGGAGATTACTCTGCCAAGGCCCAGGGACTGCTTGGCAGTGCTCGTGGTCGTTCCTTCTCTCCTCCAGTGGCCAAGAAGGAAATCGAGGAGGTTAAGAAGGAGAACGCCCTAACTTACAAGAGCGAGGATTTCCCTGCTGCCCCTACGGAGATCCAGGCTCCCCAGGTTGAGGCCATTGAGGCTACGCCCAGTGTGCTGAAGGAGGAGGTCAAGGAGGCGGAGCCTCTGATCGCCTCATAAGATGATCACACCCAGAATCCCAGGATTATAACGAATCGGGCTTTTTCTGAGGCAGAATTTCCAGATGAAGAAGTCGATTGTGCGATTGGTGGATCTCAATGAGAATGAGCAATGACCATGGCTACGAGGTGCGATGGATGACGAATCTGGGTTTGACATGACCTCATGATACTCTTCTCATGACACTGTTACTGTATTATGTGCGAGCCTGTCCTAGCTTTCCTTTGCTGCTTTTCTTGCCTGCCTGATATAATGACTTTCGAGTCTCGATTAGGCTTTTCCTGTTGGCTGGCAGTTTTGGTGCATGGCAAGCGTGTTGTTTTGTGCGATGAGAGAGGTGGTAGGAGATTGAGTGTGAGAGGAGAATGAGAATGAGAATGAGAATGAGAATGATAATCTCTTGCAGATGGATGGCTACGGTGACGATGATGCTTAGTGACCGACGTAAAAGTGTTACTTTCCCTTCCTGCCCTCCCTAATTACTTCCATCGTCCTTAAATCTTATATTATGTCCTCGGACCTTTTAGCAGAGTACTCTTTCCAGGTCTCGCATCCCTCTCCCTTTATTCAACTATCCGATGTGCCATCGTAGCGAGTTGAGAAGTCTGATTGGCTTTTGAGAAGCTGATTCAATGTTGGGCGAGTAATTCGAGTAATTCGAGCTCCTGCCAAAGGGAGTTTGGTAGCGAACTGTCTTGGTCATGGTGGGACCGTTCCGTCAGTCTAAAACCCGGCTGCCTACCTAGTTGTAAAGATTAATCATTTGGATTGTTTGTGTAGAAGTAATCCTGCCCCTAGTACAGATTCTAAGTGATAAACGGTCAAACACCCAACTGCATGATGTCGGCCAACACTGCACCATCAACAACTCAAGGCCTAACTTTGCACACGTCGCAACCTTTTAACAGAGCTTCCTTGAGACACCGCGATCAACGTGAGTGATATTGATCTGAAAAGCTCTAATCGCAAGCCTCTGGTCTTAGACCACACATCTCAAGATGTCAACCTCATTTGAAACGTTCGGACCCCACCATAATGAGAGCTTCCTAGCGCACTTACTGGCCCAATTACTAACATTTCCTTCTAGGATACTCCTTTCTCGCCCTTTCAGATTCATTGTCGATACCGATAAGGTTCCAATCACGGTTCATGAGGCCGCGGTCGCCCAGCAGTCCCCTGCGTTGGCTGCGCTCATGCAAAGCGAAATGTCAGAGGGCATAGCTGGCGAAGCCAGGTGGGACGATGTGGATAAGGGAACCTTTGCACGATTTATCCAATTTGTATACACAGGAGATTACTCGGTCCCACAGAGCTGTGTCGTAGATGTGAGCGATCAGCACGCAAAGCGTGTATCATATCCAAAGCCGGCGCCTGCTGAGCAGCCTGCTGGCCCTGCTCTCCCCCGCTTCAGTTCTCTTAGCTACCCCACACCTAAAACTCAATCCAATATGGCAAAAGCAAGCGACAACCTGGGCAAGACGAATAGCAAGGTGCTCCTAGCTCATGCTTCGCTCTATGTCTTGGCGGAAAAGTGGGGAGTTGATACTCTAAAACAGTTGGTTTTGTCCAAGCTTCACCAAACCCTCAGCGGGGTTCGACTCGACGCATCAAAGGTTCAAGATCTTGTCGACCTCGCACGCTACATATACTCAGATGAACGAACTCCTGGCTTGAGACATGGGATCGATAAGCTAAGGGAGTTGATTTGTTATTACATAGCCGACAATGGTAGGGTTACTTCCGAGCATGCTATGTTCGCAGCTTTACTTAGGGAAGAAGGAGATCTGGCGTCAGATCTGTGGAAAATTGTGGGATCAAGAATCTGTATCGCGAAATAATAGGCCGTGGCTCTAGATGCAACGGAGGAATGCCTTACCCAGCGTGTTCCCTTCACTCTGGAGGTGGAAACCAAATATGCTAAGAAGGCTAGCAATGTTGTTTACTTGGTTCTCACGCCTTGCATAAGGCATGCTATTGTGATCCGAACTCGAGGTACTAATCGTTCGGTTGGAACTCCCACCTAATCCTTGGTTAATCACCGTCTTGGGTAAGGGAGGGAAAACCAGCAATACCTAAATCCGACCATAGATCACGATAACAGAAGAGCCTTTTGACCTTGATATAGATGAATTTAAGGTCAAGTAATAGCTCTATAAGAGGAGAATATATAGAGATACTTGTATAAGGCACTAATATTGTTTTCTTGTGCCCTTTTCTTTAAGAACCGTCTTAATACCTACGTTACCCAGTAGGTATCCAGGCAGTGAAAAGGGAAGTAAAAGAGGGAGGATGGGATAGGATCGGATTTAAGTTTTTGCGTATTGCCCTCCCTTATCCAATCATCTGATGTACCATCGTAGGTATATTAGTCATCCACCCAGCCTAGCTTCTCGAAGCGAAATGGGGTCGGACGTCACTTCACTGTCCTCTCATCCTCTCAATCACTCACGCATCGTCGAACATCAGGTATACATATACATGTCGTATATATTCAGCTGAAACTCCAAGATCTTAATTACTAGACAAGTGTCAGTATTTGAGATGAGAATCTACTGGAGTTATAGACTCTTGTGGATATAGAGAGCTTGATGGTGATCGAGCTTTGGGTTTTCTGAGCCCTTTCCTTTTTGCCCTTTCTTTCTTTATGATTGTTTGAATTTTGAGACTCTGAGATAATTGCTGTGTAGTTTTTTCATAGGAGGCATTAAGGAATTTGGATGGCTGTTTCATAAATCATACGTTGTATTACTCTATCATTTCCCGTCTCTCTGATATTCAACACAAGTCCTATCAGGGTTTTCCGTTATCGTCCAATGACCTCAAGACGCCAGTTCGACATTTTCCAGTTGTCGAAGGGAACATCCATAACCTGGACGCGAAATCCAAGTCAACATTCTTCTGTTGTCGAAGATAATACGCAATCCTGAGCACCCGTCCTATCAATCTTCCCATGCCATCGTCCATAATCTCAAATGCGAAGTCGACATTTTCCAGTTGCCGAAGAGAACACCCAATCCTGAACACCCATTTCTTAACACCCATCAATCTGCACCTGTTCATTCCTCGTTGCCTGTCCGTGCCTGTCCATACTATCATTCGTTTCCACCTGGTGCAGTGCCATCCCAGTATCCAGTCGGATTACCTGCTGTGGTGTCTGGGCTGCCAACTTCTGCAGCATCCTCCCCATCGCCTGGTGCGTGCTGATGTCCTTCTTGGGACGCTCCTTCGGGTGTAGGCCCAGCCTCCGCGGCACCTGCACCGCCCAAGGACTGGGCTTTCAGAAGGGAAAGAAGGTATACCCTTCTTGGATCATCTCGATGCATATTCAGGACCGTATTTACCGCATGCGCGAAATCCCGGTCTATATCCTGGGAACTCATGTCACCTGGGCCCCCACCTGGAGGAAATTGTGGGAAATAGCCCATTCCTGCTTGCTGACCTCCGGGACCCATAGACGGATATGGGCTACTTCCCTGACTTGTGTGTTGTACAGGAGTGTGTGATTGTGGTGGCGGGAATGGTGCGGAGCTATCCATGACATTTGATGGTTGGTATTCGCCTGTTGGTTGACCAGTACCTCCTTCAAAATAGGAGGTTTGGTGTTCGGAAAGACCCTGGGACGCGGGGACATCTTGGAATGGTCCAGATAGCTGAGGCTGAGGTTGAGGATGAACAGGACCATCATATGAAGATGACGAACTTTGTTCAGTTGGAGAGACAGCTTGACTATCTGATAGAGACTGCACATTTGCCTCTGCTGCAAGCTGTCTGTCATTGCCGCCACGAGCACCGCCACGACCAGACCCGCGGGGTCTTCCACGAGGTCGTCCACGAGGTCGTCCACGAGGTCTGACACCACCACCTCTGTTGTTCTTTCCAGCGTTTTCAGCCTTTGAAACGCTCTGTGGCGATTGGGAATCCGAAGATGACGAGGAGAGACCTGTAGCTGGGGAGATATTTGTATCAAGTCTGGATGAGGAATAGTGGGCTTCATTCCCGACATTTTCACCACCGCGAGCCTTGTTGTGCATATTTGCGTCAGAGGATCCTTCAACTCTTTTTTGCTTCTTGGATGTTTCCTCAGAGCTTTGAGGCGAGGATGAAACTGGATCCCGGGAAGTAGGTGTATTTAACCCAGGAGTGCCTGATCCAAGGTTGCCTGCTCCAAGGTTGCCTGCTCCAAGGTTGCCTGATCCAAGGTTGCCTAATCCAGGAGTGCCAAATCCAAGAGTTTCGTTTCTAGTAGTTTCGACAGAGCGAGACTTTTTGGCAGGAGTGTCGCTATCAGAGGATTCCTCAGCTTGCTTTCGCTTTCTCAGTGCGCTTCCCTCAGAGCTTTGTGATGAGGAGAAATCAGAACCCCGTGGAATAGCTGTACCAAATCCAGGTGTACCTAGTCCAGGTCTACCAACTCCAGGTGTATCAAATGCAGGTGTACTTAATCCAGGCGTGCCTAATTTAGGTGTGCTTAGTGGTGGTCTGCCCAATTTAGGTCTACGCAGTGCAGGTTTACCAAATCCAGGCGTATCAGATGCAGGCGTACCAGATGCAGGTGTACCAAATGCAGGTGTGCTTATTTCGCGCGTACCTGATCCAGGCATACCCAGTCCAGGTCTACTCAATCCAGATGTACCTAATCCAGAAGTTCCGTTTCCAACACTTCCACTGCCGCGAGACTTCTCGACATGAGTAGTGTCGGATGGGGATTCTTCAACTCGTTTCCGCTTTTTCGGTGCACCTTCCTCGATGTCTCGAAATGAGGAGAAATCTGGAACGTTTCCGAAATTCTCACCACTGTGAGCCTGTGTAGCTTTGGTATTGCCACCAGAGGGTTTCGCAACTCTTTTCCGCTTCTTTGGTGTTCCTTCCTCGGTGTTCTCTGAAGCTTGAGGGGCTGATTGAGGTTTCTTTACACGTGGAGTGCGTTTCTTTGCGGGTGACGGGGCTATCGGCTGGTAGATGGTACCCATTGGTTGAGACGGTTCTGTTGATTGGGATCCCCCACGTGGAAACAATGATGTTATTGCTGGGAGGACTGGGGTCATCATATGCTGTTGGAATTGCGGGGGAGTACTGTATTGTGGGTGAATTGGACGGGGTGAGTACAATTGGGGCTGCATATGTGGCTGTAAAGGCGATGGCAAATGTGGTTGGCCCGAATATTGAGTGTTGATTGGATAATTTGTCATTGAGAGCGGCTGTGCTTGGAAGTTGGCAGGATACCCGTATTGAGGATGAGGTATGAACTGCTGGCCCTGGTGATGGTATAGTCCTTGTGGAGCAGGAGCATGTGGCCAGTAACATGGTGGGTTCTGTGAAGCAACTGGTGCTTTGACAGGCTTGTCTTGCTGCTGTGCATGCAGTTCACGAATCCGGACCTCTCTCTTCAATGCGTCGACTACATTGTTCCAACTTGGTTCTACATCGACATACACTCCGCCTAGTTCCATTGTCTGCTTTGGGACGTGGCATTGGAACTTAAATTCTCGTTCGAACCTCTGGATTGTGGCGATGGCAGCGAAATCCCATGTGACGGGAGCCGGTTCTTGCTCTTGAGCATTATAAACATCAGACTCTTCTCGTTCAAACTGGTCGTCAGGATGTTCGATCTGGTTCGCAGCACCCTTTGGGCCCCGCTTCTTCGGACGCTTCTTCGGAACACTAACTTCAGACTCTCCCTTATCCTGAAGACCAGTCCATCCTTCTGGGAACTTTCGGGTTAAGATCGTGCAGAATCCTTCCAAGACTTCACCTTGTGCCACCTCCAACTTGTGGGTACCGCTCACGACACTATATGGAAGATAGTTCTTCTTCTGCTTTCCTAGGACCATTCCCTTCTCTAGGATCATGCTCGTCTCCTGCCATCTGCCATCATCCCTTTGTTTCTTACTTCTGATGCTCTTAAGCACCATTGGTCGTGGCGTGAATTCGTCGCTCTCCATGAAGATCTCCTGGGCGAAGGGACTTGGTCGATCAGGTGGAAGGGTCTTGACGAAATCATACAGCACCTCCATTAACTGAAGTTCGACCATCATTTGCTTAGTAGGAAGCAGGGATGCGAAGCTTTGGGATGGAGTCGCGGTCAAACTTCTTAGATCGATCCCTTTAGCTGGAGAGTTCGCGCCATGGTCTGATTCCAAGCCATGAGTCTCTCTGAGAAGCGTATCCGCGATGACTCCATCATGATTTGAAGCCATCGCGTCGACGCGTAAAGACAGTCAATTCGTGTCCTGTTGTAGATCTGTGAGGAAGTTGCGGGTGTTGCGTGTTGTGTTGTGGAGGAAGGTACTGTTGTTGATCAACGCGTTCAGAAAGTATGTGTTTAGGGAAGTCAGAAGGTAAGAAGAAGAGGGTCTCGATCTTAGATTTGGTCTTGGAATTGGTCTCGAACTCAAGAGGAAAGCGGGGAGAACTGTCAATTGCCTTTTCCCCTCCTCCTTCGTCTCGCACCGCGTACCAAGCGAGCTCCTCCCTAGGACTCACTCGTGAATTGGAGACAATTAACGAGATTTTAGCGATCGTTGATTCTCTCTTCTTGTACGCTCTCAGAGAATAGTTAGAAAAGGTCCTGGCAGACCATGGAGTTCGAGAATTAGTATCTCTTGAATCTTATGTGATGCTTTTGGGTGTACACTGTTGAGCTTTGCAGATCTGGTTCTACTGTTCATAAAGATGATCCCGTATATTTTCGATATCAACGAGCCAATGCCCAGAGCAATTGACAGATTTTCTTTTCTACCTACTGTTCCTCGATCCCAATAGTCGAATCTTGAGTCGTTGACAGTAGGTGATGGCTATCATTGTTTACTTGCTCGTTGTCTGGACTTCTTACCCACCTCAATCGAGTGCTTGAGATTAGTATCAAAGTAATTTAAAGAATACACCATTTACAGATCTCTTATTGTTGGAGTCAGTATGAGCCATCCCTAGTAGATAGACTTCTGGCGTTCAATGATACGTTTCTGTTTCCTCCTCGTTCCCCAAATTCTCTTTTGAGTCAATAATACGCGATCTCAAGCCTAAATTACTATCCTCAATCCGGAGTCTCTCAATTTGCTCCATATACACAGAAGATTAACCAGATATTGTAGCATGGATCTTCTTATATGTACTCAAACCGTACGCATCGTGATACGCGTTAAGCCCTCTCTCTTTGTTACCCCTGAACTACCAAGACGTTAAGCGAGAATGTGTCGATGATCCGAGGATGCTGGGTACCTAATGTATCCTCATCGCTAGATATCTCAAAAATTGGCTTGGTATTATTACTTTAGTTTTATTCTAGTGGAGAAGATTCTTAACAGAAGATTTTCCAAGAGTTATAGATACAGTATCTGCGAGGAAGAGGCGTTCTATCATGTCTTCGGTGTTGGATTTACGGGAGCATGCATCAACAATTACAACATGGTGGGTGTAGCTGGCTTTGCTGGGAGGACAATGGAGGGTATAGGGTAAAGAGATGAGGTTAAGGTTGTTTTGGGGGGGCTTCTAAGATGTCATGCTGTCCTGTGCCATCTTCCTTTCAAACTAAGATACAGGCCAAGACAACTTTCTCTGCATAGAGAAACGTACTGACTGCTTTGGAAAGAGAGATTTGATCTCTTGAGCCGACTTGATAGAAGAGTGAGCTTCAACTTATATGCTTTATTCTCATTGCTTACCGTTTTGTTTCCTGTGCAAATATTCATCTCTATCATTTCATTGTGCTTTGTTTCGTTACGGCACATGCAATATCCCACCTCCTTCAAGCCCGTTTGGAACCCCACATATCACACCGCTGTTCTCGACGAAACAAAATCCGGGAGAATGAGTCCCGTGCAAAGTTCCAACAGCTCCACAAATGCAGCCTTCCAGAATAACTGTTCGATTTCCTCGAAGTCTTCCTAGTGCTGTCATTAACCCTCCCAAGCACCCGAGAAATCCAAAACAAACACCTTCCTCAACCACAACAACACCACAACACCTCACCACCACCAGCCTCCATCATGGCTCGTCCCTATAAGAGCCAGCTGGAGATGATAAGGCAGAAGGCACTCGCTGATGGATGCACCCACGCAATCTTCTGGGAGAAATGGAGTGCGACGATGACCTCTGTCCTTCAGGACAATCCAACTATGAGCTCTGACTCGCAGATCTACAAAGCGGAGAAGACTTTCTTCGAGAAGCACTGTATGTATCCCCTGCCCTCCCCAAGATCCCAACTCGGGATATTCTTCTTCTATGACCGCAATTATTTATCAATCAATGGGGAAAAGGGAATGAACCATTCATGGGTCAGGATCCAAGTTTAGCTTATGTCAAGCAGACGCGTAACATGTGGTTCAAAGCTCGCAAAGACAAGATACCGATCCAAAAATGGGAGGCATGTTGGATTGAAGGACGGAGTATTTCATTCGGCAACGTGAGTAGAGAAGCAGAGCAATACCTGCTCGAGCGCTGGGTATGGAGAAAGCTTTGTAAGTTTCTATTTCTATTTCTTCTCTACCAACCAAAATCGAGAACTCCTTTCCAATGAGCGAGAGAGAGAGCTTGGAGGGGATCAAAAACTCACAGATTTTTTTCAATTTTCAAGGGTCCAACAATTCGCATTTCCCGGGTGCGGATCCTCGAAAACCAACCACCACCACCCCCTTGGGAAAAACTAAAGCTTGCACTCACGAAAACAAAGATAAAGCATTCACCGCCTCGTCTGCTGCGAAAAAGCAGGAACCGAAAAAGCAAGAACCAGCTCGGATTCAGAGACCAGAGATTGACCTTTATCGCTCAGGACCTCAACCTGTTCTTGCCAAAGCCCCCGAGACCGTATTCGCCCCATCGCTGGATATCAGAACTGCTGAATCCTCGGGAAGCCAGGTCGTTCAATTCAATAATAATAATCCACCAAGCCAGCCCGATACTCTTGAGCCAAACCACGCGACTTGCCTTTCAGCAGACGCACCAGCGGGTTCCCGCAGCACAACGCGACCCCCAGCATTCCCATCTCAAACCACGAAGTCAGAAATCAACTCCCCGAGCAAAGTGAATGAAAAGGCCTTGACTACAATCCCTTCTCAATCGTTATCTAAGGAGAAAGCTGCAGGTTCACAGGTGAAGACTGAAGAAAACACGCAGGGCTTCAGTTTAAGAGACGAGGTCGGCGAGATAATTGACTACTTGATGGCCGATGTTTGGCCACCCCCGACACACAAGAGAGCATTATCTCCATCGATGGATGACGGAGGGGGGGCAGGTGTGTTGGGAAATAAGAAGAGAGTGAAGAGAGAGGAAGGGGAATGAAGTGGATGTGTATGACCTATATCATATGTGATTCTTGGAAGTATTGAGATGTGTCAAGAAATGGTGTAGTAAATGACGCCCAGGGCAATTCCGAGGATGTTCGTATCTGACTCGATCCTTGATTAATAAAGACTAAGCCCGCGCTGCTTATTACATTATTCACAATAAGAGGATCTCGAGATTTCATACCTGGTTTACAATCAGGCATTCATTTCATTGCCAGGTATCGTGTATGAGAGTGTAAAACGCCTCAGTCACTAGTACTCTGACACCCTATTCACAACCCCTCCTCCCCCTCCCCCCGACGTCCGTAGTTCATCAGTCCAAGAAGGATGTGCCTGAACGCCCACGCTCGTATCATACATACATACACAATGCCCAATCCCAATCTCAAGTCGCCCAATTGATCGCTTCCTTATGTATGCTGCAATGCAGCCGGGTATCATCTTCATCCACGATCTGTTCCCAATCCATCCATCTCTGCAGACCTGTGCCACCTTTCCACCAACCAACAACTTAAATAGGTACCTAATGCAATCGTTGAGAAGAGAAGCAAAATGAAAATACCAAACTCCTATGCATCCCTTCCTTCCTCTGTCTTTCTGCTCTAAAATTTCTTTCTTGTCTTTTTTTGTTGTCCATCCAAGGGATAACAATCTTTAACTGCCAAAGAGAAGAAAGCCTAAATCAAATCGAGCATTGAGGGGTTAATGCGTCGTCTTCTTCCGGGGCCTCTCCTCGGTCTCTGTCATCCCTTCCATCAGCACCTGGTGTTGCTTCATATTCTCTCCATGCTGTTGGCATGCACCATCCCACCACTGAAGCACCGCAATGTCCTCCTGTAAGCCCTTTCTGTAAAACTTAATACCTTCACCATTCATCCATCTTGTCGCGCCAAGGGTATCGTTCTGATTCTTTCTTGCCACCAAATGCAACATCATGCGAGTAGAGAACAGATCCCACTCACGCATGTAGGTCTTGAATTTCTCCTCGTACGCGCTGTAGGTCTCTTTCGTAGGAGGCAGGAGGGCGGCGGGAATTTGTGGTGCAACCGGGGGGGTAGGTAGATCCATATTGGAGATTAAATCCTGAATCTTCAGGTCTTCAAAATTTACTTTGAGGGACTCGGTATCCGTTGGAGGTTGACTTGTTGCAGCGGCACGCTTCGGAGCCTCAGAGTTGACCTTTGCTCCCATTCCTTCACTGGCATTTGGCGCAGGGGTTGAGGCTGAGGCCGCAGGAGGCATATCGACATCCATTGCATCAGGGCTTGATGGTGCAGCGGTTGCGGGTGGAGCCGCGGTTGCGGACTGTTTGCGACCTTGGAAAATAGGTTCGTCCGACGTGTCTCCGTCATCAACGACTGCAGCAGTGCCCATCGTTGGTCTAGGAACTCGTCTTCTGGATGGGCGCTGGGCCATGGTTGGTTTGACTATAGGAGTGACTGGAGGTTGCATGAAGGTTTGAGGTTTGAAAGTTCCAGCCCATTCGGCTTGAGAAAACTTAGCACCACGGGGGAAAACTGGTGGTTCTGGCTCGGCCTGCGCTTGGGTGAAGTTCGAATCAGTGGGTCGGACCTTGGTAGGCGATCTTCCTCTTGAGCGGCTGCCCGACTGTGCACGTGGACGATGTGCCAGATTCGCTGTTTTCTGCTCGGGTATAAAATGGCTTGCCTCAAATGTTGCATGCCAATCTTCTGGTGTGAATTTTGTGTTGATGGATTCGGTACTATGAGGTCTGAAACTTGAAGGGGCCGTGCGTTTGAAGGTATCGGGATCGAGTTTGAAGGAGAATCTAGAACGGCCAGAATTGTTAGCATTAATCTGATCAACTTCTTGCCAAAAGCGACGAGAGTTTTCAGCTCCATTAGATTTCAGAGACGGGCTACTCAAATGCTTCTGGCTCATGGATGGACTTAACGTCGCATGAGACTCCCTGTATTGAGAGAAAGCAGGAGATGCAGCATTGAAGTTTAATTGCGCTGGCATTTTGCTACTATCGGCATTTGAGCCATACTTCCCATTGAAAGGAGTATGGGGTGAGTTTGAATTGCCTGCATGGCGCTTGCTAATAAGACGGTCGAGCATGGAGCGCTGGGTCTCTTCCAACGGGAAGAGGTTTTGGCCTGCAATTCCACTAGGAGATGTGACAGGCTTCTCGCCATCAGAGTTCGGGAATAAATTAGGCCACTTGCGGTAGCAATCATAGCCTGAGTAGGTACTAAATGGCTTTAGGGGCGGGGCTGAATAAGGGTTTTTAGATAAAGTCGGACCCGACACTGTCGGTAGCTTGTCTTCAAAAGTTGATTTCCTGTCGTGGGATTTTGAATTGTAAAAGGAAAAGTCGTACATTGAAGGGCCGTTATCAGACTTGGTATTGCTCTTATCCGTAGCAGCAGAAGGTTCATCTGAAGGGAGATATGTTAGCGGCAATTCTGGCAGAGATTCGCTTGGCTCCATTTTCTGAAACTGCGATATTGGGATAGACTTACGTGGTTTTTGCGATTCATTTGTTCCATCTGCCATCGGCTGACTAAACATAGATGTTGTGCTGAACTGACCGGTCTTGGGAGGAGTAGACCTGGTGTTCCCAGCATTTGCAAAGGTTTGTGATGCGCTTGCAAAGGCTGGAGCCCGGCGAGGCGTTTTGGTTCTGAGTTTAGGCGCATCATCGGAACTAGAGTCATCAGAATCCGGAGCAACGAATGCCGGTTTGAAGGCTCCCGCAGGGGTTTCTTGTGAATGAGGTCGGGGAGGGGAGTTCAGCTTTGAATCGGAACCAACTCTTGGCATATCATTTGACGAATATCGATTAGATGGTACACGAGTGCTCTTTGATCTGCTCATGTTAGCACTTTCGAAAGGGTTGAACTTTTCTCCCCCGTGTGTGGCATAGGGTGTACTTTGACGAGGCTCAAATGCAACGTCAACCCGTTCTCTGAATTGCCCCAATGGGTCAACTGGGGGCCGCTCATACGTAGAAGCGCCGGCATCTCTTGGAGGTGGAACTTGAGCAGACCTATCGCGTTGTGTAAAATAAGCACCTCTTGGTGCAGCAGGTTCATCTCCACCTGGTGTGTTTGGCATGAACCCTTTTCGATTTGACGAAGTTTGGCTAGTGGCTCTCCTATGAGGACTTGATTGGAATTCGCCAGATACGGGGCGCGATTTGGTTCCCGAGGGATTCTTTGAACGGCCAGTCTCATCTCGGGTCGGTCTGGGTGTTCCTTTGGGTATTGGGCCAGCTCCGCTGAATGCGGAACCCGACCCATGTGGGGGGACTCTCTCTCTCATTCTCTCCCATGCTTCATATGTGCTTCTCCTAGCTTCGGCTCCCTCCTGTGCTGTCTTATTTGCAGACTGCCTAGGTGTCTCAAAATTCTTATAGCGTTGAGCTCCGGCAGAGGGTGGTGGAGGTCGGCGAGCTGTAGGAGGTTTGGGTGGTGGGGGATATTGCGAAGCGACATTAGACCAAGGATTTCCTCGCGGGTTCCCTCCTGTTCGGTAGGTGTTGCTAGGTCGAGGGCGGTTTGCATCATACTTTGCACGTTCGTGAGCATCTGTGAGCACTTCATGTGCCGACTGGATCTTTTGAAATCTAGCAGTGACCTCGCTTTCACGTCCCGGGTTGCGGTCTGGGTGGTACAAGAGCGCTATCAGGCGCGGTTAGCTAGGTGTCAAAAAGCTACAAGTAACAGGCAGTATACCTAGTTTCTTGAACTGTTTCTTAATATCATTGACATCTGCATTTGGAGAGATCTCAAGATCCCCGTAGTAGTCTCGAGTCAAATCCGCCCTCACCATGGCGCAAACGTGGCTCACTGAGCCCGAGAGACCAAGTGAACGCGGTTTGCTTTGCCTGAGGAAAGTCTCATGTGAATTCAGTCGCGTCTAGTCGTGTTCCCTGTGCGAAGTCGTGTTCGCCCTGCCAGGCGTGGGTCAAAGATACACCTGTTCTTGGCGATTTGTATGCTTGTTGATGTCTAAAGAGACTCCTTTATGACTAGCGCGCAAGCAGCAGCGCGTGCTCAGTGAGCGGGCAAATGACTGGAACACAACACAGAGGTATCGATTTATGTCCGTCGCGGTTGTGGAGGGAGGAGAAGTAAGGTGGTTGAAGTTTTCGCAGAGCAAGCCTGTCGAAGTGTAGGACGGTAGAGCTATCGGTTGCCTTGTGATACCGCGATAAATACGCGAATTCACTTTCGACACGCAAAAGGAAAATAAGGAGAAAAACCAAGGGAACTTCTTTGTTTTCAAGGCTTAAGGAGTGTGGCTTGATGATTTCCAAGAGGCTATGGAAAAGACATAGCCTACTGGATCCCACACAAGAGGAGTGTTCTCTTCTACGGGGAATGCTGTGCGGGACAATCTTCCTGGGGTCCTTTCGCCTCTGCTGTGTTGTCGCTTCTAACGCTTTTCGGTCACCGCTTTTATCATGGCAATCGCTGGAATAGCATAAGCCAAAGAAGGTGAAGACCGTCAAGAAGGCAAAGAAGGCAAGATAGGTAATCATAAGAATAAGAATCATTCCATAATGCATTAGTCCTTTTTCTTCTCTCTATGCTCGCCCCATGAAGACGCCACCAAACACCAGTAATAACAAACGGCCATCGTCAGTCTACCTACAAGACCATCCGGACCCTGCCTATACAACACCAGACAATTTATAACAGTGATTAAACCATAGAGTCATATGTCCACCCGCCTTGCCTCCGCACACGCTCTCTTGCTTCCAGATCCTTTCGGATCTCGTCTTCAGTGAGACGGTCCTGTCCACTCCAATTGGCACTTGATGTCCGTGCCCGGAACTTGTGCCATCTATCCTTGCTCTTGCTAAAGACTTCTTCCATATTCAACGGCCCGGGCCGCCCAAAGATCTCAGTTGGATCAATGGTCTCTTGCTTAGCGAGTTGCTTCCGCAGATCTGGAGAGTTGGTCCAACCCATAGCAACAAACTCATCTGCAGCATCAGAGTCTTCATCTTCCGAGTCGGTATTGATTTCCGGAAGCTCGATATTCTCCCCATTCTGGTATCGTGGGGAGGATTTGGCAGCCGATTTTGCGGTTGATTTTCCTCCATGGGGAGGTTGACCGGGTCGCGCTGGGGTCTTATGTTGAGTGTTGCCCTGGTTTGAGCTCGTAGCAAATGGGATGGGCGCCTTCGATATTTGAGCCATATCCATTGGATGGGCCGGCTTTGATTGGTTGTGCTGGGCTATGAGAGTGCTTCTTTGAAGGTTGGCGGGGGGCGGCGCATTGGCGTACCCGCTAGAAAAGATTGACTTGGTTGGCACATCCTGTGAGAGGTGAGCAAGAAGTGATCCAAGGTGCAGATTTAATTCACATACCTTTTGACGACTGCTAGATTGACGAATAGGAGGTGCCTTCATCTTCGGCTGGGGCTCAGTCGTATCGTCGTCACCCTCGAAATCCTCACTGGTCTTACGGCGCTTAGAGTGGTGGCTATCGTTGTGATAGGATGGCGGGTTACGCTGAGTCGTGGGACGAGAATGGTGCTCATCTCCAGCGTCTTGCGGTAAAGGCCGTTTCGGGGGAACTTTCGCGGTATTGTGCAGGACCGAGTTGACAGGCCTGTTAGGATCATCTTGTGGTCGATGAACAGTGGAATTTGTACGAGGTAGCCTTGCGTGGCTCATGTCGTTGCGCTGCTGCGGAGCATGAGGTAATGACTTATCTTGAAGCATGGAGAGAGTAAGGTCGCCATTAGGTTGCGGGCGTATAGCAGGAGGCGGGGCCCCCGTCTGTTTCGCCTTCTCCATCTCCAATTTCCTCTTTTCCATAGCTTGCCGGGACGCACTCTTCTTTGCATCAGCCAAACTAACAGCGTGTTCTCTCTCCCGTTGCACTGCGCGCTGACGTTCTGCTTCTTGACGGCGTGCCTGCTCTTCTTTGCGTCGTTCTTCCTCCTTATTAGCAGCCCGTTGTCGCTCAACTTCTTGCTTAGCCTCTCGTTTTCGCTGAGCGGCAAGTTCATCCTACTACGGGTCAGTTATCAATGGCAAACCATTAGATATACACATACCTGCTCCTTCTTTCTCGCCGCAGCCTCTAATGCCTTCGTTGCTGCAGATCTGAAGCTGCTATTTGAAGCCTTACTCTGCACTGAACTGGTGCTGACTTTGCTTCTCAAACCTTGGGTAGACCCCGCTGTAGGAGCACCAAGCGATTCCTGAAGAGTAGCAGCAAGAGTGGAGTTGGATGGATGATATTGATGACCACGTTGGGACCCAGTATCGACTCGAATGACCGTTGGAGGTTTCGCTTTCGTGAGTGGCTCCTTTGCTGGTCTCAGGGGACGTTTTGCAGGAGGTCTTCCAATTTGGGATCTCGCTTTAGGAGCAGGCGGAGGTATGGCGGCGACCTCCGGCATCTCAATGTCTTTATTTGACAGCTCGTCTGTACTAGCAGCAGCGGCAGCAATTCCTTCTGCCTCCAACTGAGCTTTCGTCTTGCGGGGGCTGCCCCGTGCCGCCTTGGGCACATTCACCTCGCTTGCTTTGGCAATCTTTTCTTGCTCCTTGCGAGCAATAACCTCTTTATGCATGACTGCAACCCTTTCCTGCTCAAGATGATACACTCTTGCCTCCTCTTGCACCTTCTGGCGAGCTTTCTCTAACTGATCTGCCATTTTCTGCGCCTCCTTCGCTTCCTTAGCCTCCCGGGCTTCTATTGCCTCCTCTTCTTTTCGTCGTTCCTCTCGCTCTGTTGAGGCCCGAGTCCTTCGTGTACTAGGCTTTCCAGGACTATTTGGTACGGGTTGAGAATCTTGACTCTTATTAGGGCTATTCTGCATCTGATAGGCTTGCGTATTCCGAAGCACTTCCTCGAAAGATGGCTGTGAACTCATGCCGATCTGACTTGTAGCCGGTGACATAGTTGCTGTTTTAGCCTCTGCACTGACGACCGCACTACTGGCAAATAACCCCCTTGACGTCTTGAGAATTGATGAGAATTTATCCTTTGCAGCCTTCAATGGACTGCCTCGGGGAATTCTTGACGGGGATTTTGGAGGTGTTGTTGCATCAGCCGATCCGGTCGAAGGATTTGGGTTAGACACAGAAATCGATTTCTGATTTTCTGACGATTCTACTTCTTTGGGGGGAGAGCGGAGCACCGATGTCGACGCCGACTTCATGTGACCCAGGGGACTCGTTCTCTCGGGAACAGCCACCTCGCGAAGAGGAGATCTCTGTCTGTCGTCATCTCTTTTGGGGACACTGAATTGTGGGTCTCCAATGCTCCCTGTCCCATGAATACCTTCCATCACATCGGTAGAGTGACTTTTCGATATCTGTAATCGCGGACTGAAAGTTGAATGTTCGGCTGGTGCAGCTGTAGGAGGACCAATCCAACTATCCTCTTCGTCGTCCGGAAAGGCTCCAGGGGCGATGAATGGAGATTTGTGTTGGGGAGACCTGTGTTGAGGAGCCTCTTGGACAGTTGAAGCGTGGTTCACTTGAGTTGCCTGCAAAGGAACCGCCCCACTGTTCGCGATTGACTTAGAAGCCGGTCGAGCGTTCGGCTGGGATTTTCCAAGCATGCTGATTTGGTCTTGCAGTCGTTGGGTAGACGTCTTATTATGAAGACGCGACATTTTAGATTCGCCATCTGTATCCTCCTGGCCAGGCTCCTCGATGTCCATCTCATCATGATCCAGGTCGCGTTGATTCTCTTGTCTCACACTTCCAAGGCTCTTCCCACCGGTAGCCCTCCCGTAATAGCTAGTTCTCGACTGTTCCAATTGACCTGTGCGTGATAAGCGGTTTCCAATGCTTTTCTTCGTAGTGATCGGTTCTCTTGCAGGCAATGAAGCAAAGTTTAAGCTACTCTTCCGAACGATAGGCCGAATTGGACTTGAACCATCAGATTGAGACTGAACATCATCTATATGCTCGTCCTCCGCTACTGGAGCTACCTCCTCGGGCTGTGCAGTCTTGATTGGAGATTTGACTACTGCTTCGGGCTTGTGAGGTGACTGTTTCTGAGGAGATGGAAGTTCCTCGGTTTGGTCTTGTACTGGCGACTCAGGGATGGGAGACGTAGTTTTCTTCGGCTCTGGACTTCGTTTTGGGGATTCCTCCACAACCGCTACATCTTCCGCCAAGTTCCTGGTTTGCTCTTCTTTCGCGGATTGAAATGAGGCCTCTGTTGTTTGTCCCTCACCTGAATCGCGGGCTTGAACTGTAGCATCTTCGACGACGGGTGGCTCCGTTAGACCAGACTTGGGTGATGATGCTTTCGGTGAAGTATGGACATCTGTAAGCGCATCGGATTGAGGCACTTGGATTTCTCGGCTGTCTTGGGTCGCGTCATTCCTTTGACTTCCAAAGTACCCAGAGTCCGCTAAATAGTTCACTGGTGGTTTCGTTGCGAAGGGATCCTCAATATCCAATTTTGTTCGCTCGGGCTCCGGTTCTGATGGTCCTGGTCCATCTTCGGCCACTCGGAATGTTGGTGTGGGCTTCTCAAAGTGGTTTTGTCGAAATGGACTGGGTCCAGCTCTCGGTGTCGCTGAAAATACTTCTGATAGAGGCTTCTGTGTGTCAGTATTCGTTGGAAATAATCGCGTTTATTCCACCTACCGCGCGTACTTCCAATGGATTGACCTTCCGTGCTGTTCTTGGAGTCTTCCCTCGTAATTTCCCAGGTGTCTTGAATATTTCTGCCACGTTCCTGCAGTCATAGGATTAGCCCTGCTTATTGTCGAAGGGTTGTTTACTTACACTTGATTTTCACTAAATATCTCAGCCATATGTTCATTCAGCCAGTCCACCTCATTTCGTGCTGAGAAGGTAAACTCCTCTGCTTCTGATTCCACTATCTGCAAGGCAGAAGACCGCTCTTCTGATATCCATGATGCTGATCCGACTTGCAATCGCGGGTTTGCTCGGATAGGCGCCATCGTTGATGGATCAAAACAGTGCGCGTCGACCTATGACGCGTGTCGCAAGTCGGTGGGTTGCTTCGAAGTCGGGGTTATGAAATCATGTCGTGCGCTCGTCCACAGCTGGATAGAAGGTAAGGTCGTTAATTTTGTCGTAGCTGTTGGGTGCTGAAGCGGTCGAGTCGTGCGTGATGCCGCGCGAGATCATTGTTTTGGTCGCTCCCTAATGCAGCTAGCCCACCTCCCAGTGCGGACTAGGCCGAGGTCAGGTGACAATGCGCCTATGTGCGGTAGCGGGGGATACCTTCCCGGCAGCCCCTCCCGAACCTCTTGCCATTAACCGTTGATCATTCTTATTATTAAGGTAACGTACAGTACGAGTATTCTGTTTTCCTTGCTCTTCTTGCAATATTTGCTTTCTCTGGAATATTTTAGGGTAGAGATCCCCTTGCTTGAATCTAGAATCTCAATCCACGCAGCACATCGTTGAATACTTTGTAAAGCATGTCTCGAAGATCTATTCCGAGATGCTTCAACCAAGCCAAGCGTCTCTCCTTTCCCCTTCCTTATTCTCGTTCAAGACCGTTTTCTATATCAGCACCGCGCCGTATGAATCCTTTGATGGAGACAAGTGGGTTCTCAGATACGCAGTTACAAGTGAGAGAGGCGATTGCAAAGATATGCTCAAACTTCCCAGACGTGAGTTCGGATGACTCGGACCTTGATAGAAGTTTTGTTGAATGTTTTTTTCAGGAATACTGGGCGGCCCATGATGAGTCCGGAGAGTACCCCCATGAATTGCATGCGGCCTTATCAAAAGATGGCTGGATTGGAATTGCCCTACCAGAAGACCTCGGTGGGTCTGGATTGGGGATATCAGAAGCCACGATGATGTTGCACACAATTTCAGAGTATGATATCTCACCTATTTCACGTCCTTACCGCCATCCAACACTTGGTTCTATGAGATAGCCTAATTGTTGTGATTTTAGGAGCGGTGCTGGCATGGCAGGAGCTCAATCTATCCACGCCAGTGAGTCTTTCTAGACATCCCTCCGTCATTTATGTATTTCGTTTTATTCATTTAATTATTCCAGATGTATACGCCACTCAACCGGTAGCCAAATTTGCAACCCCAGAGCAACGACAAAGAATGTTACCAAATCTTATCAATGGCAAGTCACGGGTCTGCTTCGGAGTGACAGAGCCAAACACCGGTCTTGAAACTCTGAAACTCAGGACCCGAGCCGTGCGTGATGGAGACAACTACAAGGTTTCCGGCCAGAAGATATGGATTTCCTCTGCTCAAGTAGCCTCAAACATGGTTCTGCTTGCACGCACCACTCCGCTGGAGGAGGTTAAAAAGCCATCCGAAGGCCTCTCACTCTTCTTCATTGATTTCGACAAGAACCAGCCGGGACTCGAACTGAAGAAGATCAAGAAGATGGGCGGAAGAGCAGTGGATGCTAATGAGGTTTTCTTCGATAACTATAGTATCCCCAGCGATTCATTGATCGGGAAAGAAGGCCAGGGATTCAAGATCGTCCTCCATGGTATGAATGCCGAACGATGTCTTCTCGCTGGAGAAGCACTAGGACTTGGCTACGCTGCTTTGTACCGAGCTTCGAGATACGCCAAAGAGCGAATCGTATTTGGGCGTCCTATTGGGATGAACCAGGGGATCCAGCATCCTCTCGCGGATGCTTACATGCACCTTGAAGCTGCGAAGTTGGCCACGTACCATGCCGCAAGACTCTACGATCAGTCAAGGACAGATGAAACTATTACGCTAGCAGCGGTGGGAGTCGCATGTAATAGTGCTAAGTATTTGGCTGCTGAGGCGGCATTCAAGGCTTGCGAGAGGAGCGTATTGAGTTTAGGCGGGATGGGATATGCACAGGAGTATCATGTAGAGAGGTATTTGAGGGAATGTTTTGTGCCTCGGATTGCGCCTGTATCGAGGGAGATGATTATGAATTTTGTGGGAGAAAAGGTCTTAGGCTTGCCCAGAAGCTACTGAGCTGCTTTCAGGTAGCACTATGATATTTATGCTGTCAGACAAGCCTGTAGAGGTTTGACAAGGAAAAAAAGGCGCACTCGATTCTAGCTTTGATTCAATTTAATTGCCACGTGTAGTAAGCAATCCTTGGTCAACCACTGAAACCCAGTGAGGCAAATTGTACAAGCTATGGGTTTCCTACAAAATCTAATTATTTTCAGCCCTACGGTTTACGCAGAATAAATACTCAAATTGGGGGGGTTACGATCAGAGCCAGTCAATAGGTATACATTCAACTAGGCCCGTGTGTTTCAGGGACGCCTCCAACGCCGAACTCCCAACTTCGGCTATGCCTCGCCTCCCTATTTCTTCAATGCCGCAAACCTCTTCGCCAACTCGTCAACATCTGGTATTGTGCCTCCAACTGGGCCCTTACTCTGCGTACCCTTCCCACTGCTAACATCTTGCATCTTCTTGCTTGGCTTCAAATCCAATGCTCCGACTTTGACCCTCGGGTGTAGATTGTCTGTGCTTGGACTCGGCGGGTTGACCCTGAGTGGACTACTCGGCCCAAAACTCCTCGGAGGTGTTGCCCGACTCAGCTCCTCCCGCTCATCCTCCCTTTTGCCCGTCTCTGGCCCCCCTGCCAATATCGGCTCCTCGAGATTCTTCTGCGCCTGCCCTCCACTTGGATTCTCATCCTCATCATCATCGATGTATTGCGGAGGATCCCCCTGTGGTCTTTTGGGCCAGTCAACCCCATACGTCCTTGCGATCTCTTCCAAATATCCATTGACCAACTCCTGACTCGGTGGCGTAACCGCCAATTTCTTCAGAACCTTCTCAGACACATGCGCATCTGGCTCCATCGCCTGGAGCGCAAACTCCTTGCCATATTTATCCACCAGTAACGCTCTCACACTCTGCAGCTCCTTTATATCCGTTCTCGGCGCCGCGTATATCAAGCTCTTTACCGCCTCTTCCAATCCCGGGTCGCATGTGGGCGATTCCATGAGGCCGGTGCGCGCAAGTAGGAGCTCGCAGTACAACTCGAGGATCTCGTGAAGCTCGGTGGTAATGTCTGACCGTATTATATTCTCGACGCGGATTTTCGCACTCTCGACTTTCCCGATCTCGAGAAGCTGCGCCATGGCTCGACGCTGTTGTTTGGATACGGCTTCATCTTTTTGCTGGACCATGCGCAGGCGCGCGATTGAGAGCTTGAGTTGCACTTTGAGCTTTGCCTTGAAGATGTTAGCTTTGGATTTTGAAAACCCATGAGGGTTTCAAGAAGGGTAACAGACTATCAAGGAAGATGAGGGCGCCATCGTGATGTTTGGCTTGAGTTCTCTCAAGTGAGGGACATGTTGCAAGGCGGGGGAGCATGCCTGATAACTACGGTCATCGGCAAATGCTAGCCGCGCAGCTAGTATCAACTTCACGAAAACCTCGAACCTCCGGACAACCTGCCGCACACTTCACCACCGTAGGATCTTGTCGGATTGTCCCCAACCACCCTCAATGGCTACATATTATGCTATACTGGTTATGTATTTTACTACATTATAGTATCTTGAGCATATCACTCGGATATCCCAACAAATTTCTCGATTCGATACGATGACCTTCCATCTACCTCTCCATCCACCTCCGAGACGGATACACGCAGCGAAGTACATTGACACATTTGACGAATACACATAAGGGTCTTGCTGCGCGATGGGGAAATACAAGAAATACGTGGAGAAATGCGAAGCCTGGCTGGAGCAGCGTGCAAAGGCAATATGGACGAACCTCCAGACCAACCATCTCTGGCAGCGTATACTTAAGAACACTATCGCAACCACAATAGCCGTAATAATTGCGATAATTCCGTCTATTGCCCGCGTATATGGAAAAGCCGCCTACCTCGCCCCGTTGACCACCGTCTTCGGGCATCCCGGAAGAAGATTCGGCATGATGGCTGAAGCGCTCGCGCTCTCCGTCGCGGGAACGTTCCTTGGACTTGGCTGGTCGATGCTCGGCCTCTACTTCTCTTCTCTTATTTTTCACACGAATAAACCTGCTGCTTACACAATCAAAGGCGTGTTCTTAGCAATCTCATTGCTGTTCCATGGGATACTGAGGTCGCATACGCCGAGATTGTTCCTCTTTGTCTTGTTGCTGGTTATTGTTACAGTGGTTACGTTGACGGGCACTGCAACAACGGTTACAAAGATGGCGGTTACACAGCTGTTGTACCCGATTCTGACTGCTGTGGCAGTAATACTGCTGGTCAACATATCTATCTTTCCGGAGTTCTCATCTAGATTTCTGGGTATTACAACGATCGATACGCTTGGAGCGACGGTAGGGGCCCTGAGAGATGCTGGGAAGTATTTTGTCAACTCTATTGAAGCCTCAGAGAAAGACATGGGAGATAAGCCTCTTGAAGCCACTGGACGTGATCCAAACGAGCCTGCAACTGCAGCCGAGGAATCTAAGGAGAAAACCACCGCGGATGCGAACCCTTCTCTGGTGCAAAGAATCTTGCACTCATTTCGAAGCCAGAAGAATGTGACCCCCAAGCCCAAGACGGATGAGAAACCCAAGAAAGTCAAACTCAAAACATTGACGGACCTGAAATCAACGCTACGTGCAAAGTTAGCCAGCTGCAAGGCAGCCCAACAAGAGTGCAACTTTGAACTGGCCTGGGCAGTGCTGCCACCCAAAGATCTGAAACCCATCAGCGTCACCGCAATGAAGGAACTCGTCGCAAACGTCATTGCTTTAATTGGAGCCTGTGAGAGCAAGTATGCTTTGATGGGTGACCGGGACGATAAGACGGAAACAGAGACCAAAGAAGAAGATCATATAAAGCGTAAGGAACAACCAGCTAATGGCGATATTGGCGAAGATTCAAGACCTGGAACTGGATATGATGGTTCACATACGCCTGACGTTTCACGTGATGATACCGACGAAGGGGCTGAGTCTGGTAAAGAGAAGAAGCGGAAGAGGAAGACAAAGAGCGAGAGTAAGACGGAGCTCGAAAAGGACATCGAAATGGTCAAGCCTCGCAAGGAGATCGAGTTCGGTGACATTGATTTACTGAAGCATCTCGTAAGTCGCATCGCTAAACCCCTCGCGGATCTTCAAGAGAGGATCGATCGAAGTGTTGATGTTATAACATCATGTCTGGCATACTGCTATGATGTCCCAAAACTTCCCTCGGGAGCGCGACGTCCGGCAGGCATTCGACTGGAGGAAATTGACATCCACATCGATACCTTGGTGGAGGCACTCCAGGGTTTCGACAAGGATTCTGCTGCCGCTCTCGAGAGGGCTGCAGCACTTGAAGATTTGGACCATCCTAGCGTTGACATCATGCCACGTATGGAGATCTTTTTGATATCTTCCTTCTTGTTGAATCTGCGGCAGGCCGCATTCCATACTTTGACGATGCTCAGGCATTCTCGAGTTATTGTGGACAAATATCAAGCCCGACATGGTCGACAGAGGCTTTATGTCCCGAAGATCCATTGGCGGAAATGGCTTACTTCTGGGGGTGAAGAGGATATGCTCGCGTTGCCTGAAGCCGGTCGAAAGGAAGCTCGAACTGGTAACAAAGAGGATAAGGAGGGTCCAGACGAAGAGTCCTCTGGGACAAGCGAGGAGCTTCTGGCGAAAAAAAACGATATAGAGTCAGCTGCATTAAATGGCTTTCAGGCACCGCAGCCTGCAACACGTACCACAGGATCGAAGAAAGTTGTCCAGCTAAAAGTAGGCACTCTCATTCACAAACTACGAAGTGCTCTTGCGGATACCGTCGAATACCTACTTGGAAGCGAGGACGTTGCTTATGCTATCAAACTCACTGTCGCCGTTTTCCTCGTGTCATGGCCTGCCTTCGTATACAAATGGAATACGTGGTATTCTTTAAATCGAGGACTCTGGGCAGCCCTGCAACTTATACTCATTACTGAAGTTGCTCTCGGAACTTCGGTAATGACTTTCACACTACGAGCATTCGGGACAACGGTCGGGTGTCTATGGGGCTGGGCTGCGTATGAAATTGGCGGTGGTAATCGGGTTGTGGGTGTTGTAATGTTGGCAATCGGCGTCGTTCCCTCGGCCTATATCCAACTTGGGTCGAAATACGTCAAAGCAGGAATGGTTTCGATTATTTCTATGTCCATCGTTTTGCTCGCCACAGAAGACAAAACGGTCCCCGGCTCAGCGACTGAGAATTTCCTCAAACGGTTTATCGCATTCCTCATCGGTGGTGTCGTAGCTCTAATTGTGGAACTTGTTCTCTTCCCTGTCAGAGCCAGAGACCGACTCGTTGAATCCCTCGCCGCCTCAATACGACAAATCATTGAAATGGAAGGATGTCTCGCGTATGGTATCGATACCGAAGCCAACGTTGATGCTCACTCAGCTGTCGTCTCCGCTCGCTTTCAGCTCGCAAGAGGGAAGGCGGATGGCGCCTTAGCAGCAGCTGAGACCTTCTTACCCTTTTGCGCCAATGAACCTCGTCTCAAAGGCTCCTTTAAAGGTCTCGCTCTCATCTATTCCGAAATACTTTACGTCCTCCACTCCATCGTTGACAAAATGGACAATATGCACCATCTTCGCCAAGCATATGGCTCCGGTGTCCTGGAAGAACTGAACACCGAGGTATACCCCTACCGTCGGAATGTTGCAGGCTCAGTAACACTCATCCTCTTTGCCGTCCACGAAGGGCTTACCACCAAGCTTCCTCTTCCACAGTTCTTCCCCTCTGCCCGCCTCGCGCACTTGCGGATGGTTAATCGGGTGAGAGAGGTCATACTTTCAAAAGAACCCACTGATCTCCAACATCACCGTGAGAGTGGAAGGACCGAAATCGAACTGTCGATGGTGAAGCGTGTCATCAGACAGAAGTTCCTCAGCTGGATGGCGGCTAGTGCGGGTCAAATCGAGGTTATTGAGTATTTAGAGGAGTTGATCGATTTGGTCAAGTTGCTAGTTGGAGCGAACGAGTTCCGCAGTGGATTGCTTACAAGGCCGACGTACAGAGAATATGTGGAGCGGATCAGCCGAGACTATGGAAAGCCACCGGTAGATGGTGCCCCAGATGCAACGAGGAATGCTGAACAAGATGAACGTCGAGACACGTTCCCAGAGCTGGACCAGGAACCCCGGAAATTGGGGTTGAGGAAAAGAAGGCCGTCCCTCGCCAGGAAGCAACCACATGAGTTGGAGCGGAAAAACAGTCGGGCGACTGATGAAGAGGAATTGGAAAGACGGAGGCAGGCGGAAGAGGAAGAATTGCCGATGCCGTTACAGAGAGTTAGGACGAGAAGACAGTCCGTGATGAACATTACTAGAACTGAGAGCAGGGACCATGATGTAGAGATTATGAGGGGTGGGAAACGTGCTGATAGATCGCCATAGAATTGTAAGGCCCGAGCCTCTGCGTATATACCCCTGGAGTTATTGTATGAAGTTGAATATCAAAAGACAAATTAATCTATAAGTAAAATAATACTCGATAACACAGTACGTTCCCCCCGGGTCTGTCGCCGTAAACCAGTCTCCACACAGCAGGTGCCTGGATGTAGCATGTGCCCCTGGTGTAAAGTCGACTTTGCCTAAATATTGTCTTCTTTTCATGTTCATTCCAAGTCGAGTTGATCCGCGATATAGTTCGGTTCTGTCGACGTTGGAGTGAACACGAAAAGAAGACAGGACACACACTCCGATTTGGTAAGCAATTGAATTCCCAACCACCTTCATCTGATCCTAAAGAATCGCCGAAAATGACAACGGTGTTAGCGGAATGACAACAAGATCAAGAATCACAACGAATAATTCCGGTCTACGATTGAATGCTGATTCTAAGGACTTCAAGAAGTTGCGCCATGGGAATAGATGACTTTGACTATCAAAATCTTTCAGTCCCGCAATGTCCATAGTGCTTCTCCGGGGAATCTCCTCGTCCTTGATTTTGTGCACTTTAGCTGGTGCTAGCGGTAGTTAGTTAGCGTTGGCGTCGACATGGTTGACTTTATACTTCTGTCAAGTACTGACACTAATCGCATCCATGTTGTTTGTTCCACGACTATCCAGCGAGGTGTTTATATAGTCTGTTGCGAGGATACTGCAGACATTCACGAGTCGATTAAGCGTGGCGCTCGAGTACCCGGCTGTTGAACATGGAATGAAGATTCACATATCGTCTTGTAAGTAATTCCCTATTTAAAGCATGCTGCATGGCAAGATGGCCTTTTGTTTGCATGAATAGCTGCGCAACTATGGCGACAACAGTCTGACGATACAGTGGGCGGTGACATACGAGATATCCACGTTGCGAGGTAACTTTTAAAAGTTGGTTATTCAATTACCTATTGAGTGGGCATTTGGAATCTTGATAGATCAACGCTGTAGAAAGTGAATAAGGAAGAAAATATGACAACGGATAATTCTTGTCACAATGGGTGCGGAAATGACAACGACACTGGTGGTAAAAATATGTGTCGTAAGAATAGGATAAGAATGCCCAATTGATCCATCTTGATTCTTCTCTTGTAAGTTTTGGCTGATTGTAACGATGGCGTCGGTCCAGATCTTGAATCAGCCAAGCTCGAAGTCAGAGTTTGGAAAGAGGCCAATGGCCACAAGAATGTACGGAAAAGCAAAGAGGACCGCGAGGATAGTCAATACGAGCGTAGTAACGGGCCTACGGCTACTCGTTCGAGAAGGTCAAATCTGACGTTGAATTTTGAAATTCGTATATTGGGGACTCATGTCATCTGTTTCTCGAAACTCCGGATCACACGGATATCACTTGCCCTTTTTCTCTACCTTCACTAGATGCTTCAAAATAATTATTTGAATCATCTTCATTCTCCTCAAACCCTCAAGGGCGAGGAGGAAAAAGGGCGGGAGAAATAGGCCCCCCCCCCCCAAAAAAAAAAGGAAACAAAAGGGAGAAAAAGCCAAAAAGGAAATACGTGGTTGCGAACCGTTCAATGAATGCGCTTCACTTGAAAGTGCTTTTCAATGGGGTAAATAACCATAAAACAAGAGCAAATGTGCCCAATGATACATAAGACAGTGAGTGGTAGAAACAAAGTTGATTGAATCTCTCGATGAATGGAATGACGTTGGTGGCTTGGGTGGTTACTCGGGCCACCGTAACCGAGGAACTGGCTTTGGTCATTTGGAAGTTGGGGATTTGGTCACGGTACCATTCATCCGCTTCCATCTATGGTCCAGACTCCAGCACTTATAAGAACTAATGATATTTCTAGCCGCCAGGACTTCCCCGTTGATTATTCTATTGAATCTATAGTCTCTACTTCATGTCTTCTTACTTTGACTTGTCTTATTATAACTATAGGCAAGTCCCTTTTCTGAGGAATCCGTTCCCGCTACCTCCTCACTTGACTCGATAGAAATCAAAGCTACTTCTATATATCAGATCATTTTCCCTCGCCCTCTATATCAGATCGATTATATCTTTATCTTACTTTGCCATATCACAATGGAACAGTCTATAAACCCGCCTCCTCCTCTCACCACATTCTCGCTATTCTCACAGCTTCCTACCGAAATCCGGCTCAAGATCTGGGACTTTGCGTGCCATCAACCCCGCAACATAGCGCTGAACAACGAGTTCTGCAGACATAAAGGGGCCGATTCCATCTTTTACACTGAGCGTTATTTCTCGATTCTCACCTCCCTCCGCGCACCCGCCATCCTCTTCGTCTCTAAAGAGTCACGTGCCGAGGCGCTCCATTATTACCAGTTGGATTTCAAAACCAGGACGCCCTTTCCATACTATGAGGGCATGACCTCGGGACTCTGGATTAATTACAGGTGTGATCGTTTGGTTCCCAGGGGCTTTTATAACATCATCGGAATGGAGTCCTTCCTTGGACATGCGCGCCGCAATCTCCGCAGCATGGCGATTGACATCATGGGCCAGTTCTACTCCGATATGTTTAACTACCTGTTTATGAAAACTTTGTGGCCGTTCGAAGTCATGGAAGAGATTATCTTGTACGATGGGAATGATTTCGCGCCGTTCAAGAAAGGTTACCGTGGCGGAAAGATCGAGTTTGCGTTTCGTGATCTGCCGAACCCGTCTGAGCTGCTGCAGAGCGCGCATGACAGGCTGTGTCGCTGTCTCGACGAGGTCGACCAGAAGACGAAGGCTGAGAATGGAGAAGCTGAAAATGAGAAGAAGTTAGACCTACCTTATATGACTTGTCTTACTACAGGGGTTTTCAAGAGACCGAGAGTCCGCATTATGCAACCTTTTGAGGGAACGGCAGATATGATGATTGGATAAGCCGGGAGGGACATCTATGGTTAACAAGAGGGAATACCAGCTTCCGTGATGGAGAAGAGCTGGCATTGGGAGCGGATTCTCCAAGTGTCGTGTGTGATATACTTTCCCAGGATGGCTGAGATTCATTTTCGAGGACACACATACTAGGTAGTCCTAGGAAATGTGAAAGGCGTTGTAGTAGCACTGCACAGGTTGATTGATTAACTGATCCATTTACTTAATTTATCAGTACATCTGCTCCATGACCACCCGATAAAGCACCTCATGTGTTCGGTGAGTAGATCAAGCCCGAAACACCGTATACCGCGCTCCGTTGCTATAGACTGGTAGGTATATTATATATATTTTCAGATAGAACAAGATCTGTCACATACGACCACAGACTGAGGAGAACTGGGCATCCCGTCCGCTCTGCCATACATAAGCCTCAGATCGGTAGATTAGTAGTTGGGTGGGTGACCACCAGCGAATACCTACTGTTGTATGTTTTTTTATTTCTTTTTTTTCCCCTTCAATCCTCAAATGTACATGGTCGGTCAACACCCAAACCCTCGATCCTACATTTATTGTGCATTTATTTCTATCTTTTTTTCCCCTTCCCCCTGGCTTTAGGTCGGAGGTTGAGAGGGATAGATTCTAGAATCTAGTATATGTTTTCAAATAGAACAAAAACTGTCACATACGACCATAGACTAAGGAGAATTGGGCATCCCGTCCGCTCTGCCATACACAAGCCTTAGATCGGCAGATTAGTAGTTGGGTGGGTGACCACCAGCGAATACCTGCTGTTGTATGTTTTTGATTCCCTTCTTTTTTTGGCTTTCATTGCCTGGGTATCACGTGAAAATAAATAGGGGAGGTAAGTAAGGTACCTTAAGATAGCAGCTATACAAATCCTTACGTGTATAGTGTTTTTTTTACCTGTTAGTTTGGATTCTTGCATTTAAGATATTATTAGGTAGGTTCTAGGTATCCTCTTATTGACTCTTATGTCGATTTTGTTTCCCTTTTCCCTTTATCTCTGTCAAGATTTCTGGTCTTCTGAATAGCGGAAGACTTGAGCCTTGAAACGGTCGCTTTTTCAACATTTTGTAATCTTGACATACATGCCTCGAATATGTCATCGATCCAGGCAGTACAACGAAAAGGTCCAACGCAAAAGACTTCGACCGGCCTTACTGTTCGTGTAAAGTGTTCGCATTCGTTTATCGGCGGTAGTGTGGCGGCGGGTCATCATGCTCAGATTCCTGAAATTCCTCAGCCAGCTCTAAAAGTGAGTATGATTGCTTTACCATCGACTCTTCACTAAAGCAAGAGGCTGCTGAGGCTCTCCGAAACCCCGGGAACCGTTGGTCTTCTCTGACAGGCCCCGCCGTAGCGGACTGATGCCTATCTAGAGAGCTGTGTATGACTTGTAGGGGAACTTCGAGTTTGAAATGCTCCTGCCGAACACCCTTGACCTTGATCCGAAGCTGCACAGTGTACAAACGCGCAACTATCGAAGAGCAGAATGTAGGAAGGAGTCGGGTATCGACCTTGATTGGAAGACCTAGGATAGTCGTCCACCTGCCTGTAGGCGGATCAGTAGTCGACGGTTGCAGTTGTCTTTGTAATGTGTCTCTATCAACTGGCTCCCCACCAGACGTAACCATCTGGAAAGTAAGATCCGGACAGGTATCTTTTGATGAACTCCCTGAATCGAACGTGTATCCCCACGAGGCATCCAGAATAGTCCGTGTCTCAAGTTTCAAAGCCTCATCTCGGAGCCTTAATGTACCTCGGAGACTCATCATGCTTTGACTTGGTAGTTTTGGGAAAGACTTCACGGAATAGAATGTCTTTACCCTTATCCAGGAACGAATCGTGAATGACAATCCTTGCAGGCTCTGATGTGCATCACATGAACTTGCCGGCTCAAACTCCAGCTTTAGTTGTGCTTCTGTACTGCTACGTGTACACCCGAGGTTATAGGTAAGTGCTGGTGGTTCGTGCATCGACAGCTTCATTACTCCGAGCGAACTACCTGTCAGGGAACGTCGCAAGGCTTTCGATTCTTGCTCCTTGAATTCGAAGGGGAAATCTTTCGTTTCCGTAGGGGGAAATTCTTCGGTATATGGTGTAACGGTGACTGGCAGAGAACTTTCTAGAGTCTTGCTACTACTATCTTCTTCTTCTCCTCCAGCCTTGATACTCACAGTGACTCGTAGGTAATATGCGATGTTTGGCTGCGCAAAGCGTTTCCCGGTAGATTCGTCAATAACCGGATTCCCATGCTCAAGCGAAGGAGGCAGTTGTAGGCACTGTTGTGGTGAATACGGATCAGGTTTTGCAAGCACCCTAGAGATCAAGAAGTGAAATGGTGCTTCGTAAATGAAGTCTCCTGCCGGCGAGACTCTTTGAGATATATTTGTTAGGAAGATGTCCTGAGCCTGACTATGGAACTTTAAGTTGGCATAGTTAGCGTGCTTAGCTTTTAGAGCAAGAGATAGATAGGCAGGTAGTAAATGTATCATCAAGTTAGTTCTTCGTGTGACTATCAAAATAACCTACTTTATGCTCTGCCTTCGTCAACTTAGGCTTCCCTTCTATGAATATTGCCTCGAGTATCCAGTTCCGTGAAACACCTATAATTCTGTTAGTTTGTAGCAGCTCCTAGCAGTTACGTTTGGGCTATACCTTCGAAGCATACCGTCATCTCCTCAATGACGAGATAGTCATTGTTTGATAACTCTATCCGCCCGGATAACGTATCTGCAGGTTTCCAGACAGCATGTTCGGGGTCGGGATTCGCGGCTGTATAATCGAGAAGAATTTGTAGGCAAGGAGCTTCTTTTGAATCCATGATGACGATGTCTTTCTTCTCTAAACAAGATGTCAAACAGGAGGAATAGGCTCGGTTGAAGAGTGAAGGTAAGGGTCTAGATAGACTATACGTACAAGTAAAGGTGGCAAATCAGTATAACCGATCTACGGTAATAGCCTAATAGGTCCCTATTACGGGGTAGTAATTCCCTATAATACGGGTCCCTACCAAAGGTAATGAACCTTACCTACCTACGTACCTTAGAGCTCGAAACCCCAGAGGCGTATTCTGCTAAAAGCATCCATGAATGTAGTATCAAAGCCAATCAACAGTAATGAGGCATTGCTGTAACTGCTGAGGTGTGCTGCATCAATTAGATGATTTGCTGGGACTAGAGTAGAAGCTGCAAAGCAGAAGAGATTATGATGGTAATATGTTAACATCCTATTTCCATACCTCCTCATGGTAGTCGTCCATAAGCTCGACGTATTCTTTGCCAGCGGTTGCCCAGCCCTTAATACCCCCTTCAAGTGTGAGACTCTTCATTTGTGAATCTCCCCTTTCTTTGATATAATCCTCAAACCAACCCGACGCACGGGTTCCTCGGCCGCGCGAAGAACCTACCAGATATCAGCTACTGAGATACAGCTAGACGACCTAGGCAACTCACCGCAATACCAGATCACATGGCGTATATTGGCAGCAGAAAAAATCGCATAGAGACTTGGAATGGTGTGGTAGAGAGACTGCGCGGGGAGGTTGATTGAACCATGAATGGTCCCCCCCTATATTGCAAAAACAAAGACCTTGTTAGGACTCATCAAATACACTGTACATGATGGATCAACTATGACTTACTTCATAGTCAGTCCTTCGCAGATCAACCAGCACGAAATCCTTCCCGACTGTCTTTTCCGAGAACCAGGTCAAAAGGTCTTGGCGGGAGATGGAAGCAGCCGTGCTTTTCGGCGCTGGCAGGTTTGCATGCCAAGGAACATCTTCTGCTTTTGTGGCAGTACAACTAGGAGCAGACGCGGATGCCATATTTCCAAAAGGTCTGCAAAACTTAGGAAATCGAGGAAGAAGAAGAGAAAAACGCATGAGAACTTTTCGAAAACAGAGAACGGCTAGTACGTGCACGTGTATTTACAGGCAGACAAAAATCATTCTTATAAATAATTGTGAGCAGCTCACCTAGTGCTCACCTAGGTATTGCTTGGCCGCCACTTGCGGAGCATTACCTTATTGTCGTGAGGGATGAGTTGAGTACCCATCTGCCCTGAGGTTGAAGAAGAATGTCACTCGCCTATTCTGATTGGCTGCCGAGCCTTTCGCATCCAGACCTCTCTCTGTATTCCCCAGACAAGGCGATTCTGAAAATTCCACGACGCTTGATATATGTCTGATGCTCTGTTCTAACATGACAACAGCTGTGGGCCTAGACACTGCACCACGTCTTTCGTGATTGTGGTAAGCGCGTAGACTGGGATTAGATCAGAAGATTTCTATTCCTTGAAAATGCAAAAGTTCAATTAGCCTGGCAAGCTCTTAAGATAGAGCGTACTATGAAACACCCCCAAGCTGTCCCTCTACACTATCACCCGTCGCCTCCTCTTTCACAATCTGCTCGGCCTTGACATCCTCAGCCGCAGCCACGGAGTCCTTATCCTTGACAACCTCGCCGTTGGGCCCTGGTTTAACCTCAAGATCTGCAGTAGCTATTTCGTCGCCGCCGACTGGCGCGCTGGACTCAATGGCCGAGTTTGCGACATCGACCTTGACCTCTCCATCTTCGACCTTGGGAGCTGCTTCGGGTTGGGGCTTGTTCTTGGGTACGTTGTGGTTGTTGACAAGCGGAGTGGTGTCGTTGAAAATCCGCAGGAGCATGGCGGTCCGATCCTCTTTGGCCAACATCAGGTTCAGTGAGTGTAGGCTGCGCCATAAGGGGATGACTATTCGGTCATCAAAGCCGTCTTCTGTATTGCTAGGCTCAATTCGCAGGACACAGCAGCCCATGCCGATAGTATTGACTCTCTCTCCGATTTCGCCGAGATTTTTCCAGCCGTCGTCGCTGACTTTGGGAAACATCTCGATGAGAAGCTTTCGTAGTGTCTCCTTCTTGTAAAGACGAACGACCCGCTCTTCGCCAACATAGCCTTCTAGGATTGGCATCCCTTCAGATTGGATCCTCCATTTGCAAACACCTTCGGCTTGGACATCCTGCTTCATGAACATCTTCACACCTGCATGGATGAATTTGATCCCCTTTCCCTCGTTTTCTTGGAGAATATCGCGGATCAAGGCGGACGTGTAATAAATTGTCTTGGCTGGCTCGCCCTCCGCATTCCGAACCATGAATCGGTCCCTCGGAAACCTCGGCGATAATCTGTAGAAGCTTTCTATGGTCTGAACTTCCGGATGATCACCTGAGATATACTTAAACGGCTCCTCGAATTGTTGCCCACCCCTAGCGACCCTGTTCGGGTTTTGTCGTGGGGTATTGGCCCGGAGATCTCCAGGTCGGGTTTGAAGATCAAGTTCGGCTCCTGGAGGTGGTGGATAATGAACTTCTCGGTTTTGGTACCCGTTTTCAGCTGGCTCGTCAACATCCTCAGATGTTTTGAGCTTTTTGGTCTGCATTACGGCATCAGTAGCCAAATCTTCCTCCGCACTTCGTTTCATGCTGTTTGTAGTGTCTGGAAGGACAGTAGCGTCTGGAGCAGGATTCTCCTGGTTCTGTCGAGCAACAGGTGGGACCTCATCCTGCATGGGTGTATCGGGTTGATTCAACAAATCCGCAGCCTCGATCTTAGGGGCAACACTCCCCCCTTCTGCTGGTGGCGGTCTCGATTCTATTTCATCAACGATTGATGTGATTGGAGGCTTTGGCTCGGTTTTCTTCGACTCCGATTCTGGTTTGGCTTTGAATTCGGACTTCTTCTCAAGAATAGCAATGAAGAATCCACCCGTGTCTTGCAGATGAGCATAAACCCGCATACATCTCTCGAACGGGATCTTAGAACCCGCAGAATCGGCTCGTGGCGGGAACATTCCCTCAGAAAGTCTGTCAGTATACGGAGAATTCCCATGCTCCCGGATTTCTTCCTGGACATCTTCCCATTTATTCCATACACGACCACTTTTATCCATGACACTCCAACTCTTTAGACCAGGCTTTCGCTTCAGCAGTGGTAACTTGTCATCACTTGGTAGCAAAGCCACCTTCTCGAGACCACCACATCGCTCAATTGCCGACGAAATGACAGCTTCATTCTCGACTGGATTCATACTGCACGTTGAATAAACGACACGGCCCCCAACCTTGAGCATCTGCAAGGCACGAACAAGAATTCGAACCTGAGTGATGTGCAGTCCAAGGGCGTTGCCAGGATTCCAATCCTGCCACAAATTGACGTTCTTCCTGGTGGTTCCATCTCCCGAGCATGGAACATCGGCCAAGATTCGGTCGAATTTGAGGTATCGGTTGGTTGCCGGATGCTCAGGTGTCGGTGGAAGTTTGATGGATGGGTACATGGTAGCATCGTGATTAGTAACAATCAAATTCGGAGACGATAACCGCTTGAGCTGATGGATCAGCATATGACTGCGCTTGTAATCGGAGTCGTTGGCAATCAATAGCCCTGTCGCTCGTCCATAGTCACTCGAATCAACGGCCAGTTCTTCTGCATCATCCAATTTGGTGCCACCTTCTGACTGAATGCCCGGACTCATTTCTCGGCCGTCCTCCTTGGCATGCTCTTGAAGTGACTTACGGACGCGCGCTTCTTCCCCACGGTGTACCATCTCCAATAATTGGGCAGCCTTACTGCCAGGAGCCGCACACATATCAAGAACCGTCATCCCTGGCCGGAGATCCATAACCAAGGGCGGGATCATGCTAACGACTTCCTGTCTGCTGATATTTCCAACGCTTGTCTCCGACACAAGGTATTTTTGGAATGCCGCAAATGGCGGAAATCGACGGATGACGTTTTTCGGGGTAGTCATCCACCAGGCGAGAGCATCAGGGTACCATGGAACAGGCTGAGGTGGTTCGACGAGGGTGCCGTCATAATGAGAGATCTTGGAGATTTCTGGGATATATCTGTCGACCAGTTGCCGCTGGACAGCAAGTGCATGTCTGGGCGCGGACAGAGTTAGCCAAATCGACACCCCCAAGAACAATGCGGTAATCCAACGTACCCTTTTGATCCTGCGAATCTGAAGCTGTTAGGAAGCTCCCGCTTCAAGGCCGCCCAGAAAGCCTCCTTCTCTTCATCCGACATTGCAAGCAAGCCATTGTAATATCTCTCGAGCTTCTCGTTGTGCTTGTCGACCTTGTCGAAACTGACGCGATTGTCTTCTCCACCCCTACCTCCCCCTCCTCCCCCTCCCCCACGTCCTCGACCTCGCCCTCCGCCTCGACCGCCCTGGTGACTTGGTTAGAATAATGACGAGTAGTTGGGGAGAATAAGGAGGCTCACGCGTTTTCCGCCTCGACCCATTGTTAAGTATGCTGGATCGAAAGGATCGAATGGGACTGCAAGTATAGTAGTTGAATCTAAGTCCTGGAGCGCAAATCGCACAAAAAAATAAGCTCCGCCGGGCTGGGATTTATCGGAAGCTAGGCGAAACCGTTGTTCCGGCAAGCGTATCTCCGTCGTATGGTCCGCTGGTATCTACCTATCTGCATCGTCGGCTTCCCCGCTTACGCTGTTCGGGGAGGAATCCGAGGTTGATGATTACCGCTTACTATACCCCACAAAACCGTTCATTCAGAGGCTTTCCTTTTATCGATCTGCACCAGCGCCCGCCATAAAGCCGCCAGCTATTTCTAATCCCGCTGTCTTCCAAAGGGCGCTCTAGGAACACATGTACTACTCGCAGTAGTACGTACTCACGTCCTGACTTGCTATTTCTCCTCTTCTTCTCGCGGTTGATTTCTCTTTCTTTCTTATCTTTTGGAAACAGATCTTCTACACACCTATTTAATCAACACTTCGATCACTCAAACCTTCCTTCTCTATTATACTACCCACCATGGCACCTCCCTCTGCAATCCAGCCGTCCGAAGTCGTTGACGCTGCGTCGGTGCCGACCAACGGGCATGATAAAGCCGGAAAAGCAACACATGAGTCTGGCCATACAGAACACCAAGCCAAACCCTCAAGTATGACGTTTCCTTCCGCGCCGAAATTCGAGGATAAGTATCAGGAGAGACAGTATCAGAAGGAGCGTTTGGCCCTGGCGTTTAGGATCTTTGCGAAGTTGGGGTTCGATGAGGGTGTTGCCGGACATATTACTTTGAGAGTACGTCTGGTTTGGAGTCTAGAGCACGAGAGAAGATATCCGACAGGGGATCGAACACTGCTGATGAGTGGGTGATAGGATCCCGTTGAGCCCACAAGCTTCTGGGTTAATCCTTTTGGGGTCCCTTGGCCTCTTCTAAAGGCGTCGGATTTAATTCTCGTCAACAAAGACGGAAAAGTTGTTGATGGCGGCCCATGTCGGCTTCTGAACACTGCTGGTACTCTCCTTCCCATTTACACTGCTTCTCAAATACCTAACTCACGAGGGTATAGCATACATGATCCACCACGCCGTGCACACCGCTCGCCCCGAAATCAACTGCGTCGCACACTCGCATTCCATCTATGGGCGCGCATTCTGCTCCCTCGGCCGAAACATTGACATTATATCACAAGACTCATGTGCCTTTTACAACGACATCGCCGTTTACAACTCCTTCCGAGGAATCGTATTGGCTGCAGACGAAGGTGTTGCTATCGCCAAGGCTCTCGGTCAAAAGAAAGCCGCTTTGCTGCAAAACCACGGTCTGTTGACTTGTGGAAAGACTATCGAGTCTACGGTATTCTGGTTTATGAGTTTGGAGAAATGTTGCCGTGTCCAGCTGCTTGCGGATGCAGCTGCGGGAGGGAGGGGGCATGAGACGGTGAAGATTGCGGATGAGGATGCAGCTTTTACATACCAGTCAGTGGGTACGGAAAGGGCTGGCTGGTTCAGCGCCAAGCCGACATTCGATATGATGGAGCACGAGAGTGGGTATGCCTATAAGATGTAAGCTTGCTGTGTTATCTTTCATTAGAGTCAAATAGCCCGCAGTTGTTTAGGTCTTGCATGCATGGGTGTCGCTTATGCGGCTGTGGCTTAAGGGGGCTGCAGGAATGCAAAGGGACAAACAATCGACCGCTTTGAAGAGCTCTTCTGAAAACCGCAATAAACCTCATTGAAAACACCCAAGTGATTTTGGCCAAAGTTCTTTTCCATCGAACGACAAGAGCCGCTTGTAATTGCTAGCCATTAGTCATGTGACTCCACATTTAGTGGTCAAAACTGACTCGCGATCGGGCTAACGTCTCAAGTCCGAAAAAGGGAAAATTGAACATCCTCGTTTCAATGCCGCGAGACCTTGAAGAGCCCCAGGCGAGGAATGGCATTGAACACAGCTTCGCAGCCGAAAGTTCTGGCATCTCTTCATGTCTTTGTGGGAAGTCCTTCATTGAATCAAGATAGAATGAGTTCGGAACTTCTTCTTGCTGCTCTTCTGCCCATCTGTGCCGTCTTGATTCCTTTATAGCAGGATCCCGACAGTTCCACATCTGTCGGTCTGTCTCTATGTCTTCTTTAAAAGTAGACGACTGGGTGTTCTCAACGCCACCTCCGGCCCAGTTCATTGGAAACTCACCGGTCCAGAGAAAGATAATAACACCCCGTCCCCCAAGAGAAAAGACAATATCTTCACCTCTTCCAAGCAACCTCACTACTATCGGTTCTCCGCCTACTGATCATCCGTCCGCTGTCGAGACTTTCCTTGCTAACCAAGCTACTTATCGGAGTGAAGCCCCCTTGTACGATCTTGAAAGCATGGAGAAATGGGTGCGCCAGCACTTCAACGAAATTGCATTTCGAAAGGGCCAGTTTATTGGATACTCTGCACTCAGAGGGAAACTGTTAGTCCGCTATCCAGAACAACCAAGGAAGGAAGTGAACAAAATAATCAACGTGTAGGCTTTTCAGGTGCTTGATTCAAAGACCTCTATATTGACCGTCGAAATAGAATCTCAAGGGAATATCTGGATACACGTGAAACAGCCACGGATTTGTCCATTTCGCCAGCAAGGAACCCCAAAACACAAAAACAGTTGCACTCCCCAAAGAAATCTCCAAAGAAGTCCCCGAAGAAATCTCCGAAGAAACATTTAAAGAAGCAATCGACGGGAGAAACACCAACAAAAAGAGAGACTAAGGATGCCGCTCCCATCAGACCAAAAACTCCGGAACCTGCTTTCGAGATATATGACTCAGCATATTCTGAAGATGTATGAGAGACACATCTCAGATAAGTTGCAATTTTACTGACCAAACACTGCAGAATGAGTGCCCAGAACCCTCTCCAGTATCCGCAACGTCGGCTCTAAATGCCTATCTAGAGCTTTCAGATGGCTACTATTCAACATCAGATATCGAGACACTTAGGGTACCGACACCTAGGAGCATAGAAGATTATTCGGGTGCTTCTTTCCCCAGAGAATACAAGACCTCACATCCCAAAATCTCAGGTATTCTAATTATAGACCTCGAAAATTTATATGCTGACGTACTTCAAGAATTGAATTCATTCCTTCAAAACCTGAATATATCTGATAGGGCCGTATACTCAGAGGCCACATCTACTCCGTCTACCCTAGAGCTTCAACTTGATTTACTTCATGTTGAATACGAATTAGGAAACAAAGGAGAATCTGCGATCCACAACGCCAAAAATGCTGTTGTGTTCTCGGGGAGTATCCTAGATCATTATGGTCACGATATACTTCCACAGTATGGATTACTCGGAGGCTGTTCTTTGGCATCTTCACCTAAAGTGGCTGATCCAAGACTCTTCTTGAACACTAATGTCCCGTTTTCTGCATTCATATGTGGCGTTCAAGGTAGTGGGAAATCTCATACAACGGCTTGCATAATCGGTAAGTAACGGACAATCAACTGTCGGTGTCTATGTTTCGCTCACGATATCATAGAAAATTGCCTCATCCAGTCACCAATACTTGGAAATCTCCAAAAGCCGCTTTCGGCTCTGGTTTTCAATTATTCGGAATATACCTCCCGGTCAAACTTTCGACCAAGTGAGGTCGCGTTTCTGGCATCGCCAAATCAGCAGCGTCTCGGCAATCTGAAGGCGAAGAAAGTCAATGTTCTGGTATCACCATCCAACTATCTCTCCCTAAACATTCTATACAGTCAGATTCCTGGTGTTACGGTCCAACCTTTTAAGCTCCGACCTAAAGACCTCAACATTAGTACCATGCTGACCTTGATGTCTGTCGACAACACACATGCTGCACCCCTCTACATGGGGACGGTGACCAAGGTTCTGAGAGAAATGGCAGCCGAGTCAGCTACCAGCTTTGACTATCTAGAATTCCGACGACGCCTAGATGAGGCCGGGCTGGAGAGGAAGCAGTTAGAGTTCCTGAACCAACGGCTCGATCTCCTCGATTCGTTTCTCGACTTGGAAAACAAGACCACAAGCCCTGAGTTCAGAGCAGGCGAAATCACGATTATTGACCTCTCTTGCCCATTCTTGGACGCCAGCACAGCTTGTGTTTTGTTCAAGGTTGGGATGGGCCTGTATCTAGATTCTGACTCCACACTTGGTAAACTGATCGTGCTTGATGAGGCACATAAAGTACGTCCCTTCGCCTCCCACTCTCCACTTCCATCTCCTTGCAACCGAATCGATACTAACACATCGAAGTACATGACCGACACCCCGGCAGCCAAAGCCCTCACCGAATCCCTCCTATCCGTGATCCGCCAACAGCGTCACTACGGTGCCCGCGTGTTGATCGCAACACAAGAACCCACCATCTCTCCCCGTCTCATGGACCTCTGTTCCATGACCGTGATCCATCGTTTCTCGAGCCCAGAATGGCTGAGCGTGTTACGGAAGCACGCACCGATCCCCGAAGATGAAAAGCCGAAGGAAGAAGATGGGGAAGGAACACTCTTCAGAAAAATTCTGACGTTGAGGACGGGTGAGGCATTGGTGTTTGCGCCGAGCGCGGTGATGGCGACATCTTGCGGCGAGGGGGAGAGAGGGGCGGACTGGAGAACGGCGGCGGATAAACTGATCAGGGTCAGGATGAGGAAGAGAGTCACTTGGGATGGCGGAAGATCTATTGTCTGTGTCTGATATGACGATTTTGATCTAGGGAGGGAAATTTATTCGATGCACTGATCGAGGAAGAGAAAAAGGACGCATATAGAATGTACGATATGGCGGGGGCTAGACAAAAGCAAGGGAACAACCTGGAGTAATTTAATGAGCTTCTCTTTTGTAGCAGACATGCATAGAAGGCAATCCTAGTGCCTAGGAATCCGAATCTTCTTTTGCTGTGCCTACAAATACTTGTCTTACCCCTAAATCCCCTCCCTAAATTGGGGCTGGCTCGGCTAACTTTAGCGATCGATCCTCCTCTCAAGCACATACCTATTCTTCCTCTTCCATGACCAGGAAAGGAAAACTTGAAAAGATCTCCGCTTCTTCCCATCCCCGACTCAATCCAGACATCTACTACGCTGATCTTCTTGGTCTGGCAGCTTGACGCGCAGCTATCTTTGTGCCACGCGATTAGCGTTTGTCCGAAGGCGGGGTCGAGGGGTGCGGTGGCGTGCAGTTAGTTACCAGTCGGGCGGATGGGATGTACCCATCCGCGCCTTCAGTGCTGTGGGGGAGGTCTGTTCTCATGACGTGAAGGTTGGCTAGTTGGGTATCCGTAAAGAGATTGTCTTTTCTAGGGTTGGAATCGTTTCTTACTCTGAATAGTGCGAGTGCCCTTCCTGCTTCTTTGCTGAATATTGTTGGGTATTGTGGGATATTGTTGATCTTCTTGTCTTGCGGTTGATTGAATTGTATATAGTACGTCGGCGATTAGAGGACGGAGGAAGAAGGGCGGCGAAAAGAGACAACAATTTACCAATGTGTCAAAACAGCTCCCCGAGCACGGCGAGGCAACTCATGTGTAACTAGGTACATATGATCATATTAGCAAGGGTCTAGATATGTGCTGATTCCTGATAGAAGCCTATTCGTCAGTGATGAAAGAGGACACTGAGATCACCCAGCGATTTGCGCGTTGAATATTGGTACATGGTCTGGATATTCGTAAGCTGAATAGCTCTCCCTAATACGCCAACCTATGCTTTTGTCCCAAACAAACTCCTATTCAACTCCGTGTATCAAAAACCGTATAATAATACCCGTCTCCCATCAAACACAAAGTCTGTAACTGGCATATCGACCAGCCGTCTCACTCCTCCGGATGATCTTAACAACCTGCCCCCTTCTCAACCCTAAGTATCGCGCAACCGGATCACCCAACTGAATTCGAGGGAGCTGTGTATCCTTTAGACGGTATCGCTCTAACAGCTTCGCTTTCTCTTCCTTGCTGAGCAGAACATGCTTCGGGACCAGTTCATGGTGTGTGATGTTGACCAGCAGGTCTTGCTCAAGGAAGCACTCGATCCTGGTCTCCGATTGCACTGCAGGGATAATCTTCAAGGCAGCAGGGGTGATATTGACATTCGTGATGAGGATGCCGGTATGGAAGTTGTTTGCGGAGAGATGCTGGGCAAAGTTTCGCATCTGCTTGATACCAACCGAGGTATCGGGGAGAAACTCGACCCAGATGGTGCCAATATCAGCACTGGGAGGGTTTGGGTTACTCGCAGTCGGGGGATTGGCGTATTTCTTCATCATAGCATCGCTGGGTCTTGCAGAGAAGGTCATGAGCTTTCGCCTGTAGACTTTGTCAGTGTCGAGGCTGCGGTGGGGCCTATGTTGGCGCATACTCAATCGTCCCATCAGCGCCCGTGAACTTGGCTTTGAAATCCTCAAGACTGATCTTCACTTCTTCCTCCGTGAGCTCATAGCCACGGTCCTGGACCATCTCATGCACCGTCCTCCACGCGCGCCACAGTCTCGCCGACTCCCTCTCACCCGCCTCCCTCATCTTGATCGCGCGATCTTCGTCGGACGACATCTTGCCAGGGTAGATGCGATGCTACGGGGTCCTCTGAGTCTTCAGTGCGCTCGGCCGGCAGAAATTCCCCTGTGACAAGTAAAGAAAGTGAAGGAGTTGTGGTGATGTTAAGGTTGAAGATCAGGAACAAGGTTAGCCTCTTCAAAAAAGTTCGAGAAGTTCGCGAACTGCGCTTTTGGTTCTTCGGCTGCCGTAATAATTTTTTAGGGTCAAATGGAAATCTGTTCCCAATTGGAACTTCTTCCGCACACACGACATTCCACCACTCTTGATTGACCGCCCTGGAATGGACATTTGACCCTCAAAATCTACAAAGCCCTTCTTACGCTGCCGCCCTCTCTGTCTGTAACCATGGCCGACGTCGCAACCCCTTCCGCCGCCCCGGTGGTCGACGAGAAGAAGAAGTTCGAGAAGCCAGAGAAGCCGGACGAAGCAGCCTACAAGGCCGCTCTCAAGAAGGCTGAGAAGGAACATGCGGATTCGATGGCAAAATTTGTAAGCTCCCCATGTTTTACCAACCTGCGCCTCGCTCCACGGGATACCACATGAGCGGTGACTGATCTCTCTTCTGCAGAATGCCGTCAGGGCCAAGTTGGACATTGCCCAGCCAAAATCCAAAGACTCCCCATCTGCCAAACGTCGCGCCGAACTCTTGAGCCAATTGAAGGAAATCCGCGAGCAGCAGGCTGGAGGAAAGGCAGGGCGCAACAAGATCTTCGAGGAAATCAAGAGACTCGATGAGAAGCTGAAGAGCAAGATCGCTGAGCAGAAGACTGCGCGCAGCCGGGTTGCATTCAAGAACATCGAGGAGGTGGACCGTGAGATTGCCAGATTGGACAAGCAGGTCAACAGCGGAATGATGAAGTTGGTTGATGAGAGGAAGGCTCTTACCGAAATCTCCAATCTCCGGAAGCAACGAAAGGGCTTTGCAGGCTTTGAACTGGCCCAGAAAGAAATCGATGACCTGAAGGCTGAGCTCAAGGCAAAGCGGGACACTCTAGATGACCCGGAAACCAAGGCCCTGAGCGACAAGTACAACAAGCTGCAGGCCGAGTTGGATGCGATCAAGGCCGAGCAAGATGATGCTTTCAAAAACATCCAGTCCCTGCGCGACGAGAGAACCAGACTGCAGGCTGAGCAGCAAGAGAAGTATCTTGCCATAAAGAAGATCAAGGACGACTACTACAACCAAAACCGAGCTGTGCAGAAATACGAATATGAGGCCCGTCAAAGACTTCGTGAGCGCAGGAAGGCCGAGCAAGAGAGGTACGAAAAAGAGAAGAAGAAGGAACGTGCGCAAAAGATGCTTGCTGAAGCCAGCGATAAGGCATACCTCGACGAAATTCGCCGTGGTGAGAGCCTGCTCCGATTCCTTGATCCCACCTACCAGGCTGAAAAGACACCCCTGGTGGCCCCATCGCAATTCCAGGCCCAAGCTCAACGTACAGTGGATGATTCTGGTCTGAAGGGCGTAAAAGTAGTCCGAAAGGAGGACAAGGAGGAGGATTACTTCAAAGGCAATGGAGGCAAGAAGGGCAAGAAAGGACGGAACACCCCCCCTGCGTCTGGTAAATACAGCTGCCCACCTTCAGTTGTGGAAGACTGCGCATTCATGGGCATCGATCCTCCCATGAGTGCTGCCGATATCCCAGCTGTTAGGGAGAAGGTCAAGGCGAAGTTGGATTTCTGGAAGTCTGATCAAGACGCCCAGACCGAGCGCGTATGTGGCCCCTATTGTTTCTGACCCCAGAGACGTGAGACTAATATATGAACAGAACATCGCCAAAGCCAAGAAGGAACTCGAGCGTCTCGAAGCTGAGGAATCGGCTGCTGCCGCCGCCGCACCCGCAGTCAACGGTCACGCTGAAACCAAAGCTGCGGCTCCCGTTGCCGAGGGTGAATCTGTCTCCAACGGAGTCGAGGAGGTCACTGCTGATGTCAAGGCCGCTTCGCTCGAGGACAAGGAATAAACTCCTTTCCCAAAGCAGGTTTCACCTAGTGCGTCACGGCTGGGCGTGTGTTCTCTCTTCCTCCCGCCCAGCTCACCTCAAGCAACCTATCAATCAACCAGGCAATCAATCCAGAGAGTGCGAGAGAAAAAAGGTCGCATAGCGTGAGAGAGAATTTTCATCAAAAAGTTGTGTGTGTGTGTGTTTCTGGGAGGCAGCGTCGTGTGCAATGTTGAACTCGTGGTGGAGCAAGGTTAGTTAGTGAAGCAGCGGGAGCGGGGCCTTGCATTGCATACCTTATTCTTGCATGTATTCTAGTGGAAAAAAGCTTTTTTTTGTTTTGTTTTTTTTTTTTTGGATCGATGGACAAAACAACGTTGCGTGCATAGTCGGAGAAGGGGGAGAAGGGGTTTATTCTACCTACATACTTGCATTTCAATTAGATAATTTAAGTTGAACGCATTTTCATTTCTGTTCATCGTTTCATTCAAGAATCTCAATATCAAGCATAAGTAGGGAGTTCCAGGTCGCGCGCACAAGAAGTACTGTAGATGATAAATAAACATATCTCATCTCTCGAAATCGTTAAAGCCGAGAATCCCAATGCTATCAAATCGCTAAATGCAGCACGCCAATAAGTCGACTTCCAATATGTGTCGCCTGTGACCAATCTTTTCAAATCTCCTCTTCTGTCCTCGCCTCTCCCCTCCCTCCCCTTCTAGGAGTCTCATATAGACCTGTCAATACCCTCCCGGTTGGACATATGAGTACCCTGGCATCGGCGCGAATGCAACGCCCCTTCCATCCCTCCTCCGTGGCCCCTCTCCCACAGGAGGTTCAATACCACCCCTCCTCCCCCGTCCTTCCCTCCCCAAGGAAGGCTCCCTCAACCTCACCCTCTGCTTGCCCCCGCCCAATGCACTCATCGGCGGATCCCGAACATGCGGCTCGTCGTCGGCGGGAAGACTCAAATCCACCAAGCCGTAAAAATAATCTAGCACTTCCGGGTATCTCTGAACCGAAGCTTTCCAATCGTCGTCAATGCCGCGTTTGAGATCGCTATCCGCGGCGAGGATCTCGGAGGGATGAGGCGGTGCGCGGTAGTAGTGGTATGCCCGGTCAGTTATGTGCTGGATGTGGGCTGCGTGCATTTCTTTGCGCCGCGCCTTGAGCATGCTGAAGTAGGAGAGGATGTAGTCTTGTGCGTGGCCGCGGACCCACGACCTATTTGCTCGGATCCCCAATCAGCAATCCTCATCTTTCAGAGCTGGGAATGGAAGGGCAGAGAGGATTGGCAGCATACCGTATATCATCCAAAACACTGGTCATCATCCTCTGTTCCGCCTGCCGCACAGCAATATCAAGACCTTTAGCCTCGCACTCACATTGTGCGATGGCGGGGGCGGAACAGATGGCGCAGTCGGGATCCATATTCTTGGTTGGTGGTGCGGGAGGACAGGACCGGGATCGACGACGGCTGCGGTGCTTCTTTATTAATATGATAGTGGGGCGCAAGTAAGGCATGGTGGGAAGTATAAGAAGCTATGAGATACTCGGAAAACAGACACTTCTTGGTACAAGGTATGGACATCAGGGCAAGACAACCGTTGAACGGAGGGGAAGGGAAGGAAGAGAGGACCGGAGGAGGTATGCATTATATTGAAGTCACCGAGACTCATGATCGAGAAGGGATATAAAGCACATGAAGAGGGCGAAAGACAATGAGGAGGGAGGAATAGATCACCCACCTCTATACTGATGTGAGATTCCAGATCACGCTGTCCATCGGTGAGGACAGAGCCGCACCGCAGAGTCTCGCGTTCCTACTGTCGCGTGGGATCCTCGAATGGACAAGCACGGCACGTGGGGGAGTGGTCGAATTCAAACAATGCCACTGTCTAGCAGAAATGGAGAATACTGGAAGGGAAGCTTTCTTCCATCGTCACAAACCGAGGATCCTACGCCGCGGCGCGGGAGACATGTCGTCGGCCTCGTAGATGGAGCCTCGAAAAGCGGAGCAAAAGCTGGAAATGTCGTGGCTCGAATGCTTTGCATCGCGTGCGGTGTACGGGATGCAGGGCCAGGGCTGGTGCTTCATGTCATGAGTTGTGGTTGGTAAGATTCCTCTTCCAACGTCCACCACGGAGTGATTTGGGGGAGAGCAGCCAATGGGACATGTGGCCGTGGTGGGCGAGAGCTGGGGCTGCGTCTCTAGTTGCACTCTGTTGCAGGCGACGATCGCGTCTACACCGCCTATGGCGAAGCAAGGTGTTTGCGCGCGATATCAGGGACAGACATCTGTTTTCCCGGGATGGGATTTCCAGACAGATGAGGCGCGAGACAGATCATAGGGATTGACCGTCGAGGTTGAGAGTGACTTGGATGAACAGCTGATGTTGGACGTTAAGACATTTGTACGAAATGTCCAGATATATATATACGGCGGTCGGTAGCTTCCAATCGGCGCAATTCACTACGGTGGCCGGGAAGTATTGGCGCGACGCGATTATCAAAATCGAAACTGCCAAAATATTTCAACCTTCCTGACTTCGCAAGGCTGGGCTCCAAACATGCCGCCAAGATGTTCCCCCCTACCCGCAACCTTGACGCCATTCCTGTACCCTTCTCTAGTGACTAGTTTCTCCCTCCGATTCTCTCGATCCTTCTTCAACTCAGTCTCTCGACGAAATGAATCAATCGCCGTGGACGCCATTCAACCAACCGACGAACAAGCCTCACACCTAAACCCGCCTCCGACTGACTATTCTCGCACAATCTTCAACGACAAAGCCATCATAACAGTTCATGCTGGCTCTGGTGGGCATGGCTGCATCTCTTTCCTCCGCGAAAAATATATCGCAGCGGGTCCCCCAAATGGAGGGGATGGCGGCAGCGGAGGGAATATATATATCCAAGCCGTAAGGGGTGAAACCTCTCTACACAAACTCGCACGACGCACAAATATCAGAGCGGGACGGGGAAAGAATGGACAAGGGAAATCACGCGGTGGTGAGAGGGGCGAGGATGTTCTTATTACGGTCCCGGTCGGGACAGTGGTGAGGGAGATAGAGCGGACGGATCCAGTGGCGATAGAAGAGGAGAGGAGGAGATTGGAGGCTGGGAAAGAGGACGGGGTTGATGGGACGGGACCATGGAAATGGAGCAGGGAGAAATGGCTTCTCTACCCAGCCCTTACCCCAGAGGATATTGCGACGGCGGAGTTTCCTCGTTTACCTCGAGCTCGCAAATCTGCCCTAAGTATGGCCCAGGTTAAAGGCCCGATTTCTCTGGACTTGAACAGACCGATGGAGAGACCACTCTTACTTGCTGCGGGCGCGGTAGGTGGGTTGGGAAACCCGCATTTTGTTACGAAGACTGTGCCGAGACCGAAGTTTGCCACCAAGGGAGAGCAGGGGATGAAGATTACACTACAATTGGAATTGAAGCTTCTTGCTGATGTGGGACTCGTTGGGCTCCCGAATGCGGGGAAGAGCACTCTATTACGTGCGATGACCAAGAGTCGTGCACGGGTAGGGGATTGGGCCTTCACGACGCTGCAACCAAATATCGGGACTGTTGTCCTGGACGACCATAAAGGACGGCCTCTTAACAAATCGACCTTTGAAGACGGCGAGCCGCGAACACTTTTCACCATTGCGGATATTCCAGGGTTGGTGAAAGATGCACATCTGGATAAGGGTCTTGGGATCAGCTTTCTGAGACACGTGGAACGAGCACGGGTGCTTGCTTTTGTCATTGATCTCAGTGCTGGGGATGCAGTTACAGCTTTAAAATCTCTTTGGAACGAAGTGGGAGAATATGAGAGGATGAAAATCCAGGAAGACAAGGAGCAGGGAGAGCTACTGGTGAAATGGAGTCCGTTCAGGTCCACAGATGACGCTTTGGCAAACCGACAGGAAACAATCGTTGTTTCTTCCGGGCCAAGTTTCGATGCGCCCCTCACTCCACAGATAACCAGTATTGCAACCAAGCCGTGGTTTGTGATTGCGACGAAGGCCGACTTACCTTCCACGAAGGAAAACTTTGAAAGTTTGAGGGCTTACCTGGAAGAAGTCAATGAGAAACGGGAAAAGCATCCGAGCGGGCAAAAGAAAGTGTGGGAGAAGAGGGTCGAGGCAATTCCCATCAGTGCTATCAATGGGCATGGAGTTGGGAGGATAACGGAGTGGACGATTGGTCTGCTAGATGACTAGGTCGGTGGGAGGCCGACTTAATATCTAATGAATGTACAGTATGAGAACTCTTCTCGCCGGATTCCTGGCCCCTGAGTTTAATCCACGTGACCTCGGTTCGTCGGGTTCAGTGCCCGAGTGAACCCCGCATTATCATGAACCCCAGATTGTCACTGAAGCCAGCCATTCGATAGATGGGGACTACAAAGGTAAGTTATATCCATTCTCTTGCTTTGTCACTTTGTCCGCTTTTCATTATTTTTTTATCTACATATCTCGCCTCGTACCCGTTGTACCTGTCCCATTCGAGAACCCAGCCTTCACAATGCCGTTCAAAAGCACCCAGCCGGACATTGACCGTAAGTAACAGCCATTCAGCATATACAAACCTCAACTTACACTCGCAACCCCAGTGCCCCGCAACCTGACAACATGGCAATGGCTTTTCGCCTCTCCCGCCTCTCCCCTAAACCAAAATGCCTCCTCTGTCGCAGGCTTTACAGATGCGCAAACCAAAGAACGGATTTCCTTGTCCGAGATGAAGCTACACACCACGCATCTCTCTACGGCCCTGGTGCGAGACTGTGGCCTCCAGCCCGGCGACGTTGTCGCCCTATTTTCGCCAAACACAATCTGGTACCCTGTCGCCATGCACGCCATTACTCGCGTTGGCGCCATTGTGAGTGGCGCGAGTCCAGCCTATAATGTGGAGGAAATGGCATACGCCTTGAAGACGGGCGGGGCGAAGTTCCTAATGACAGTTCCGGGAAGTATGGAGGTTGCAGCGGCGGCGGCCAAAGAAGCGGGTCTGAAAGCGGAATGTGTATTCTTGCTTGATGGGGAAATGGAGGGGTTTAAGACGGTGAAGAACTTGATTGCGGTGGGGAAGAGCTATGGTGCTGGTGCCCAGATCGAGCCATATGAGATCCCCCAGGGCAAAACGAATGGAGACATTTGTGGTTTCTTGAGTTTTAGCAGTGGGACGACGGGGTTACCTAAAGCGGTATGTATTTCTTGTTCAAACAAAAATATCATAATGTGCGGAACTGAATGCTAAATGAGAGTACAGGTCATGATATCTCACCAAAATGTCATTGCACAATGCCTCCAGGTGCAGCAAATAACGCCAGCCACCCACCGGAAAGTGCTCGCCGTCCTCCCCTCCTTTCACATTACCGGTCTTGTGCACGTGCTTCACCTCCCCATCATCCTAAACGCAGAAGTATACATGCTGCCCACATTCACCATGAAATCCATGCTCGACACTGTAGTCGAGTACCAGATCGGCGAACTGCTTCTCGTCCCCCCGATCCTTATCCGCATGGTCAACGATCCCATCGTCAACAACTACGATCTCCGCTGCATAACGCGCTTCTCCAGCGGCGCGGCCCCTATCAGCCAGGAGATCATCCACCAACTACAAGCCAAATTCCCCAACACCGGGTTCAAGCAAGGCTACGGCATGACCGAGAGCTGCAGCTGCATCGCGGCCCACCCGCCCGAGAAGTACGACTACGCGCACGCCCACAAAGCGGGCAGTATCTGCGCCTCGACGCTCGTGAAGATCATCGACGAAGACGGGCGCGAGCTGGGCGTCAACCAGCCCGGCGAACTGCTCGCCAAGGGCCCCCAGATCACCATGGGCTATCTCAACAACGAAAAGGCCAGCCGGGAGACGTACGATGCCGAGGGATACCTGCATACCGGCGACCAAGCGGTCGTCGGCGAGGACGGCATGATCACCATCACGGACCGCATCAAGGAGATGATCAAGGTCCGCGGGATCGGGGTCGCGCCCGCAGAACTCGAGGATCTGCTGCTGGGCCACGCGCACGTGGCGGATGCCGCGGTGCTCGGCATCCCGGATGATTACAGCGGCGAGAAACCGAAGGCGTATATCGTGAGGAAGAACGGGGCGCCGGAGGAGAAGGTCGTCGGTGCGGCGCTGCTGCAGTATGTGAGGGAGAGGAAGGTCAGGCATAAGTGGTTGAAGGAAATCGAGTTCATACCGGAGATTCCGAAGAGTGCGAGTGGGAAGATCTTGAGGAGGGTGTTGAGGGATAGGGCTAAAGGTCTGCAGAGAGGTACGGTGGTTAGGGATGAGGCTACGGCAAGGGCGAAGCTGTAGGGGGTTGGAAATGGAGCGTTGGTAGTATTCTAGAGGCTGAGATGGAGGCATGGATATACTTGAGAACCACATAAATATGAAATATATGAAGTAGCAACTTGTTAGACGTCTTCTTTTTAAAATATCTTATTTATGTTTTATTCGCAGGCATCCCTTATCATCATAGAGATCATTTGCTTCTCTATACACTATACAGCATATCCAATGGTCGCACCTCATAAACGCGTGACGGCACCCGCCAATACTTTGCTTACCCTGCCTTTGTGTATATGAAACGCTTCAGTGAGCTTTAGATACACCGGCTGCGTCCTCTGTCCTTCCCTTCTCACCACTCTCTGTGGGTAGAGCCTCAGCCACGGACCTGTTCAGGCGCCCTACGCAAAGTTCTCAGAGCCAGCGCCTGGTCCCAGAACTCCTGCCTCCTACTCAAGTAAGCCGCCAGCACACCGGCCTGTCGAATCCCCGCGCTGTCATGCAGCAGTCTCAGACGAGCCACCACCCAATCCTTAATTTCCTCCGTGCTTAAATCGAGAGCGCCTATCAGGTAAAGCGGATGAATGATGAATGAGTTGCGCGAGCCTGAAAGGGTGGATGACGGGTCGTTTGGATTTTGGAAGGCTATGGATTGGTGAGATATGCTGGATAGGATGTCTTGTTGTAGTTGGAGTGTGATGGAGACAGAGCTCGCCATTTGAGCTACTGCTTCTTCATATGTGAATTCGGGCACGGGTGCCACGGCGTCATTGCTCAAGTGCCTGCGAATAATTTGGTGCAGTAAGATGCGGCAAGTACGCATGCCGTTCCAGAGCTGCACGACCCACGCGTAACTATATACGTGATATGTCTTATTCCACACCAAATGAGGCATTTCATCCGTGTGTTTGACCACGTAACGCCATTCTGGAGGGACGTTCGAGAAAATGTCGATGAATCGTTGATCTAAGGCGAGTGCACCGTCGATAACTGCTCTAGTCCCCACGATCCGACGGTCATGGACGGCAGCTCTGAAGACCGTGAAGTCAATTATAATAGATGATAGGACCCAGGCTGGATGCGATGTATCCATTACCTTTTCCGCTTGCTTTCGTATCTCGATGACATGCGCTGGCATAGGGATAATGCGTTGTATACAAGTAATCATTAGGTTGGATGTTACCTGGTAGAATATTCTTTGTCCAGCCTCTGTGCTGAGTTGGCTGACGCCTCGAAGCTTGAGGAGAGCTGCGGCGCCATTCATGTGTTCTGTCCAAGCCAGCAAAGACTGTTCGTTGCTTCCAGCAACGGTTTCGAAGATACCTAGAATCATGACTGCAAATAATGTGCTATCTTTCTTGGCTTCCGTTGGCGATCTCAATGCTGCATTTGTGAGCCTGAGTGCAGAAACATATCGTCTCCTTGCTTGGATCATAAGTTGAGGGGAGTTCACGGAGTTCGAGAGACTGGCGAGACCCGCAGCAGTAAGGCTGGCAAGAAGATGTTCATCGCCATGTGTCTGGCTGACCAGGGTTTCTACGAGGTCAAAATTCCGGCCCCAGTTTCCTGCATTTGCTTTGAAGAAACAGCGAGCTCTGTCATCAATATCCGAAGCCATCCTACTTGGTGGGATCAGTGACAACGCCCAGTATCCGGGATTTTCGATATGACGGGAAAACTCTAGCACAGCCTTTTCAACCGTGGTCTCATCGACCTCGTCGCCAGCTGTGACTGACGATGATGCAAGGCCCTTCTCCTTTGGCTTCGCATTTGCTTTCGCTCTGGCCTTCCCGATGACATCCTCGTTCTGGATCCGAAACATAAGATCCAGTTCGTTCCGATATCCCGGGCAGACACGACGTTTCCGAATGCATTGACCACATGATGGGACTGCTCTGTCACACTGCAAGTGGTTAGAAGAGTTGCGTCTCGACAGACAATGCTAAATGTCGGAATATATGGTCCAGTGCAGCCAAACTTCAAAAATGCCAAAAGGGGTATGCTTGGAGCTACGCAGGTCAACGACTTACTCTAGTCTTCTTCTCTCTGCAAGCCTGGCATCCTTTTGACGGCTTCCCGCAATAGACCATTTTGACCGGGCCAATAGGAGAGTACTCGAGAAGGTATCCGAAATGACTGAAACCTCAATAGTCACAATTCGATGCGCCTGGCAACTTCAGAGCAAACCAACGGTCCCGTTAGCCTCGTCTCATAAAGGATTCGTGTTGTATGTTTTGACGATCGCAACGTGGCATCCCAGCCCTACGAGTTCATGTGTTCTATCGCAAGTCCTGGTATCTCATGGCCTGCCGGTTGTTCCGCAGGAAATTGGAGAAATTCCAGGACTCTCACTATCCCGATTATTGATTGTTGTTTTCTCGGCCGTCAAAGCCGAGGGCACGGGAATCGCCAAACAACCTTAAACGGGTCAACGATGACCTTGCCTATTTGGGTTTGCTCGATATGGCGCAAATTCCCACGTGATACACCTTTTCTCTGGTCACGGGGTAACGATGGTTCGGTTCACGGAGGGATGGAGGGATCCTTGAATCCACATTCCACGCAGGTAAGGATGGAGGGTTTCTTTTCAAGGCTCGAAGTGCTGTGGATTATACTCCGTAGACCTGGGGGTTGAGCTCTCCCAGACAGGCAGTGGTTATTTCTCTCAGTTGAACCAAAAGCTCACGCTGAAGCTGACGGTGAGGCTCCTAACATAATGCCACCAGCCCACAGGAATATAAAGACACTCACCCTCGTTCAAGATACATTCCACATAGTCCGCCGTCCTGAACAAGGGGAACTTCTCCGCTGCAGCGTCTGCCTCCGACTGGGTCCCGTCTAAGCCAGCAAAGACACCCACATCAACTTCACTTGTGTTTCTCATATCAATCCCATCCTCCAACCCTCTTGGATACAGCTTCGGGCCTTCTTTCGGTGCATACAATCTTATGTACTTTTTACCGACAACCTGTGCCAGAATGTTGTGGTACGGATCCATGTGCAATGGAGTGGTTGTGCCTGCAGGGCCGAACCACGCATTGAGCAGCGGCTCTTCTAGTCGAGGCACCTTTGAATACGTCGCAGCAAGTGGCGAAGTAAAATGGGGTTCAGAGGCAGAGGTGAAGCAGTAATCCGGAATCATGATATCTTCCCTTAGTGAAGGTATTTGAGAGAAAAGATTGTGCTGCGCAAGATAACCTGCACCCGTAGAGGACTGTGGCTCCAAAATATACTTTTCCAAGAACTCCTTAAAAGTGATGATTTTTTGACCAAAGTCTGCATCAACATAGCTTTTCCCAATCTCGATTGGAACAAGTCGTCGACCACCAATTGTTTTCGACATCAGATAAAATGGATGACTCCATCCCCGGTTGCGTAGCGCCGGCCAGTGGTCTATAGCATGTGTGATATGGAGCGGTACTGCCCCTATTGTAGGAAGTGATGGGTGATGCATATTTGATTCAAATGCTTCGAGTGATGGCTCTTGCACAACAAGAACTGGTTTGCGCACGGGTGGTTCGCCAGTGGACGTTATTGGGAAACGGTAGCGCGGGTATCTCCAATCGTGATCTAACTTTTGACGTTTGACTGCCGGTTGCGCCTCATTATCTTCTTCCATGTTGAGTGAAAGGGTGTGACATTCTTGTAGAAGGCCCATCACAGTTTCAACATTTTCTCGAGTAGTGATGGACGGAGCGGGGCCGGTCATAATGAGAGCCATATCCATCGTTCTAACCATGTCATCCATCTGGCTATCAGACAGAGGTGGAGCATCCTTGAAATCTTGGCCATGGTCCTTAGAAGCCCAAACACCACTCATCGCAAGCGCCGAAAACTTGAGCAAGCTTGCTTCTCTGTAAAGTTCCATCCAGCAAGGAGGGACGTCTTTGTAAGGAAATATATAGAACTTCTCGTGTGCAAACTCTATCATGTCATCGCATCGTTTGATGACAAGCTGATGGTCGCTACTTTGGTTTCGAATGGCTTCGCTCTGCCGGCAGAGGAGACGAAGAATATGATCGCCACATCGCCACAGTGTGTTGGTTTTCCGAGCTTCAGCCCGCTCTTCAGGGTTGTCTGACAATAGAAACAAATATCGCGTTGGAGAGCAAAATCCGGATATGCAGGTATCAATGAGCTCATGTTGAGGAGAAGCATAGAGCTTACGTTGGGGAGAATGTGCCTGCTTCGGAAACGGCTCGTCGCTGGAGTCTGGATCATACCCAGAGGCCATGGAGACATAAGAATAATCCGTATCCTCGCTCATAATCTCTTCTTGAACGCTTTGAGCCCTGAAATGAACTGCTCTGATTTATAATCAAAAGTACCTAGTACCCTGATGTCAACCTTCGGGCAAAATTTTGATGAGGTTATTTGATGTCCAGCTCATTAGTTTGCCAAAATGGGAGTTTATGAGACAGCCAAGATGATTGGCAACTCGTAAGTAACACGTCGTGGAGCGAGGTATTTGGCGACATCAATTACTTAGGTATGTCATTATATTTCTTGATGAAGGAGCAAGAACAATGAGGGAGGTTGGACAAGGCTGCCAATAGTTTTTGTGGTGTGGGGATATAATGTGGTGTGCAATTATAAAAGCAAACTCGCTACAGTGTTCCGATTAATCACAGGCGTTCAAAAGTACTAGCGGCGGTTAGTCTTGATGGCTTCTTACTAGCGAATAAGGTTATTTTCACACCAACTAGGTACATATATACCTTCCAGTGAAGGAGGGGCGTGGATGTTTTGAGTACGGTGTTGGTTACTGCTCTAGTGAGGCACACTCTGTTGGCTTGTGGAGTATTAGTAAGCCTTCTCTGTTGAAAATGTTTCTGGCCTACGGGTTACTACTATGTTACAATTTGTGATTACATCTCAGCATTGCTTTTGCAATTTCCAAGTTCCAAGCCCACAGTTCACTTCAGTACTACACAGTAGAACGGAGAGAACTCCGGATTTGAATTGCCGTAACATATCTCACTATCCACTATTGCATTCTACAGCGGAGTATACTGTATATGCACTCCTGCTTCCACTACAAACGGACGATACATCCACTACGGCTATAGCTACTGCCACGGCCCCGTCTTGTGCTGGCATACCGTCCGCCAGTGCGGGCAGCGGTCGTATGTGGACGAGTCTTGGACGTTGAATCAAGAATCATTTGTGAGATAGAGTGTTACAAAAGCCGTGTTCGGCCCAAAGTCCTCTTCTTGCTTCAAAGGGGCAACAAAAAAAGAAAAAAAGAAAAAGGAAAAGAAAATTAAAAAAATATTTGAAAAAATATAACCAGCAGCAAAAATGTTGGACAAGCAGAGAATCGAACTCTGGACCGCCTCTAACTTAAACATGCACATGTACCAGATGTACAGGGACAGATGTATGCTTGCTAAAGAGGAATTATACCACTAAACCACATGCCCTGACTGTTGGTTGGATGAGTGTGCTTGTGTCGAAATATAATATGGATTATGGGCTAGTACCTTTTGCCAGAACCTTTAAGGCTTTTGTATTGTATAGGTACGTTGATACCCTTCCAGCAGAATCTCGAATTCTATGTTCAGACGCTTCGAATATCTGCTTCATTGAGTGATGCTGCCTAATCGACACCCACGGGGGAATTGATATTCTTCAACGCTGACTACTGAGGGCGTGTTGTTGGCTGTTTAAGCTGCTCGAGCTGCGTCTATTATGTGTGGCAATCTTCCTAGGGGATTGTTGTATTGATTCATTGAGCGTGGTGTTAGCAGTTGTTCAACCCTGCCTCGCCCCCACAGTGACCAATATTTCCCAGAACATCCAGACTCTCAACTCAAAATAGGGAAAAGGCTCGTACATATGACCATAGACTGAGGATAACAGGCCATCCCGTCCGCTCTGGCATCCTTAAGCCTCAGATCGGTAGATTAGTAGTTGAGTCGGTGACGATCAGCGAATACCTGCTGTTGTATGTTGTCTTTTTTTCTTTTTGGTCCCCCTTTTGCTCTTCCTGCTCTTGATATAGGTATGTAAGTCGTCAGATGAACGAATCAAATTCGAGGCTCTAAACGCGTTGACACCGGCCTTCCCCCCTCGCTTATATGAAATCCCCCCTTTAACGTGCAATGTCCATCCACGTGATACTCAACAGCCACGCTAGCCGGCCGAGCGGGGCCCCGCAATATGACGATTATATCCAATCTGGACTTTTTGCGCGAGGTTCGGGAAACTTACCTGATGGGACGAAAGGCGGACCAACACGTTGCTTGTATGTTGTAACTCGTCTCTACCCAATATATAAGAAAGCCTTAAATCCTCGACATCCTCTCAGTTCTGTTTTCATCATTCATAGAGATCTGATCTTCATTCTCACACTTACTTTCATTTGTCTAAGCCCGCTCCTGTATTATGACTGCTGTCATGATGAGGTCTTCGGCTGCTCTCACTTTCGCAAAAGCTCTCTCCTCAAAGACCCTTCTTCCCGCCCGCGGGGTATATTATACACCTGGTACTTACAGAACCTTTGCAAGTGCTTCTTCCCGCTCTCTAACCCCACTCTCAATCCAACCCTCGAGCTCCGAGATCCAAGCACGTGCGTTAAGTCTCCAGAACCTGGAGCTCGCAGTGCGGAGCGTACATGAAGATGGACTAGTCGTTATTGAAAACGCGATTCCTCACGGGGTATTGGATCATCTGAATGAGAAGATGGTAGCCGATGCGAGGATGCTGCAGGCGAGAGGAAAGGACGCGCCGTTTAATTATAACCTTGGGAATATACAGCAGGATCCGCCGCCTATTCGGGAATATTTCGAGAGGGATGTTTTCCTGAGTATGATGAGTCCTGTCGGTTGCAGGATCGATTGAGGACTGATAGCTGGTGATAGACCCGATCGCGACCCAGATCACCTCCGCGGTTCTTGGTCCTAGGCCCTTGATGACTTTCTGCTCTGGAAACTCCGCTATGCCGCCTACCCCTTCCTCCGAGCCACAGCGCCAACCCGTGCACTCGGATGCAGACTTCGCGCACCCGAATCACCCATTTGCCCTCGTAGTCAATATCCCCCTCATCACCATGACGCCTGAAAACGGATCGACTGAGATATGGCTCGGCACGCATCTTGATTCTGGCCTTGACGTGCAGGAAGGCGAGCATGGTGACCGAGCGAGTGGCCGAATCAAGGAGCATGTGTTGGAGGAGAGACGGACTGTTCGAGGACCCTCCCAGCCGGTGATACCTAAGGGGTCCATAGTGGTTCGGGATCTGAGATTGTGGCATGCTGGGATGCCGAATTGGACTGAGGAGGTCAGGGTAATGTTGGCTATGAGTGGGTCTTCAAACTCCATTACTCCATTCAAAGACTCGAGTCATGATTCCCATTGATACTGATTGTGTGATTAGTTCACTTTGCTCCGTGGTACAGGAATCCGATGAAGCTTGAACTCTCCGAGGAGATTAAGCCTTTGGTGGATAGTGAATCCGGGCTTGATCTTCATGTCAACTGGGTCAAGGAGTCGGAGGTTGCTGAAAGTTACCTTAATCGAGGCTTTGGGAATAGTTATGACTTTAGCCAAACTGCCTAATTGAAAATCGTAGCATAATTGATTTTGCCGACTGCTATTGTTGGCCAACTCTTCTCTGTTAACTGAGAGATAGCATAAAACATCGCAAATCAACTTACGAACAAAAAGCGCCTTTTTTTGAGTCTTGACGTGGCCAGACATTCAATCGAGGTAGGTAGATATAGATGTTGATTTGCACCATATCATATAAGGTACGGTAGGTAGTGTTCTGTGTCCCGTACTAGCGCCTTGTCTCGCTTAGCGTAGCGCGTATCCTGCTAGGTACCTACCTGGTAGGTACTGTGGAGCTGGAAATTGGCCACATGACCATGATGACGGTGATATTACATAGTGGGGTTCGCTTAGCTACTAGTAGATATATGCCCACAATCGTGGCCCCTTCGATCTTACCGTCCAACCCCAACAACCATTTCAGTACGGTAGTACCTACCTAGATTTCGCACCACGACCACTGCAATACTTTATCAAAGACAGACACAATGGACAACTCCAATACGAACAGCGAATCTTCTACTCCAAAGGCCATGAACAATGGAAACCGGAAGCCGGCTCGAAGGGCTAAACGCAACGTCATGGGCGAGCAGTTCGCAGCATGGCGTGCCGCAGGCATGCCATCACCACCACGATTCCCTAATGAAGACATCTACACGCCAAAGCCATTCTTCTTCTACGGCACCCTTATGGATCCCTTGAAACTCCAAGAAATACTCCTGCTTCCAAGCCCACCGGTACTCAAACCAGCCAGGGCAAGGACCTATAAAATAATGCTGTGGGGTCAATATCCCGCTCTGGTAGATGCAATCGATAGCTATGTCGATGGCATGACCTGCGTTATAGAGACTAAGCAACATGTTGAGATGCTTAAGGAATATGAGACTGAGGCTTATGATTTAGAAAGTCTAAGGTTTGAGGTAGATGGGGAAAGAGTGAGAGGGAAAGCGTTTATGTGGGCGGAGACTGATCGTAGTGCGCTGAGAGAGGGGACGTGGTCATTAGAGGAATGGAAGAAGGACGTGGAGAAGGAAATGGCATCTCATTTTAAACCTGTGGAGGATTTTGACCAGTTGAGGATTTCGGAGGATCAACTTTAAGCCATGTATACATAGGACTGGTCAATACATGGGTTTAGAGTGATGATGATGATATTTATTTGCGTACGAATGCGGGCAGAAATCAAGTAACCGTAGCTACTACCTATGACCCTGACCTCCCGAAGGGTATGAGGACGTGCTAAGCAGCCTAAGCAGCTAAGCTAATAGGGCTTTTAATACAAAGTCCTAGGTACACAAGAGCCTAAAAAAACCTACAAGGGGTAAAAAAGACTGCCTCTATACCTAGCCCTAGGTCCCTGATCCCGCGGTGTTATAGTGCCTCTATAGACCTTAGAAAGCATTTCGAGTGTTTACGTACTAGAATAGCTTGTGACTGGAACTTCCCTTAACAGTTAGGGTAGACTATAGATGTTGTATACTGTCGTAGAGAGAGGTATCTAGATCCCTTAGAGCTCGAATCCAGGTAGCTTAACGCGAGTTAAAAGCCTCCTTGTCAACTCTACGGTAATAGAGCTATAGACCCTTTCTCTTCGACAGTGATCGTAAGCGCGTATAACGAGGGCGTAATATCGCCCTCTAACCCTTCCTCCTAACCCTCTTATATACGCGATGTGTTATAGGGCGTAGTATTCACTGTATTCTCCTCCTCGCAGAACCGCTAAACGCCTCCCCTAGGTCCCTCTCTCGTGTGTATATGTTCGATAGGTAGTCGTAAGGGCACAGTAGTAAGGGTCGAAAGGTCGATAAGGGAAACTCTCTTCGTGTCGCTCGGTTCGTAACTTAATCTTGGCTTTACAGACTCTAAAATAGAGCTGTAGGTTCGTAGAGGGCACCGCGTACAGGTGTTGAGTCTTCGCCCTCCTCTGTCTAGAGTGAATGCCACATTGCCAGAGAAGGCACTCTTGCCCAGTGAACCCATACTTAGACCACATCTCTGATGGCTAGCTATCCAGGATTCCAAAACAACGCCCACAAGAGAATTTTCCAACATCAATCCGACTGCGGGCTCTTTGTTGAGCAAAGTACGCTCGGTATCAAAACCATCAGCCTTTGGACTCCCTGGATCGCCTTCACCTTGAAAATATTCAGCCACCTGACATTTTCACGGCCCTCGACTCTCTCAAAATGTCTCAAAATCCCGTGGTCACAGCAGGTCTCGACATCGGAATCGAAGCAGAATTCCTGCTTACGGGCAGGAATGGCGGCGACAACGATGCTCCAAACCTGAAGTACTTTGCATACGCAATAGCTGCCAGCTATAATGAAGATGCTCCAGATTGGGTACCAAAAATGCGCCAAGAGGTCGAAATCGACGACGTCTATGACAAGGAGGACCCAAGGAAATATCACGATTGGGTCCTGACAGCGGATAAATCCCTTGAAGAAACTTTAAATCCTAACGATGAGGACTCGGGGCCAAGAAAATGTAACTGTCCTTGCCAGATGCGGTGATATTCAAATACTGACACCGTATGTTCAGGGCCGTTAGAGCTTGTTTCCCCTGTGCTCAAGTTTAGAACTGGCTCCAACTTCCGTGAGATTGTTGAGCATGTGTGGAAGCATATCCGCGATGTTACAGTCATTGCAGTTAACAAATCATGCGGCCTCCATGTTCACTTGTCTCCTTCCCGTGACGACAATAACGGAACATGGACCTTGCCAGCAGTCAAATCAATCTGCCGCAGTATTGTATACTTCGAGTTCGCGTTCGAAGCTCTCTTGCCAAGCACCCGACGATGTAACCCTTGGACTAAGAGCAACGTTTATGATAATCGTCGCTTCCCAAACAAGAAGTTAAAAACTTGCTTTGATATTATCGACAGCTGCCAGACTATCCCCGAGATAGTCTATTTGATGAACGACGGCGACGACAAATACTTTGGTTGGAACTTCCTAAATCTTCTTGAGGACGGAACGAATACTATTGAATTTCGTCGAGCACCAGGAGTTGAAAAAGTTAAAGACTGCTTGGCTTGGGTTGAGTTCGTGGTCACATTCGTTGAAGCCTCTGTACAGAACGGAAATGGGCTATTCAACAACACTGGTGTTGCAGCGACTGTGCAGGAGCTTAAGGGCTTTCTGGGCACGGTCATGGTCGCTGGGGGCCAGCCAGCTCGGCTTAAAAGGATCTTTTCTGGAAAGTCCGGGGCCATATTTCCACGAAGAGTTGACACGTTGGGATACAGCGCGGCGGATCTAGACATGCTTCAGAGGATGAAGGCTGCGGACAAGGCTGCGGACGGGAAGAGAAATTTGATGAAGGAGAGGATGCAGCGAAGAGATCATCCTGCTCCGTCCACTGCGAACTGAAAGCAATGGCGGGAGGGGGCAGAGTACTTAGCGTTTGGGTGTAGGTCATAGGAGGGTCGCATAGCATTTATTTAGTAATGACGGTGACGAGTTATTCCACACTTACTCTGATTGTGACAACGAGGTTCTTGAGCCTTGCTAAGACTTGTTCCTCGCACGTATGTCCGAGAGTATCGGCGAAGTAGTGATAGATAGCTTGAAGAATGCACCCGCTTTCGTCAAGCAAGATCTAGCTTTAGAGAATGCACAGTATTGGATAGATCTGTTGTCGGCTCAAAACGAAGAGAAGGAGTTGCAACAATTTCAACTTAGTTTAAGGATCAAGACTACGCTTGCACAGCGTATTCCTAATACTGGCGATGGTCCATTCACCCTTTGAGCCCCAGTCACATGACTGCCCCTGAACGCGTCGAGGAGGTCAACATAGTGGCACGGGCCACAATATGGGGATATCTGGGCTCGTCTACACTACTGGATTCATCTGCGGAGCGATTTGCCCATTTCAGTTAACTTTTCACCCCAGGTTGAAAAGATATCAAGATAAGATAAGAATCCCCCTTCTTTCTCCCCTTATCAACCTTATCTCCTGAACTAATCAAATTCTCCTGCCTAGCTCCCGGACCCTGGATGCCTCGGCTAATGTGATTTCTCCGCGCGGGACGTCACATAATACCCGTCCCGTCTCCATCTTTCTCACTTCTCAACTCCTCGATTATTCGCTCTCTTTTCTCTCTCTCCTCCCCCCTTTCTCCCTCTCTCTCTCAGGGGCAGTCCTGACCATCCTCACAGTCATGGCCGCCCTGCTCCCGCGAAGGGCCAGTGGCATCTCCACCGACAGCGAGACATTGGCGCGCCTCGGCAAGAAACAGGTCCTCAAGCGCCGCTTTGGCTTCTGGTCACTCTTCGCCTTCGCAGTGTGCGAGCTCATCACGTGGGAGACGGTCCTGGCGCTGTTCTCGCAGGGTTTTGACAATGGCGGGCCCGCTGGTCTTGTGTATGGCTTCCTCATCGCCTGGCTGTCGACCTTGTCCGTGTATACGGTCATCTCAGAACTGGCCTCCATTGCCCCCATTGCCAGCGGCCAGTACTACTGGGTCTCGATGCTTGCACCGCAGAGATGGAAGAAGCTACTGAGCTACCTCGTTGGGTGGCTCACGTCGCTGGCTTGGGTAGCTACTGTTGCAACGGAATCGCTGTTTGCGGGCACTATCATCCAGGGCCTTATGATCCTCCGCTATCCGGGCTACGAATCCAAGTTGTGGCATGGCACCCTCCTCACATGGGCCGTCATGCTTTTCAATGTCTCGGTCAATATCTTCCTCCCGCAACTCCTCCCTAAAGTCGAAATCGTGCTCATGGTCCTCCATCTCGGAGGCTTCATAGGCATCATGGTCACCCTCCTCACCACTTCCCAAATCGGTAGCACGGCTTCCGTGTTTCTGACCGCCTTCAACGAAGGCGGCTGGTCAACCCAGGGTCTCTCGTACTGCATTGGCTTCCTGGGAAACATAGCCACCTTTGTCGGCGCGGACGCCTCTGTCCACATGGCCGAAGAAGTGTCTGACGCCGCGCTCAACATCCCCCGCGCCATCTGCGCCGGCATGATCATGAACGGCATCATTGGTTTTGCCATGATGATCACCGTGCTCTACTGCCTCGGAGACGTATCCTCTGTCATGGGAACCGACACGGGCTTCCCCTTCATCCAGATCTTCTATAACAGCGTCAACACGATCCCGGGCGCCGTCGCCATGGGCGCTATCGTGCTGGTTCTGACCTGGGCGTGCGCCCTTGGGATCACCACCACCGCGAGCCGGATGACATGGTCGTTCGCCCGTGACAATGGCACGCCCTTCTCGCGCTACCTCAGCAAGGTTGATACGCGCACCAAAGTGCCCATCGTTGCCGCAGGCGCAGTCACCTTCCTCGCCGCGCTCTTGACACTCATCTACATCGGCTCCTCAACCGCCTTCAACGACGTCGTCTCCCTCACCATCACCGGCTTCTACGGATCCTACTTCCTCCCCTGCGCATTCCTGCTCTACCACCGCATCAAAGGGCACGTGCTCCCCCACGGCACGGAGCGCGAACCCGACCCCGTGATGCCCCCCGCACCCACCAGCCTCGTCGTCGACGACGAGTCCAAAGCCATGGAGATCACCGAAGAGAAGACGGCAGCGACGCCGCAGGAAGAAGCGGCGCTGACGGAAATCGTGCAGGGCCGACTCATCTGGGGCCCCTGGCACATCCCCGGCATCTGGGGCATCCTCAACAATCTCTACGCCTGCCTGTACATGATCTTCGTGATCTTCTGGAGTGTCTGGCCGCCCGCCACGCCCGTCACGCCCAGCACCATGAACTACTCGGTGGTCGTGACGGGCGGCGTCATGATCCTGAGCGGTCTCTGGTATTGGGTTCGAGGCCGGCGCGTGTATCAGGGACCGCTGGTAGAGAAGGAAGCGGTGTTGGTGCTGAGAACGGCGGGGGGGCTTACTGTATGATGTATGAGTATGATGTATGATTCAACACGTAGAAGGCATTGTTTCCATGCCATATCATCTAGAAACGAGTCAACGACCTCGAAATAGAAAATATAGAAACGAAACGAAACAAAACAAACAAATTAAAAAAAGATAAATTAAAAAATCAAAAGACTCTTCTAGATTACCTGACCCCAGTTCGAAATTCGAATCCTGTACACTCGCACATCCGCTCGCTCTATCTATCTATCCACGACACGACAATCCCCGCGCTGCGAAATGCCTCGATACATCCCTCCCTCCCTCCCCCCCTCCCTCCCTCTACCCTTCACCCTGAAAATAAATCCCATCCCATCCCATCCCATCCATCCATCCATCCATCCATACAATAAGTACCTACCTAGATAGTATCCAAGCAAACCCCAAAAGTTCAACAAGCCCCAACGTCCCTATCCTTTTCCTCCGAAACCCAAACCTCTGTACCACGCTGCGCGCATCCGCGTTTCGTTTCATGTCGGAAAAAAAAAAGCAAGCACGGGAAACGCACATGTAAGGGGCGTGCTTTTTGTGTAATGTAATGAATATGTAGCATGTCGCGCTGTGAATATGATGATGGGTGGGGGAATTTTCGAAGTTGGAAGAGGAGAGTTTTGGGGGGAGAGAGGGGGGGAGGGGGGGGGGAGGTTTGTATATGACGATATTGCTGACTGGAATTTACAGGAAGAGGAATGGAAACACATAGATGTCTAGTAGCGACTCTTTTCGTAGTCCATAAAAATCCAAACCCGTTCTTCGGAAGTTAGAACGGTGCATCGGACATCTAGACATCTAGTCCTACCTATGTCGTGCATGCATCATCTGCGCCTATCCAGCATCCACCTCATGCATGCACTGCAGATCTTAGAACAGCAAAGGTGCAAGGGATCCTGGATGTCAGGGCCCGTCGTGTAATCTTATTATATTTGTATATTTTCTTTGAGGAGAGTGAGGAGAGGGAGGAGGAGGAGGAAGAAGATGTGGGATGAGAATATATATATGAGAGGACAGAAACGCTATGAAATGTGTTTGTCTGTTCCAGCCAGCTATACCTAGGTACCTTACTTAAGTACTTGCTGCCAGTCCATTCATTCATTCATAAAGCACATCACATCATCCCAAAGATTTCCAGTCCGGAGTTCAAGAAGCGGAACATCAAAGAAAAGAAAGAAAACAAGAAAGAAAGCGTTCGAATTTTAAAAACATATCCAGATATCCTTACCTTACCTATCATGTACTCTCCACCATCCCTCGTACGTTTTCCCCCTCCTAATCCGCACTCTCAATTCCCAGATACCTAAACTAACAAACACGCTTTTCAGATCTTCTTCCTCCTCCTCTCGTTTATCCTCACCCGAGCCCTTGCGATTCCTACACCAGCGCGCCAAGATCCAAATAACGATGGACTTCTTTCGCTCTTGTCCCCCTTCAGTATCCAGTGCGCTATCTCTTGGTCGGAGAGTGAGTGCTATATGCGGTTTAGTGAGGAGTGCGAGTTATGGGGCCGGTTGCCGTGGGAGGTGAGTTGTAGGGAGGAGGGGTGTGCGTGTGTGCGTGATTAGGGAGGGTGGGTTTGAAGAAGGGGGAGGGGGGTATAGGCGGATTGATGGAGAGGGGAATGACTTTCGTTTGTACGCTCGCTCGTTGGTCCTGACGAGGTATGATGAAGGGAATGCGCTTGGGCGTGGGGTATTGGCACGGATAGACAGAAGGCTTTAAGTGGAAGCTATCTCTTGGTGCGGCTTTCACAACTGAATGCTCTGATTCTCGTCTCCCATATGTGTATCCCGACCATGATATCGTTAAATCATCAGGCAGTCATGTCTGCCTCGCTCAAATAACTACCCTCTACGCCGTCGCCTCGGGTTTCGGGCTGGTCCCATTCTCGTTAAACGCTTCTTTCATCCGAACCAGCCTGGCTTGGTTCTGGGCCAACCACTTCTCAGTATGCCCCTCCATCTTCTCACCACCGGTGGCTTCCGCCTGAGCATTCACCCACGCCACTAGGTCAGCCACATATTCAACCTCCTCATTCATGACGCTGTGGAAGGCCCTGCCGTAACCTTTCTTCTCTACTCTCTCCCTGTACTCCTTCCGCATCTCCTCCTTACTAGGTACCCATGCTTGTCCACTGAGTACCTTACTCACAACAATAGCCTGAATTTCAAACAACGTGAATGTAGCGGAGAAAAACGGGATGCCGACAAAGGCGAGGGTCGGATCTGGAATGTAGAAGATATCTTTGTGGAGGTTGTGGACCTGTGTGCCATCCGTGACAAGGATTTCCTCGCCGGCAGCTTCCCGAGCGAGGAAGTCATTGTGGAGGGACGGCAGGAAAGGATAGGTGATGTGGTAGCCGGTGCAGACAACCACTCTGTCGATTCCGGTTAGGATGCGGCCGTCGGTGAGAACTACTTCACCAGGTATGTCTTGGGGAGAGGTGGGGATGGCAAATGATGCAATATCGGCTACACGTTCTGCGCTGGGTGGCAGGAAGCTGAGTGGAAGACGGAAAGGGCTCTCGCGGGCGGATTGGTAGACTTTTCCCGCGATTGGAGCAATTTCTTTGGCAATGTCTGTAGAAGAGACTCCTCCTCCAATGAGGAGGACATTCTGGGACCGTTAGCTTTGGACTGTAGTATGAGAGGAGCAGACGGACCTGGTCTTTGAAGTCGTTGGGTGTTCGGTAGCCTTTTGAGTGCTGCACTCGAGAAGGCCATGCCGCCTTCCACTCCTTGAGTCCCGGTATATCCGGTACTCTGCAGGCATGGTAATGCCCATTTGCAACCACGACAGCGTCAAACTCCTGTCTCTAGTCAGAAGAAGCTGCATCCCCAGTGCCGGAGAAAAACCCACCTCGACTTCTCTGATCTTGCGTCCTTTCTCCGGCCCATCTATAATCAGAGTGGACGATCTCACCCGCCACTTCTTCCCACCTTCAACCTTCTCAAGCTCTTCGACTCTCGTGTTAAATTTGATCAGAGGCTCAACATCAAATGTCTTTGAGAAGCTTTGGAGATATTCTCCAATGACCCGAACGTTGACAAAGTCTTCTGTTCCTTCCTTCCACGGGTGCCCCTTTAGCTCCTGTAAGGGGGTGGGAATGTTGTTTTTCAGCCCGTCATAAGCAGGGCTTAGAAGACAATGCTTGTTAGTATTTTTGAAGTATGGTCTCGGGTAGGAGAGATTACCCTGGCGGCGCGTGGACGAGATCGATGTCTTCCGTCACTTGGGGATCGACTTGAGCCCCGTTCTGCTCATCCACCGGACTCTTTTGGATTGAGACCTTTGCGTCTGGATCGGCAACAAAGTCCGCGACGGACGGCCTGAGTGCAGGATAACTGGGCTCGAGAGGTCGGCGCTCAGTATACGACCTGACATGGATCAGTCGTGGGGTTAAACAATGGGCACTCAATTGAACTAACCACACACCACCAGAAACAGATGATCTTTCATAGACTACGACTTCGACTCCGGCAGCCTTCAGGTGTTTTGCACTTGTGAGTCCGCTCACCCCGGCGCCTATGACGGCGCAACGGCTGGCTTTGAATGGCATTGCTGGAAAGGTCTACAATAAAACAGAGCTGATAACAAAGCAGATATAGACGGATATATTCTATAAACCTTGTGTAAATATATATGTATATATGATTGAAAAAGATGAGGCTGAAAATCAAGCGATTAAAACATGAAAACAAGAGGAAAGCAAACGAAAGCAACACAGGTCGAAGACGCCTTTAAGTATGGGCGACTTGCCGTGTTTCCCCATCCCAGGTTTCCCAGAAGGGAAGGACGGGTCAAGGGTCGCACCTGCTCTTCTCACTCCAGAAAGGGGATTCCTCATCGCTGCTGTTGATTTCGCCATCGCCGCTGCACGTGACCCCCGGCCAATCGACGCGGCGGCTCCAATCTGGCCGGATGCGGTGGGATGGCTGATATGGCTGATGCGTGCAATTGGATAAGATGACGTTGGAAACCATTTGAGAGTGCGTGAGAAGAGACCTGAAGGCAGCAATGAGAACCCCATCCCCCCTCGCGGCGTCACCTGACCCCGGAGTGACTTCCTCATGTTTCTTTGTAGAAGCAGTTGCAGATTCCTATAAAGCTCAATCTAGCAGGCCTTGCTGGCAGAGAGCACAACCATATGAAGACCAATGTTGACGACGTGAAGTTGCGACGTCGTGATGCGAGCGGATAGAGATATGTCCCTTTTAGGTGAAGCGATCTCTAAGCGAGAGCTCGGCTGGCTACGCGCTGCCAGTCGCGTCCCAAAGAGGAAGCGCGACGGGTCTCCAACACGGTACACCAGGACTTCCAATACACCACCAACGCCCTCTCCGCACGCCTTCTCGGGCCCTCATACGAGCAAGTCTCTCCGAGAGGGACAACGGACCTCACAAAAATTTATCCAACTCCATTGCACCCCATGTCATTCTCCCTGCAATAACCCCGACTTGCGTGCCTATCAAAACGCGTCGGCCCACTCCAGTCAAACCGCGAACCCCGACGCAGAATCCGGGCAATCGAACAATCAAAACAAAACTACAGCCTCCTATATAGATCTGGCATGACCTTCGACGCGTCCGCTCTTCGATAACGATGTATCTCCCACGATCACTGCTATCAACCCTCTATCTTCACCTCCAACGAACCCACCACCCGCTCTCCCCGCCCGTCCTGATCCTCGTCGCCCTCGAACCCGACGCATTATGCGGCTGTCGTATCCTCACGAACCTGCTCAAACGCGACTATATCGCACATAAGATCCAGCCAATTGCCGGCTATGGCGACTTGGAGAATACGGGGCGCAACGTCATTAGACCCATGATGGAGAGTGAGGGCGGCAGCGGAGGGGTAGTTGTCTGCTTAGGTGTCGGCGGGTTAGTTGACCTTGGAGCTTTACTGGGCATTGAAGCCGAGGGGGATGAGAGTAGTTATGGCGGGGTTGAAGTATGGGTCGTGGATGCGAGACGGCCATGGAACTTAGGGAACGTTTTCGGGGGGTTACCAACCTTGCCACAGATCGAGCAGGACGGGGAAATGGTAGATCAGAAGCATCCTGGGGTTGAAGGTGGGAAGATCCTGCGAGATTATAAACCGGGGAAAGGGGGGATTATCGTGTTAGATGACGGCGACATCGAAGAGGAGCTGGATGCGGAGCGAGAAGCGTACCTGGCACTTGTGGAGATGCCAGAGGTTGAGGATGATGGCGATGAAAGTGATGGCAGTGATACGGAAAGCGATGATGAGGAATCCGTACCAAGGCCAGGACAGAAGCGAAAGTCGTGGTCAGACCGATACGAGGATGAGAGTAGTGATGACGACAGGCCACGGCAGCGGCGAAAGAGCAATTCGGTATGCACTGTACTATTTAATGGTGGGCTGTGGCTAACAAACATCAGTCGAGTCCCATCCCAGACTCTCCATCACGTCCGCCAAGACGGGGCCTAATGTCCCTCGAAGGCCCCCTGACAGTGGCCTCTCGTTCTGTTTCCCCTACCCCAGCACAACCTCCCAAGGCTCCCTCTGCTCGAACATTACGGCGGCGTCTACTAAAGCTTCGTCGAAAACATGAATCGGTTCTACAAGCGTACTATTCTCTCGGAGCATCATATTCAGAGCCAATATCTTCGATGATGTATTCCCTGGCTTCGGAGCTTGGTCGGGAAGACAATGATATGCTTTGGATGGCAATTGTAGGAGTTACATCAATGGAGTTGTATGGCAGATCTTCAGTTGGTGTCGCTGTTTCTACCCAGAAATCGTCCGCATCGCCCACTGGCTGGCTGGGTACTCGAGGATCACGAATACGACAGCTTCTACGGGATGAAGTCCGGCGTTTGAACCCGCCAGGACTCTCGGATTCAAGCTATGTCTCGAATCGCAACACTCTCCCCGAAAACAACGGTATCATTCCCACCACCGCTCGAAGCCCTACAGATACCAGTATCCGATTATCACCTGAACCGAAATTCCTCCTGATTAGACATTGGAGTCTCTACGACAGCATGTTGCACTCGCCTTATCTATCTGCGAGGTTACACATCTGGTCAGATAGCGGCCGAAAGCGGCTTCACAAGCTCCTCGCAAAGATGGGAGTCAGTCTGGTGCAATGCAAACAAAGCTATACACATATGGACATGGAACTGAAGCGAGGTTTACGAACAAAGCTATTGAAATACTCGGAGATGTACGGGCTCGACGACTTGGTACCACCAGCAGACACCGACGGCAAAGACCGAGGGGGAACCAAAGAAGGGTGGGGATTCGTTCGAAGCTGGGGTTGGCGAGCAACATTAAGCGCACAAGATGTCGGCGTGGTGGTTGGAGCTATTCTAGAAGTTGGTAAAAAGGCCGTGTCAACCCTCGAGAGCGGAGGTTTTGATCGGCGTAACGAGGTCAAAGAAACTAGCGATGAAGATGGGAAGTTAGAGAGCGAGGAGTGGGTAGGGCGATTCTGGGATGCTTATGACGCCTTGGAAAAGTATTGCCCTTGAAATATGTACGGTAAACAATGCTAACAGGGAAATAGTATCGAAGAACTCAAAGCAGCCCTTCCCACCGCGCAGCATCTTCACCGGGCCATCCTACGAACCGGTACCTCCTTAATATCCAAACGCCAAATTCGCCACCTCCGTGCGTTCCGCATGTGTGTGGTGAAGGATGGGCCCGACGTAGCACTCTTCACTCACCCTTCCGCCTTGACCAAACTTGCACTCTGGATTGGAGAGGCAATCGCGGAGCAGGAGAGAGAAAGCAAGGGGAAGCTTGGGCATGGCGGAAGAGGGACGCCTCTCGTGGTAGCTGGACTAAATGAGGTGAGAGGAGTATATGTCGTTGTTGGAACTGGCGGTGGTGGAGGTGGTGGCATGGGATTTGGGGATCGGGAGGCAGCGAAGGCGCGGAAGGAAAAGCGGGAAGCGAAAGCCAAAGCCCGCGAAGAGAAACGCAAACAGAAAGAAAAGATTCGCGAAGAGAAACGGGAAGCTCGCCGGCGGGCCAGAGAGGAGAACGGTGAAGAAGATGAGGACGATGAAGAAGAAACCGAGTCGGAAAGTGAAGAAGACAGTGATGAGGATAGTGAGGATGACGAAGAGGAAGAGAAGACCAAAGGGTTCGGAAGGAATAAATTCGGTAACGCGTTCCAGGAGGTGGTGGAGGAGACCAACGCCCGGGTCCGGATCGATAGTTTTGAGCATTGTGTGGTGGAAGTTAAGAAAGAGGATCTGGCAGGCTTTTTGGAGAGTCTGAGTATGAAGGCCGTTGTAGGGTGAGTGGTGAATGTAACCCACGATATGGAGAGAAATGGGTGTATCCGAGGGGGGTGAAGTTCAGGGAGCAAGAAGAGGAGGGGAATGCGGATATGTGTTATGACTTGTTACTCTTGTCCTGGGTTCGCTCTGCTTTGCATTGCATTGGATACGCTGCGTACGGGACAGGAGTTGATTCACATAGCTCGAGATGGGTAGCTTGGGTCCTTGCACTTTTTTGGAGTTGGCTTTAACATTAGTAATCCCAGAACGATACATGAATTTCAAGATGACCATTGAATACACTGTGACATATGTTCATTGTTGGCGCCTTTTCCAGTCCGGAAACGGACAACCCCCCTTTTCTTTTCCGCCTCCCTAAATTCACCGACAGCACGTGATAAACGGGTTCCGTAAATAACCGACCTTCACATGTCAAAGCCCCGCCTATTCAACGGTTCAACGGCATCGATATCCCGCATCAACGACTGACCATCCTTCTAATTCTTGTCTCTTGCAATTGCATTTGCCACTATCTATTCTAGGATCAAATCTGTTGGTATATTTATCTTCATATACAAACCTTGCTATGCACAATGCCGAACTCCATATGAATTCCTTTCTGAAGCTCCGCGAGCCTTCAATTCTTCTCCTCCTTTCACTTCGGGATATCCCTCAATTCAGAGTTACACTTGATCATATTGGGCAATAGCCCAACAATTCTAAGGTTCATATATAAGGTACATAGGTACAGATATATTCAACAAAAAAGTCAGGTCGAATAAATGGCACGCAACCCTTCCCATCCGCGACCTTTCTCCGCCGACTTCTCATCCAGGCCCGAATCATCCTCAATGCTCTATTCTATACTGCCCTCCGCCGTCCAGTCACGGCTTCCGCGGCTTCCATCTCTGCGACGCTCTGTTAGCATGTATGGTTTGACGGCACGACCAAAAAGCGCAGATTCTTCCCGACCGCCATCGCCTGGCGCGAGAACGCCCGAGGCGGGGTTTGGAAATGCCATGGTCTTGAGTAATGCAGCATGCGAGGATTTATACTTTTCTACGAGCGGGATGGAGACGAGTGAGGAGCATAGTGAGACACACATGGATGGGAGAAAGAGGACTCAGACAATGTCGATAGAAGAGAGCAGTAGTGGGGTTGGGTGGAAGTTTGCGAATCAAGGTATACTAACCTCAATCCCTCCCCCTGCTGAGCAATTCTAACAGATGTGTGAAACAGGAATCAACCTTCTCTCCCTCGCCGCCGAGGAATCGTCTACCATATCTCAGGACCCGCGATTCGTAAGACAACTTTACCTCCATGCCGTGACCTACCTCCTCCGCGCCCTGCCCACCGACCTCACCACCGAGGAACAGCTGAGTGTACGCAGCGCTCTGCCTCCTGGTATCGTGGAGCCTCTACGTCTAGAAGCACACCCCGCCTACAACTCCAAATCCAACTTCTCTGGCTCCTCCAACCCCCCTTCGGTTCTGCACCGCGCCCTCGCCTCAACTATCGTGCAGCTCTTTATCCTATTCCAGTTTCTTCTTCCATACCTCAAATATCTACTGCGGGCGGCTTATCAGTACGACCGCACGCATAAGATTTCGGAGAGGGTGCTGAGCGGGAGTATTGAAACGGTCGATACGCTGGGCAAGACAGGCCTGGGTATTAGCGCGGCGGTGCTGGGCATGGGCGATGGGAAGGTGGGACAGATGATGGCGGACCTGGCGAGTTGGATTGTGGAGGGCGTTACGGGTGGGATTCATGAGGGGGTTGGTGAGGGCATGGCTATCATTGGAGCAACAAGGAGACAGGCACCGGAGGTTACGGTGCGGTGAGAGGTGCCGATTCTATGGTCTGCGATTGCGGGATGCGTTATGCTTTATGATACCATGCTCCATCTAATGGCGTTGGGGTTGGCTCAGTTCTGGGTTTGGTTGGTTTGAATGGTCAACGATAGACATAGCGCGCGGGAGTTGGGCATATAGAATCTTTTTGATATACTACTGTACGAAGAGATCACTTATTATTTGTATATCCTTTCGAAATTCCTTTTACTCCGTCTCTGAAGTCAAGGGACCAAACACTTCATTCAACGGAAACAAACATCCAAGGTATATTTAGAGATCAACGTCGGGAGTCGGAGCGTGGAAGCCATCACGTGGTTAAGCCTAAGACAGTTAGCGCGTATTGATAACCATTAGCGTCCAAAAAAGTTTCGGACACAGGAGAGAGAACCTGAGCTCTGCAATCTCTCGAATATACAATTCCCTCCAGCGACGACGACAGATTCTCTTGAACTGTCATCTCCACTCCTTATTGTATCTACTACTTCTTGTCTTCTCCCTTTTGGTCACTTGTCTTTTAATATCTTACTCTAATCGGGTTCTATTGCCCGCGTGTCGAACCATGTTCCACGCCTGCAGAAGAGGTCCGGCCTCTCTGTCTCGAGTCGTCCGCGCTGCATCAACCACTCTTCGCATCCCATCAACCAGACCTTCGACCCTCTCGTTAATATCCCACGGTGCGGCGAAACCGAGTCTCGAGGCAAGATGGCTGCACGTGTCGTCGCGGTTGAGGCAGGAAGCTGCTCAGACACAAGCGCAAGACATATCAGAGGCGGGCGACCGTGAGATCACGAAGTTCGATGAGCTGATTCAGCACAATCTTGTGCACCCCAATGTCGTCAATGCGATCACGAGAGGAATGGGCCATCATACAATGACGAAGGTGCAGACCATGACTATCAACCAGGCATTGAAGGGTGAGGATATGTAAGTCCCCACTGTGAAAGCTTCGGATTCGCATTCTAATCTGATCTAGCATTGCGCAAGCACGCACTGGTACCGGTAAAACTCTTGGTTTCCTTATCCCAACCATCCAGAACATCCTAAAAAAGAATCCCGAGCTCGCTGAGAGAAAACGCTATTCACGGGCCCGACCTTCAGATATCCGAGCGATTATCATCTCCCCCACGCGTGAGCTGGCAGAGCAGATTGCGGTGGAAGCAAAGACCCTGTGTGCCAATACCGATTTGAGGGTGCAGGTTGCAGTTGGTGGAAACAGCAAGGCGAGAATGTTGAGGGATATGCAGATTCAGGGTTGCCATTTACTTGTCGCCACTCCCGGTCGATTGAACGATCTTTTGACGGATAGATACAGCAAAGTTTCCGCGCCGGCATTGACCACGCTTGTTCTGGACGAGGCTGATAGACTTCTGGATGATGGCTTCTCCAGGGATATTGAGCAAATCATTGATCTTCTCCCAGACAGGAATCAGGTAGACAGACAGACTATGTTGTTCTCAGCTACGATCCCTAGAGAGGTTATGCACCTTGTTCGCAGCACACTCAAGCCCGGCTTCCACTTCGTCCAGACGGTTAGCCAAGGCGAGCAAGCTACCCACGAGAAGGTACCTCAGAAGATCGTTGCGGTTCCTAGCCTGGAGAATCTGATGCCTAGTCTACTCGAGTTGGCCAAACGGGAGATCGCAAAAGCCGAGGAAGCGCAAGCCTCAGGAAAGGAAGCCAAGCCATTCAAAGCAATTGTCTACTTGAATTCAACTGCCAACGTTGAATTCAACGCCCGTGTCTTTGATAACCTAAGGGCCGAAAGGGGGAAAATCTTCGGAAAGCACTTGCTCCATCCTGCCGAAGTTTCACAAATCCATGGCCAACTGACGCAAGCACAACGCACACGGGTCTCTGAACGGTTCCGCCGTGCAAAATCTGCTATTCTGTTCTCGACAGATGTTACGGCACGAGGTATGGATTTCCCGAATGTCACCCACGTCATCCAGATCGGTCTTCCTAGAAACAGAGAACAATACATCCACCGAGTCGGGCGAACTGGCCGTGCGGACAAGTCCGGTGAAGCCTGGACTCTCATCCCAGAATTCGAGCTCCGGGAGGCAAGACAACTTCTCCGTGGTCTACCAATCAACTCTGATTCATCGCTGGAGGCTGCAAAGGTGGACATGACGCAAGAGGCCCAATTACCAGCTAGCCTAGCGGAAACCTTAAGCCAAGTAGGCGATGCAGTGAGAATGGTGGACCGTGACACGAAGGTTGATGCCTATATGTCGCACCTAGGCAATAGTGGCCGCAGCTCTATTCGGGATTTGGTCCAGACGTTAAACCAGTGGACGAGATATGGCTGGGGTTGGCAGGAGCCTCCTCCAATCGCCCCCGGTGTGGCACGAAAGTTGGGGATTGATAGACTGCCGGGCGTTAAAATAGGGTACCCAGATCGGTCCATGGGTGACGAGGCAGATGATCTGAATGGCCCGCGGGTCGAAGACCCGAACCGATTAAGTAGGAGCTTCGGAAGAGGAGGACGAGGTGGTTTTGGTGATCGTGATGGCGGTCGTGGCGGATTCGGTGATCGTGATGGCGGTCGTGGCGGATTCGGTGATCGTGATGGTGGTCGCGGCGGATTCGGCGGCCGAGGAGGTCGGGATTTCGGGCGCAGAGATTTTGGTGACCGAGGTTCTTTCAACGATCGACGAGGCGGGGGGTCAGGTCGAGGTGACCGAGGCCGAGATGACGACTTCGTGTCGAGATTTTAATGGAGACGTTGACAGATTCCTTTTTCGCTCTTCACAAATTGTTCATGTACATTAGACGGCCTTGCTTTTGGTAGCTGGTTGGGCGGTCACATGTTTCCCATCTCTGTTTGTTTGTTTGTATATGGGTGGGGTGTACGAAAAAACGAGCTTGCTGGTTACCATATGTATGACTAGGTCAGAGGGCGTTTTGATCCGGCCTCTTTGTTGGGTTGGGCCCTTCGAACTGATAGACGGATTCATAGGCGGAGCGTTCTGGGATTGTTTCTCCCTCCGGGAACGCATCTTCTCCCGCCACAATCATACCTAATTCTACTCTACTCCGTCATTGTCGTGGTGGTGCATTGTCTTTCATTTCGGATCTCGGGTCTGATACTCACGTTCAGACAGAAACCAGTTGGCGCTACAGATACGTTTCTTTTCTCTTTCTCACTTCAGGCTAAAGTTTGTTATTTAGGTATTAGCCGGTCAGGCACTACGAAATTCTGTGGAATAGCTCTACGATCTGAGGGATTTGTGGTGCGGAGTACCCTGCATTTTGATCCTTGGACGTACTGTCATGCCATGTTTTTGCCATCCGTTAAGGGGTGACAGGAGGAGATGGGCTCTGAGTTCATCACTGTTTATCCGGTGTGTGCGAAAAGTTTTGCGCTCTTTTATGAAGGGATATTTCTGATATCTATTACTCTATATCTCCGCTATCGCTTTTCTCATTCTCTCGTCTTCTGCTGTCTTCACTGAACCCCACTCCTCTTGATATATGTAGCCGGAAATCGCAAGATGCGTTTCCCATTCCTCCTGCTCGCGGCATGGGCTAGCATCCCACGTTCTTCGGCACAGCTTAATGAGCTAGCTAAAGCAGCTGGGAAGCTGTACTTTGGAACCGCGACTGATAACCCGGAATTGAGTAATTCAACATATATCTCGATTCTCGACGACACGAGGGAGTTTGGACAGCTCACGCCTTCGAATGGCATGAAGGTACCCCAGGGCCCGCCTTCTATTGCCGCATCTTACATAAGTGATCCGGGAGATAAATGCAATACGATACTGATACACGTATTTCACAGTGGTAATTTGTCGAGCCCTCCCCCGGCGTCTTCAACTACACCCCCGGCTCCATCGTCGCCAACCTCGCCACCAAGAACCGGCAGATCCTCCGCTGCCACAACCTAGTATGGTACAGCCAGCTCGCGCCCTGGGTCACGACCACTACCTGGACCGCAGCGTCCCTCACGCGTGCGCTCGTCCAGCACATTACCCACGAGGTCTCCCACTGGCGCAGCCAATGCTACGCCTGGGACGTCGTCAACGAAGCCCTGAACGACGACGGCTCCTACCGCAACAACACGTTCCTTCAAATCCTAGGCCCAGAGTATCTCAAGATCGCCTTCGCAGCCGCCGCCGCCGCCGACCCGGCCGCGAGACTCTACTACAACGACTACAACATCGAGTACGCGGGCCCGAAGGCCAGGGCGGCGCGCGAGAAGATCGTGGGCTTCTTGCAGGACGCGGGCATCCGCATCGATGGCGTGGGTCTAGAATCGCATTTTCTCGTGGGCGAGACGCCGAGCTTGGAGGATCAGGTTGAGAACATGCAAAGCTTTGTGCGGATGGGCGTCGATGTAGCCATCACGGAGCTGGATGTTAGGATGCTGAACCCGCCGGACGAGGCTAGCTTGGCGCAGCAGACAAAGGATTATCAGGCTGCGGTGGGGGCATGCTTACAGGTCCCGCGCTGTGTGGGTATTACGGTCTGGGACTTTTATGATCCGGTATGTTGGGCTGTCTTGGTTACCCCTTTCTGCACCCCTTTTTGTCTTAGTGGTGGGGGGTTTTGTGTGTTGATGATGGGTGATAGTTCTCTTGGATACCAGGCACGTTCCCTGGTTATGGGTCGGCGGACCTGTATTTTCCGGATTTTACCAAACATCCAGCATACTATGGGGTTATGGATGTGTTGAAGAATGATACGGGTGTTGGGAGGAGTCGTGACTGAGTGGCGGATCTGGAATCTGGGGTCTATAGGGGCTAGAATTAATGGCCTTGGTGTTTCAAATGTGAAAAGTAAGAACAAGTATATAAACATCAAAACGTATACTTGACGGCATGATTGTCGAAGTCAGAATCCAGTATAAAGTATAACCCCCCTCCCCCCCATCCCCCCATCCCCCCTTTTTTCCGAACGTTGTTGATGCACAAGGCTGAGCTTCTCCGAGGCTGAGCCCCTGAATGGCGCAGTTGGCACAACGTACCCACCGTAGCTATATCACGTGCTCTCGTTCAACGGACGCGCTTCTCCCCTCGACGACCTCCTCTCCATGAACGTCCAAGAACCATGTATTATTCAACAGCACAGGTTCCCGCTGTATCTGCGCAGACGCTGCCAGAGCCCAATGAGTGAAGACCATGGAGTCTTTCGTATCGCGGAAGAAGAGGAAGATCTGCGCGAGCGACGCCGCTGACGCTGACGCTGACGACGGCGACGAATCTACGGATTTCAAGCTGGCCTTGCTCTCCTCCCTACATCCGTCCATCGACCAGCATGCGCTCCTCGATATCCTGCTCGCTCACGACGGGTGCGTGGAAGAAGCATCTGCATCTTTGAAAGGGCCTAGCGGCTCGCCGCCGAGGAAGTCCTCAGCAGCCATCGGACACCAGAGTTCTCTGTCGTCCTTCCTCGTCCCCTCCTCGCCCCGTGGGAATGGGAATGGGAATAGGAATCAGTCTGAGAAGAGCGCGGTCAAGAAGACCAAGCTGCTCGCGAGGAATGGGAAGACGCTGCATCTCTACAGTCCAGAGGATGTAGCTGCGCATACGCCCTGCTCCATCATCCACAACTTCCTCCCCGCGGACGAGGCAAACGCGCTGCTGGTCGAGCTGCTGGCTGAAGCTTCGACTTTTGAGAGGACCTCGTTCAAGTTATTTGATAACGTAGTGCAGAGTCCTCATACAGCCTGTCTCTACGTGCCGGACCTCGAAGAACAGACTCTTCAAAAAACGGAATATTTCTACAACGGCGCCCGTCTAGAGGTTCGTCTCTCTCCCGTCTCCCATTCATTCATCCATCTTAACTAACTCTTCCCCAGGACGTCCGCCAACTCACCCCCCACCTCCGCCACGCCGCGCCCCTCGTCCAAACCGCCGTCAACCAAGCCATCCAAACGCGTCCAAAACTCCCCCTCCAGTCCCCGCTCCCTTGGATACCCAACGCCGCCCTCGTCAACTGCTATGCCCACTCTGCCGAGTCCGTCGGCTGGCACAGCGACCAACTGACGTACCTCGGCCCGCGCCCCGTCATAGCCTCGCTCTCTCTCGGCGTCGCTCGAGAGTTCCGCGTACGTCGGATCCTGCCCCGCGATTCCCCTAACCCTCACCCTGACCCCGACCTTGATCCCGACCCCGACCCCGATCCCGAGCCCCAAGGACCCATCTCGATCCACCTCCCGCACAACACCCTCCTCATCATGCACGCCAGCATGCAAGAAGAATGGAAGCACAGCGTCGCCCCCGCCCGCGCCATCGACCCGCACCCGCTCGCCGGCACCGCCCGCATAAACGTGACCTACCGCGCCTACCGCCCCACGCTGCACCCGCGCCTGACCCCGCGCTGCGCCTGCGCCGTGCCCGCCGTGCTGCGCGTCGTCCAGCGCAGGCGCGAGAGCTGCGGGAGGTATTTCTGGATGTGTTATGCCGGTAATGTGCCGGGGCAGAAGGGGTGTGAGTTTTTTGAGTGGGCGCAGTTTGACGATGACGGGGATCCGATTTGGAAAAGGGGCGGGCCTGAGGTGCAAGCGGATTCTGGAAAGGGGCTCGGCTATGAAGGGGGGGTTGGTCCAGGGACTGCAACCGCAAGAAAGGAAACTTGTCTATGATTCAGAGTTTTAATAATTGGCTAACAAGGATTCTATCCCATTCCCTCTCATAGCAAAAGCCTAATAACGATGATCCATCCCTCACCACCAAGTCCCATGCCATCCCCAGTTCCGTCCCACGTTCAATCCCAAGCCCGTGAATGTTCCCCCCCGCGGCGGCTCCATACTAGGAGCGATGCTCCTCAGCGAATCCGCCCCCATGCTTCTCTTGTTCCGCAACGCCGTCTGCTTGATCTTGTTCCTCTCCTGGTCAACGCTGGAAGCGGAGGTGACGCGGCCCGTACTGCAACCATCGTCCGCAGGACTTCGGTCACGAGGGCTACCATTAGGACGTCCGCTACGAGAGGTGCGTCGCATCTCGCTCCAGATCTTCCGAGCTGGGTCCTTGTCCAGGTCTGCGTCCTGGTCTTCCTGTCCTTGGGCATCTTTCACTTCATCCGTGCCATTCGGGAGTGATACCATCGATGCCGTGACACCAGAGCTAATTCTAGCTTGAAGGCTACTTCCATGACGTCCTTTCAAAGTTTCTTCGCTGGAGCCAGCTGATTTACTGCTATCTCTGGACTGTCTCGCGGATGGAAGTTGACGTCTCTCCCTTGCCAGCTTTTCAATAGTACGGAGCGCTTTTTCCGTCGAAAAGTGTGTCTCGATAAGCTTGATGAGAGGGTTGGTATTGATAGGCTCATTCATGGCCCGTGAGGTACGAGGTGACCATTCTGAATGAGGGTTCTGCCTCTGGATGACGGCAGTCGCTTCGGACTGCAGAATTGTTGACTGAGCCGACATGCCAGTCTCTGTACCTGCTGCAGTCTGCACTTCGTCTGGGAATCCGGAATGCCTGTAGGTGAGCCGAACTGTCAGGTAAGGCGTGAGGGCATCGCCAAGACGATCCTCGAGGTCAGCGATAAGCTCATCAGGGGTTGAACTTTCTCTGATGTGTCGTGATGGAGAAGTGATCTTGCCCAGTCGAATCTTGACAAGGATAAGATGTGTCTCCCTAGCACCAAGAGTTTTGGATTCGCGAAGGTTGCCGATGATTTCCGAAACCATGCAGTCTGGACCAGGAATGAGGTCGATGCGCATGGAGTACAAGCGGCCATACTGCTCGAGATCTAGAAGATGTTAGCTAAGCTGAAACATTTGAGTTCTCAAGTCGAACATACGAGAAAGCTGAGTGCCCGACAGAGAAAGATATCTGTGTGCTCCACTGCCATTATTCTCCGTCCATCGAAGAACGCCAGTGACCTCAAGAGCTGCCCAGATGCTGCAAGTAGCACCGTCGACAGTGGATATTTCCGGCGTGACCTTAATTTGTGGACAGAGTACAAAAATATCCCGATGGTATATCGCGGGCGCCGGATTGAAGCTTGAGAATGGGGAAGACGCCCTACTATCAAGATAATCAAGGTATGGAGGCATTCTGGAATTAAAACTAACATCTGCGATATCCTCGCTGTCGTTATCAAATGAATAAGCAATATCTGAAGAGGCGACGCTGTCCTCGTCAGCATAATAAGCGGAGCTGTCCCTTTCTGGACGCGAAGGACGCCGGAAAAGGGTGTGCCTGGAAACGCTTGAGCTGATCCTATGGAGAGCGTTGGAAGACTTTGGCTCTGACTGACTGCGGCCGGGAATGACTTTGAGAAAGAAGTTCTTGGATTTGGAGAACCGTCGTTCTTGCACCTTGAGAGCACTATCCGTGACGTGGGGCGCAGGAACTTGAACAGATGAACCGGGAGAACCCCGAGTGCTCATGACGGGAAGCCTGGTGGAATCACCGGCAGAGATACCATGATACTCAGGCTTCAGGTATCCTCCGTCACTCATCATCCGTGGCATGGTCCTGCAAGCCTTGGGAGTGAGATCGGGATCATCCTGCAGCGCTCTCACCTCTACTCAGGTCAGCTGTCATACAACACAGAACATCACCCCACCTAGCTCAAACTCACCAAAAGGCCTCTCAACACGATTCGCAATCGCGTGTCCAGGACTCTTCGGACTCTTCTCTAAGAGAGCATCCTCCGAGCTCCCATGTAGGATACTCCCCCTCCGCTTCCTCGTCTTGTGCACCATCAACGGGGGGGGATCTACGCTGGCCTGCGAGCTGCCCACGCTGAGATCCGAGCTACACGAAAATCGGCGTCCGCATCTTCGGCTGACGATCTCTCCGGCCGAGGCACGACCGGCAATGGTCTGGCCACGCTTGACGATCCGGAGCGGCGATGGTTTGGCGCTCTCGGGTCCGCGAAGCTCCACGCCAGGCGGCTGTGGCGCGGGGGGTGCCATACGCGGCTCGGGGTCTCGCTCTCGTCGGAGGATTTGTCCTCGCTATCGCGCTGCTGCTGCTGCGGAGGACTTTGGTCGATGAAGGCGCTGATGCCCGGCTGGCTGGTGATGCTCTCAAGATCGACCCACGAGTCGGCGTAGACCTGGGTGGACGAGATGTCAGAGCGAGAGATCTTGAGGCGGCGGCGACGGCGGGCCTCGGCGGGGTTGAGCCGCGACTGGTGCCAGAGGTTGGAGCAGAAGCGGGAGGCGTGCTGGTAGAGCACTGTTGTCTTCAGGGCGACGTATGCAGCGGAGGCGGCGATGGCAATCGGGACGAGAACAAGTGCGCTGATTGCTGGGGTGTTGTTATTGCTACTCATAGCCAAGATCCAATTAATGCTGACATGCAAGAATAAGTACCAAGAAATGAGTTGAGCAGAAGTGTGTTGTTGTGAAGACCTGATGTCCGTCCCCTTCGAGGGGGCAATATAGCCACCTCGTAATGAAAAGGGGGGTAGGAGCGATCAGGCCAGGAAAGCAGTCGCGCCCTCAGCAACCGCAGAAACTCATATTCAAGCAAGGTTTGAATTAGGAGTTCAAGCTGATGTTTTCTCAATAAAGGATACCCTCAGCATATGTGACATGCACGTAACATCCCCTCCTCTTATCTCGATGTAGCCAGCCAGCAGCTCTCAGTCGGATAATTGATTATTTGTCTGGTCTCCATCAGACACCCAACCGTTGATAATAGGAAGGCCATCTCCAGCAAGCCTGGCGCGAGAATACTTCGCATCGTGACATTCGGAAGGTATCTCTGGCGTAGGTAGTCCAGCCATCTTCTTCGTGCCCGAACATTAATAACAGTCATCTCTCCCACCCCAAGCTCATCACACAATCTCCCTTCGTAGCGGCTCCACACTCTCCACACTCTTCTTGATGCTCTCCTTGAGAGCCTCGCACTGCTCGGGGTCCAGCTTCAGAAAACGGATCAGGTCATCGCCCGCCTCCCGCCCAAACAGCGTCCCCTCCGCAATACTCCCCTCCATCCCCTTCTTAACCCGCACCTCCCACACCCCATCCCAATTCCACTCCCCCGGTCTCTTCCCTCCCACCGGCGCCGATGTCCCTCCTGCCAACCTGCGATACCCTTCTGGCACGTCCGCACTCCCCTCCGCCTCTTCCTCACCCTCATCCCCTTCCATCTCATCATCAACAGGCAGCACCACCCCCTTCCCCGCCCTATAGCTCCTCCACGCATGCCACGCCCCCGGATTCCCGGCCGCGCTCAACGGCACCCGGTCCAGGACTGCCTCCTCATCAAACGCACTCCTCACATACCGCAACACATCATAGATGCACACCTCCCCACGCGTCCCCTCTCCCTTCCCGAACCACCCCGGGAACCCCGCCGCCCGCAGCGAGAACCCCCCGGGCGGCAAAGGCTCGCCCTCTTGCGCCGCCGCCGCGCTCTCCCCCGTATACATGTACGTCGTCAGCGGCGAGACCAGCGGGTGGAAGATATCCGTCGCGAAGGTCAGGAGCGGCGGCTGCTCTGGGTACGCCGGCGGGAACGCGATGCGGAAACGTAGGATAGAGGGCGCGTAGGGACCTTTTGGCACATTAGCCATCATATCCCGATTCCCAGTCCAATCCAATCCAATCCAAAACCATCCCTTCCCAATTCAACACATCTGTTCATCCTTCGTCCAAGCTTGTTGTGATAGATGAGAGATCGGACTCACCACGACGCACGAATATCACGCCGGACCATAGCGCGGGATCGCCAGGCGTCAGGCTCACGAACACGCCCTGCGGACATGCGTATTTCAGACTCGAGCTAGATAGGCCCCGAAATGTCAGTCTCTCACCTCCTGTCTAGCAGCGCGCGGGGAAAACGGACAATTCAACGAGGAGATGCTGCTTCCGCACAGCGGAGAGCTGGTTAAGTGGGCGTGGAGACATCACGATGTCGTTCCTGGAAATTGGAATTGTTGGTCGTGGATATAGGATGGATGATAGATTGAGGTTGGAGGAGGGAAGCGGTGAAGGGTTCTGCCAAAGAGGCTCGGAATTGTGCCGATAGGGGAGATTAGAGCTAGAGATTATCGCCTTTGATTGCAGAGTAGCTGTGTCATGGATTGTCGATGTAAGATCGGTTTCTTGATTTCTTAAACTCTCGCAAATAGGGCTTTTACATTCTATCAAGGATACGGATACTATTATTCGTTCTCTTTCCCCCGCCTTGTAATGCCATCCTCAGAAGCACCCATACCCTTCATCCACCACCGCACCTCTCAGATAGCGCTGGAATCCAGCTCAGGCAGCATCCATCCATTACCCGTTCTAAAGACGATGCTCTAATTCTTCTCCGTCAACCGCGCCTCGATCTTCTGCCGCTCAGCAGCCTGGATCGCCTTCAGCTCCTCCTTGCTCGCATCGTACCGCGCATTAACCTGGTTGAAGGGGTTCTCCTCGCTCTTCTCAAACTCTTTGCGGATCTTCTCCTTCTTCTGGTTCTGTCTCAAGCCCTGCCCGCTACCATCCGCTTCCATCTCCCGTAGCCGCCGCTCCTCGAACGCTGCAAACGCCGCCTTGAACCGCCGCTCCGGATGCTTGTCGATCTTCGTCGCTGCGCTGGATGTCAGAGACAACGCATCCAGCGCGTTATCAATACCAGAGGCGTTGAGTGCCGCCGCGGGTTTCGAGGGTTCATCGTCAAGCTGTGAGAGGTCGAGACCCCGTGTTTTCTTGACCGCTTGCTTCGAGTTCTTGGGTGCGGCCCGCGCGTTCTTCTCCTCTTCTGCTAAAAGGGCTTCCTTCTCTGCCTTCTTGCGTGCTTGTTCTGCCTTCTTCGCAGCTTCTGCTTCTCTGCCGCGAAATGTAAGTAGATGTGATGAAGCGGGGTGGCGCGGGGTAGCTCTGGCAGCTCCCGTGGGGAGACGGCGCGGGAACTTACTTCTTGGCGTTGCTCTTTGCTCCCTTGCTCCATTCCTCGTCTTCTGCGGCAGCCTTCTTCGCGTTCTCAGCGGCGGCCTTTTGTGCCGCTACTTCTGCTTTCTTTGCGTTGCCGGCGGCTTTCTTGCTGTTCTCACCTGCGGCTTTCTTGCCTGCCATCTTTTCGGCTTGTTTCAAGTGCCAGGTTCTGATGAGTATGGCTTCGGAAATACTGCAGCTCGGTTCCAGAAGGCTCGTAGATCCTTTGTGGACGACGAGTTAGATGTTGAACGAGTCAGTGGCTCAAAAACACGTCTCTGATCTTTGCCCCGCCATCGAGTCCCCTCGCGAGGTCGGCCCGGGGATTTTCCGATTGATGCCTCAGGCTCTAATTTCTTTTGAAAACCGATGCAAATGATATCATGTTGAGACGAGGCTGAGCCGTGATTCACGTGCGCAGACAGGCAGACCGAGTATACTAGGTAGCGTGATATTTGAATCATGTTTGGGCGTGAGGAGAATTGGCTTTGTGATACATGACCCAAATTGGATTGCGGGAAGGCAACTCCGCTCTTTTACAGATCTCGAAACAAGACAGGACCCCCATTTGAATCCGGAAGCCCGGGTAGAACTGTCCCGGCCTTTTCTGCTCTCGTCTTCATCAATACATAGTTGAGGAACAGTATTTGTCATGGTGTTCTCAATTTTTCCCGGTCCTTTTGGTTGTTGGTTGTCCAAATCGAGGAAGAGAATTTGTCAGGATCACAGCTTGCATCACTTGGCAGAAACTTCAACAGACATCCAAACTTGTGTTGCTATTTCCAAGATCATACGAGGAGTGCGTTCTGGTGTGGGAGCAGGGCAAAGGTGCCTCGGGGTACACTACCTGACAGACGCTGCGTAGATATTGTAAAGAGGTGAGCTGAAGGTCATATGATACCTTTTGCCCAGGAAGGCTTCATTCCATATCCATCGATCCCTAGTAAGAAGCAAGAGAGAAAGCTCACCTCTCGGTTGTCGAAGCAACCCTCACGGACGGAAACACAAATGGTGAGAGGACACGTCCTACTTGTGATACCAGACATCTGGTCTTGAAGGTGTAAAAAGTGTTGCCGGGGTGTCACCGGCTGCTGAGCCAAACTTCCCCGGTGACGGATGGGATTCTTAAAATCCACTGTCACTGCAAGGTGCCGCCGAGACAGCACGTTGGATGGGCCCTTGGTGTCACTCGAGACGCATCTCCTCCCGATATCAAAGCTTGACGTCCGGATAGGGGTCCCCGGGGCGCAGAATGAGAAACGGTTGACGATGCCGCAGCGTTTGTCTCGCAAGGCTGGCAGCCTTCCCGTCGGTATAACCGGGGGGCTGCGAAGATCCTGTGACCTACCTATGTGGATGCCCAATGTCGTACAGGAAGAGAACCCTGGAGGCTGGAGGAGGGAGCTCAGCCAGCCAATGCCGGCAACTGCGCGCGCGTTTGCGTGAGTGTAACGCGAAGGGCTGAAAGGGCGGCGTGAGGCGTTCATCCATCGCATGTGCGTCCTCGGTGGGAGGATTAATCAAGATCAGCCTCCGGGGTCGAGATCGGATAGACCCGGCGAGGTATGCTGCAGATGCACACTGCAAGCCATTAATGAGAGTGCATGAACAGTTGCGGCTGCCATGTAACCATGTGTAAATCCAAGTATGGAAGTTCGATGCTTGACGGAGATAGGGGAGTTCCTGAAGCACTCAGCTTCCCAGTTCAAGCAGCTGCCAGCATCGAGAGGAGATCAACCCTGAGAATTGAATTGGAGGCTACACGGAGTGGCTAAACCCGCTCGCGGACCGGTAGCCACAAGAAGCGGTGTGCAACAGGTCATGAGGGCGTAGACGGAAGGGTGCTTCGGTGGTTGAAACTCATAGCAAAGTGGATTGTTCTACGGAGTAAGATGTCGCTGCACATACCGCGCCTCGCACCCGGCCTCTGGATCTGGGTGGAGCATGACGATGATGTCGAACCCCAGGAAATGGGAGCTTTTTTTTTCAACCCTGACTATTCCCTGAGACACAAAATCATCCTCGCGGGGATTCGCACTGCAAAGGCACGAGCACGGCTACACGAGCGCGACGGTAGTGAGCGCGCGGGCTGCGCAGCGGCGCGACTCAGGTCGGCTGGGGAAATGTGGAATGTGGAATGTGGACCAGCCGGGAGCGCGACCCGCCAAGCGCAAGACCCAGCCCAGCCGGGCGGGTGTTTTTAGCGGGATTTTCGATTCATGGAACTAGCTACTGCGTGATTGGAAAGGGGTCGGTTGAGGCTGGTGATTGGGCGTCGGATGCTGGCGAACGAACATCCCACTCTCGCAAAGTAATGGCGGTGAGGTGCATGAGCCATGAGCCATGAGCCATGACGGTACGCGCGTGGAAGAAGAAGAGTGTCGGCCTCGGCAGTACTCCGTAAGAAAGTCAGTCGTTGCTCGTTGGTCGCGGTAGAGACACGAAGCAGTGATAGCGGAGAGGTATTGACAACCATCATGGTCTTGCCTCACAGCTCTCGGAGCTGCAACTAGAAGGTTGTTGAGACGCCCTCCACAGCAGCAATGCGTGACTTGACTCTCTCTCGACCCGTGACCCTTGATGCTCGAATCATTTGACGGCATCGTTTCCAAGTTCACCCCCCTTAAACCACGTGGCGTTATGTAATGTCTGTCCTGAGTAAGGTAAGGTACTAAGGCCCCGTCCGTACCCCATAAAGGGATAAGGGATAAGGGGAGGGACTGCCTTACTGCGTACTTGAAATTGTGGCTAATTCATCCCCTCCTTAGTCATCCCCATCCGCATTGCCCCTCCGGCTGAAGCTCGCGGCTCCCAGGCCGAAGCCAGGGAAGCCAGTCAGCTACTGAGCCAGCTCAGCCAAGCCTCACGCCACTCGAGCCAGCCAAAATGGCTTCCCCGGCGGCACGTGGAACACGTTCCGCGAGATTTCACTCCCAGGAATACGGAATACCGTGATTGGAAATCTGGAAAGGGGCCGATAGTGACGATGACGATAGGCCGATACGGTGGATACGGGACGGGACACACAGTAGCAGTAGTCGTTCCAAGGAACCCCCCTCCCGCGCCCAATCAACGCTTCCCCTGCACGAGGCAAAACACCCCCCCTTTTTTCTTCTCGCCTTCTCTCCCCCGTCTAGAAGGGCTCCGTTTTGTTCTCTGGAGTTTCCGAGGCATGTATTGTCTCAATAGTCCCGATTCCGCGGACACCTCTGCCATGGTCGAGGTTCCTGCGGCCAAACTCTAATTAAATCACGGCTGGAAGTCGTCGAGTCCAGAGCGTTGCGTAGATATGTCGTGTCACCGAACCGATTCCAGGGGCGCCGCTGCTCTTGCGGAGGATTGACCTGGGGAGGATCCCGTCAAGCTGACTGATTTGACTGACGTATTGAGAAGGTCCCTTTTGTCTTTGTCTTTCTTGTTCTTCGTAGGCTGCGGCACTTCACGAGATCCAGCACGCCGCGAGATCACTTACCCGGCCTCCTGTAGCATCTACCCAGATCTTACCTCGCTCTCGCTCCCCTCTCCCTCTCCCTCTCGTCCTCCTTCTCCCCTCCTCCCGCGCTCCCCGGTAGACGCGCTGCTCATGCATGGGCCGTATAGCTCGTGGTCCTATTGAAACGATGAATGATTAGCAGCATAGCAAGCAACTCCTGCAAAGGGTCATAATTACGGATCATAATAACACCAACCGTCCTGTAATCAATCCAGCGTACTTCGTACCACCAGCATCCAAGCAAGCACCACCGCCAGCCGGGCAGCCAATCTGGGAAGCGTTGCCCCCTGGACCCCGAGTTCGAACGGGTCCGGAGGATTTCCCGGCGCAGCAGCGAGGCGGCGGTGGATTGGACGATTTGACCCCTTAGTCCTGAGGCGCGCGCAAGGGCAAGGGCAAGGGCAGGGGGGCCACACAGTGCACAGGTCACTTGACTCGCGACCGCCCCAGCGCGCCGGCGCATTCCCAGCAGCAGCTCCATTGTTTTGTTTCTCTCGCTGGCGCCGTCGCAGACTCGCAGCTGGGGCCCGATCCCAGCGAATCATGACCCGATCGACGGGGCGCGCCCACGACCGGCCCAGCGCTACCTCTTCCACGTCTCTGGTCCCGGGAATCCAGCCGCGGACGGTGTGTCGCAGGGGGCTGTGGGTCGCTGTCGCGCTGCCTTTGACTGTCCTGGCGGCCCTGGGTGATCGGATCAGGGAGGACGGGGGACGGCGGGACGGTGGGCGTGTGGCTCGAAGAAGAGGCTGTTGATGGGTGATTTTCCGATGGACTGAAGAACATCATCATCATCATCATCACCACCGTGTCACCAGGGTGTTCGGGACAGGGCATCATATACAACGTTGTAGGAACTGGGGGAGGTTTGATGCATGGGGGAGGAAGAACCAATAGGGGAGAGCGAGATTCAAGGGAATTTCTCTTCCCCGGGACACAACAGCCACAGCCACAGCCCCGTCTCGCTTGGCGCCTGATTCGCAAGGCCGCCACACCCTCGCAAACGCTGAGGCCCGACGGGCCGACAAGGCGAAGTTGGGCGTTTGCGCTAGGGCCGGTGGAGAGATCTGAAATTGTGATTTCTGATTTCTGATTAGATGGCGATTTGAGGGGGGGGATTACCGGTGTATTATGGCCAGGGGGGGGATTATCACGGATCCATAAGGGGGGAATTACCGCGGTGGGCGGTAACCGAGGTGTGTTACGGACGGGGAGGTAATTAGCGCTAAAATACCAGAATTCTCCCTCCCGATTGGCTCACGCTCCACGTTCAGCCCCTATCCGGAGCCCGTTACAGACCTGAGGGATTCATTCCATCCATCATCATCCATCCGTCTCACCGTCGCCTCACTCTCCCCTATGAGCCTTGAGCCTTGAGCCTTGAGCCTCTCCCCACCGCGATGCCAGGGACGATGACGGCGGACAGCTGGGCATGACCGCATCGCACCCCTTTGCACACCGACTGCAGTGCCAGCGAGGTCTGACGCTGTGTGGGTGTGCGCGCGTGCTCCATATTTGGAATTTGGGATGAGATGCCCTTCGTTACGTTACCTTACCCATCGGCCAGGGCGTCCAAAGCAGCTGTACCCATCATTTTACCTTACGCAAGGTACAGCGGTCAAGTTCCCTTAGCTACAGCGCTGTACAGCAGTAAATACTGACGTGCGAAACAGGTGGAGCCCCCCCCATAAGGTAGGTAATCTCCAAGCCCCATATGATGATCTAAAATCCAGGCCCGAAAATCCGAAAATCTAAAATACAGCGATCGTCAGCTTTCCACGACGACGGGACGGTGTTGGGGAGAGGCCAAAGCTGCCATGCTGCCCCCCTGCTCACGCGTGTGGCGGTCCCCCGTCCGTTCCCCCCCTCGTCCCCCCTGCTGGTGCCCTGGTGCGCGCCAACACCGGGTCGTGGAAACAAGTGCCGGGGCGAGATTTGAGGACGGACGGGTTGGGGCGTTTCGTGGAGAGGGGTGACACTGGGTGAGTGAGACGAGTAGTTGAGGTTGTGATGGGGAGCTGGTGGGTGTGGTTGGGTAGAGCGAGAGGAGGGGGGAATTGATTGTAGGGCATATTGGTTATTGTACAACGTTAATGTCAAAGGCGACCGAGTACCTAATAATGACAGTAATAACAAATGCAAAGAGGAAGTATAAAGATGAAAAGGGGAAAAGGGAGAAAAAAAAAAAACTTTAATCATAGCATGGCTCTTCCAAGTTCCAACGCAGCTGAACTGCTCAGGGCGGAGGGCGTCCGGGTGTGGGCCATACCCCGATAGGACTAGGGCGACGATTGCCCGATATTGCCATCTGCCATATTAGCATCTCTCACTTTAGCAGATTCCAAAATGCGCTCATCAATCATCGGTGGCTCTGGCTCCTGCAGACGACGCGCCGACGACAGGACAGGCTCCAGGGCTCCAGCGATTGTCGTCATATCCTGGCCAAAACCCCGTCGTCCGGGACCCGGATCCCGCCCGGCGGAAGAGCCCGCTAGACCGCTTTGGGCCGTTTTAAGGCTTAAGCCGCGAGCCATGCGCCATCGGGCTTAGCGCCAAGGGGGGGGAGAGGATCGGGCTGCTGCTCTAAGCGTCCAGAACAAGACGAGACGAGAGAGAGAGATGGGAATCCGATGCGCCATGCGAGGCGAGGCGATGCGATGCGAATGAGATGTGATGTGATGCGAGGGCCCTGCGATATGATGGATATGACGGATGACGGATGTGATGGAGATCTCTATCTGCTCGGGAGAGACGAGAGAGAGAAAAAGACTCGTCGCGCGGTGAGAGGAGGCCCTGTTGCATGCGGATGCCAGCATCAATCAATTCAATTCTCCGCACGGAACATGGGGGGCGACAGGAGACACACACACCGCCCCCCCTTGCCCACGACCGATGCTCAGAAGGACTAACTGCCAACTGGTGCCAGAGAATGATGTGCAGGTGCCGCGCCTGGTAATTGGGATATCCACCGTCACATAACACTAAAAAAAATAATAATCATCATAATACTAAGAAAATATACTAAACAGAATTATAATCACAACGGTAATAATTTCACGCGCGCGCACCGGACTCCATAAGGTACATGGCTCTCTCTCCACTACCACTACCGGTCTAGGGACATCTGCTGGCGGCGGCGGTCAAGTAAGGTACATACTGGATACTTACATATATACACGCTGTGCGTCTGCTCTCGAACTCTGACACTTTTTATCCTTTTGCTCTTTGCTCTTTGCTCGTTGCCCTTGACCCTTACTTACCTTACCTTACTTAACCCTGGACCCTGGACCCAAAACTTTACCTTTTACCCTCTGCATCCCATCCCATCCCTTTACGGAGTACATGAATCTTGCTCCTCTCCCCCTGGATCCTTGAATCTTCTTTCTGCCCTTCTGACCAGAGCCTTGTCTGTCTGGCCTTGCCTTGTCTCCCGGGACCTCCTCACCCGCCTTGCCTTATATTATATTATCCCCCGTCCTTCCTCCCTTCCTTCATATACGGGCCGCACGTCCTCTACCTCTGTCCGCTTCACCCTTTATACCTCACCTTGGTCTCCAACCTTCAACCTTCAACCTTCAATCTTCAATCTTCGGCCCCTCCAATCAACAACCAACTACTGCTTCAACAACTACTCCAACAACTACTCCAACAACATCCTCCCCCGCTTACATACCACACATCCTACGTCCTACACCCTACTACGACTCTACCACTCTACGAGACGAGCCCCATTGACCCGCCCTCCTACGCCCTCCACATTCCATAACCTCATATAACCAGCTTCACATGGTCCCCAGCTCGACCCCTCCTCAAGATCCTGCTAGAGCCGAACCATCTCCCCAGCTGGTGACATCCAACTCCTTCCACTGCTCCCTCCTACAACCCCCCTTTTCCTCTTGTTCGCCCCCGACTCAGAGACTGCCATGTCTGGCGCACAGAAGATGGGCGCGCGGAACCGCACCCCGCCCTTTCCCAAACGCCAGATGATCATCTTGGGTAGGTTTCCTCCCCCGCAATATGCTTCTCTGTTATGTGAGCCACTGGTTGGAGACGGGGCTAACTTCTCCCCTAGCGTTGTGTCGGATCTGCGAGCCCATCGCCTTCATGTCCATCTTCCCCTACGTCTACTTCATGATCGAGGACTTCTTCCGGAACGACGACGGCAAGGAGGGCAAGCAGGGCGCCGCTGAGATCGCCGTCTACGCAGGCATGGTCACATCTGCCTTCGCCTTCGCCGAATTCTCGTCGGGTGTGCCCTGGGGCCGCCTGAGTGACAAGATTGGCAGGAAGCCTGTCCTCCTCACCGGCCTGGCCGGCACCGCGCTGAGCATGCTGATTTTCGGCTTCGCGCCGAGCCTACCTGTCGCCCTGCTGGCGCGCGCGCTGGGTGGGCTCCTCAATGGGTACGTAGGGCCGCTTCTGCTCCCGGGCTCCGGGTGATGTGCGAGAGAGCATCTTTCTGACAGGTTTCCATGTGCAGAAATATCGGTGTCCTGCAGACCACCGTCGCAGAGATAGTCACGGTCAAGGAGCATCAACGTAAGCCACCTGTCCGAATCTCAGTCGTGGGGAGAATCTTGCTGACCCGCCAACCAGCGCGCGCATACACCGTCATGCCCTTTGTGTGGTGCCTTGGGTGAGTTGTCGCGATTCGACGGCCTCTCGGGTCCATGGTACTGATCGTTCGCAGGTCGATTCTCGGGCCCGCACTTGGCGGAGCGCTCGCGAAACCGCACGACAATTGGCCTGCCCTCTTCCCCGAAGGCTCGATCTGGGCCACTCACCCATACCTCCTCCCGAACCTTGTATGCACAGTCATCGTGACCGGCGGTGTGATCATCGGAATCCTGTTCCTCGAGGAGACGCACGCGGAGAAGAAGTATCGTCGCGATCCGGGTTTGGAGGCGGGGAAGTGGATCATCAGCAAGGTTTGGCGGTGTGCAGAACCCAAATCGTTGCGGTGTGAGAAGGCTGGCGACTTGGACGATATTTTCGCGTTGTTGGGCGACGAGGAGCAGCCGCCCGGATACCGCACAACCGAAGGATCGCCTAACCTGCCATCCTCCCCATTGCCAGAACCACAGGAGCCGCTGGACCTGAACGATGGATATGCCGCGCCGCGACCAAAGCCTGCTGTCACGAAGGCCTTCACCAAGCAGGTGCTTCTGAATATCGTCGGCTATGGTATCCTTGCTTAGTAAGTCACGCACCCTCTGCGTACGGCGTAACGTGACTGACTGGTGATCAGCCACACGATGACCTTTGATTCAATGCTCCCAACGCTACTTAGTACAAAAGAGCCAGAGAATGGTGAGCAGTGGGCGCTGCCTTTCAAGTTCGTCAGCGGATATGGTCTCACCACCCAGGAGATCGGGTTCGTCCTGTCAGTGCAGGGGGTCTACTCCATGATCGCTACCGTCTTCCTCTTCCCAATCGTCGTCCGGAGGCTCTCAGCTCTGGGCCTGTTCCGGCTGATCTCCATCTCCTACCCAGTGCTGTATTTCGCCACGCCATACATGGTTCTGCTGCCCCCGTCCCTGCGGATGGCGGGCGTGTATGCCCTCGTCATCTGGAAGTGCACATTCGCGACGATGGCATATCCAGCGAACGCGATCCTGCTGACGAACTCGGCGCCGTCACTCCTCATGTTGGGGACGATCAATGGCGTCGCAGCATCGACAGCGAGTCTCTCCCGGGCCTTTGGGCCCACGGTGTCTGGCTTCCTCTTCTCAGCCGGCCTGAGATTGGGATACTCCGGACTGGCGTGGTGGTGCAGCGCTCTCGTCGCGATTGCCGGCGCGGTCATCAGTCTCCGGATGACAGACAAAGGAGGACGTATGGACATGGATGAGAAGAGCGAAGAGGACGAAGAGCTCGGCTACGAGGACCACATCCTTGACCACCGCACCTCTGCCATCTCTACCACGACCCTTGATGACGAAGACATAGACCACATCCTCAAATGATGTCGGCATACCCTCGCGGGACACGGAAAAATGAAAAAAACACAAAAAAAAAGAAAACGATCAGATTATGAACGAATTCCTTTTTCCCTTCTTTTCCTCTGGGAGGATACCTGTACTAAACACACACGCTTCTTTGCATCTTGCCTTGCTTTTCTCGTTTGCGTTTCCTTGATAGATAGATAGATATCCACCACGATAGCGCGGTCATTTTTTCACACGGTGGGGCAAAGGCTCGAGGGAAGAGGAGTTCGCAAGATGGGCATGGGAAGGGAAGGAAAGGAAAGGAAAGCAAATGGGAAGGGATTAGGAAAAAAACACGAAACATGAATAGCATAAGAGAATGGAGTTGTCTCTTTTCTCTTTTTTCTAAAAGAGAGAGAGTGGGATTATTGATTCAAAGGCTAGCGCTTAGGCACGGGTGGCGTTTGTGAGAGCATTGGAGTTTTGCTTGCTTTTTTGATTGCTTGAATGAATGGGGGGAGATGTATATATATATTTTATTATTTGACAAGTCAGTGCGCGAAGACATGAAAGAGATGAATAGAGAGTTGAAAGTTAGTTCTTACTTGCATTACTCCTTTCATTGATGAGGATTATCGATCGTGATTGATATTGAAAGGTAAGGTCAGGTACTTGTATCCGCAGAATCTCTTAACCCCCTTAAACCAACTCAAAACTCAAGATCGGATATACCTACCTAGCGCATAGCCGATCAGTAAAAAGCATGCCCTGGATAGATCTTCGAGTATCAAAACTATATATACATACTACCACGAATCCCAAGTTCTCAGCACCGCACGCAGCGGTTGTAATAAATAGGATCTTAAAAAGACTTCCTTTTTAGCTGGAGCCCATATAAATCCATATCCCACAATCCATCCTCCCTAAAAGACTCAAAGAGTTGAAATTCTTTCAACAAATAAAACTCATCTTTGATGGTCTAACGGTCATGATTTCCGCTTGTCATTCACCTGGCAAAGCGCGGGAGATCGGGGTTCGACTCCCCGTCAGAGAGTCTAAGAGAGCTCTCTTGAGTTTCACGACCCTGAGTTTATCACTCGGATATACTGATACTTTTTTTTTCGCGTTTTATAATTTTTGTTCTGGTGGGTCTTTTAAGGGGGTGAGGGGGTAAGCGAGTCCTGATACTAATACCTCAAGATTGAGTGAGGGGTACTCTTTTTCCCTACTATATAACATTAAAAAAGTGTCGAAGATCAAGATAAAGTACCTAGAATTGCTAACGAATAGGTTTATTTTGTTTCAATTTTATTTATTTATCTATGTATGTATACATAGTTCTAGCTACTTTCCTTGTGATCATGAGGTTGTAAGAGGGATGATAATGATGTTGATAAAATACCTAGGGAGTTAAACCCCGCGCAATGATAAGTACCTAGAAATGAGAACACGAACACCACCTTTCGCACCTTAACACTGATCTACTGTACAATTTGATAATGACAGATAGGAAATCCGAGCTTGAACACAGCTTTTTGGCATCTTCCCCTGGAACCCCTATTCATCTCGCACAAAAGGGGAAAAGGAAGAAGAAAACTTTGAATCGGGTATATAAGAAAAAAAAACATAACAGTAAGAGCACAATTCACACAGGTAAGAGGTAAGAATTGTTAAGTTCCTGTACCGAAACTCATACTGTAAGAGCAAAAAGCTCATCGAAGCTCGCTTACTTCTATTTAGGTCCAAAATATACCAGCTACAAAAAAAAAAAAAAAATAAGTATCCGAGCAAAGCTCAGGGTCTTGAACTCAAGAGAGTTCTTAATTAAACTCTCTGACGGGGAGTCGAACCCCGATCTCCCGCGCTTTGCCAGGTGGATGACAAGCGGAAATCATGACCGTTAGACCATCAAAGATGTGGTTATTTGAATGTGGAAGGCACTCGCTTATTCAGAATAGTAAGTTTTTTCCCCTAACCGGGCGTTTTTTGTGAAAAAAAGAGGAACACAGTTAAGGTACCTTAAATACCTAGGTAAGGGTAAAATAACAAAAAGACAAAAAGGAAAGATCCAAGCAGAGCTTAGGGTCGTGAACTCAAGAGAGGACTCTCTGACGGGGAGTCGAACCCCGATCTCCCGCGCGTTGCCGTTTGACAAGCGGAAATCATGACCGTTAGACCATCAAAGATGAGTTGTTGGAGGGATTCGGGCTCTTTGGGATTATGTGTGGGTGATTTTTTCTCATATGACCCTATTACAACCAAATGTGTCTTCGGGTTGAAAGTGCTGCTTCAAGTAGTATCGAAGCGCAGGCCAAGTCTGTAAATAATAATGATAACAGCAGTGATTTATGAGTAACGCGGGCACTGTTATGCTAGGAAGATGCCCATGATCTGTGATTGTATACATGATTCCAAGATGATCCCTATCTCTCTCCTAACACTCCCCTTTCATGCTCGCTGGACAGAGGCCTCCGCCTAGCCCCGTAGCTAGGTGGCATAGAAAAGAGCTTCCTAGAATTCCCCGCTGTGTACAGTGTGTAAGGTAGAACTAGCCCGCGGACTTCTGTCGAACAGGAGAAATGGACTCGATGGAAGAGTGGAGTAGGGGTCTAGAGAGAGGTTGAGAAGGCTCCCTTACCTTGACCGAGGCCCTATAAACGGTATCATGTGATCTGAACATCCACGTGACAGCTTCTTACACAATCTCTCCACGTACTTCGTTGATAGACTTAACTTTGAGTCAGGCTCTCTATCTTCAGCTTCTCAAGAGCAAGGTGGGGTCGCGAAGCAAAGCTGGAGAAGGCGGTGAATGAAGGACACATATGGGTGTGTATCTATCTGTTCTATATATATACCGGTCCAATCAGAGCGTCGCATGCAGCAGTGGGGAGCCGACCATCACTTAAGCGGATGTTGAAGGGCGCGCGCTCGTCAAAATGTCATGCTAAGCGAGCGATTGACGACCGCTCCCCTAGACAAGGATGGATGACTGCGAATCTTCAGCTCTACCGCGTATATCTTATATTTCACCTGGGCCAGGATGGCTTCTTCTAATCACCTCCCATCTCCTCTTGTTTTGCCCTTCCATTGCTCTTCTTCTTCCCGCGCCTTTTCCTTGACTCTGCCACTCCCTGCCCTTCAACCTACCCCCGGAAACCCACTCTCCCCTTACCCCGCAGGTGGGCTGAATGTCCCCCCGTCGTCGAGATGGAGATGGATGAGTTTTTCAACTTCGATGATGCATCCCGACCCATATCCCCCCTAGCAGAAACGGGTCTGCTTTCCCCGGGCCCTTACGATGTCAATCTGGCATTTGCCCAGCCGGAGCATGATGAGGATTCATTTACCTGTCTCCAGCATTTCACGGCTCCAGAGCAGTCCAGCCTCGAGCTCCATAATGCTGTGCACAACACCACCATGATGAGTCCCGACGACTTCACGGACTTCCCCAGGTGGATCGATGGCATGGGTGTCCCGACGCAGCCGTGCGAGTATTGTCACCGCATGAAGACCCATTGCAAGGTCCTCAAGGAGGGCACACGGAAGGGTTCATGCACTAGTTGTGTTGCGCTCGCAAAGTCATGTAGCTTGACTTCTGAACTCAAGACTCCCCTTGAAAGCTTTCCTGTTGCTTTTACCGCCGAGAATCATGGTGATGCGGACTTTGAAAATTGGAACCCGAACATGATAGAGAGGCCGTCGACTCAGAACGCGTCGGAAGACTTGGACCCGTTCTCTCACAGCGGATCGGCTACTGATCTGATGGCTCTCAGATCGTCGAATGAGAGCCTCGTTGAGGCTGCTGAAAGTAGCCCGAAGGTCGGTGCCAGGTTTTCTCGAGAGTCTGTTAGGATCCTCAGGGGCTGGCTATCAACCCACCAGCGTCACCCTTATCCCACCTACGATGAGAAAGAGAGTCTCAGGCAGCAGACTGGTCTGAATATGACCCAAATTACCAACTGGCTGGCAAACGCCCGCCGCAGAGGAACGGTCCGCGCACCCCGATCTACTTCACCTAGCCCACAGCAGTATGCCAATGGGATGGATATTGCTAGGAGAGGAACACCTTCTCCACAGGAGATGAATCCTCTGGAGCGTTGGAAGCATTCTCCGCCTGAACATGAACCCGCTTCCGTCACGGCTATTGCCAAGGCTGTGTCTTCATCGAGCTTCCAATCCAGCCTCGACAGTCATTTGACCAGTTATGGACACACCGATGATGGATCTGCGCGCTCTCTTTGCAATGTTTCTTCTACCGGCAGTATAGGCACATCACAGTCCAGTGTCGGCTCATTCGTCTCCGCATTCTCACACAAATCTCGCGGATCTTTTGGATCCTTTAACTCCTTCAGCAATAGAGGCACGCGTCGTCGCCGCCGACAGGTTCCGAAACTTGTCAGCCCGAGCCCCATGACACAAGCTCCTCGTACCTTCCAGTGCACCTTTTGCACAGAGACTTTCAAAACGAAGCATGATTGGCAGAGGCATGAGAAGTCATTGCATCTGTCTCTGGAACGGTGGATCTGCTCACCGAATGGGCCAACTCAACTATGCAGCGAAACCAACCATATCTCATGTGTGTACTGCGGAGCACCGAATCCACTGGAAGGACATGCAGAACAACACAATCATTCAAGCTGCGCGGAGCGCTCGATTGAAGAACGGACATTTTATAGAAAAGACCATCTCCGCCAGCATCTGAAGCTTGTCCACGATGTCAAGTTTCAAAACTGGTCGATGGATTCGTGGAAGGTAGCTACGCCGGAAATCCGATCTCGGTGCGGTTTCTGTGGCATCGTGATGGATTCTTGGAGAGTTCGAGTAGATCATCTGGCTGAGCATTTCAAAAGCGGGAAGAGTATGGCTGATTGGAAGGGTGACTGGGGTTTCGAGCCGCAGGTTTTGGATGTCGTTGAGAATGGAATGCCTCCTTGTAAGTGCTCCCCTGCTGTGGAGATACGGATACTGACAAAGACAGATCTTATTCATGATGAGCGGAACACCCTGAATCCCTATGAAGCGTCCATAGAGAGTGCGAAGTCAGGGAAGACGTTAGAGGATCTGGTGAAGCTAGGACTCGTGGACTACATCAATGACCGCGTTGTTATTGGTGCCGTGCCTACGGACGAAGATTTACTTGTTGAAGCTCAAAAGATTATTCGAAAGGCTGATGCCACCGACGACTCGCTTTATGACACTGGAATCTCTTGGTTCCGCGACATCATCATGCTCTCTGGAACTGCTTCACAGGGCGATAATCCTGAGCAGCTGCAAAATACTGGCTTCGGCCAGGATACATGGGACAATATGACAGGGATCGACAATTATGAAAGCATTAATGCTCGAAATCCACTAAGTATGAGAGATTTGAGCACCATACACTGTTCGAAGGAGAGAGCGTTAATGGAATACGTCCAATCCCAACAAGCACTCGGTCTAACACCCACCGACTCCGAGCTGCAGATTCAGGCGTGCAAAATCCTTGATGACGGGGAGAACACTACAAGCTTCAAATGCAAAGGCGCTGTCCAATGGTTCAAATTCCTAATAGCATCGTCGCCAAACTGGCTTGCGGCATTTAGACGCCGAGCAGGTCTGCCTCGGAGTTCTGAGATGGGAGTCGACCATATCCGTTCTTCAGATGATAAGACGATCGACTATAGTATACACAATTTGTACAGATTGGAACGAGAATTGGGAGCTTTTGTCCAACTGCAACAGGCAATCGGGAAGAGGCCCACAGATGCCGATCTTCAACGTCAAGCTCGCCTCATTATCTACGGTAATGATGACCCGTGGAATCAGACTGCTGTCGATGATGCCGGTTATCTCCACGTCTTTAAAAAACAGAATGGCCTGGCACCTTCAGATGCGGATGATGTACCCATGCCCTCAGAGGCAGGAGGGTTGGGATCAAGCCTCCTATCCGCCAGCGTGCAGCCATATTCCGCTCCCTCCCCTCGCACTCTGCACTGGGACCTCGAGACTACGGGCATTGGTCTCCCATCCCCCGTCAGTGGAAGTGACCAACCCGGGGCTTCCACTCACGGCCAGCCACTGCATACCCTCCCCCAGAAACAACCTTCTGCTAACACAAAACCTACAAAACCCTTGAGGTATTTCTTGAACGATGTGAATTGTTATGGGAGACTCGTGAGGGAGCTAAGTCGTTTTGTGACTAGTTGCCTAAGTCCCAACAACCCCCTCCAGCATGTATGTCTGCCTCCACCCACCCCTTGCCCTCCCGCCTGTCCTTTCCAAGCCCCCAAACTCGCAAACATGAGATCACTCATCATGACGGCCCCCAGATCCCCTCCGATGCCGAAATCCAAAACCAAGCCCGCTGGGTCATCTACGACGATGATGACCCCTGGAACCAAACTGCCGCCGACAACGCCGAATGGCTGATGCGTTTCAAGCGCGACGTCGGGCTCGCTCCCACCGCCGAGGGCCCTGGCCTCCCTCCCTACACCGCCCCCCGGCCTTGGACTGTCAAAGACGGCGGCACTGGCTTCAGTCCGCCGTACGTGAACCCCAAGAACACGCAAACCCTGCAGTTAGCCGAAATCGTGCCTGTGACGATGGACCGGCGGACCTTCAACGTCCGCAAGGAGACTGCGGGACGGTTCCTCCACGAACTCAACGCCGGGAGATACCAGCCGCCCCCCGCCGTCTTCTGCTCGCGCGAGCTAGAAAACGGCTTGAACGCCTTCGTCACCGCGCGCTTGGCTTCAGGTGGCCGTTTCCCTGACGATGACGAGCTGCGGGCCCGAGCACGCGAGATCCTCGGCGTGGATAAAACGGCGGCGGATGATGTACAGCTACTGGAGAGATTCAAAAGCATGCACGCGGCGCTTCCGGGCCCGATCCCGAATTTCGACCTTCCGAACTTTACCGGGGATGTTGATATGCTGGCGGGTTTCGATCTGGATATTGGGGATGCGGATTTGGGGATGGGGTTATTGCCGCCCGCGTCCGATCCGTCGCTTGCTGCTGCTTGAGTTTTGGTTTCTGTGCCATGTATAGGTTGGCGATACTCGAAGATGTGCGTTGCATACCGGCCACAATGTGTGGTAGGAAAAATGGAGCTTGTGATGGCGCGGTGGGAGGATGCATACTATAGCATACCGCAGAAAGACGTCCTTGGTATACAGCCTTCAGTTGGAGACTACGATCTAGGATGCGACGAAGGATGTTGGACTTGGTTATCTCGAAATTTTTCTTTTTCTTTTCTTTTCCTTTTTGCATATATTAGGGTGGCGTTTTGGATCCGCTTTCACTATTTCGAAGTTCCATAATTGTGATAATCTATCCGCCTGTAGGAGGAATGGGGAGTTAACATAAATGAATATAACACCAACATGCGCATCATATATAAATGTTCCAGCCAGACCCCCGCCACCTACCTATGTAATAGATATATCGTCGCTACCAACCTGAATTCGGATGCCGAATTGTACAGTGTACAGCTACCTACCTACTATAAACATCCAAAAACCGAAGCTATTCCCAACATCCCTCCCCATCAACTCCCCCACCACATACATCCCCATATATCACACTATCTATCTATCCCTACCTCCAAAGCCTGCAGGCACGCTCCTCCAAAATTCATTTACCCTTTACCCTTCTCTCACTCCTTACTGTTCACCACCACATTACATATAACCATCCAAACTTCCTTAGGCATTTACGCCAAAGCTAAGCACCGTTTGAGACCACATACATACAGTAAAAAGAGGTAGATCTTCTACCGAACCCTGACAGACCCTCTAAGAAATCGAACCTCGCGAGCTATATAAGATATATCCCACTATGAACGGTGCCAGCAAGGCAAGCAAAAATCCTTCCTTCCTTCCTTCCTGGCAGACCGCAAGCCACGCTTTCTTTCTTTGCTGTAAGAAGTAAGGGATGGAGAGAGTCAGACGCTGACATCTTCGTAATGTGGACCTACAGGGCACGGCTATCGAATATAGGTAGTCTAGAAGTTAAAAGTTGAAGAGAGGAGCTAGATAAGATGGTCTAGACTAGGTAGGTGTAATAAATGAATAGGATCGTACCTGAAATTCGTCGGGAAAGCTCGGTGGTGGCGGGGATATACAGTAAGTAAGTAGCTGTTATACGTACCTAGGTAGGTGTATATAACGACGACGAATCCTAAAGAAGTTCTCGAATTTTTTCTTTTATTCTTTTATTGTTTTTCTCTTTTCACGCTCTCTATCTATGAATGATGCAAGATTCTAACTACAGCCCTCCTCACACAAACCCCCGGCCTGCAAATTTCCCTGACGGTCAACTAATCAGCTAATCTCCTAGACGCCGCAAACGCCTCTGCTCACTGAGACTGCTTGCTTGCTTGCTCTATTGTGCCAATCCCACGCTATGCTATTCCCAGCCTATTCTTTCGGCGTCTCGTCATTCATTCATTCAATCAATCACTCGGTCAAGATCTGATCATACACTTTTTCGTCTATGCCATCCCATGCCATGCCATCCATCTCTTGCCAGATATAAAGTCCCCAGAAGGAAAAGGAAGAATATAAAACGAAGAAAATTTGAGATGAAACGGGTGGATAGAGAACTATCCATAATTCCCCGCTCCACCAAAGAAAAATCCTTCGAACAGATCCGGCAGGCCGCCGTTGCCACCGCCGCTGAAATCATGGTCCACGCCCTCCCAGCCAAGGCCGACGCCCAGGTCGCCGCCCTCCGCACCGTAGCCAGAGAAGCCGCCATTGCCGCCGTTCCCGATGCCACCCTGCACGTCGTTCTCCCAGCCACTGCCCTGCAGGAAGTCCATGCTGGGCGCCGATGGCGCGAATGAGAACTCCGGGTACGGATTTGAGGTGGGCGGGTATGTGGGAGTCGGCGAGTGCTGGTTCTGGTTCTGACTCGGGTTCTGCGAGGGGTGCGGGAGAGAGTTGTAGGGTTGAGGCGAGGGGAGGAGGGAGGGGTCGATGGCGGAGTTGTCGTGAGAAGAGGACGTGGGAGGCGACATTGCGTATTCGGATGGACTGTTCATTGTCTGTGGTTGAGATTGCGCTGTATTCTGGCGTAGATTTGAGGCTGTGACAGAGGTGTTTGGTCTGTAGTCGAACTCGTTCTTCACTGCTTTCCCCATATTCCGTGACGATCCAGTCTGCGGAGGACTGGGACCTAGAAGATCGTTGAGCGCCATGTCGAATTGAGGTTTTGGGCGCGATGGGGCAGGACGGAATCCAGATTTGCTGGTATTAGAAGGGAAATAATCGCCACCTTCTTTGTTGGAGTGGGAAGGGCGATGGGTGCTGAGGCCCTGGGCCGAGGAACTGAAGCCCGTGGTGGACATGCACATCTGGACTGTGGCTTTGGACATGCGGTCGAAAGCGTCACGACAGGCTTCTGCTGGTGGGCATTTCTCAATCAGATCGCCAAGGACGGAAGTTGCAGCTAAAATAGTAAAGTCTACCTCGTCCATCGTCTACCTCTGGTCAGTCCTCAAAATCCATGGGGTAGAGAGAGAAAGGGGCAACGTACCAAACGACTCCGCACAACAGGCGAGTGCCAGATAGCATAGAGGAACGAGATCCCCGCCATAAAGAGATGGTGCGTAGCCAGGAAAGTATAGTTAACAAGATGCACGCGGTGCAACTGCCTATACAGCCTCAGGACTCGCTGCCCAGCCTCCGCTACCTTCAAGAATACCCTCTCTTCATCCTCGCGAATCTCCACATGCTGCATGCTGGGGCTCTGTACCTCTTCGCTGGTGCTATACTCTCCTTCGAACAAGGGCGGTACACTCAGACTTTGCCGGTAGAGCATGATCACGCATTGCCAGTAATTGAGCTCGAGGAACTCGACCGAGAAGGCCACCCCCGTCTCCCGCTTGGTGGGCGCGGAGGTTTTCCATTCCCATAGCCGCTTGTCGATGTCGATGCGCCAGGAGCGGAAGCTGTCAAATTTTGAGAGGAAGGGGGACGGGAGCGAGGTGTGCATGTACGGATTCCATTGGTTCGCACCGCCTGCTCGTGCGATCTGCGCTTGCTGGTATTGCAACACCTGCAAGATTTCTGACTGGAGTAATCTGAGTCGGAAGTAGTGATACGCGGCATGTTTGTAAGTAGGTTCTGCAGCTCCGCCAGGAGGATCCAGGAATCCAGTCGGGGTAATATATTTGTCGTCGAGTAGACTTGGGAATTCGGTCGTCACTACCTGGTCCGTAATGCCAAAGGGTCTACCCACGCACGTAGAGACAAGTCGATCAAAGGAATACGTGCACCACCACAGCCTCCTCCTAAAGTCCCTGACCCACTCCCTCCTCCCACGTTCCCTCGCAATGCGTTCTTGCAGCATCCTCACACGATCATTATCCTCGCTCTTCAAACCCACCTCGTCGAGCCCTACATCAATATCCTTGCCATCCTCATAATGTAGACCGAGATCAACAGCCAACCTGACTGCCACCCCAACAATATACCACAGTCCCGGGGCCACGGGTCTCAGGAGCGCAAAGCCCGCCAGGAGCAAGACGGCCTGCAGCTCCTCCAGACCGCCACCGAAGCCATCCGGCCGATCGGGCGAATTTGATGAACTGAGGCATGCTTCCAGATGTACGATGGCAGAGGCATGGTACTCCTCGGGCTGGTGCTGCCGTCCGGCCGCTGTCCGTCGAGGCTGACGTCCCTTCTCCCCTTTCTCCTCCTTTTCCTTGTCGCCCGAATCGCCCAAGAAGATTCCGCTTCCGATCGCGAAGACGATATTGAGCATATACAGTTCCCTGGGGGTCCGCACGCGTGCATCTCCTTCGGCGTACGCCTGCTCGAACATCTTCATGAATTCGCCCCGGTGGAGGATAGGGATCTGGGGGTTCGCGTGCTCGAAGTAAAACTCCACCAGCCGGCGCCCGACGTCTATATCTGGGAAAGGAGCTTGCTTGATAGTAGGTTTAGTGTGCAATCCAAAGAAAGAATCACGCATCGAGGTCCCGGTTGGTTTGGCGGTGGTAGGGGCTTTGGATGGTCGAACTCCACTCCGATCACTATTTCCCCCTGAAACCGAGGACTTGACTGCGGCGAAGACCACCCTCGCAAAGGAGATTCCTGACGTAGAGCCCAGGTATCTTGAATCCGAAGCTCCCTGGACCGACACACTGCCGATATTCGAGACGAGCTTATTGAGTTTGTCAGATTCGTCCTGTTTCTTATTCCATGCCACCTCCTGCGGCGATTGCTTATTCGAGGTGATCGCAGTATTGCCGTTGAATGGCACCCCATCGTCGCTCGGTGTCTGGACCGTGTTTGGGTCTGCGCCTGGACGGGAGCTGTGATCGAGGACTTCGGCAGCGGCAAAGGGGATGCCGTTGTCTTGGAGGAGCTTCTCCAGGTATCCGACTCTAGTTTCGAGGTAGAAGACATAGCTACCGCAGCACGTCAGCATCATTCTTTTGGCTCCAGTCACCCAAAACTCTCTTTTAAAGAAAAATAAAGAGGCTTTTGAACCCACCTCCTAGGGATCTCCCTCTTAGTGATGGGATCATAGCCCACGCACTTCACATTCGCCTTCTCACAGCTCGCACAACTGGGCAGGCGCTGGTCACAGCGATTCTTCCTCAACCGACAGCGATTACACGCACTCACGTTGCGGAAACTACTCGCGTTGCTGTTCACCTTGGCTATCCCCTGTAACGTCGCAGCAGCTGCATCAACGGCATCAAGCTCGTCTCCTGCAGGCCCAGGCTCCGGCGGACTGTGTCGTGCGCGTTTGTGACTCGGATATGCGCCTGCACCTCCATCCCGGTTCCCCGGATTTGAGGTCGGAGATCCTCGATTCGTCTCCATTGTGTCTCCCCTTGTATATATATATAGAGCTTGTTTCTGTTCCAGCCCGCGGAACGTTATCCTGTATGCGAATCAGGTCGGGTGTAGAGGTCAGGGTCGCAGATGCGATTCGGTATTCGTGACGAGATCGAGGGAAGGATGTGCGTCGATGCTTCTGCATGCCTCTCGCTCAATCCTCAATCTCCAACCGCCAGTCCCCCCGATCTCCCTTCTTCCGAAAGCCGTACTTTCGCCCCTCTTGTCACTTCGACAATTCACGCCTGTTGTTCTCGTGTCTGCTGTCTCCGGGTCTGCGTCGGCGGGGAGTCCTGGCGATGAGGAGGCCAGCGATATTTCCTCTAGGAGCGGATCCTGCGATCGATTGCGGCGGAAAAAGCAACGAGGGAACAGATAGATACGCAGTCTGCACCCGCGGTAGTTCACAGCCGCGTGGGGTTTTGTCTTGCTCGTATCTCTCGTGCGCTTTCCGCTCCTCCTCTTGCCTCTCGCCCCCCTCTCGATCTCTCTTCACCTCCCGTCCCTCACTGTCCCCAACCGCCTCGCGCAGTCAATGTGCTGTATCAATGTAGTCCAAGTAGTGCTTCTCACAGCGCGCCCCAAAAGCGCCGTCTCCCACGTCTTCGGTCCTTTCTTCCTCCCTTCCTGGTCGAATACCACGCGGACCAAATAAATGTCTTGGTCAATCTCTCGCTCGCTGTCTCATCCGCAAGCATCCAGATCAAGCGCGCGCACACACCAAAAAAAGTACCTGACAAAGCCTTGCTCCGTATAGGCAGTAACAGGACTCGACCCGCGATCCAGAGATAAAAAATAGTACCGATGATAAGAACACGGCCTCGCAGCGAATCAGCTCCCGGCGTCGCGGTGGGGGGGTTTTTGCACGGCGCCCGCTATCATCATTAGGTGTAGCCATCGAGTAAGATGGCCGTATCGGGGTTAGTGCCTGTTTGCTGAGCACATGACTTGGCGGTGTCTCGATATTGGATCCAGAGGTCGGCTTAGGGGGGAGGGGTGACCATATCCTGCACCGTCTGCCAATTATCCGGGTCCTATCCAGCCTTCCCCCGCAAACGTGGGTCTCTGGGGTACAGCATCCCCGCATTCCCGACAGCCGGTGTCTTCTTTAAGCACGGGAACGACATTCTTACCTTAGAACAGATACATGAGGTCCGTGTCTAGTGTCCTGATCAGTTTTTTTTAAAGGTGCCCCATTCAACAAGTAGGTAGGCAAGTAGGCAACAGTACCACAGGTTGAAGGCATAATCATCATCACTATTACCTCTCTCAGAAACAGCGCTACTGGGCGAATAATGAATCTCCCACAATATTTCATGTCACCGACTAAAAGTCTTGGGAATTTCTTCTGAAGCCTATCTGGGACCCGGTTATCCAGTCCCGTGGGACTGGGTAATTCAGTCGCACACTTTACTGAACGTCAACTTTGTTGGAAGTTGGCCATCACGGTATAAGTTTTACCTAGGTAGGTTATTACAATCTCTACTACAGCGGCAAAAACACCAAAAGATTAAAAAATAAAAATAAAAATGAAAAGGAAGAGGGAATCAAAAACATACAACAGCAGGTATTCGCTGGTGGTCACCCACCCAACTACTAATCTGCCGATCTGAAGCTTGAGTATGGCAGAGCGGACGGGATGCCCTATTTTCTTCAGTCTGTGGTCGTATGTGACAGTTAAAGAGTTATCTGGAAATATATAGACGATAGGTAGGTAGAGACAGAATGCAGGCGGAAAGGAAGTATATACAATAAACAACAGCATAAAAACATATTGGGCGTGTGCCCGGAGTGAAGAATCAGGAGGGTTTGCGTAAGTCAATAGGCAAAAGTACCAAAAAGGAAAAATAAAAAACATACAACAGTAGGTATTCGCTGGTGGTCACCCACCATCCCCAAGTTCTGAGAATCCTGAGTTAGACGTCCAAACTAAGAAAATGGGCCTGAATGCCAATTTCTACCTCTATTCTTCCCCCCCCCCCCACACCCCAAAAAACCACCTATTCCCCCCAAAACCCACGCAATACAGATAAATGTTATTTTACTTGGGCTTCCAAGATATTACCGGGAAATTCTCCTTTTCCAATTTCCTTCCTCAGGAATCGCCTCCAAGCGGCTACAGAAAAACCAGAGCCCCTATTCGGACTACCTCCCTTACCTCACCTTACGGTAACTTACCCACCACCTTATCATCACAAGATGGCGTCTCGGAATCTCCAACACATAACCCCAGTCCAGGCAGTCCCAGGACGACAACGAGTGACGGCCAAAACCATGCAACGCGGGCGACCCGTCCAAAACAGCCGGCCCAATCCCAGAGCTCCCCGGAACATCTGGCAACGAAGGGCCGTGTGCATCACGATATTGATATGTCCCATACTGTTGATGGATGTGGGTGCTTTTCACGGTTTTCCGTGAAAATATATTTCAGAGCTTGTACGAAAGCCGCTGTGTGAGAGAGTTAAGGAATGGTCCGAGAAGGAGAAGTAAGCAACTCCGAGGCTGGGATATGGCAATGAGGCACGGGGGACACAAGGAAACTAAGGTATAGCTGTCAGTGAGCTCGAGGCTATCGAGGAAAGGACTATTGTGCAATATTTACACCAGAAAAGAAATATCTAAGTTAGTTTAGTAGAGCACAAGCTAAGCATTGAGTATTCACACCTCATGGCTAAAGAAATTCTTCCAAAGTTCCACTTCCAACCATACATCACATTGCCACCGAAGAAGAACCACAAGTAAGATACTAATTTATCGTTCTCACCTAATGATAACACTGAAGCAGAAACAAAGAATTCTTAGGCTACTAACATTGAGGTAGAAGAGAGGAGAGGCATCTAGGAAGGTATGCACGTGTTAAGGAAGTCACAAGTTCTTGCTTAATGAGACTATTATTGGAGAAAGGAGGAAGACTTTTGGAAGGTGGAGGTCAATATCTTTATGAACATCACTAGGCTCCTAGAGAATTGGGACAAACCTGAATGGAAGACCTTCGCATGAGAAACAAAATGTACCATTGAAACGTGCAACTCGTCTAGTCCATAAGTCGTTGAATTTTTGGCGGGTCCGCATACCTTTGCTACCCCTATTCTAAGCTCTAGCTCATATCTCGCATCCCGACCCCTTTATAAGCCCAGGCCTCGACGCCGAAAGCACAAAATTCCAGTCCCTTATGTGAATGAAGACCGGGAGCCTCGCTCCCGCCGAATGATAGCTGCCGGGTTCTCGACTCGGAGACCCCTCACTCCAACTCGATCGTTCCCGGGGGTTTGCTGGTGTAATCGTAGGCGACGCGGCACACGCCGTGGACCTCGTTGATGATGCGTGTCGCGACCTTGGTGAGGAAGGAGTTCTCGAAAGGATAGGGGTTGGCGGTCATGAAATCGGTAGTCTCGACCGCGCGCAGAAGGACAATGTTCTCGTACACGCGCTTGTCGCCCATGACGCCGACGGCGCGGCTAGGATCGAGCGCTGCGAAGGCCTGGCCGATTTTGTCGTACAATCCAGCTTCCCGGATCATGCTGATGAAGATGTGGTCTGCTTTGCGCGCCATCTCGACGCGCTCGGGTGTCACTTCGCCGAGGACACGGATCGCGATACCGGGGCCGGGGAAGGGGTGGCGCATGACGAGATCGTGCGCGATACCGAGCTGTCTTCCAAGCTCACGGACTTCGTCCTTGAAGAGTTCGCGCAGTGGCTCAATCAGCTTGAGGCCTTGGCCCTCGGTCATGCGCTTTGGGAGACCGCCGACGTTGTGGTGGGTTTTGATGGTGGCGCTGGGGCCCTTGAAGGAGATACTCTCGATCACGTCGGGGTACAGCGTACCTTGCAAGAACCATTCAATCTTGCCGGCCTTCTCTGAATGCGCAGCTGCCTCTTCGATCTTCTTGGCTTCCTCCTCGAAGACGTCGATGAACTTTCCACCGATGAACTTCCTCTTCTGCTCGGGATCCTGAATCCCTTTCAGGCCGTCCAGGAACTGCTGCCCGGCATGTGCAACGATCAAGTTAATCCCCAGATGATCCGAGAGGGTCTGTTTCACTTGCTCGCACTCGTTCAAACGCATAACACCGTTGTCAACAAGAACTGCATGAAACCGGTCCCCGATAGCCTCGTGCATAAGTTTGGCGGCGACGGTCGAGTCAACCCCTCCGCTAACAGCACCGAGAACCTGGCCCTTCTCTCCAACCAGTTTGCGGATTCTGGCGATCTCTTGGTCAACAAATTTTGCCATCGTCCAGTTCTGTTTAGCGCCACAGATGCCCACGGCAAAGTTCTCTAGGATCTTTGTTCCATCGGGAGTATCTTTTACACATTAGCTGAATGCTATCAATTCCTCAGGCGTTATCTCTACTTACGCGTAACTTCGGGGTGCAGCTGAATGCCTAGCTTCCTATCAGCACTAATGCTTTATTCGAATAGTCGGGTATCTAGGACCCTTATAGAGGGTACTTGCCGTAGATTGGTTTGGTCTTATGCGCAATACCAGCATACTCTGAGTTCTGTGTCGTAGCAATGACGTGGAATCCTTCAGGGAGCTTGGCCAGCTTATCACCGTGTGACATCCAGACCTTCATCTCATCCTCGAGGCCTTTGAAGAGGCGATCAACGTGGCCATCAACTCTCTTGGCCTTGAGATCAGCGTGACCATACTCTCGTGCAGTGCCCGCAATGACGTTCTCGCTGTGAGCTCGATATGCGATCTCTTGCAGCCCGTAACATATACCTAAGATGGGCACGCCGAGCTCGAAGTAAGCTGGGTCGGCGTGGGGAGCGCCCTCCTCATAGACTGAGTAAGGTCCCCCAGACAAGATGATCCCGGCGGGCTTCCAGTCGAGATCAGCCAGCTTCTGGGTGCATGGAAGCATCTCTGAGTAGACATTGAGCTCTCTCAGCCGGCGAGTGATCAGATGCGTGTACTGAGAACTGCACGTGACAAATCAGCTTGCTGCTTGCTCTTAAGGTATGTGCAATCAGATACTGCGCATGGCGTCTTACCCGAAGTCGAGAGTCAGAATGGTATCGAAGAGCTTGTGAGGCGGCTCAGGGTCGATGGACGGGGCTGCCATGGCGACGGTGATGGGTTGTGGAGCGAAGGTTTTGATTATATTCCCAGTACCAGCACACTCAATGACGGTTCTATGTAATTGTTGGATTAAGAGCCAAAGAGAGAGAGGGAGAGAGAGAGTTGCTTGCAAATTGCGGAGGGGTGACCCATCCGAGGTCAAAAGAAAAAAAGATCCTCACACAAACCTTATCGGATGCCCTTAACCTTATCGGGACCAAGATTGGTCTAGCGAGGGGCGGCCGGCGGGGGCGAGATTTTCCGATCGGCAAGGGCCTGAGGCAACGAGGGGTTGAGTCGGGAGCCGACAAGGGGCAAAGGAGGTGGTGTATTCCGCCTTAGATGTCGACAAACTTATACCCCCACAACACGTGGGAATGTGGTAGACGAGTCTCTTGGTAAATACTCAGTTGAATTTGGTCTTATGTACATGTTTCGCATAGATGTTTTGATAAGATCCCCACATGTTGCATGACCCGGCCCACCTGAAGCCAGCCGTGAAGATTAGCGGGATATTCGCACGCAAAAACTTACAACGTAAAAGATGGGATGCCACCGGTGATTCTTCCTCCTCACAGTGCTGAAGCGAATCGGCTCATATTCGTCATGATGTGATTGTTGTGCACCCAGATTTGGTCCTCCCAATCCGGACTTTGTATACCAGCGCCTTGTCCTCCCAGTCCACCAACATGCCTGCCATCCGATGCCAACCTGCCCTATTTCCCAGATTGAATCAAATATAACTGCCAGTCTGTCCCGCTTCAAACTTTCATCTGATCTCCCAGCGCAGCTCGTTATCCTCTTGAGCGACCGCCGCTACTCCGACCCCCCACAGTACCTCCGTAGGCTAGCGGATCCACAGTCCGGTACCCACTGTCCCTTCTGGATCCCCGACTCGACCTCTTTGACTTCGCCCGTCTGGGTGGACTATGCTCCTCGATAACCACTACTTCGTCACTACCACCCCGACTCCGCTCCCGACTCCTCTCTACCCTTTCTTCAACAATCACCGTCTCCGGCGGGCGGCGTGATTCCTCCCTCACCCGGACCGGGGAACGGTCGCGGCGGATCTCGACCGTTTCTCTTCTATGACTCCTACATGACCGCAAGAGACCCGTTAGCTAACAATTCACCTTTGGGGATTTGGGAATCAGAATGAAAGAAAAGGAGCGACAAACCCACGACGGCTCTTCCTTCGTTCCCGCACAACGACACTCTCGGTATACTCACTGCGATTATTCACAGTATTGAAATTCAAACAGGTATAGATCAGCCACAGGACCAACAGAAACCCGGCGACAGACCCGAGCACGATGCCCGCGACGGTGCCTGGCGAGGTCGTGCCGTCAAGGTCGCCGTAGCCGGTGGGAATGATTGCCGGGGAGTTCTGTCTCCTCGCGAGGGAAACAAGTTGGGTTATTATTGAGGGGTTTGATAAGGGCGGTGAGCGTGAAGAGAGAGGGTGGCCGGCGATGGTATCTTGGGATGAGATTGATGGTTCGAGAGTAGGAAGAGGGGCCATTGCGACAGCTGCCCTGCTGGCGTCTTCGAGTCCCTTTATCCGTTTGTTATGGCGCGTATGCAAACAGCCGTTCGGTCGAGGTATGTGGTCACCCAGGTCCGTTGGGTTGTTTATCGAGTCCCAGCCTTAGTGGGATGGCGATAAGAACTTTGGAAGCGCAACGCTCGAGACGAGAGAATTGAAACGAGCGGATCCCCCGATTGAAGCCTGGGGGCAGAGGAGAGAGTGGGTGAGGTGGGAGAAGAGAGGGGGAATCAGAAGGGCGATACAAACATGGCGGTCATATGTATGCAGGTTTCGACGGGGTATTTCGCACGTCTGTGTGTTTGTATGTATGGCGCTGATCCGTCGCTGACTCGGCCTGTTCTCCTTGTGGGCGGACAATGGCCGTGCGATGTCTCAGTCGAGGATTCAGATAAGAGCTCAACGTCGAGGGTGCAGAAGGGTCGGCACTATGGCTGTCACGCGCGAACCGGAACACTTGAATGTCGGATCTAGTCTTGATCCTGATCTTGATCTTAAATGTTCAATGTCGAAGATGGAGGAGAGATATGAGAGAGGGGGAGAAGAATAACTTGGCAGGTGGGCAGGATGATAATAGCGGAATAGCGGGCGGTACCTATTTTGACGTCTTTTTATTGGGGAGGCTGGACAACACCGAAAGCACGTGTTAAGCTCATGGGTCGTTCCGCAACGCCCGGCTGCCAGGGCGACGATGACGTAACGTTCTAAATTCGAATGTTCCGACCCCGAGGCTGAGTCAGCCCCCGTTGCTACGATGACGTCCACAGTTACTATGGACGCCCGTCCAATGGCCGCCCATCCCTCCCTTCCCGGTCCCCTTCCACTGGAGGGTCCTTGCCACGTGACCTTGTGCTCAGCCACACCTCAGTTCTTCAGCCGCCACGCCGATACATCAAAGGTTTGGGCTTCTTTTCTCTCTTCACTCTTCCCTCTTTTCTCTCCCCTCTGTGTATCCTCGACCACCTCTTCTTTATCACGAAAGCCAGGCTTTATTCTTTGTGCCCGTTGACCTTCCGTCCATTCTGCCCTCCTCCGCTCTTTCAACCGACGAATTGCATCTTATCCGTCCCGCCACGAACGAGTAAGGTATCAGAGACCATTGGCCGAAGTCTCCCACTCTCTCATTCTCCTCCCGCGCACACACACCGAACCCTCTGAAGGGGCTCCGTACCCCCCCACAATCCGCATTCGACATCGAAGCGTCCAGGCCGAGCTCTGAAGCGCACACGTATACCAACAACCTCTCCCCTTTCCGCTCAGCTTCGATTTGAACATCAGAGCCGCACTCGGTACATAGCAAACACCCTCACCGCTTTCACCTCCCCACCTCGGTTTCCTACACCCCCGAGCGGTTTTCGAATTCCGAGCGCCCAAAAGTCCCAGGAACGGAAATGGCGAATAAATACCCCCCCAATACCTCCTCACCCCCTCCAGCCTACCCCGGATCGATCGCCTCCCCACAACCCGCGCACGTTCCCCCCCAATCTGGCGGCGGCTACTACAACGGCTCTCCCTACCCCCCACAGAACGGCTACCCGGGCCCGCAGGGAGGATACTACGCGCCGGGTCCCCAGCCGCAATACGGACCGGCATATGGAGGAGGGTATCCCCCCGCCGGCGGCTATTACGCACCGCAGCAAGGAGGGTATTACAACGACCCGCGCGGGGGCGGCGGGGGGTTCATGGAGGGTCTGCTAGCGACCATGGCGTGCTGTTGTTGTCTGGAACTTTGCTGTCTGTTTTAAGCTGCATTGCGAGTCGGAAAGGACAATTCATTGCAGCGGGGCGGCGGTTTGCAGTTCTGGAAAGATGCAGGTTCTGATCCCCAGGCAGGGCATCATTATATATATATACATATATATACGCATTGTATCATACGCGTGACCAGCATGCAAGCGCGAGGCTGGACCTGTCATTATTATTATATATAGCGGGATGGGTTGGGGTATTTGGATAGGGTTGGGTCATATTCCATATGTTTGTTTAGGTGCTTGATACTAGGAAGTTTTAATCTATTTCTTCTCTTTTCTTCGTAGGCTCCGATGCGAACATGCATATCCATGAATAGGGGCGCAGATCTCAGACCAAGACAAAATCGCCATCCACTTGCATCTTATAACCTCACAATTGGCTTTTTTTCTAAATTCGTTTTACATATCTAGGTGAATCATACACTCTCAATACGCTGTACCACCACTGCCGTCGCTGCCCCGCCACCGTTGCAGATTGCCGCAACACCATACTCGCCCACCTTCAGCTGGTGCAGCAGTGTCGTCAGGATGCGGGATCCAGAGCTGCCGAGCGCGTGGCCGAGGGAGATGGCGCCACCTAGGGGGTTAACGTTCGCGTTCTCAAGGCCCAGGATCTGGTGAGTGAGTTAGCAAGATATGCGGGGATGGAAGCAGAAAGGGACAGAGAAAATAGGGAGGGAGGGGTAGTACCTTTTCGTTGGCTTTGATGACGGCCGCGAATGCTTCGTTGAATTCCCACACTGCGACGTCCTCCTTCTTGATCCCGGCGCGCTCGAGGGCGATGGGGACAGCTTTCGCTGGCGCGACGGGGAAGTCGACGGGATCGATGGCCGCGTCGGCAGATCCGCAGATACGGGCCAGGACACGGGATCCGGCGCCGTATTCTTGGGCAAGAGCCTTGTTGACTATGACGAGGGCGGAGGCACCGTCGTTGAATGTGGAGGAGTTAGCGGCCGTGACAGTCCCTGTGCCATCGCGGACAAATGCCGGTTTCAGGGTTGGCACTTTATCGAACTTGATGTCTAGATAGCCTTCGTCGGTATCGATAATCGTGTCCCCCTTTCTGCCCTTGACTGTGACCGGTGCAATCTCGTCCTTGAACGCGGCATTCTTCCATGCCTCCGCCGCTCTTTTGTAGCTCCTCACCGCATACTCATCCTGCTGCTCTCTTGTAATCTCGTATTTCTTCGCTGTCGTCTCGGCGCAGACGCCCATGTGGAACTGGTTGTACACATCCCATAGCCCGTCCTTGATCAGCCCATCCTCCAACTGCACATTACCAAACGCTGGCAGTCCACTCGCCCTCGGGGTATAATACGGCACTCGCGACATGTTCTCCATCCCTCCCGCGACCTGAGCTTCCGCGAGGCCGAGCTGGATGTTTTGCGCGGCGAACACGACGGCTTTGAGACCCGAGGCACACACCTTGTTGATGGTGATGGCTTCAACCGTGGGCGGCAAACCCGCAAATATCGATGCTTGCCGGGCGGGTGACTGGCCGACGGAGGCTTGGAGCACGTTTCCCATGTAGACATCTGTGATTTTGGAGATGGGGATCTTGGACTTCTCGATGGCGGATTTGATGGCTACGGCGCCGAGTTGAGGGGCGGAGACACTGACGAAAGAGCCATTGAACTGCTCGTGTTAGCTGGGCGGTGTTTGGACTGGATGATTGGGTGCGTACCTTTGCGGTGGGCGTTCTTGAAGCACTCAGAATGTATGCGTCTTGGATTTCGTGTCTAGCCGAGGCTGTGGCGCTGAAATGCCGTTGGACTTGCGATAACCGCTGTTTTGCGGGGGAGGCGGGGGTTCGGAGAGAGGACATGGCGTAGCGTAGAGACATGTTGCCAGCAGAACGGAGACGGAAGAGTGTGAAGGGAGAGAAGAAGGGAGGTGAGGGAGACGGAGAAGAAGAGATGAATCGAGAAGCAGTTCTGAGGGCGGATGGAAGATGTAGACTCGTGGAGTTACCCCGGAAGAGGACGGTTATGCACGGGAAGAGCTCTGTCTGGGTCCTCTTCGGCCCAAAGAGCGGGGCGGCAGCGCGGGGGCCGAGGTTGATCCGGATGTACCTTCGTACCCGCCGTGCCTTAGGTAATCATGAGGTAAGCATGCGCCATATACACGTGACCTAATCTGCACGTGATCCGCCGCCGGGATCCACGACCTTAGCCCGGGCCTGGACTGCTTACCTACGACGGGTTTCTATCCATCTGAAGGTCTTGATTACTTCGAGTGCCCTCAAGCGTCTGCCATTTGGGAATTTAAGACATCCCTTACACTACCCTAGATTTCGTGAAAGCGTCCGGCTTTTCCTCTCCGAAGCAGCTCTCCCGAACCCAACTATCTGATCCCAGCCCAAGACTCCCTCCCTCCCCTCCCCGCAGCTGCCAACGAAACACGCAACGATCTTCATCCTCCAGGGACCCTTCTCACCACCCTTCTCATCTGTCCTTCTAGTCGGACCCTCTCGCCCCGTGGTCAGTCTGCCAAGATGTCTACCGCCGCTCGTCGTCGTTTGATGCGAGACTTCAAGGTTTGTGGCAAGGGAGCACACGACTAGGGATGGTATGGCTGACCGATCCTCACAGCGTATGCAAACGGACCCACCAGCTGGTGTATCAGCATCGCCTGTAGCAGACAATGTCATGACTTGGTGAGGATTCATCGGAGGAGTTGATGAGATTCGAAGCTTTGTTGCTAACCTTCTTGCATCAGGAACGCTGTCATCATCGGACCAGCCGACACGGCCTTCGAGGATGGTACCTTTCGGCTTGTCATGCACTTCGAGGAGCAGTACCCAAACAAACCACCAGCAGTCAAGTTCATCAGCACCATGTTCCACCCAAACGTCTACGCCACCGGAGAGCTCTGCTTGGATATCCTGCAGAACAGATGGAGCCCAACATACGATGTCGCGGCGGTCTTGACAAGTATACAAAGGTATGGAGAGACTACAAAGGATGGGGGTCGCAGCACAAGCATGCTAACATTTTGGCACAGTCTCCTGAACGATCCAAATACCAGCTCGCCTGCCAACGTTGAGGCTTCCAACCTGTACAAAGACAACCGACGGGAATATGCGAAACGAGTGAGGGAGACGGTGGAGAAGAGCTGGGAGGATTAGGCTGCAGACAATGGCCGGTGAGCCGGAGTGCGCGAATATTCCCGTGCATTATGAGACCCTGACGGCGGGAGTTCTGGTGTTTTGCGCGGTTCTTGATTATTCTATCCTGGCTTGCTGGCTGTTCAGGAGTAGTAGAGCTGAGAGCCAACTGGACAACCGGGCGAGCAAGTCCTGGCATAGCAAGCAAGCGTTTCAGTTTCAGTCCCCATTGAAATAAATTCCCAAATCTCCAATTCTGTGCCTGACTGTCCCTTCATTCACGACCTTGAGGTTGAAGCGGTCCATGATTCCCCGTTATCCTTATCATTCTCCCCCCCTCTCCATCTCGCCCGCGCACGTCGCCAGGTAACGTGACTACCCTGCCCTGCCAAATTACCTTAACAGCCTCGTACGCGAGATCAGCGCTACTTTTACGCGATCTGTGTCAACAACCTCCCCAAGTGCCTCCTTATCGCCCGCGCGCACCCTTTTCTACGGCATCGCTGCAGAGCTCGACCTCGTGCATATGATCCGCCCTGGCCTACAGTCTGTCGAGCGATCATGTCGAATAGTATCAAAGTCGTGGCCCGGTTCAGGCCGCAGAACCGCACCGAGATTGAGCTCGGGGGCCAGCCGATTGTTACCTTTGAGTCCGAGGATACATGTTTGCTCGACGTAGGTGACACCTGCAGTAAGGTCGACGGCGTGGGCTATCACTGACAGTGGGCATAGTCAAAGGAAGCCTCCGGATCCTTCACCTTCGACCGCGTGTTTGACATGAACTCGCGCCAGAAGGATGTCTTCGATTTTTCTATCCGGTCCACGGTGGACGATATCCTCAACGGCTACAATGGAACCGTCTTCGCATATGGTCAGACGGGGGCGGGGAAGTCGTATACCATGATGGGGACGGATATCGCGGACGACGAGGGCAGAGGTGTGATTCCCCGAATCGTGCAGCAGATCTTTCAGAGCATTTTGTCGAGCCCCTCTACCATCGAATACACGGTCCGAGTCAGCTACATGGAAATCTATATGGAGCGTATTCGAGATCTTTTGGCCCCCCAGAACGACAACCTCCCGGTCCACGAAGAGAAGAATAGGGGTGTTTATGTTAAGGGGCTACTGGAAGTCTACGTCTCGAGCGTGGAGGAGGTGTATGAGGTGATGAAGAGAGGAGGCAGTTCAAGGGCTGTTGCCGCTACCAATATGAACCAGGAATCCTCCCGATCACACTCCATATTCGTCATCACGATTACGCAGAAGAACGTCGAGACCGGCTCGGCCAAGAGTGGGCAGCTCTTCCTAGTTGATTTGGCAGGTAGCGAGAAAGTTGGCAAGACTGGTGCCAGCGGACAGACTCTTGAAGAGGCCAAGAAGATCAACAAGAGTTTGAGTGCTCTGGGTATGGTCATCAACAATTTGACGGACGGGAAATCACAGCACATTCCATATCGAGACTCGAAGCTTACGCGTATATTACAAGAGAGTTTGGGAGGAAACAGTCGAACAACGCTTATCATCAACTGCTCGCCGAGTAGCTACAACGATGCGGAAACCCTCAGTACGCTTCGATTTGGTATGCGAGCGAAGGCTATCAAGAACAAAGCCAAGATCAATGCCGAGATTAGTCCTGCAGAGCTCAAGGCGATGCTCAAGAAGGCGCAATCGCAGATCACAAGCTTCGAGCAATATGTGCACACATTGGATGCAGAGGTTCAGCAATGGCGATCTGGAGAGTCTGTACCCAAAGATAAGTGGGCACCTCCGCTGGCCGGAGTTGGCATTGCCAAATCGGAATCGAAAACACCAAGACCATCGACCCCATCGCGACTGATGGAAAGAGCAGAGACCCCAGCGATCTCAGAGCGGTCAGCTACACCTAGTTTGCCCATGGACAAGGACGAGCGGGAAGAGTTCTTAAGACGTGAGAACGAGCTCCAAGATCAGATCGCCGAGAAGGAGACACAAATTGCCGCCGTCGAGAAGCTTCTTCGGGAAACGAAAGAGGAGCTTGCGTACATGAAGGAGCGTGATACCAAGACCAACAGGGAGAACGAGAGATTGCAGAGTGAGACCAATGAGTTCAAGATGCAGCTCGAGAGGTTATCATTCGAGAGCAAAGAAGCTCAAATTACTATGGACAGTCTTAAGGAAGCGAACGCGGAGCTTACCACGGAACTTGATGATGTGAAGCAGCAATTATTAGACGTCAAGATGAGCGCCAAGGAGAGCGGCGCCGTTTTGGACGAGAAGGAGAAAAAGAAGGCCGAGAAGATGGCGAAGATGATGGCCGGCTTCGACCTTGGAGGAGATGTTTTCAGCGACAATGAACGAAAAATCAAGGAGGTTATTGACGAAGTCGATGCTCTCCACGAGCAAAGTGCAGCCGGCGAGGCCATCGCACCAGACTCCCTGGACAACCTCCGAGCGCGATTAGTTGAGACACAAGGCATTGTCCGCCAGGCCGAGCTCTCTGTTTACGGTAATCTTGCGAATGATGCCGGCACCAAACGGAGAGAAGAGCTCGAACAGCGTCTCCAGGCCGTGGAGCGAGAATATGAAGAGCTCCTGGAGCGCAATCTCAGCGAAGCCGACGTCGCTGAAGTCAAGGAGCGCCTTGCGCAGGCCTACTCCAACAAACAAGACGTCCACAATGAACTTATCGAAGACCTCAAAGCGGACCTCGCTCAAAAGACTGCTGAGCTCCAGAAATACAGAGCAGTGAACGAAGATCTGCAGCAAAAGGTCAAGAGCGGTGTGGCGAATGGCTCAGCGAGCGGAAAATCTAATGGCAAGACCGTCCAACAACAAATCGCCGAGTTCGACGTCATGAAGAAGAGCCTCATGCGTGATCTACAGAACCGATGCGAGAGAGTCGTTGAGTTGGAGATTTCCCTGGATGAGACGAGAGAACAATACAACAATGTACTCCGCTCATCGAACAACCGCGCGCAGCAGAAGAAGATGGCATTTTTGGAACGTAATTTGGAGCAGTTGACGCATGTGCAACGACAGCTAGTGGAACAGAACGGCAGTCTCAAGAAGGAGGTTGCGATTGCGGAACGGAAATTGATCGCGAGAAATGAGAGGATACAGAGTCTGGAATCATTATTGCAAGACTCGCAGGAGAAGTTAACAGCCGCGAATCATCGGTGCGTATTCCTGAGAGAGGAGCTAAGAGCCGTCAATCATCGGTTTCTTTTCCCCTTCCCGCTTCGTCCCTTCTCCTTTGTAACAAAATTTCTAACTGTCGCCGTCTCAATATAGATTCGAAGCCCAACTCACAGCCGTCAAAGAGCGTCTCGAAGCCGCTAAGGTGGGTTCAACCCGCGGTCTCAGCTCCCCTACAGGTGGTGGGTTCCCATTCGGTTCCCGCATCGCGAAACCATTGAGAGGCGGTGGCGCTGGTACAGAAGGCGCGGGAAGTGGCTCTATTCCTACTATCCAGGGCCTTCAGAACGAGGTGACTGGTAGCTCGGGGAGCTCGGGGAAGAGGACTAGTTGGTTTTTCTCTGGACAGAAATAAAACATGTCCATCGCGGCTCGAATTGGAGTAAGGGAAGGAGTGGAAATTGATAGGGCTGCCTTGGAGCGTGTGCGGAAGAGGAGAGAGGCAGCCGGAGGATAGAATCAAGAGGGCAATAGATGAATCATGTATACCCACGTCTTTGTTTCCTGTTGGATGGGACCGGGGACCGTTATTAGCAAGCAGCGAGCATGGAGATTAGGAGACTAGGCTAGGCCTTATTCTGCGGACACCACTTATCCATATCTATTCATGATATACGATGTTTGATGGGTGGGGCCGATGGAATAGGGATTCATAGAGTGGCGAGGAGTCGATATAAGGAGTTAACAAGATGTTCACCCTTGGACTTAGTTGTCACTTTGCTCCATTTACGTGCTCTGTTTCCCTGCTTTGCTTTGTTGAACATGCAAGACTCGGCTTTCCTGGCGGATTGGATATTTGCGATATCCTCAAGGATCCCTCTCTTGGTCCTTGTCCCGAAGCCCATGCCTCTCAAAACATTGTATTTCTTCTTAGTCAACCAATAACAACTCAAAACAAGACTATTGATAGATATACCCCTGGACCCCTGAAGCCCCTTTTCACTTTTCGCTTCGTCACCACGTAGCGTCAGATTCACATGAAGATGACATCACTGTCGTTGATACGATTATCCAAGTTCCGCCAACTCCCCTCAATCACTTTCTTCCTTCAACTTAGTATTCTATCTTCGCGATTGTTACCATGGATCATCCGAGTAAGTTATCCTCGGTCGTTGTATACGCTATCCTCCTCGTATTACGGAAATCTTCCAGCGGATAATTGTCAATGGCATCCAACAATCTCGCAGCCCAATCGATCTTGTCTTGATATCATTCCTCTCTAGAGAGCAATTAGCTAACACTCTTGTCGTGCGCCAGAGAAGCAGATCTCCCATGTTATCAATCTCCTATGCGAAGGGTCTCCAGTCGACCAGAAGCATGCTCTCGACACTTATTTCCTGCCCGACGCCAGCTTTACCCATCCTCTGTGCCGCGTGCCCAGTTTCTCTCATGTCGCACTCCCCCTGATCGGAGAGATTAACTCGCGATGGGTTATCTGGATGATCTACCGCTGGTACAAGATCCTATCGCCGCGGATCCTCCTCACCGTTAAATGCGAAGGTTCGTCCCTTGTTCTTCCCTCGTTCTACCAACCCAAACTGACCGCCTCATCTTTCCGTCTTTCAAGAATTCAACCAGAAATCGCAAATCCTATTCGTCGAGATCACCCAACGCTTCTCCCCCATCTATCTCCCCTTCTACAATCCCGACGTGCACCTCACGACAAAACTGCATCTGGTGCAGGACTCCGAGACGCAGAAGTACCACATAGCGAGCCAGGAAGATCTGTACCAGACGAATGAGCTGCTGAGGTTTGTGCTGCCCGGCGGTGCGACCCTGCTTTGGGTCTGGCAGCTGTTCGCCACGTTCTTGTGTATTGTGGGAGCGGTGCTGTTGGCCCCTGTCACATGGGTCGAGCAGAGACAGGCGAATGTGAAGGGAAATGGGGCGCAGACTATGTTGTGAGAAGTGATCATAGCGGGGAGGTTGATCTTCCCCATTCCACTTCACTGTATCTTCTTCTCCTTTGCATATACCTCTCTCATGTACCACCCAACTGCCCTCTCCAACCCCGCCTCGGTGGTAAACCGCGCCCGATATCCTAACCTCTCCTCGATCTTGTTTAATACTAAATGTGCGCTCAATTATAATAACGAGAGATTTCTGGAACCCTGATTAAATGCAGATATATAAAAGGATGAGAAGTTCTTCGAAAAGGTGGTCTCGGTGAAGGGGAAGAATCAGATAAGGATGTTGAAAAGTCTTAGCCCCGCTGCAAGGAAGGTAATATACAGAACATTCTACATTTTGATAGCTGACCCTCGAAGCTGGTGGATGGAGCAATTTATCATAGAAGAAGATAGCCTGACAGACATAAAAGTTGATATTTCCCTTCTCTTTAGACGTTAAGCCAACATTGCATATCAAGCTTCTCCCTTACGAAGATGGAACAAAACATAAGCAAGTGCTCCACAGGAGACAGTGTGGACCATCTAGCAGAAACCACGATACTTGAGTCGCCGATTGCGCGCATGGTCACAGTCTCAGAAGCCGATGCCTCCTTTTTAGAACGGAACTATCCAGCTCAAGATTCTGATGCAGATAATAAAGTCCTTGGAGCTATTTTGTTCCGTCCAACCTTGTCAGGCCATCGAAGATCTAAATCGGAGAATGGAGAAATGCAGCACACTATTGACGAAATCTGCGATATCCTGGATGGTATATCAATTTTGAAGAAACCGGGTAAGGAGATTGAAGACGATACGAGGTGTGTGGTACCTGGTGTCAGGTTTCGAGAAGCCTTGAATAAACTGGCGAAGGTCATTCAGTACCGGGATGATAAATGGAGAAGAGAAGGCCCTGAAAGGGATAAACAGTTCGATGCGATCAGAAAAGCAGCCTCTTTAATCGATTCCATGCCAGAGGCGAACGACCAGATCTTTGCAGACTGGGACTATAACAGCCGACTTTGCGTATACAGAATCAGACTTTGGTTGAGATCAGGGACTTCTGACAAGGCTGACGTATATCAAGAGTATTATCAAGACGCGGAGCCGGTTCAACTCATGGGTGATCCAATATCAGTTGTTTCTTGTTTAAAGAAACACCGCAAGAGGTTTCGATGCAATGTTTGTCTCGATAGCTTTGATAGAGCCACCAGGTTACAAAATCATCTCGTCTACCACGATGGCGAAAACAAGCACGACAGCAAACTGGATGCAACGAGGCGAATTCATGAGCAAAGTGCAGGTCAAATGCGACAAAGAGATGGACCTGATACCAGAAAGATTGCAGTAAAGCCTTTGAGAATGACTGTCACAGAGAAATCGATTCAGATGCAGCCGAGTCACAAGGAGAGTGCGAAGAACAGTGGCAATACGACGGAAAGTGCAAGACCAATGAAGAAGGCAACAGAAGAATTTATTCTAGGAGATAGTTGGTTCGACATTTCACGTTTGACAGACTCTGCACACTCAGCAAATACTGAGGAATACCAAAGCAGGACCCCTCTATGATAGTGGCTCAAGGTGGTGTTTGCCCTGGCAGGTACGCTTTGATGACTGATCTTAGTCACTAGATCCAGACAGAACGCAACAGAATGCCATGTAACTTGCTGAGTCTTGGGATGGATGTAGAAAAAGAACATGATAAAGGGAAGCATCAGAGTTGGAATATGGCTTGGACGAAATCGCCGGGATAATGATCCCTGATACTCACTCAGTGAACAGCCAAGAGGAACAATGGAGGATTCCACTCAGTAGGGTCTATGTATTCTATTATATGCGTAAGGAGGAGGTGCAATGAGAAGGAAATGATGATCAGAAGGCTTTCTTTAACCTAGAATCATCGTATATCATTCATTTTGGCCCTTCATATTTAAGACTCCCCCTTCAATGATTTGTCTGGAGTAAGAGGATGAGGGAATGTACCAGTAGGATGGTAGGCATGGTCCAGGTTTTCCACCCCCCGACAGCATTACTTTTCTTAGGACCATGTAGGCTAGAACTTGGGTTTGAAAGCGGTGTTGATACAATAGAACCGGTGACTTCTGCCGTTGTAATAGTCGTGGTGACAGGCTCGACAGTCGTGCCTGGTATTGTTGTGCCTAAAACCGTGGCCCCAAGGAGGGTAAGGGGCGACATCAATTCCACGGTCATGGTACTGAGAAATAACGAGTTGGAGATCTCCATTGAAATGGTAGAGAGAGGTAATAGGACGGGTTCGGATGTGACAATACCCAAAATCGTCGAAGGTGCCACAGTGGATGGAGGAATCGTCGTTCCTGGTAGCGTTGTGGTAAGGGTGAGAGTAACTAGGCCACCAAGACCACTGGGTGGAACCGCAGTCCCTACCCCTGATGCTGTAAATTGGATTGGCATCGGGAGGATCGCAGTATTGGGTTTTGCACCCCCGTTGGAAGAATAAATATTCCCCATGCTCCCATTGTGCAGGGTATAGTCTCCAGTCTCCAAGTTGGCAGTGCTGCCATCCGCTGATGTGTATGCGCCTCCCACGACCGTCCCGTAGCTGCCATCCGGGAGATAGTAATCGGTGGTAAATTTGTCATAGCAAAAAGGAATTTCAAGAGTAGCCATGGTGAGGCAGGAGAGCGTCGATATACAGCATAGCGAAGGCTGCGAAGCCGTGTCTCTATCGGAAAGGAAGCGCTTGTCGGATGGGAGGGAGGAGGAAACGATGTCGACGAAAAGGCCTTGGAACTCTGCTGTGCCAATCTGTGGGGTGGCGTTGGATGTAGCTCCTGAGGAAGTGCAAAGCGTGAATCCGGCCGAGCAATCTCCATTGGATGCTCGAAGAGCAGCTGTGCCGAGCGCGTTGGCTGTTAGAACTGCGGCTGCGAGTTGATGGAGACGCATGATGTTTATCGGAGATAGAACCGTCATTCTGCTCTAGGTGATGCGCCAATGTTGCCAGACTCGTTGCTGGTGCTGGCATAGGAGTCAAATCCAGAAGAAACGAAAATATACACACGAGTTGAAGGAGTGCGGTTGCAATGTATTTATATGCACCTGCTCGCAGATGCAGCCATCCGGCAGAGAGATACGGATCAGATCAAACACTGCAAAAGGTATTGCTTCTGGTGCCACGGGGCTTCTAACTGGCAATTTGGTGATTCACCACCGCGGCGGCAAGCTGCAGGTAGGATGGTATGGAGACGAAGGCCATATGGCCCATATCAAGGGTGCTCGAGTGCGCGGGCCCAAGGGGATAAACTTAGATCAAGATGCATAATCAAATCCCTATTGTCTTGAGACCAGCCAGTCAAGCAGATGACAATTGTGTTGAAGTCGTACGGAACTGCCGCACATCGACTTTTCTTCTCTTTGGAACGAGGCCCCAGCCGGAACATCTCTTATAGCCTTATAGGAACCAGTGGTAGGTGATTCTCTTGACAGCCAATGACATGGCGATATCAAAAGTGCACCCTTTTCCTCTTTTTGATTGTTCAAGAAGAGTATTAGAAATAACAGGAAGAAGACTCTTAGAAAAAACGTGGGAGAAAGAAGCGATAGGTAAGAGTGTCTGAATCTGCAAAGAGCATTCCTTGGACCTTGATTCAGTATTTATATGCGTGCTCTAGCATAAACAATGAAAAATATACACAAAAAGAAAGGGAAAAAGGTATGAAGATGGATTCCTATTGCCAAGGATTTCATTAAAATGCTCGACGGCCAAGACAATAGGGCGGGAAAGAAGACGGGTATTAGTCAGCATCTCGGGCGCGTGTTTCCCCGTCTGACAGCCGAAAGTTCCGCGGTTCGGGAGTTCGGGAGTTCGGGAGTTCACAACACCAGCCACAGGCATCCACATCCTTCGCCTTGCTGCGCCGCGATGCGTCCGCCTATCAGCCGCGCCCCTCGTCTCGTATTATTCCCTGCTGCCTTCTGCCTCTCTCCCTCTCACTCCTCTCACTCTTCTCTTTTCTTACCCAAAACTTCCTTCCCATTCCCTTCTCATTCCCTTTCCATTCCCTTCCCCTTCCTTTTCTTCCCCTTCAACTTCAACTTCAACTTTGATTTCCATTTACTTCCCTCTGTCGTCGCTCATTTGTTGACATCCTCCATACCATATCATCTTCCTCGACCAACATGCCCTTTCTCGCCGGGAGCCTCGTCCAGCGCGGCCTGGACGCTTATGCCCAGGCTGATCACGAAAACACGACGTATCAGGTGCCACGCTGGGGAATCTTGATGATTGGCTTCACGGCCATGGTCTTCCTCTTCATCTCGGCCATGGTATGCTCCGTTCTTTCAGTGCCTTGAAAATACAACCGACAGCCCGCTGACTCGCAGCAGATTAATTACACCTTTGGCCGTCTTGTGCCCACGCTTATCATGATCGAGTCTCCCGATGCCTTCCTCTTCGAACCCCTCTCCACTATCGATCCCGACGCAGCCCTCGATGGCAACGACGCGGCCGCCGATTCAAAGGTCGTCGGAAAGCCCATCACGTCCTCGTTCCGCCGCACTATTAAGCACCTGCAATCCAAGGGTGGTTTCCGTGCTTGTTTCCGTGGCTTCAGCGTCTCTGCCGTCTATACATTTCTCGCCTCATCAATCGCAACACCAATTTCCGCCTTGCCCTTCATCCCAAGATGCGTTGGTCCCGTCGTCGCTTCAGTCGCGTTGGCCACTCTCTCCATGACGTGGACTCACATCGTGATCTCGGACCCAAACCCAAAGCCCTGGTACCGACGTCTCGCGCCTCTCAGATCGTGGAAGAAAATTGCTGCGCCAGCCGCCGCTCTCGCTGTTGCCGAGCAACTGGCCGTTTTCGTGCCCACTGCTCTCGGTAGGCTTTACGGCTTCCAAGACTTGCCCCTGACCGCGCCCGTCATGTCAGGCCGCGAGAAAGGAATGTTGGCTCCCAAGGCTTTCTCCATCTTCGTCATCGGTCTTGTTCTTGCATGCTTGCTCGTTCTCCCAGCAGAGGTCATCCTGACCCGTGTCCAAGCCTCGCTCCTCGATGATGCCGAGGAGACCATTATCCCCTTCGACCGCACCTTCGGCGGCAAGGTTGAACCTGAGATTGTGGGTGGATCCGGTGTCATCGGCATGCTTGAAGCATGGAAAACCTTCGAGTGGGGCTCCCGTCTCAGACTCTTGAAGGCTTACGGAAAGGTTCTAGCGATGCAGTTTGCGGTGGCTGTCTTCTTCACCCTAATTTTCGCTGCTCAGATTTACCTTGTCGTAGGCAAGGATCTCGCTAAACTCTTTCCAGACAATGGAAACAACGGAAAGGAGACTGAAATTTAGATTCTATTGAAATCACATAAGCAGATGTCAATAGATTTCAAGCCCTGGATCATCACTCCGTGTGTATGGCCAGAGGGGAGTATTTCCGGAGGGCTATGATTTCACTTGCAACGGCCGCTACCCGGGTGGAAAGCAAAAAGGGTTTTGGGGGGAGGGGCTGGACGATAATAGGCGTTAAATGGACATAATGCAAGCTGATCTCGAAATTTCTCTCGAACAATATCACCAATGTATCCCCCGATTGAAATACAACTCTTCCCTTCCCCTAACTCCCAACCTTGCCCGACTCTCCAACCATCTGCCTCCTCCGCGAACAAATAAGGAATCAGGGGAGCAACGCCGCAGGGTATTCTTCTCTTCCCTATCGGTGCCATACGAGGACTCAGGTATGTCCGATGCCAATACGAAAGTTTGTCTTAACTATCAACCTGCATGCATTCCTATCTAAGGTATGCCATGTACGGGGTATAGCCTCCTCCGAAATGGGATAACCGCATGATCTGGGATCGCAATGTAATGTAGGTAGATGATACTGAACCCGCAGCTACTGTATATGCGGAGTGAAGAGGGTTCCCGATTTCCCCGGCGGGTCGGTCCGCGGTTCCGATTGCTACCTACGTAGAGGGGTTTGCCTCTTGTGCTTGGTTGGCTGGTGGTTGGTATTGGAGAGGGGGGTACCTCCGGAGGGTCCTATTTTTATCAGGTGGTTGGATAGGAAGAATGTTGTTTCTGATAATCGGCTTTTGATTTGCAGCTGGACATGCGCCACGTTTATCGATAGACACACAGCCAAGCAACTCCAGCTTTGCTCCAATAGAAGTGGCAAGGGACTGGGCTTATGTTGAAGAGGGTGTCGAGGCGGATCAACTGATCCAACTATCGAACTGGTTCATGCAGATTGCAGATGTTACGCGTGATGGGTATAAGTAAATGATCTGGACGTGAAGAAGAGAGAAAGACAATGACAAAAGAAGGGGAAGATGCCAAGTTCAACTAGAATAAACTGAAATGAATCTTCAACATTCCTTATACATTACGGTATTGTTTGGGGGTTGAGAAGTAAGTAGGTAGAATTGAAGACCTACCTAGCGGGTCACAGTGGTGCTCCGTACAGGGTCCTGGGGCACCGTACGCAGCGTCTCTCTGCTAGCGCTGCACGAAAAGGGAAAAGTCCGATCACAAAGAGAGATCCTTGTGCATCTGCACAATTCATATTCATCCCCCCCCCGTGAGACCTTCACCTTCGCATCTCGTGATCTGTTGATTCCAGCTTCTCCTCCTCCTTTCCCTCTTCCCTCTTCTCCCTTCTCCCTTTTTCCTTCGTCCCCTTCATCCCCTTCTCCGCCTTCTTTTCTCTCCCGACGGGCCTCTTTGAGGACTGTGGGGCAAACGATTTGTTGGCCTCTCCCGCCATCCTCGAATCCAATTGAGGCGCCGTTCACCTTGGGAGCTGGATGACTAGAGCGCTCTGTACGAGACTGAGACACCACTCATTGACGTGCTTCTCCAGGACCATCGCATACAAGCCCGCTGCCAACCTGACTGCTCCCTTGTTGCCTGCGTCCCAGGTCCGGATACCGCGATATTGGAAGCCGCATCCACCGACCGCCGCTTCATCAAAATCTTCTACAAGCACCCGAGCCTTCCACACCACGTCCCGTAATAACATCAACAACACCGCAGTCATGAACGGAGCAAATGGCACACCGCGCGGGAAGCGCAAGCAACACCCAGGCTCGGCGGCGGAGCGGCCTCAGAAACAACATCGAGCTGTGAACGGGAAAGAGTCCGCGGGACAGAACACCCCGGAAGTGAACTCAATGTTCGAGGAGGAGATGGAGATGGAGCTGGAGGAGAGTAGAGTTGTCCCTGGCCTGGCAGACACGGCAGAGTGGCAGGCGGCGATCGAGAAGGTCGTTCGGAATGTCGTCTCGATACGTTTCTGCCAGACCTGTGCCTTTGACACGGATCCCGCATTGACCAGCGAGGCTACGGGTTTCGTCGTTGATGCAGAGAGGGGGTGGGTTCTGATCTTACCATGTGGAAATGGAACGCGCTGATTGCTTTGCAGATACATCATGACCAATCGACATGTCGTGGGCGCGGGTCCCTTCTGGGGATACTGCATATTCGATAACCACGAGGAGGTTGACGCCTACCCTGTCTACCGTGACCCTGTTCACGATTTCGGGATCCTTCGATTCGACCCCAAAGCCATCAAGTACATGCCCGTTACTGCTCTACCCTTGCGACCGGACCTCGCCAAAGTGGGCGCAGAGATTCGAGTCGTTGGTAACGATGCAGGTGAAAAGCTCAGTATTCTTTCCGGTGTTATCAGTCGGCTGGATAGAAATGCACCGGAGTATGGAGATGGTTACTGCGATTTTAATACCAACTACATACAGGCTGCGGCTGCTGCAAGCGGCGGAAGTTCTGGCAGTCCGGTGGTTAACATCGATGGGTATGCTGTTGCATTACAAGCTGGAGGTAGGAGTGATGGTGCGGCTACCGACTACTTTCTTCCCCTCGATCGACCTCTACGGGCCCTCAAATGCATACAAGAGGGGAAACCCATCACAAGAGGAACAATACAGTGTCAGTGGATGATCAAACCATTCGACGAATGCCGAAGGCTTGGCTTGACTCCTGAATACGAGAGCGCTGTCCGAAAGAATTTTCCAAAGGAGACCGGCATGCTCGTGGCAGAGATTGTGTTACCGGAAGGCCCATCGGACAACAAGATCGAGGAGGGGGATGTTTTAATAAAGGTCAATGGGGAATTGCTAACACAATTTGTCCGACTGGATGACATCCTGGACTCGAACGTTGGGAATAAGGTTAAGCTGCAGCTTCAGCGCGGTGGAGAAGACATTCATGTCGAGGTCGATGTTGGGGATCTCCATAAGATCACTCCTGACCGATTCCTCTCCGTGTCAGGGGCCAGCTTTCACGATCTCTCATACCAGCAGGCACGATTATACGCCGTTGCCTGCAAGGGTGTATTTGTTTGCGAGGCCACCGGATCTTTCCGATTCGAGAGCACAGATAATGGGTGGATCATCCAAACCGTTGACCACAAGAAGACCCCTGACCTGGATACTTTTATCGAAGTCATGAAAGGGATCCCGGACAGATCGAGAGTGGTCGTTACATACAAGCATCTACGAGATCTGCACACTCTCAACACCAGCATCTTGCATATCGACCGTCATTGGTCGAGTAAGATGCGCCTCGCTGTCCGAAATGATGAGACCGGTCTCTGGGACTTTACAGATATCGCCGACGCCATCCCACCAGTACCGCCAGTTCGTCGCTCGGCGAGCTTCATCCAACTAGAGAATACCCAACATCCCGCAGCTGCCGATGTTGTACGCAGCTTCGTCCGCGTCTTGTGTCATATGCCGGTCAAGCTAGATGGGTTCCCTCGCAATCGGAAATGGGGGATGGGTGTTGTTATTGATGCAGAGAAGGGTCTTGTTGTCATATCTCGGGCGATCGTACCTTACGATCTCTGCGACATTTCCATCACCATAGCCGATTCGATCATTGTCGAGGGAAAGGTGGTCTTCATGCATCCGCTGCAGAATTATGCCATCATTCAGTATGATCCTTCTCTCGTGGATGCTCCGGTTCAGAGTGCCAAGTTGAGCACGCAGCACGTGACGCAGGGGGCTTCCACGTACTTTGTTGGCTTCAACCAAAATATGCGCATTGTGATCGCCCAGACGACCATCACCGACATCACTGCCGTGGCAATCCCAGCAAACTCAGGAGCCCCTAGATACAGAGCGGTGAATGTTGACGCAATAACAGTGGATACGAGCCTGAGCGGTCAGTGTGGAAGTGGTGTGCTTGTTGGGGAAGACGGGACAGTGCAGGCCTTATGGCTGACATATCTTGGTGAACGATCGCCAGTCACCCAAAAGGATACTGACTACCATCTCGGTCTGGCGACGCCGACGCTACTGCCGGTCATCAAGCAGATTCAACGAGGCGAGAAGCCCAAGCTTCGAATGCTCAGCGTAGAGTTCAATGCAATCCAAATGAGTCAGGCGCGTATCATGGGTGTATCAGAAGAATGGATCAAGAAAGTAGCCGAGGATAACGCCTCGCGTCATCAACTCTTCATGATCCGGAAACGGACCTTTGAGCGTGGGGAAGAAGCCGGGGGACTTCTCGAGGGCGATGTCATCCTCACCCTGAACGGAAAGATTATCACTCGCGTGTCTGAATTGGATGTCATGTACGACCATGAAGTCCTTGATGCAGTTATTGTCCGAGACTGTGTTGAGATGAATATCAAGCTCCCTACCGTCCCGGCAGATAACCTCGAGACTGACCGATTGATCTCCTTCTGTGGCGCTATACTTCACCGTCCTCACCATGCTGTCAGGCAACAGATCAGCAAGTTGCACAGTGAAGTGTATGTTTCTGCAAGAACCAGAGGAAGCCCCGCGTATCAATATGGATTGGCGCCAACGAACTTCATCACACATGTTAATGGGAAGCCGACCCCGGATCTGGAAACCTTCTTGAAGGCGGTAGTGGGTATTCCGGATAATACTTGTAAGCCCTTCCCAGCCCCACCTTCCTCTTCTTCCCCGTATTTTATCACCGAAGTGATGGAACTTCCGAACACTTACTGACTGTTTCTAAATAGATTTCCGAATTAAAGCCATGACCTTTGACAACGTCCCATGGGTTGTCACGATGAAGAAAAATGACCACTACTTCCCCACTACGGAGTGGGTCAAAGACCCTTCTGAACGCGATGGCTGGAAGAGAGTCACATATGAGCAAGGGAAAGCGGTTCAAGGGGAGGGTCATGATGGCATTAGTATTACCGGGGCCGATGATTCCGAGATGGACGCGGATATGTAAAAGAAAAAAAAAAGAAAAAGAAAAAGTTCCCAGGTCCTAGAAGAGAGGGGAGCTCTGAAAAGCGTCATCATTCTTGGAACAGAGGATGACACTGCATGATATGGCAGTTATGGATTATTGAATGGTAAGATGGGACGAGGACAAACCCAGGCTTTGATAGAGCCCGCTGTGTATGTATACTTATGTATGTATGTATGTCTGCATAGCAACGGGATGGGTTGAAGGAATAGACCAATGGAAGATACCATGGGCTGGGAAGAAAGTCAACGGGAGATGATGCGGAATGTGATCACGTGATGTGAATGTTGATATCTTACCGTAGTGACCCACCGAATGAACTTACAAGTAATGTTAGGTAAGGTAGGTAAGGTATCTTAAGTATGGTTTGTGTAGTTTGTAAAAGATGGCTTTAGTAGTTGGTCTGGGTTGCGTGCAAATACCTTCCCTGGTATTAGGTATAAGGTATCTAGATAGTCTAGAGCGAGGTACTGGGGACTTTAGTGTCGAGGCCATCGATAACGGATAAAACAGAGAGGAGACAACTCGACAAGGAGAAGAGAGAAAGGCACGTCTCCCTCGAGCCCTCCCTTGATGGCGGATCAGCGGTCGATGTGGAATAGGGAACTCAACGTCCAAAGGCACAATGGAAGGTACAGGGTACCTCTGCCTCCTCGAAAAAGGGAGAATGAATAAATTAATTCCTCTGTTTTGCCCCGCGACTGCCTTGACGCGTCTAGCCAGTCAGTGTCTGACCGTAGGTACCTTAGGTTCTAGAGTCTCGAACAAGAGCAGGAACCGCCAATTGTTGTTGGTTGCTTTTGCTGCTTTGTCTTGCCAGTAGGCGCACCGTGGAAGTTTGTTCCCCGCCGGATGAGCTCTACTCTCTTTACCCCTTTGACAACCTCCCATCTGGTGCTTTGGTCATTTTATTGTCCCACTTCCTCTCTCTCCCCCTTGAATCTTCTGGTCATTTGATTCTTTGGGTGCAAGGAACCATATACACAGCAGCAAGCAGTCTTCTATGTTGCATCCTTGGTCCCGCACCTCCAACTACCCTTGCACTGCCGTGGACCTCCCCGCAAACAGCCAACGCGGTGACTGATTCACTGGACCAACCCCCTCCGTTGTCCTCCTCTTCTTCTTGTTCCTTTCGCCATGCCATCTTTCCAAGGCAAACCGGGCAAAAGAAAAGGTCCAACCCCCATCGCGTATCGCCATCCGGGAGATGTTTGGGGTCGCACGTTCAAGTTGACGGGGTTGGAGCCTATGAGCTCGAACAGCGCTGCGTCGACACCAACACCAACCCCAGCACCAGCAGTCATGGCGACTTCCAGTACCTCCATATCTGGCCCCGGCTCTCTCCCCGCGTCCGCGAAGAAATCTATCTTGGATCTGCCGTCAGAGACTCAAAAGGATATCTTCAAGCATGTGAGTCTCGATCTACTCGATCTACAAGGCTGATATGAGCGGATCGACGAGAGCTTGAAGTTCCAGCTGACATTCTACCGAACAGGCTTCCACTACAGACCTCCTCGCGCTCTCTCTTGTCTCGAAACACTTTAGGGACATTGCTGCGGGGCAATTATACCGAAGCTTCCACATTGTCTTCCCAGACCAGGATGACCCTTTGAGTAACTCACCCATCGACAGCTTGGCCGGTGGTCTTGATACCTTCGTAACCAGCGATTATAACTATGCCAAATACCTGAAGGAGATCATACTAGAACCGTTGAGTGGGGGAGAGAAAGGGGAGCGTGCCTACGCAAACTTTCTGTATGATACGAGCTGCGGCAAGTTCATGAACACGATGCTCCTCATGGCTTTGCGGAAGGCTACAGCTCTGGAGACATTCAAGTAAGATCGCCTTGGACCGAGCAAGTCAATCTCCTTCTGACATCTTTAGGTGGGATATTCGTGTCGAGCTCAGTCGCGAGGTCTTCAAAACACTACATGGGATCAAAGCATTACAACATGTCCATCTTCGAATGCAGGCTGGCCGTTCGATCCACCATGCCTCCTCCCCAGCAGCTTCGCATTCGAACACCCCTCCCCTAGTCGCTACATCTAACCCCACTCCCGCCCCGCCCCCGCATTCCGTCGCTGTCGGCCTGCCGTTATTTGCGCAGCTCCACGCCGGAAGCTTCAGCAACCAACTCGGGGCTGGAAGCATACTCGCGTCAAAAAGTCCCAAGACAGATATCAATGTATCCCTTTCCAGAACTCGCAAGGTGCAGCCTACATTTTCGGGCTTCAAAAACTTGAAGACGTTGGAGATACTAGACATGGATACACTTGAATACATCTCGGAGATCAGAGAATGCGTCAATAACTCTTCTGCAACCATGAACACCCTTAAGCTCTCCTTTTCTGAGGCTCTGGCATGCAAGTCACGAAAGCCAATACCCGAAACTCCCTCGGACAGCGACTCTGATCAGGATGATGGGTTTCCATCGATGCCACCACCGCCTATATTTCCATCGATGATGCCACCACCTGGCCCACCTCCCCCTTCTGGCTTGGCGCCATTAGGCACAACTGACATCAATACGCCTTCAAAACCTCTCAAGGCACAGGAAGAAAAGAAGAGACAGGAAGCTGTGCTTGGAAGAATTTTTGGTCTAGAGTCAGTTAAAGCGAAGCACATGCCCTCCCAGCATGTAGAACCGGAGAAGAAACCCACAGAAGATTTCAAAAATCTCATCGAGAGTCTTGCTCCGCTAGCTTCGCTAATGAACTTATTGATGGCAGCCGTCAATGATGGCTGTAGGAGTGAGATTGCAGGACCTGGGAAGGAAATTATTGACAAAATTACAAAAGCCGCAAAGTCGTATCTGGATGCTTCTAAAGAGTCGAAGGTTCCTGGTGCAAAGTCTTCTCTGGTCGAGATTCCCAAAACTAATACTACCAAGGCAACCTCTTCTTCTTCAACCACAGACGCGAATGATGGGTCTCAGTTGAGTGTGCCAATGTCCGATGCTGTTAAGCCTGGTCTTTTTGACGAACCTGAGACAAAGACAAAGAAAGCCAATCCTGATATTGCCAATCCGGATGATATCGATGTCGAGGCGCCCGAAGAACAGGAGCTTGTAGACGAGTCTGGACCTCAACAAGACACAGCTGAAATATTAGGTCAGGATGCTGATGCTAGCATCGTCGATGAATCCACAAACCAGACACTTGACACTATCAACTCGAGTACCAACGTGCGAGATCAGGAGCATAAAGTCACCGCTGGCACTTCCTACATGTACGATGCTCTCTTGAAAGAGAAAGTAGATATGATAAAGCAGATAGAGGAATTGAACGCACAAAGCGCGTCAGGGGAAATTCACGAGAGCAATTATCAAAAGCTGGGCTCCAGGCTTAATGCCAGGGTGGAGTGGATTACTAGCCACCTTGAAGAGCTTGGACGCCTCAAAAAAGTCAAAGCTGGGACCGATGAGCTGGCAAACGAAGAGGCACAGATGAGCGAGTATATTCGCAACACCCGCGGACTAACCCTCCAGAGGCTCGCCATATATCTGATCCCCGTCAAAGCTTCCGTGCTCTACCGAGCTATTGACCTAACTGTCCTGCAGGAAATCACACTCCTCAACGTCGGCCCCCAAACACCTTTCTGGAACGTCTTGGAGAAGGAAAACAGGGTTTCTCCCCTTCCGCTAAGGAAGATCCACACAGACAATGTGACCTTACCCTTCTTGACTCTAGTCAACCACCTAGAGTGTGTAGAAGAGTTGCTGTTGCTGGAGAGAAAGTCGAACCCCCGGGTTGAAAGTACCACCGCCAAGACGACGGTGACGATGGATCAAATCCGACATCAAGCACTAAAGAAGCATGCGAGTACATTGAAGGTGTTGATGATCCGAAACGATGCAAGTTTGGCATGGGATTTGAACATCAAGTCTGCAATGTTGTTGTGCCGGCACGCCAAGCAGTTAGAAGAGCTGGCGGTTAGCTTTGGCACTCGGACAATGGTATGTTATTCTCAGAGCATCTTCATCTTCGTTTGATGATATGGTAAGCTGACGTACGCAACAGCATACGCTCCTTCAATTTATCACTGGGCTGACCAACCTGCGTGCCCTGCATACGATCCAATTCCGTCATGAGGACCCTTGCATGTGGGTTATGCGAGAATTTCGCAAGTTTGCCGTTGACAGCATCTCGCACAGTCCTGAGATGAAACTCGAATATCTCGCCCTAGACTTGACTGTTGAACGTCTTGTTCGCCGTCCGCCCACTAAGGAGGCTGGTAAGAAAGCTAAGGGAAAAGAAAAAGATGGCGGACTCTCGACTAGTGTTGGAACGGCCAACGGCGAGGCTACAGAGGGGAGTGATAGCGATGAGGATGAAGAGGTCGGTGGGAAGACGGGTCTTAAAGTGGAGACGATAGACGGAATCCGTTTTTCTGACATTGATGGAGTGCGAATCTTCGAGAAAGATGTCCTGGGCGGTCGTTTGTAACTATTGACGACCCCAGTGCATACGTGATGAGACATGACATAGGAGTTTGAGCGCGCATGGCATTGGGGCATGGCTATAAGCATGAGTTTAGGACTGGATGGGCGGTTTGTTTTTGTAAGCAATAAAGCATAGTGTATGGGTATAAGCATCCTCTTCTGGTATCCACTACGAGATGTCGCCAATGAACGTCTGGAGCCAACACTTAATTTGATGGATCGTACGACGGTACGAGAAAGCTATTAAACAGGGCTTGCTAATTCAAGCAACTCTGAACAGTGAAAAAGAGGAAAGGATATACTAAGGTCTTGCAGTACTCCTCCCTCTTCATATTCAAAAGTTTCATACCAATATATCTCAAAAATGGATCGCGCTGTAGCAGTGTGGCAATACATTCAACCTCAACCTCTTTCATCTTCTTATTGTCCACGTCGGCATTGTAGGCCTTTGTCTTCTCGAGGCCTTCTTCGTACTGTGTCAACCGGGCTAACTTCTGCGTCATGAAGGTTTCTATCCCTTCTATCCCGTGGAATTCCTCCCTACGCCGCCCTGACTTCTCAATACCTATATGATGTCGCAGTTGCGTATAAGAAAGGCTGTTAGCATCATGAAAATGATTTTGCTGATAAGCTCAAGGAGCACTGTGACTTGGGTCGGCATCGCGGGACGAGGACTTCCAGGATGGTTTCCCTCCATCATCCGCTTGTAGTATGCACCTCTGTCCTTTGCTTCGGGCCACCTTTGCTTGATGGCTGCTCTGTGATCGTCGCATATGAAGACTGCCTTGGTCGACTCCGCAAATTCTCTGCCCTCGCGTTCTAGGCATCTTCGCGTGTCGGTTAATCTAGTATCCGCCTAACCATCTTAGGCAAGTCTAAGGATTGGGGCTGATTTAAAGTTATCCTATCAAACCTTATCTATGGCCTCGGGTAGATATCTCCCCCGCGTATCTCTCAGCTAGGGTACCTTACCTAATCAATTGCGGGTTGACAGGTAGATGGAGCTTTGCCAAGGGGGTTTATATTATATCGGTTTGTGGACCCACTTCATCCCATTCTTCTTTACTATGGCCTGTCTTCTATAACTAGTACGTATACTATAGAGATAAAACGTCTGCTCACAACTGATGTCTTCAGTCCCGCATCTACGGCTCATATTCCATCATGACGGCCTCTGATTTGCCCGTGTTCGTCCCAGAGCATGGGGTTCACATGAGTCTCCCCTTCGCCATCTACGGCACAATAATCCACTCCGTCTCTGTTGAAGAGGTAGAAATCATTGACCGAGGTCTTCTAGTGATTGGTTTGGATGGGAAGATCCTCCTGTTTCAGAAGGGCATTGCGCGCGAAGATGTTATCAGCGTTCTGTCCGGTTCTGGATTCAACCCTAGGGCTCTTCTGCTCCGCGTGCTAAAGCGGGGAGAGTTTCTGATCCCCGGATTTATTGATACTCATAACCACGCCCCTCAATGGACTCAGCGGGGAACTGGACGTGGCAGGCTTATCATGGACTGGCTCAACACCGTAACCTTTCCTCACGAGGCGAGATTTGAGGATCCGGAATACGCCAGAGAAACATATGCAGACTGCGTAGATGGCTTTATTAAGCAGGGAATTACGACTGCATCATACTACGGCTCTCTTCATGGAGAGGCTACCAAGATTCTTGCGGATATATGTCTAAAGAAGGGTCAGCGAGCTTTCGTTGGGAAATGCAACATGAATATCAATTCGCCGGACTTCTACAAAGACGCCAGCGCTGAAGTGTCGCTTCAAGTTACTGAAGACTTCATCACCCACGTTCGCAAGATCGATCCGAAATCAACGCTTGTTACTCCTATCTTGACGCCTCGTTTCGCTGTTGCGTGCGACCGTGATGTGCTTTCAGGATTGGGCAGGCTTGCGGCCAAGAATTCAGATCTGCCCATCCAAACCCACTTCGATGAGACCGAGCAGGAGATGGAAATCACAAAGGAACTCTACCCTGAATTCGCCAACGAAGCGGATCTCTACGAACACTTCGGATTGTTGAATGAGCGATCTATCCTTGCACACTGTATCTACGTCAATGAGTATGAAATGGGTCGTCTGAAAGACCTCAACTGTGGAGTTGCACATTGTCCCGTGTCTAACACTACCGGTGGCAGTTTTGGAGCCGCCCCTATCAGGGAATACCTCCGCCGAGACATCAAAGTTGGGCTTGGAACAGACAGTGGCGGGGGCTTCTCCTCGTCAATTCTCGATGCTATGAGACAAGCATTCATCGTCTCCAAAGCGAGAGAGTTGGCGACTGGGGGCGCAGACAAGCATTTATCACTCAATGAATGTTTCTATCTGGCAACATTAGGAGGAGCTCGAGTATGCGGTCTGGACCAGAAGATCGGGAATTTTGCAGTTGGGAAGGAGTTCGATGCGCTGGAGATAACTACACGGAAAGAGCATCCGAGTATTATTACACCAGTTGAAGATATCGACTCAATGGAAGATATCTTCGAGAAATTCCTGATGAGTGGAGATGATAGAAACATCGCTAGGGTTTATGTTAGGGGAAGATCAATCAAAAACCAGCCGTAGATGCCTCTAGTATCAAGTAGAGGGTAAAGGGTCAATTCAACTTATTAAGCATAGGAGCACATTAAATAGTATTCTTGATCACAATGCCAGTGCTCCTATTAGTGTAAATCTAGGTAACCAACCGGTAAAGTCCTCACTATGTACACCTAAATATCTACCTTATACTGCAAAATGGACCGAACTTTTGCCGAAAACAGGGGTATTTTTTCGCATTCTTATTGGCCCGCTTCCCCGTTCGATGCCTTAGGCCTCTACACGTGCCGTACGCCGCTATCTTAGCTATCCTACCTACCTACCTACCTACCTATATATTTTTACGTGTTTATATCCCCCTTCTACCTGAACAGGCACTCGAACAGGCACTCGAACAGGTACTCGAACAGGCACTCGAACAGGTACTCGAACAGGCACTCGAACAGGCACTCGAACAGGCACTCGAACAGGCACTCGAACAGGCACTCGAACTAGCATGCTACAGGTACTACTACAAGCGGCTATACAGGTAGCCCTACAGGTAAGTAGCCCTATAGGTAAGTGGCTCTATAAGTAGCTCGACAGGTAGTTATACAGGCTCTTAACAGGTTAGCGGTTTAAGGATAAGGGTTACACTAATAGGCATATAGTAGCGTTTTCGAGGTATATAACGGCGTCGAATCCGAGTGTTTTTGAGGCATATAATAGCGTCGAATCCGAGTGTTTTTACTAGCATATAACGGCGTTAAACCTGAGCATTTTTGAGGCTATATAACGGGTTAGATTCGAGCGTTTTCACTAGCATATAAAAGGGTGAAATTAGAGCGTTTTTACTAGCATATAAAGGCGTTGAACCCGAGCGTTTTTAAGGCTATATAACAGGTTGAATCCGAGTGTTTTTACTGGCATATAACGGCGTTGAACCCGAGCGTTTTTGAGGCTATATAACGGGTTAGATTCGAGCGTTTTCACTGGCATATAAAAGGGTGAAATTAGAGTGTTTTTACTGGCATATAACGGCGTTAAATCAGAGCGTTTTTAAGGCTACCTATATAACGGGTTGTATTCAGAGCGTTTTTAAGGCTATATAACAGGTCGAAACTAGCGTACATAATCAAACAGCCTACAGTTTCTGTTACAGTAGTAAAATCAGTATAACCTCAAAAGACTTGGCTTCTGCCCCTGTGACTAAGCATTGTATTTGCGCGAGCGAAGCGAGCTATTGCATCCTAGTATCTCCTGCCATCTTAAAACAAATCAGTAGGTTCTTGCTACAGGTGGAACCGATTTGCACTCATTTTCATCAAGCGTTGTGGCCACCACCTTCCGATACCCAACTTTGACTTCATCGCCTTCCGCTTGCTGCCAAGTCAGAGTGTGCTTCATCCAGTTCTCATCATCCCGTTTTGGAAAGTCTTCCCGAGCATGGCTCCCCCTACTCTCCTCCCTAGCAAGCGCGCTCTTCGCCGTCTGTACTGCACAAGTCATCAAGTTCCGCATCTCTAGTGTCTCGATCAGGTCGCTGTTCCACACGAAGCTCCTATCCGACACACTTAACCTATTCATGAAATCCTTCTCCACGTTCTTAACGGCTGAGAGGCCAGCGTTGAGAGACTGCCCGGTTCGGAAGACGGCAACGTCGGCCTGCATGGCTTTCTGCATAGAAGATCGCAGCTCAGCGGTCTTCATGTCCCCATCGGCGTTTCGAAGCCGGTCCAGGTCTGCGATAGAGGCGCTGCCGATGTCTGAGGGTGCTTTAACATGGGGCATACCCCTCTCGTTGTTCTCGGCGATGTGGAGAGCGCAGGCTCTCCCGAAGACCACGATATCTAACAAGGAATTTGCGCCTAACCTATTCGCCCCGTGGACACTTACGCAAGCGGACTCGCCAGCGGCATAAAGTCCGGGCACTGTGACTTCTTCTCCAGTTTCTTGTGAAACAGTGAGAACTTGGCCGTTGTAATTTGTTGGGATGCCTCCCATGCAGTAGTGGACAGTGGGGATGACAGGAATAGGTTCTTTTGTAATATCGACGCCCGAGAATATCGACGCTGTCTCCGCAATACCTGGTAATCTCTCCATGAGCAAGTCGGGAGGGAGGTGAGAAAGCTGTAGCATAATATGGTCCTTGTCTGGTCCTGCTCCTCTTCCTTCTCGAATCTCCATATTCATGGACCTAGATACTACGTCTCGACTTGCAAGGTCCTTCGCCGTTGGAGCATATCTCTCCATAAACCTTTCCCCTTCGCCATTTAGTAAATAGCCACCCTCGCCTCTTGCTCCTTCGGTAATGAGCACGCCTGCACCATAAATCCCTGAGGGATGGAATTGTACAAATTCCATATCTTGATTAGGCAACCCGGCACGTGCAACCATTGCATTCCCGTCTCCGGTGGAAGAGTGTGCTGATGTGCATGAGAAATAAGCTCGGCCGAACCCTCCTGTGGCCAGGACAGTGTTCTTTGCAAACATGCGATGTAATGTCCCGTCTTCCATTGAAAGGCATAGAACACCGACACAAACCCCATCAACCATAAGTAGATCGAGCGCAAAGAATTCAATAAAAAAATTTGTGTCGTGCTGTCAGGTGTTAGATCCTCGAATGGCCAAGTCGACAAGTAATAATTACGAACCTTGAGAGCTTGCCCATAAAGCGTGTGAAGCATAGCATGCCCTGTCCGATCCGCAGCACACGCAGTCCTATAGGCCTGACCTCCCTTCCCATAATTCAGACTTTGCCCACCTAGAGCTCTCTGGTAGATCTTTCCATCGTGGGTCCTCGAAAATGCCATACCGTAATTCTCAAGCTCGTACACTGCCTTGGGCGCTTCGCGAGTCATGTAGTGGATTGCGTCCTGATCGCCGAGCCAGTCTGAGCCTTTGACAGTGTCGTAGTGGTGCCATCTCCAATCATCTTCTGTCATGTTGCCTAGAGCGGCATTGATTCCTCCTTGGGCTGCTACTGTGTGTGATCTTGTGGGAAACTGTCAAGTGTTAGATGAGGGGAAAGCCCTGGGAGGCTGATACATACTAATTTGCTTACACATGCAGTGTTGAGACCGGACTCAGTGAGCCCGACAGCTGCTCGAAGGCCGGCTCCACCGGCGCCCACCACGATGGCACTGTAATGCGGTCAGTACCGGCACGAATTTGCGTCGAGGTCTACATACTCGTAGTGGTGGTCAATCAGGGGGATATTGCTGGGAGGAGATTCAACTGTTTGAGCTCTTCGCCGTGATGTCTGTGACACGTATGATCTGCGGAAGGAGAGTCGATGTGATCGTTCGACGGCGCATTGATGGCTTGCCAAACGGCGTGAAAAGCAACGCGCAGCCCGTGGTAGGAAGAGATACATTTCCAAAATGCACACAGATGCAAAGAAGACTTCTCAATCTCACTCTATACCCAATGTCTTGGCTCACTGCAACAGTGTTGATATCGCTGATAGAAGAATGCAGTCTGGCTTGCTCACACTTGAATTCACAGGTGCACTTGCACTAGAGATTCCACCTGTCTAGATGGCGAATTGCTTAGACGATAAAGATATACGACGTCCAGAGACCACCGATCAACCAGTCTGCACAAGTCCTAGAATACCGTCAAATCGGGTGTTGGGGAAGGCCTTGGGCCAGCTGCGGCCCGCGCGGTCCGCACGGCACTGCAAATTCTACAGGTCACCCTCAGGAGCAGAATTGATCTGGCAAATCGGACTCTAACCCTAAGGAGCGCACCGAGGCCACGGGAATGATGGAGAAAAGGAAGCCGATGGGGGATTTGGAAAGATGAACGAATATCAAGAAACAAATAAATAAAGAAGAGAAGAGTTACCGCGCTTATAATCTCTCCCCGCGCCGTGCACTAAGTCACGGGGCCCCGCATTCCCCCGCACCGTTATTGCCGACGCGGCGTTCGCAACTCCGGACTGGAGCTGAACTGTATTGTATGTACATGGCCTTCTAAACTCCCTTGCTGGGCATCATCCAGACCTTTGCCGCCCTGCAATTAGGGCTGCGGCTACTAGACATCTAGAAGTCTGACGTTTGGTTCTTTTATTTCAAGATTTGATGCGGTTTGGAACTGATTGGTATCATCCTGTCCCCACGACTTCATACACCTAGACCAATTCCCAAGCACAAACTCCACCAAATCCAGTACTGCATTTGCCTCTCTTTTCCAAGTACTCCCTTTTGGTCATGCCCCTGGCATCATTTCCATTGATGGTCGTCACGGCATAAACGCTGATTTGTTCGCCTGGTGCCCCAAGATCCTTAGCCCGTACGTCAACCCACCACCAGAATTCGTTGTTTTCAAATGGCACAAAGTCTTTCTTCCTCCCATCCACACCATTGATTTGGAGGACCATGCAGTAGGGTTTCCCACTCCCATTCCTTTCATGATCCCAGTGTTCACACACTTTCGAGAATTGGAACCTGACCGTCTCTCCCGAATTGACTGGTATGTGCTTCTGAGGTGGCGAGAAGGAGGTCTGTGACAAACCATGCTCCTCAACCGTTCCGTAAAGCCGTAAAGGTTCTGCCCCAATGGGGCCAATCATGTACTGTTCCCAAGTCTGTACCCTTCCATCGCTGCGGAAAAAGTATGCGTCGTTTTCGGGAAAGTGCTTGAGTCCGAATTCATCATTCGACATCGTGAAGTATGAAGGCTTAAAAGCCTTGTTGTAAACTTGGTTTCCCACATTACCAGCCCCCCAACAGGCGTCCAGCAGTTTCCACTCACCACCGTCAATGCGTACTGCATTCCAAGCATGTCCAGATGGCTTGCATGGTGGGATCCGGTCTCCAGGTTTCAGCGGGGTGTATCCGTAGCCCTTTCCGTGACCGGTCACCATGACACATTCTAACCCAGCCTTGAGCGCAATTTCAGCGTAGAGACCAGCATAACCTCCACATACTGCGAGTCCAGTAGTGATTGTGTCCTTAGGATCAACATACTTCACATTGTTTCCAAAGAACGCCGCAACGTCGTATGCAATATTGTGATGAGCCCATGTGAATATCGCACGAGCCTTATCAGTAAGGGAAGTAAACGGGCCACACAAAACATCTGCCAAATATGCTGTCATATCGCCGGGAGGCAGAGATTGTCGAGGGTATTGAGAGGCAATTCTATCAGGTTGGGAGAAATCCCTGCAGAGAAGACATCCGGAAGCAGGCGGGTTAGTAGTAGTAGGACGAGACTGAATTGCTCTGATCTGAGCAAGCGATGGTTTTGAGCTAATATTAATCGAAGGCACAGCAATATTCGCCGAATCAGCGCGCAATACCCCAGTCTTCTCTTCCAAAAACCGTACCATATCGTCCAGCTCCGGGATACCTCCATCCTGATACCTCTCGGGCGTTTCATTGTGTCCGTCGAAGAGCAGAATAGTGGGATATTTCGAGATTCCAAACCTTCGATGGAAGGTCGCATGTGTGAAAACATCTGTTTGGGCAATAGTAAGCCTGTTCGATGCGAACGCGAAATCCCGGCCGATCTGTTCCCATGCGGGCTCCATTATCTGGCAGTTCATACAGTGTGGAGAGTAGAACTTGACAAATGTAGGCATCCCACGCTTGACCACACTGTCGAAATCTTGATCGGTAAGCTCCCGAATAATTGGCCTAGCAGATGTCGTATGTGACGGAATGGGTATTGGTGCGGCATTCTGGGGTTCAGTGTTCTTGTTGTCGAATCCCATGGAAAGGATTGACCGAGGCGCAGCCGGTGGTGGTAATCTTCTTGGCGATTGGGCAGATGGTGCATCATCAGCTGGTCTAGACGGGAGCCTTGGTGGTAGTGTAGGTGGTAAAGCTTCCCGCGGTCTCGAAGGTAGCGCTGGGGAGCCACTGGGTCTGGGAGGCGTCTTCGGGGCCAGAGCAGGCGATCGGGACACATTTGGTGCTGACTTCACAGTGATCAATGGGACTTTTGGGGTATTTGTAGCCCTAGCCTGTCCCTCAAGCTTTGCCTTCTCTTCACGCTCTCGTCTAGTTGGGGGGAGGGGGGGTAGCTTCGCCTGATCCAAAGTTGGGGGAAGTTTTCTCTGTGTATCCACTGAAGAAGAACTTGTTACGGAAGATCTACTCGGAGTCTGAGTCAGAGACAAGCCTGAGATTGTAGAACTCATCGAGGAATTCGAAGCTCTGCGAACCAGCTGCGGTGGGCTCTTCCGTGGTGGTAGGGCAGGTGACGGTTGTGACGCTTTTCGACTAGGAAGAGGAGGAGGTACATTGCGAGTAGGAAGTGGAGAGGTATTCGCATTCCCTGCGCTTGAAGGACGAGGACTGTCTCTGTCGATGGGAGGCGGTGGTAATAGATTTCCCTTCGTCCCAATCGGCGGGTTGTTCGACGGCTTCGCAACCGAGGAGCCATGTTGAGATATGGGAGGATTGTTCGTCGTCTGCCCCCGCGCAGGGAGTGCGGGTCGATTCGAAGACGTGGGTATCGGCGGAGGGGCTCGTTTGCCAAATGTCTGATGTCGGCTGTTCTGTGATTGATTCAACGCCGCGATGCGCGCTTGAAGTGACATGTACTGAGGTTCTTCGGTCTCTGCCATCATGGGAGCTGGAGGGCGATCCCACGATGGGATGGCGTTGGTGCCGTGTATCGCGGAGGGTATTCAGGTGGGGCAGGGCTGTGTGGATAGAGTAGACCTTATGGGACAAGCAGTAGGCAGGTCCAGATGGAGCAGAAACGAATGAATGAATGGAAGAATGGGAGAATGAATGAATTGGAGTATTAATCAAAGGGTTGATGTTGAGAAAAAAAGAGAGAAGAGATGGGGGGGGAGGGAATGAGAGAGAGATAGACACATAGCCGCAAGGCAGCGCGACTTTGGTTGGGGGGGCGCGGGACATGTGCAGATACTCTTAGCTCCCGTATGGATAATAATAGGTACCTTAAGGTAAGGCAGGTGGGTTACGGTAAACACCTTGATAGAGTAATAATAACAATACGGAGTAAATATAGACCGATGATCACCTTCCTGCCCCGCCGACAAGGCTGTGCTTGGTGCAGTACTGCGAAAGTCGTGAAGATCATCAGCTCTCCCGATCGATGGCCCGTTTCAAGAGTTCAAGTCACCACGGTCTGCACAGCCATGTACTTACTGTACCCACGTACCTTAAAAAGCTGCAGCAAGGGAAAGCAGATCTAATTCCATCGGCTGCTATAGCCCCCATATCTATCATATCGAAAACAGAAAACTCGCATAAACCGGCGACTACCCGTGGTATATAACACCCAAAGTCCTCATATCCTAACGCTGAATACACATCGTGTCTATCATCAGTCTCCGGCCCGAACTCCAGGCCGCCAGGGTCCCTTTTCGTATCTCATGATCTCCGCTAATAGACAGTTATACAAACAAGGTGGTAGTTATTACATGGGGATGGAAGAGCGAGCGGGTCATTTCAGAAGCCCCCCGACATCTTGTAAAGAAGGCGTCGATTGTTGACGCGACAGGCCGTTTGAGGGTGGCGGGTCATGGGAGGGGTGCTCTTGGAGGATAGTCTGCAGTTCGTAGCTTCGCTGTGCTTGATCTCTAGACCGGGAACCGAGCAGACCACCAAGGTCCTGGAGCAACGCCGAAGAACCGCGTCGAGCTGGCGGCGGAGAAAGGCCGTATTCATGGGACCAGCGCGAATACAGGGGCCGTTGGCTTTCGCCGTCTGTTTCGGTTGTCCTCGTCGAACTCTCTGGTCGTGGCCGGTCCCCATCCAGTAATCCACCCACGTCGAAAAAGGAGACCCTCCGAGGAGAGATGGCGGAGTTGAAATCTCCTAAGCTGTGACCTCGTTCGGGGCTCTCTATCTCCTCGCTGGAATCGCCCCTTCCCGCCGTAAATTCCCAATCCCTCCTCATCCCCGTGTTGCCCCCATCCACGGATATGTTTCCAGCCACGGCCATCGGAGCCGGTCGCGGGACGTTCCAAGTAGATCCTCGTAGCTCCGGGTTCACACCAAGGCCTAAATCACGTACGAGGTCTTCATCACTGCCCCAGTGTCTCATTGCTGTCCCCCTTCGGCTTGTAGTTCGCTCCACGCTATCGGTAAATGACCCAAATTTCCATCTCTGTTTCTTTACCCCCCTGTCGCGAACAAAGGATCCTAAGATCAGGGCATTGGCAACCACCGTAGCAAACAAGATCTCCACCGACGCCAAAAGCGAGCGGTACTGCTGACTGCCCTGTCGATCGAGTATATTTGGTATCCGATAAAGGGTCGTTCCAGCGGGAAGAAGAGACCCGGCGAAAAGAGCGACAAGCTGCAACTTTCTCTTGAACTTCATCCTTGATCGGATAATGATGGGGATGGGGAAGACCACGAGAAGGATATCTGTCACCACGTCTGCTGTACCCATGGTGATGAGTTGTGCGTAACCTTGTCGACACTTTGCTCCCGGATCCGGAACGACCTGCCAGTAGTGATCTATGGGTTGGCACTCAGCCAGATCTGCGATGACGACCGCAACAAACGTGACCAGGAGAAACCATCGTATGCATTGGAGCGTGATTTCGTAGGATCGCCGCCAAATGGTGAGAGTAAGACGTTTGAAGAATTCGCTGATCGCGAGCTTGAGCATCCAGAGCCTTTATAAACAATGTCAGCTATCCGAATCTAGTTTCCCTGGGGGAGCAACTCACGTCGCAGCGTAAAAGATCCTTGATGCCAGCACCAACCTACTACCAATGGACCGGCGATATATATCTTCGGCGGAAAGACCCGTGGTGATGGCATTGTTCGTGCCATATAGCAGCACGACGTGTACAAAGGCCATGCGACAGAGAAGCGGAATCATGCTGGCAAAAGCCAACCAGTCCTCCTTAAATAACTTCTCCGACCGGATGTATCTGCCGCAGACTCGAAATATAATAATCACGGCCGCGAAACATGTGCACCACCAACAGACCAGCAAGGTCGCCTTATCCTGGTGGGAGGATCGGGCGGGCGGCGGCGACGAGTAGAGGGACATGATTGCCGCGCCCGTCTACCTCCGCAGAGGGGACGAGCGAGGAGCAGGGAGAGTTCGCAGTTCTGGTCGGCAACTTGGGTCCTTGGATCATCAGTTGAGAGCATTCCTGCGGGGAATTTCAGACGACGACGAGGAGAGAGGGCGATCTGGAGAAAGGATGGCGCATGGGCCTTGACATGGCAGTTGGTCGCGTGGGTCGGCAGCGAGCTTAGGTACGGCGGAGGCGAGAGGGGAATATTGGACAATTGGAATTGGAATCGGGATTGGAATTATTGGAATGGTTGAGAAGATGGGCAATAGCAAGATGAAGCCTGGAGGTGAGAGAAGAATGTGAGGGCGGAGGTCGGCGATGTGAAATCCAATAATTGGTGTGAGAGCACAGATTATGGGGAGGAGGGCCGTCCCCTACCTAAGGTACCTTATGGGGCTCGACAAGGCTGTGGCTAATGATAGACGCCTGCACTACTCGCAAGGGCTAATAAGAAATGATAATAATAATAAATCCCAGTGGAGCCCGATATTATCTGTGTATCTGGTGTATCTCTGCCTTTCCAGCATGCCCCTGTCGTGTGCGCAGGGCGGTGGCTCTGGCATGTCGAGGGTGATGGTGATGGTGATGCTGAGACTCGCTCTCTCTCTGGGTCTGAGACTCGCTCCCTCCCTGGATCCAGCAGTAAGCAGACTTGGAGACACTCTCAGCGCAGCCTGTGTATGTCTTTCTGCCGCCGTCGTCCTGCCATCTACCGCCGCCTCTTCGCAGTGGCCGAGTACTCCCACTCTCCCACTCTCCCACTCTCCCACTCTCCCTCCCTCTCTCGCTCTTCTGATCCCTCCCTCGCTCTTCTGAGTCCTGTCTTATTGCATGGGCCTGACCAGAAGATAACGACAATAAGCCACAGTTGACTCTCGGGTCGTGGGATTCGTGGTGCGGCACAAGTGTATCGCAACTCGGAACCCCCACCCGCAGGGAGTAGTCCCAAGCACGGAGTAAGCACAGCGCAACTACATACATGTACATAGGCAGTCGATCTCGATCCGGATGAATTGTTTGGGGCTTGACTATTCGCTGGAGCGGCCGACAGATGTTGGTTCGTCGAGCTGCGAGAATCCCTTGTTATTGGTGCCAAGGGGGGTTCAGGATTATGGCTCACGATAGATACGTAGATCTTTCCCGCTCCACCAGTAGTAGTGGGTTTGGACTTGGAGATCAGTATTATTCTGTATGATTATTATAATGATTATTCGTCGTGTGCAAAGTAATTCAAAGTTCAAATACCATAGTTGCACGGAGCGATAGCAGAGACGGGAGTTGTCGGATGATGAGTAGAAGGTCACAATCCGCCGCAACGCATAAATACATGTCCAAGATTTCGCAATGGCTACCTACTATTCGAAGGTTGCGAGCAGGAAAGCTGTTATCAGTTGCCACTTTGGCTCATCTCTCCCAGTGCCAGAAATAACACGTTTGCCGTAAGACCCAGAGGGCTGGATCAGTACCATACCCTCCCTCCCTGCCTTGGCCTGGAGTGCGCAAGGGCTTGATTCCAGGTGGGACAATATCGACGGGGGTCAACGCACAGGACGGAGGACGTATCGCAGAGGATCTGATGGCATCTGGTCTCCTCTACACGGGGATAGAGGGAAGGGAAGAAAACAGGGGAGAGTGAAGAGTGAAGGAAAAGGGGATACAGCAGGGAAAAGGCGAACTTTCATGGCTGATTGTGGGGTATGTACGGTATATTAGAAGGGAGAGCATGACGATACACGTCCTCGTCCGTTGGAAAGGAAGAAAAGAAGAGGCTGGAATGGTAGACTCCTCGTGTTAGTCTTCGTCCTGGTCGACCCCGCCATCCATTTACCTGTATACGGCCCTTGATCCGAATGTCCTCCCCGTCCCCGTCCTCCCAAGGTAAGGTGACCAAGACAACTCGACGATAGCTTTGATTGTCAAGGACCTGGAGGGATAATGATCGATCAGCAGAGGAACAGAAAGATGGGAGGTCGGTACTCTAACTCAAGCTCTACTCGGACCACAGACCACAGACCTCAGGGATTTCGTTTTGTTGCACGTCTGTCGTTAAGCATAACCCTTCGTTTGCCCGAGCGGCTCTGCATCAACCACGGTACCTTCTAGGCTTTAGTGCAAGGCGCACCAAACAACAAATCCGCAAAGAAAAGAGATCGCAAATACGCAGATACGCAGAACTCCACTTCAGCACTTGTCCGCATACTATTGCGCAGGCTTGTCACAGTGTTTGCAACCACCACTGCGTACATTCGGACGAAAGCACCCGGTTCAGTCATCAACGAGGAGATCGTGAGTAAAAAAACCCGACGGGCGGGAGCGAACGCGAACACGCCAGGGGCGCGTCTCCGAGCGCAGTAATGGACCCTGGGGAGCTCGAGCAGGATGTGAAGCTTTACCGCACGTCGCCGGAGCTTCTGGGCGACTTCAAAACCTCACTCGAGCCCTTTCTCTGGAAAACCTCAAAATCCGGCAAGCGATTGATCCGATCGAGAGTCCGCATTCGGGACACAGACAGGCTTGTCGCCCTGGTATGGAAGCCCCCTTTGACCCTTTGCCCCTTTGCCCCCTCAGCCCGAAGAATTCTGTCGTTGACTCGGGTATAGCTGGAACCTCATCAAGACAACCCCCAACTCCTCGATCCCCATCTCAACGACTTCGTACCTAGGCTCCGCGACGCGTTTATTGCCTTCCTCCGATCCAGGCCTGCCAGACCTGCAGCGGCGCTGCACCCGAAGCTGCTGATACCGCTTTCGAGGGCCATCTGCAGACTGCTCTACACCCTTTGCAAGATCAGAGGGGAGAAAGTTATTGTTCAGTTCCTAAGCACAGATACAGGGCACATCGAGTTATTACTGTCCGCGCTCGAGAATGAAAGTCCCTCCGATCATAGACTGTCAAATCGCCAGACGGAATATCAGCAAGATGGAGCCGCTTCAGTCGTTGATGCAAGGAGTCAATACGGCGATAGCAGCCCTGTCAATCCCATCGTTGCGGTCGAGGATACATGGGGATGGGAGGAACGGTACATCACGCTTCTCTGGCTCTCGCTCCTAATAATGAATCCTTTCGACCTCGACTCAATATCCTCGGGGGCCACGACGAATGAGGTGCAAAACAGCATACCCAACCTGACATTACCTCCAGGTATTCCAGGGATCCCATTGCGGATCATTCCATTGGCTATTCACTATCTTGCATCTCCGGCCAAAGAAAGTGCTGCCGCAAAGACTCTTCTTGTGCGGGTTGCAAGACGCAAGGACATGCAAGAAAATGGCGTCTCCCATTCCCTGACGCAGTGGGCAATTTCCTCTCTACAGGTATCTTCCAATCTAGCAGAGTCGGATCACTTCTATGTTGGTATCCTCTCTTTTCTCGCTGGCCTCCTCGGTTCATCCGTCAATACATCAGATATGGATCCCTACCTGTGGGATATTCATCAAATCTTCCAGGAAACTTCAGCCGACCAAGCAGCTTTCATGAAAAGGATTCACGCTTCGTCCCTCGCTCGTAAGATAACGATCAAAGTCCAGCGCAGTCTGTGTGCGCTCGTACTGCGCAACCCATCCATCAGAGATTCGGATGACATGTTGAATAGTATCATCGGCTTTACTCTGGACTCGCTTGGCGATGCTTTTACTCCAGTGCGGCTTGCGTCTAGCAAGGCTCTGAGTGTGCTTGCATCGAAGATGCCTCCCGAAATGGCTGAGGAAATTATTGACGAGGTCCTCGCTGCTCTTAAGAAGGGTAGACTCATGGTGGGTAATGGACTGCAGGTAGAGCGCTATGATTTATCGGGCATAAATCCGCCAGAATGGCACGGCCTCATCCTCACGCTTTCACATCTCTTATATCGTCGTTCTCCACCTCCCAACACTCTGTCTGGTATTATTTCTGCACTTCTACTTGGCCTTTCTTTCGAAAGGAGATCCTCTTCGGGCAGTTCTATTGGGTCGAATGTTCGAGATGCCGCATGTTTTGGGATTTGGTCTCTTGCTCGTAGGTACACCACTGATGAATTAGAAGCAGTCATACCTGACTCATCTCTCATCAACGGTTGGCATGGTCAATCTTCTATTATACAGATCATGGCATCAGAGCTTATTGTTTCTGCTTCTCTGGATCCAGAACGGAATATCCGACGTGGATGTTCCGCCGCGCTACAAGAGCTTATCGGACGCCACCCAGACACTGTCGCCGAGGGGCTAGCAATTGTGCAAACGGTTGATTATCATGCTGTTCCACTCCGGTCTAACGCCGTGCTACATGTCGCTCGGGAAGCTGCCCGGCTATCGAAGTCGTACTGGCTGGGAATATCTCATAGCCTTCTCGGATGGCGTGGTGTGGGGGATCCAGATCCCTCTGCTCGGAGAATTGCTGCTACTGCATTTGGCAACATATTTTGGATTAAGTTGCAAAAATCTGACCATGTCTCTCCCTGGGCTCAGTTTCACGACGTTGCGCATGAGCTCAGAGATCGAATACAGAAACTAAAGCTACGCGAGGTTCATGAGCGTCATGGTCTATTGCTTTGCATGGCATCTGCTGTCGACCGTATGAAGCATTACCCCCTCGACAAAAACAGTTCCGGGAGTGGTGTTGCGGATATCCTAGATTTTGTTGAGTTGACGTTAAAAGATGCTCAGACTAGTACCTATCGACGCCCGGATCTTATTGCGGAGGCTACTAGTCGCCTTATTCAGGCAACCTGCTCTCTCCTTGGGGTTGGTGTCGTTGCGAGAAAGCCGTTTGAAACATCAAATACGGAGCCCATTGAAGACAGCTCGAGTTTTATCCTTGGCTCTACTACTTCTGCATCCCCATTTGATATGCTCGGTGTATTGACTTCTACTGAAGGTAGTGCTGCCATATACCAAGCACACACATCCCAGATTGATGAGATCTTCGGGTTGGCCAAACCTCTCCTTTCCCAATGGCTTCGATGGAGCGAGCCTGAAGTTATCGAAGCTGCGTCTGACGCTACTGTGAATCTCCTCGTCTTGCTCAGCAAAAGTCAACGACAAAATATGATCTATGACTTAATTAATGTCATTGCTGATGGTCAAGGTCGCAGAACGAGCCAAGACAAAGGGGTCTTGTCTGTACTTTTCATAGTGTTCCCTATCGCTGACTCACTGCAACCGGCCATTATTCAGGCTGTACGTGCCTATTGGACCACAGCTCATGATATCGACAGCCGTGTCGCCTTCCTCCAATGCCTAACAAAGAGTAGCTTTGCGTCGAGTATGGACTTTGCTCATATCATCTCCGAAGGTTTAGATGATTATACAACTAATGCACGTGGCGATGTTGGTTCGCTGGTTCGTATCGAGGCTATCAAAGCAGCAGGTGCCATCTGGAAAGATGCCAAAAAGGTGGAATCCTGGCATGAGTCAGAATACTCTGTCTTCAGCGAGTTATTTGGCAAGGTTCTAAGGTTGGCCTGTGAGAAATTAGACAAAGTTCGAATCGAGGCCCAGAGGTCTATTGGATATCTTGTCTCTGCAAAGCATCTGCTATTTTCGGGGTTAGTTCGTACCCTACTGCTCGAAGTCATTGCTAATTTGTTCAGGGATCGTGAATCACTGAATCAGATGAACCCGTCATCGAGAGAGTACTTTTCCTTTTTTCTGAACATGGAGACCCGTGCTAGCCTAGCTAGTAGGAAATATGAAGATCACTGGCGCCTCGAGATGTTTGAAGGCTATGTGATCTCAGCTGATACCGGGTCTGAAGATATTATTCGTGCCAGCCGTTCTGCATTGGCCGAGTATTGCGAAAGTGAGAATGCGGATCTTGTCTGCAGTACATTGTTTCTAGTCCTCAAACGAAACCTGAAGAACGATCGTGTTCTCGTTCCAACTCTAGAGGCCATTGCCTTTCTATTCGATATTCGGATTATGCAAAAGAGCTCCACTAAGTACTTATCCCATCTATAATCCTTCACACTTCGTACTGACACTGTGACCAGCTGGCGTGAACTTTATCGGCTGGTGCAAAATGCCCACTACAAAACAGGAAATACCAGAAAACTAGAAGCGGCTGTTAGAGTTTATGGAGGCCTTGTTGAGGTCTATCCAGAAGCCTTGGATAAGTTGACGAAAATGCTTCTACATCCAATTCCAACACTCAGGAATAAGGTTGCTGATACCTTGTTTACGGTGAGGGGTGTCGGAAAGGGTGTTAATTGGCTCAGAGCTAGGAAGGAGGATTTGAGGGAGTTGCAAGAGGAGTTAGGTATCCAGATAGCGACATGATCGGGTCGTAATTGCTTCGCTCAACAGGCGGCCCTCTAGGTACTTTACCTACCGTGCATCCACCGCCGGAGAAAATCAACCCATTAATAAAGCACCGTTGACAACCGGCCGTTTTTAGTACTCGGGGTAACTTGCTCCCATTCTTCTACCCACATACTTACCCAAGGTAACAAGGTACGTTGTACCTAACTGCGCGCTACCTCCTCTAACACGTGATCACGCGCCTCGCTTCACCGGCAGAGGACTCAGCTCGCAAAGGTCACAAAGGATCGACACCATCAGCACACTTGAACAGTCTCAGTCTTCATTCCTGTGTAATCATCCGTTTCTCTTTCAGCTCAAGGTATCCTTACTTCTAGTTCCATTACCCTTGTCTAGTCTCAGAATGCATAGCTAACTGGGAAGCCTAGCAGCATCCCAGTATCCCAAGCCCTCCTTGCATCAGAGCTATCTGCGATCACTTATTGGCCATCGGTCATCTGCTATCCCCAGAACCCGAACCTCTCCTGCTGCTCAATCCATTCTCTGCCGCCAGTGATGTAGTTGGGGATTTGGGTAGTGAGACTGCCCAAACTTTTACCAAAATGTCAAACCCAGTATCTTCAGGCTTGTGTCAAGGACCTAAAAATATCGATCTTTATCCATTTATCGGAATCCTTGAGATGGAAAAAGTCATTGAATCCCAGTCAAAAAGATTACAAGAAGGTGTTCAAGCCAACAGTACATAATCTTCCGACCGGTAACAGAAGTGGACCTTACAAAGATAGACAGTGCTCGGGATTGCATAGGGAAGGACACTCGCATGACGCACGACGAAGACAATAATACGTTGCTGGTGGAAGTAATGCCAGACCAGAACACGAAATCCCAAACTAGAAGTTCTTAAAGCTGGCTTGAAAAATCCAACGGATGGGACTGTCAGAAAATGAGCTTTGCCCGGTTGGTGCTTCACGATTTCATCCCGTGGTGTCTTCGTCTTCTCAGGAGGGTGGTTCAGTTTACAAGCGTTCCTCACAGTCTGAGAGAACCCATTGGCCTACGATTATTATAGAATTGGGATTGTCAGAATCTTTGCATTATATCCGATCTTCTGCAGAATGGTGGCTTGAGAATTCCAATGCCCAGGTCAGCATTGTGGCTCTTATTGCAATCAAGCCAGCAGACAAGAGGTTGAGAGCTTGTTCAACCAGATCAAAACAGTCCAGTCACTAAATCGCATCCTGGTACGCCAATTCCGACGATTGCATAACATGCGCTGCACCGATTTATTTCATTTTTGGCCACTATCAACCTCTTGTCTAGATAAATTATATATCCTTGGTCGCGTAGTCCGGAACTGCCACTTTAAGAGAAATGTATCCCACGATCTCTGAGAAGACTACTCTTAACGATATAAGATGCGAGAAAAGTTCTCAACGTTTCACCCTGAGCTTTCTATGCTCTTACCAGACTAAAGTGATGGCTCTCCCTCGGAGCAGTAAGGACCTATCCTCAAAAATATTGCTGCTACGACACGGTTCCCCTCCCCATTCAAGACCACACCCGAAATTTCACCAAGCTCACCTGATCGACTAGCCTAGTATACAGTCTCCCTTTTTCATTCTCACTTCCTTCCTAGTGAGCTCAATCTCCATGATTCTCTTGTCTAGCGGGACCTTTTCCTGCAACCCATCATCATCGACATCAAAATAGAGCTGCCACGTATTATCCTCGACCTCCACAACCGTGAATCCCTCCCACCCATCAAAGATAAGCCTTTTATCTACTGGCGAACAGTTCCAGGGCCCGACCAGATGTGGCTCCGCGTCGACCCTGAGGCCATATTTGACTTCATAGGTGTCTTTGTCCACATAGACCCAGTTCAGTTGCGGCGGATCGTCAGAGACGGTCGTCACGTAGCCGTCGCCCTTCCGGCCCCAGCGCTTGTCCGGGTAGGGAAAGAAATAGCCAGCAAATAAATGACGCTGCTCATCTAATCTGTCCAAAGCTTGACCATCTGCTTCGTCGTGTTGGAATTTGGCATTAGGGTTAACTGTCGTGACATAGAGCTACTAAGGAAAATGGAGAGCATTAGCCTTTAGCCTTTATCCTGGTGAAGTCTCAGTCAGGCCTACCTTCTTGTCACGCAGGACAACTGTACCCCCATGAATATCCCTCGCCTTCCGACTTGGATCAGAACATGTTACAAGGAGATTAGACTTCCTCCCTCGATGCTGTTCTCTTCTATTCTTGCTCTGCCCTTGCCTTACAGCCTCCGTGGTCCCAATGATAGCGGGGCACGCCGCTATCGACGTAAGTATGCCCAGTACCATCAAGAGTATCGTGACGAGATTCAGGAGTCAGGAGAGATGTGGAGTGCAGGGACAAAAACCTGTGGGACGCACTTAGTTATCCCTTGAGTATGTGAAAGTCCGGTTCTAAGGCAAAGCTGTTAGAGAGTGGAAGATGAGATTCAGAGGTGAAGGATGATCCAGCGGCCACGACAATGCAAGACCCTGAATACGGCGCCCTGGAGAATAAGCAAGCCGCGAAACGATGAGTGCAGCGAATCAGCGGCAGCGGGCTGAAAATAGAAATTCGCCACACGATACGATGCTGGATGACAATTTCCTTATCATCCAACAACCAATCTATAGATCTGTATGTGAAATGACGCAAAATTAGTAGAGTCGCGGTTATCATAGGCGGGGTGTAGCAAGGCGGGCGATGCGGGAATCTTGGCTACAGATATTCTGTGCAGTAGGACCGCCCGTTGAAACATTGATCTGCGGCAGAACTTGGCTTTTCAGGATCAAGGAACATCATGAGCCTTGTGCTCTAGGGTTCCAAGATTCCGTGGGGGGGCGTGCTCAGGAGCGTCATTGTTAAGTGAGTAGTACTTATACGTTCAACCCACCAGCCAGTTCTCAAAAACATTCACAACGTACAGGACTGTCGAATATCTACCATCTCTGCGACGACCTGATCCATATCATTATTGTTGTGAAGAAGGAAACGCATTCCCTAGGAAACGCCATTCATCATGTCTGAAGGGTACATTATCCTCTCCTTCTCCTATATCGTCACGCGGAAGCTAACCACCGCGCAGAGAGAAGCAAGCCACCATATCCGACAACGACAACCAAATCGACTACGGCTCCGAAACAGATAGGGAGCAGCAGCAACCACAGCGCCAGAGCGGCGAGGCCACTGGAAAACGCACTATGCAGCGAACACGCCAGAACTTGCCGCAGTACAACAATAACGGGCCGCAACAGCAGCTGGTGCCGGCTCAGGATACGCGCGCAACGGGCAGTATGGGCGGGCGCACCGGGGCCATCCGCGAGTCGCGCATCAAGGACCGACCTGTACCACAGGAGACGCGCGACAGCTCGCTGAAGATCAAGATTGAGTTGGACCTGGAAGTCGAGGTAGATCTCTACGCACGTGTGCAGGGCGATGTCACGATTGGGCTGATGTAGGGGTAAGATACACTGTGGACACTTTAGTAACGCGATAGTGTTTCTCTCTAGGTCGACCTGTATGCCCGCGTCAAAGGCGATGTGACGGTTGGACTCTTGTAAGGTCGGGCTACCTTTCTCGCAGGAATATGTGTTTTAATGCGAGCATTGTTTAGGCGGTAATGGTTGTGTTGACGGGGGGGAGGAGCGGCCATGCTCCTGCGACGGGTTCAAGGGCTGGGATCATGGGGTTGTAGGCAAGATACTTGTATCGTAACCATCCTAACCAATGCCCCAACAATAAAAGGACCATGATGTTGTGCACAGGATGATTGTGATTTCTCTGAAGGTATCTTGATTAAGGTACCCAAGGTATTATGTATTAGAACCTTAAACGAGAGACACATTGATACGCGAGCCTCGCGTAGCCCTAGGCCTAGTCTCGCTCGGCAAAGACGTACGCTTGCTCGCTTGTCCTGGTCCCTTCCAGGTACGATGGCCCTGCTACGATAGGCGATCCCGCACCGGGCCCCGCCCCTTAATTGGCTCGCACGGGACGGCGGCCCACCCCCGGACCCCAACTCACCGCTGATTAGCGGCGGGATTTCCCCGTTCCCTGATTTAACTTTTTAGATATCTCAGATGATGCAATGATGCACAAGGCCAGGTCAGGGAAGACACGCAACAGGAATGTCCCGATGACAGTCAGAGGGAGTGGCACTCCCTTACTACAAGGACGCCGTGGCCATCGTCATCATCGCCGTAACATTCGAACATTCGAACGCTGAAGAAAAGAGGCCGAGGCAAACACACCCGGACGTCGGCGCCATGCTATCGCTATAGCAACAACAATCACGACGACAGCAGTAACGACGACGATACCATGGCAGAGATCAACGAGCCCCGCCCTGCGCACGACACAGAGCATGGGGGCAAGAGCGCAGTAGAGCACAGCGCTGAGATCCCTACGCCGCCCGCATCCCACAACGACTACTCGGACGCCGCCTCCGTCGATTCCCAGAACCAGCGGCCGCTGTACCGACGGCATCCACGCGGGGGCCGGAAACAGAAGAAGAAGAAGGGCGGGCGGCTAAAGTCAGTGTCCGAGCTCGAGCTCCTGCGGGGACCTGGGCAGGCCCAGGAGGAGGCGGACGAGGAAGATGAGGAGGCGGAGCCCGATTCAAGGGACGAAAATACAGCCAACGGCAAGACCTATGACGGCGAGGATTCTAAGAAGCCAAAGGCGTCGCGGCCGCGGTCACCTCGCACAGCACCTCGGCGCGGGACGGGTGTCCGAGCCTTCAACATGCAGAGGGCTGAGTCCTCCAGCCGCGGGGGACCGCCTATCGGAATTAAGGTTGAGCGGCCGAACGCCAAGGGGAAGAGGAAGCAGAAGAGGGGCCAGGAACCCGAAGAGAAGAAGCAGGAGGGGGCGCAGAGCGGGGGTGAGGAGGGCGAGGGCGAGGAAGACGAGGATATGAGGAACAGGAAGCCTGTATCCATCCGCCTGGATCTTAACCTGGAGCTCGAGGTCTTCTTGAAAGCCAAGATCAAGGGAGACGTTACAATCACGTTTTTGTGAGTCTGGCCAGAACCATGGCTGGCGTATAATGGCTGCTAATATCTCTGAAGAGAGTAGAGTAGTTCGTATTACGTTTATGCCCTGCATTTGCCCTTGGCATCAACTTGGACATCCCGAGAAGGGTTTTAGACTACGGTGTTTCGTCCTAGACAAACGTCTTCTTGTTTATAATCAGTGACAGTATTAATAGCATCTGAGGATGCTGGGAAGAATAACCTCCATTCGAATAATTCATCCTCGTAATTCCTGCCAGGTCTCTAATGCAAGTGTCACTACTTTAGAGAGTTAGTCTGATCTAGACAGATATAAAGCTGTAGTCTAGAAGAATACTAAGAAGAATAGTTTCCAGACTTGGCATAGTAGCTTTAGAGCAGATCCCTAACCATAATGCATAGGTAGCTAACAGCCAGACCCAGCAGCTCTATGTCTACTACTTAGAGAAGCATAATAATCAAAACTTACGCTCTTATAGAAATCCTATTTCTTTATAATAATTTCTTCTAATGTTAAGAAGGTGTTAAATAAATAAGGTTATATTATAAGTATAAGTAGTTTTTAGGTTAGGGATAGTATAGAACCTTTACCTTTTTACCTTTACTTTTATAATATAACTATATATAAAGTAAAAAAAAAGTTAATATATTAATCTATTAAAACCTTATAATATCTAATATTTTTTTTATTTTTTTTTAACAATACTTTATTTATTAGCAACAGTCGTCTACGCTTCTTTTTTTTTTTTTTTTAATATCTTCCTCTATTAAATACCTATACTAGGTACTATAAGAGTTTAATCTAAGTTTTAGTGTACATATAGTTCTACGAGAGGGAAAGAAAATAAAACCCTCTTACTAAGGCGCCGTTACATCGCCGGTCCTTTTGTTGTGTCCTTATCTCCTCTATATAAGCCCGTAGATATCGCTATAGATATAGCACGCCTCTTGTACGCTAGACTACTCCTAGTGCTCTACTTTATTCTTAGATTAGAAATAAGAAAATAATGACCGCCTATAGTTACCTGGTTCTTACCTAAGGGTTGCCCTTTATTTGTCTATACGCTATTCTTTTAACTCTTAAGATAAAAAATTCTAATCTTACAAGCCTCCTCCTCTCTCTATATCGTAAATTACTTTTATAACTACTCTAGGTACTAGTTTTGTACGCGTGTTAGGCGTGGCCTTTGTTTACTAGCTAGGACGTTATGTAGGCTTGTCTTAATGTAGGCCTAGGGCTGTCCTAATTGTTGTCTTAATTGTTGTTTTGTACTAAATCTAGTTTAGTTCCTGTCGCCTGTTTAGTTACTTACTAGTAAGGGGTCTTTGTTGTGTTCTATATAAACATCTTACCTCTCTACCTTTCTCTTTACTAATTTACTTACAACCTTTCCCTCCTCTTTATTTACTCCTAAACTCCCCTTTCTAAAATCAAAATCTTAAAGTACCTTTAACGTCGTCCCTTCCTTTAAGATGCCTTATACTACTACTACTGTAACCCTGTAGAAGTAGGGACGCGACTACTCCCTTTTACTTCGCTAGTCTACTAGTAAGCGTATCTATACTAGTAAGCCTTCCTAGGCTAGTTCTTTTATAGTAGAGACATATAACGATTCGGCCGATAATTAGTCTATCCCTACACGATCTAACGCTCGTGTCTTAAGTAGATTTGACGATAATAATAATGTTAATAATAATAACCTTTTTACTCTTCCCTAAGGCGGGTCCAGGGTGTTTTCGCCCGGCCCCCTTATAATGTTTAGTGCCTATAGATCTACCTCTAGAGAGCTAGAAAAAGGTTTTGCCTAGATTAGTCTAGACACTTTATTAAAGGTTTGTGTATTCCCTATTGTTAGTACCTCTTATTACTTACCTATAGACTAACGCTCTTACCTTATATAGCTAAAGCCTGCTAAGCAGCCTACTCTCGCGGCTAACCCGCGTCCCTCTCTACCTCTTGCCCTTACTAAGTAGGGAAAGGGAAAGGAGGGGACGTTAGCTAAGCCAGGATTAAGAGCGGTACTAGAGAAGGTAGTAGCCTAGCCGAAGTTAAAGCCAAAGCTAAAGCTAAAGACGACAACGACGACAAAGATAGTAGCGTAGACGATAGTAATAGTAATAACAATAACTAAGATAGAGACAAAGATAAAGTAAAGGGAGAAGAAGAAGAAGGGCCTTACTAAGGGCATGTATGCTTGTAGAACTAAGGCTCTGCCGCCTCTCTAAGATACTTCCTTATTAATTTCCCTTATCTAGTCTGTCTGCGTAAAGCGTGCCGCTTTCCTTAAGTAAGAAGTAGTAGCTATAGCGCGTAAGGCGGAAGAAGAGGAAGAAGAGGAAGACAAGGGTAAGGGTAGAGATAAAGATAAAGGAAGAGATAAAGACAAGGATAATATTAATAATAATAATAACCTAGACTATTTTGATAAATTAGTAGGAGATACACTAGTCTAAGCTTAGGGAAAGGGCGCTAAGGAGTCTAAGGGGGAGGATACTAAGGATACTAAGGAGGATAAAGGAGGAGAGAGGGAGGAGGGAGTCGGTAGGGCTAATAAGGGTAAGGATAAGGAAAGAGAGGGGAAGGGGCCTACTATAGCTAACTAGAAAGAAGGCAGCGCTATAAAGGGCGTCGCTACCTTATTAGTTAGTCGCTAGAGTAGACCTGTGTTATAGAGTAGTATGTATGCCGTCTTGTATTAGTACTATCCCTTACTAACCTTTGCCTAGGGTCGGTAGTACGCCTACTACGTATATAGCGACAAGAGCCTATTAGTATAGAGTAGTTACCCTCTTAAGGTTACTGTCTTTACTATATTAAAATACTGTTTTTAAACCCTATATACTAATATAAGAAGGCGTTAAGGGATAACGTCTATAATTATTATGCCTAGTAGCGTTCTTCTTATAATAAAGTATGATTCCTTTAGCCCCTTTTCTCTTAGCCCTTACTAACCCCCTAGCTAGATTCCTCTTAAACACCTCTCTTAGGTAAGAAAGGTAGTAAAGTATACTTACTCTATTATTACTACTCGCTCTAGCTTCTTTGTCCCCTTAGCTTAAAAGATTACTTCTACCTGCCTTCTACCTTACGTAGTAGATAGCTCTTTTGTTTTTCCTCTTACTACTTCTAACAAGTAACGGAATTTATACAAAAGTTCTTAGTACCTTATCTACAAGATAGCGGGCTTAGGCCGAACCTGCTGCTATCTCTTAGATAACTCTACTTACAAGATTACTAGTCGGTTAGACTAGCTTAACGCTAGTATAGTAATAATAATCTAGACCCTCTACTCTATCGTAAGGTCCTTTTATTTTTTTATAAATATAGCTAATAAGCGACAGAATTGTATACCTGTTAATAATACTACTACTTATAATTAGCTCTAGTCCTTCTTTAATTAGAGGGGGTTTTTCTTTTTCCTAGTTCTAGTTTTGTCTTAAGGTAATGTCTTTTCGCTCTGTTTCCTTCTTTCCTTTTGTTATTCCTTCCCCTTTCTAGTCGTATATAATCCCGGGTATAGCCCGGGTATACTTGCTTAGGTAAGTAGCGTTATAGATTCTAGTCAGAATTATACGGCTCTTTTATGTTAGTTATAGCCTAAGTGTGTTCTAGTAGTATAGCTATTTTGTTTAAGTCTTATCCTAGTTAATAAATGTTAGTATTAGTTAAACCCTAGGTTGCCCTAGGTATTCCTTGTGTTCTTCTTGTGTTTAATTAGTTAGCTAGGGCCTAGACTATAAGGCAGTACTGTCCTAAGATGCCTAGCCTTATTAGCTATCTGGCTACCTTCTAGAGACGACCCGGGTTAGATGTGATTACCTAATAATCTAATAGGCCTAGTTGTTCGATTAGGTACGCCCTCTGTTCTCTAAAAACTAGGCATCTAGTAATAATGTACTTTACTGTCTAAGACCTCTACCTGTACAAGTAATCCGCTAAGTAGGTAAGGACCTTTCTTTAGGTCAAGAAGGCTTAGAGACTGATCTTCTCTGTCCTAATAGCTAGTACTAAAGAGCATTCCGCTTTTGTTATTGATTTGTATCTCTCTATACGTTCTTCTCCTAGCTCTCCTTACTACGTAAGGGTTAACCTAGGGTTGTCCTACTAGTAGCGTTTCTACTACACATTCTAATCCTTATAGAGTTTCTTCTTAAAGATACCTTATGCCTTAGTAAGGGAGAGCTCTCCTAGTAAGAAGGGCGTCTTAGGTTCCTTATCTTGTGTTATATTCCGGCCCCTAAGCTTATTCCTCGCCTATCTTTCTTTAACTTCTACTAGGGTAGGCCCTAGGTTAGACTAGGGCCTATCTCTACTAGGATCTGTGTTCCTCTATATCCGGTCTCTAGCGTTCTAGATAACGGCTTTGTAACTTGTAAGCTATACTCTTACTTATATAGTCCTCTAGAGGAATTTAAGGTAAAGGTAGATTAGGGGTACGTTCGTTTCGGTATATAAGATCTTAATTAAGGTAGCCTTAAACGCTCTAGAGACTGCCTTAAGACTACTGTTTTAGATCTTCTAGAGTGACTTTACTATCCTTAAAGGACCCTTAGTAAGGTCTATAGTTAGGAGCTAAACCGCTAAGGCGTATGTAAGTGCCGGGAAGATAACCGCGTAGTATATTAGACAGGCTTTCTTTGTTGTTATACCTTACGTCAAGGCTGTAGTACAGGTTAAGGCTAGTATCTGCCTCTCTATCTTTCCCTCTAGGTGTTTTAGGTAAGCTCTCTATATTAGCTTTAGGTCTAGGATAAGGCTAAGGATCTTAATTAACGGTTCTAGGGTAATCTCTATATTACTTAAGGAGAGGCCTACGTTTAGGTTATGTTTTTGTCCTTTACTTAGGTAGAGTAGATAGTATTTCGTTAGTTTAAAGACAGCCCTATGTCTATAGGCCTAGTCAGAACATACCTAGTAAATCTTTGCCAGCCCTTAGTAATTCCCTTCTATTGTCTTGCCCTAGACAATAATGTTTATATCGTTAACAAATCTAACAGTACTTTCCTCTTATAAGGTAGTATTACACTATTCTACTAGTTCCGAGTTGTAAAACAGAAAGAGGATAGGGGATAAGAGGGAGCCCTATAGAATTCTAGAGAGGACTTTAAAGAAGGGGCTAGTGTAGTTATCGATCCTAATTAAGCTACTTCTCTCTAAGAGGAAGCCTTCGACTAGTTAGACTA